ACCCCACGTTTCATTGTAAAGTCTGGAGATACAGGCACCTTTATGTTTGTAAGCATGATGCTATATGAAGAGTGGTCTTTGTTCATTGTCAAGTAGGTGGAACCTGGCAGAGCAAAAGATGCAGAAGGACCTCTTTGGGTAACTCAGCTAAAAAGTCAGGACTTCAGGAACAATGCATGACAGGTACGCAACCCTCACTTTTATGTCATACATTGGCAGCTAATAGCCACTTTTATGCATTCCCAACTTTTGTGCATTCTATTGTAGGTGGACGTTTCTCCTGCTCCAGACGTTCATTTCCATGATTAAAGTAGGTTGATCCGAGCTGATTTGGTTGAGTTACGCTCACACAAGATTACAGCGGTTGAGCTGCATCGAGCGTGCTCTATGTCCAGAGTGATGTAATCTCTCTTTGACCGCAGCTCAGTCAAATCAGCTCGGATCAACCTACTTTAATCATGGAAATGAATGTCTAGAGCAGGGGCATCGTTCCCATGCAGTGGATCTCGCAACAATGATGATTGGATAAAAGTGGCCGTTAGCTAGCAATACATGCCTGTCCCTAGATGATCCATAAGTAATTATACATTGACCCTTTCATTCATGCAAACGTAGCTGTGTTACACAACACGACCCTCTGCATCTTTTGCTCTGTCAGGGTCCAGCTACTTTGCATTAAACAAAGACCACTTCTCATATAGCATCACGCTTACAAACATAAAGGTGCCTGTATCTCTAAACTTTACAATCAAAAGTGGGCTCCTTAATAGTTCAACGTGCTTGTCGGGGTCAAAGGAATCTTGTGTCAAAGTATGAAGTTCATCGTGGGCGATCCCAGATTTCGCAATGTCGCTACCAGCCAAACTGGATCGGGGAGTCGACCTCTTCGACGACGACGACCAAAAAATATTTTTTGGGCTGTTTGCGACATTGAACGCGAAACTTTCACACAAGGTGCAGTTGGCCAAGCCGAGCACATTGCTTTATTCAAAACCCCACGTTTCATTGTAAAGTTTGGAGATACAGGCACCTTTATGTTTGTAAGCGTGATGCTATAATAAGAGTGGCCTTTGTTCATTGTTAAGTAGGTGGACCCTGGCAGAGCAAAAGATGCAGAGGGTCGTGTTGTGTAACACAGCTACGTTTGCATGAATGAAAGGGTCAATGTATAATTACTTATGGATCATCTAGGGACAGGCATGTATTGCTAGCTAACGGCCACTTTTATCCAATCATCATTGTTGCGAGATCCACTGCATGGGAACGATGCCCCTGCTCTAGACATTCATTTCCATGATTAAAGTAGGTTGATCCGAGCTGATTTGACTGAGCTACGCCCAAACAAAGAACATGTCAATTCTTGAAACAGAGACCCTGCGAATGTCTCCGTCTTTCAAACTTTTGGACGCTCCCATTCCGAATTTTCAAATGAAGCGTGAGGTTTTTATTAGAAAAAGTTGATCAGCATGCTCGAGAGCACCCTGCTGGCCAATTTTCAAGTTGCTGGTGAGCAACTTCGGGGCGGTGGGCCCTCCATTCTTTTGTTCCCATCATCCACCATTTGGGTCGCCCCGCATTTTAAATCTTCACAATGAAGTCTGCTAATTCAAAATGGATGAGGTTGATCAGCATGTCCCAGCGAACCTCTTGACAAAGTTTCAAGATCGAAATGGGGAATCCCAAGGTAATTCATACTATTTCGACAAATCATGAATCCGGCGCTGACCTGCTTTCCAACCTGCATAGTAAATCCCACGTTATACCCTCCAATTCAATTTTAACAAATGAACATGAGATCTTTTTTGAGACAATGTCGATCAGCATTTCGAAAAGCATCTTGTGTGAAAGTTTCAGGTTCGAGAGGGGTAATCCCAGTATCAAGTATTGATGTACAGTGTTCATGCATTTATACAAGAGGTGTCCGACAGCTCAGCCTACTTGAATCTCCACTTCTTCCACTCTCAGCTCATTGTTCTCTTCCTCCCATTCTCAACTGTTGGTCCATACAAGTATACAACTACCACCTGCAAACGATTGCCCTGTTTCAACCCATCATGTCAACCCTACGAATGTCTTGATCCGATTGTCTTTGACTGAATGGCAAAGCCCTCGGCATGTACACGCCCGCAACACGCCTTTTTTGATACTACACACGGTCCAGCACACTCATCTGCCACGGTCAAACGTAACGGCATTCATTCCAGCAGTTGCTATCTACTCTATTGCCTCAAACGACATTCACATTCTTGTCACGCTACTACAACACACGCTCTTGCACACTCCTTTGCCACGACCAAACTTGACAGCAGCTACCATTAGGAAAGTCTTCATTCCATTGTCTCAAGCTACCTGCAGCAACCTGCCTTGTGGTCGTCATCACGTCAACAGCAGATAGCCATTGTATAAAAGCAACTTTATTTACGAGTAGCAACTTGCTTTGGTACATAAGGATTCCAATGGATGATGCCATATCAGCTATCAAGTACGCCGCAACACCTAGTTGAGCTGCGATGGAAATGACCAAGAAAAAGATGGATCAACGGCAGGATGGAAAAGGAAGCGATCACATGGCTCTTTTCAACCAACATGTTGGATTTGCAATGGCAATGGATGGATGGATAGAAGCGTCAAGTGCAGTGATGAGGAAGAAGTCATGGGATGTTGTGTTGGTTGCTTTTCGCGTCGTCAGCAGGAACCATGGATCATGTCACTGGATACGGGCTGAGGATTATGATGGATTGGGGATGGCATTGGCGAATGGGCTTGTATCTTTGACGAAAGAAGGTGTTTTTTTCAGCAATGGATGGCATTGGAGTACTCAAGGCACAAATCATGCAGCTATTCTCCAGCAATACAATGGCACAACTATTCATGTTGACTCGATGTGATGCACCCGTATACTTATCAATTTGCAACGCTGTCCCCTTTATCATAGTATTAGTTTATAGACATCCACACGACCATACGCTATTCTTCTACTTTTTCATTGAATGAAGATTGGATTCAACTTCATACTTGGGATATCATCTCAGCTCATATGGGCAAGATGTGGGTCACTTGGTTCGTTTCTGGATTGAAAGGGGGAAGGCAACTGTGAAGGTCGGAAAGCGAGATTCGATCATTTACGCTATCGTATCAAGACGTTTTTGTCCCTTCGCCGTCAAAGCTTTCTAACCCGCATGCTGGTATATGATAGGCAGTGGCAATTCTCAAACGTTTGATTTACGAGGATATTAATTCAGAGTGATGATGCCTAACATAGTGCTTGTGTAGTCGACTGCATGAGCGAAAAAATGAAGAGCTGCGTGATATGGCACGTGGTAGTTACACTACACTCGAACGTCCTTAACAGGTTGCTGCACAAATGGATCATGATCATGATTGCCTTGAGGAAGGCAAGTAAGTATACAACATCCAAAAGTGACGATGTATCAAGGTATGTGTATGGCAATAATGGTTCCATAATGCATTTGGATTCTGTGGAGTGTCGAGCTGCATAAAAAGTGTTGCGCACGAACCATGTTTGATGCCTTCACAGCCGGGTTAGAAAGCTACAAGGGGCATGACAAATAGTGTATGTGCTTGATTGGTAATGTAAAATTCACGTTGCCTTAAGCAGAGATCAAACCACTCTTTATTCATGATGCATTCGTTGGATGGGCATTGCTATTTGAGAGCCACATACATAAATGCTGGATCAACAACAATACCAGCAGCAGTACACGATGATGATGTATATTAACGATGCTTTTATTTCTGAATACCCTATACTTTTACTGCAACCATATTCATCATAGCCATACAAGAGCAACACGTTATGACTTTGGGGCAAGTGGTGTTGTGTGGAAGCTCCCGACTCAAGCCGCGAAAATCAAAGTCTGGCGCCTTAGCCATTATGAGGTGTGGGGTCCATGGAGACCCCGCTCAATTTTAAGTTCAGCTGCGTCGCGTCCAGAAACAAATTACTGCGGATCACCCTGGCAACCTCCACCTTTTTGCTCTCAACTCAATCGATCGACTCGCATGGCGTGCGTGCTTTTCCTACTATCACGATGTTTTGGCCAAGGTAAGTTGTTTCTATCTTTTAGTTTCGTTGTGTTGCTTGTAATACTCACCGTGCCTTGTTTGAAGCGACTTGGGGGACCTAATGGTGTGCATTGGAAACTCTTTGCCGCCCCTCACCAGCCCGGTTTCCACACAAGGCTTCCATGAATCCCAGCAGATCTTGATACGGAGGTAGCGAGGATGTTGGCCATTCCTCGTAAACTGGCTGCCCACTACGTGTCGGCGTGTTGTATGGGCGTTTGGCCGAGGACGAAACGCAGACCGGTAGCAGTGTCCAGGGTGCACTAATAAAAGACCGCTATCCAAAGATACCAACAAGTGGCTCTTGTTTGGGTAATGCCAAAGGATTCAATGGAAGGAAACTAGGAGGGAAGATAAGTATTCTTACACCTATTTGCTCTCGCTCACCAAAAATATGCTACACTTTTCTATCTCAAGGACACAAGCAGCATGGTTTCTTCCAAACGAGGTTTTGGCGCGTCAAGTCCCGGCACCTTAAAGTGGCATGTACAAGCGGCCTCGTCGACCTGGAATTGGTGCCTACAGGTAGAGGTTGGGGATGATTGAGTAGCGACCTTCTCGTTGGTCATCCCTGTGAGTACTTTAGCCTTGGCTTTAGGAAACCAACAGCTACTTGTTTATTCTAGTATTGTAATCAATAAACCATGTTCTTTGATTAAACATCTATTCTTGTCTTCACATGTTTGATAACGCATTATCAAGTAGCATTTGATTGGTCTTGTACGTAATTGAAAATGATAGCCCATGAGCCAAGGGATGTTGTCATGGTGTGCTCATCTTATCTATCAATGTTGTCGTAGTATGTACGATGATGCTAATGATCCAATCTCGCTTAACGAGCTTTAATTCCTCAACCCAGAAACCAATCAAACAATCCACATCTTGCCCATATACGAGCTGATAGTATGATGTCCCCAATAAACGTTGAATTCAATTTTCATTTAATGATAAAGTCGAAGAATAGCGAATGACAGTGTGGATATCTATCTGGTAAATACGATAAAGGAACACCATCGCAAATTGAATAAGATACGAGTGGATAACATAGAGTCATCAGGAGTAATTGTGTCATTGCATCTTGGTTGCTGCCATCATAAGCGTCCTTGATCGATGATTAGAGAATAGCTGCTGCGTGATTGATTCGAGTATCGCAATATCATTCATAGCGATCAACCACCCTTCGTCAAGGATAAAAGCCCACTCATCAATGCCATCCATCCAATCCATCATCATCCTCAGCCGTATCCAAGTGATACGACGATCCTTCCTTCCTGCTGGCAACGTGCCAAGTAACCAAAGCAACATTCGTCGCTGCACTTGATTGCATCCATCCATTCATACGTAACCATTGCAAGTCCAACATACTGAATAAAGGATCCCTGCAGTAATCGCTGCTGACATGCTCCCTTTTCCATGCGGCTGTTGGTCAACCTTTTTGGGTCATTTTCTATGGCAGCTCAACCAGGTGAAGATTGCTTGTATTGCGGTGTACTTGATAGCTGATATGGGATCATCCATAGGAATGCGTATGTATTGAAGCAAGTTGCTACACGTAAATAAAGCTGCTCCTGTACAAGGGCTATCTGCTGTTCAAGTAAAAAGAGGCTGCAAGGCAGGTTGCTGCAAGCAAGTGAGACAATGGAATAAGCACCTTGATAATAGTAACTGTTGGTACGTTTGGTCGTAGCAGAGAAGAGTTGCAAGAGCGCGTGTTGTATCAAAGAATGCGTGTGTTGTAGAAGAGTGACAAGAAGGCTGTGCTCACGCCATGGACTTGCCATTCAGTCCAACACAATCGGATCAAGAGAGTTGTAGGATTGACATGATGGGTTGTAGAAGGATAATCGTTCGCAGATGGTAGTTGTATACTTGAATGGGCTAACAGTTGAGAATGGGAGGGTGCAATGCAGGAGAGAAAACCAATGGCAACCACGTCGGGTGAAACCTGTTACTTGAAATGAAGCCCTCCAGTGAGTCTGGCAGCCGTTGCATGAAACATGTCACCGTGAACGAGGTGTTAGTATAAAGACAATGCGCCATACTGTGTTTATTGATGTTTGCTGTAATGTTAGATATTCGTTTCGCTGGTATGGATTCATCGTATACGGCATTCAAGAGTATCCAGGGAAATAGATTGGGAGTAGTTCTAGTATTCTCAATCAATATTGCTTCTTGATAATCCATAAACATCTTATCTATACTTACCTCGATACACGTTGGTATCGTTACTGGAAAATGTGCTGAAAATGATGCGATCAAACTAGGGTAGAAAGAAGACGCTTGTAAATGCCAATAAACATGGACATCGCACCCATCATCCAAACATACCGAATTACGTCCAAATGCAATATCCATCATCAAAAAGGCACGTACAACACTCAATGCAATCTTGCAAGCATCTTCAGGGTCAAAACTAAAAGCTCCCGTTGCTATGCATGGGATGGCTACGGTGCGAATCCTGTGATGCTGACATAGCTCTAAACAATGGCGATAGCAATTTGCCAAGACTTGCTTTTCATTGTTCCTTGAACCAACCGTGTGGATGACATCTATCATCATTGTTAATAATCACACATATAGCTCTCTCCATTTGTGCACCATACATTTGGCAGGAAGCAAAAAACCTGAAAGAGGGGGTGATAAGTAAGGCGATCATCCAAAGTAATCCATCCTGCATATACTACCTTTGGTCAACCTCGCTTCCTGTATATAATAATACGACGCGTGTAAGCGTACCCTATGCACACGTATAGCCCACTCCACCTTACATTACCCCTGGTTGACAACCATGTAATTGCCGACATGCTTCTGTTAGCATAGGACCGCCCTTGCTGAAAACGTCGCCCATTTCATTCATGCTCAGCCAAATTGATTACATTCCGGATCCTTGACCATAATGTACTTACGCATGAACCTGGCCACTTACTGTATCTGGTAAGTCAAATCAGCCAAAACAAGGCGCAGCAGAACGGATTTTCATGTTGTTGACTTACGTCCTCCACCAGGTTGTAATGCAGAGTTGGTTGGGCAAACTAGAAAGACCCATTATCATCAATATTATACCTCTCTTTATGTCCATGCTTTGTTTCTTTACCTATGGCTTGCACTGAAAGTGAAGTAATATCCCCAGTACTAGCAATCACACCATGTCAATTTCGATAACGGGAAAGCCCAGCAGGGCGTTTTTCGGGCTAACGTACTCTTGTTTAATTATCGAGGCGATACGTTTTCGTAACGTAGCTTCATCATTGGCTGCACGCTTGGCTATTGGGCTTTGTGTCATATCGCAAAAGAGGGAACAGGAGAGAAAAGGAAGAAAAAGAGCAACGCGCAGTAACCGGCAGCTCGGAGCTGCTTTATGGCTTTTGTGTGTGTCACCAATACCACATGATCAGCTACGCGATTTGTCACACAAGATACCAGCCAACCCCTTCTACGGCGTATGAGCTGCATAAACCAAGCCATTTGACAACACAAAACGCTTTCGTTTATAACAAATTGTTCTAGGTTGGTGAAGTAGCTCGCTTACGCAAACGTTCCAATTGGGTATACATTGGCTGTGGAAGGAGGAAGTTGACATGAGCTATATGCAGCATCCACCCAAATTGCTAAAAATCAGCGTTTCCATAATCATAAAACGATCATATCAATAAAAGTGGAAACCACACGTCTTTAGTATGTGTCTGTGGGTGATCGTTTTCGGCTGTTGTAGCGGGGCAAACAAATAACAACGTGTGGAATTGAGCGAATCATGCATCACAAACGTCGATGAAACCTCGGAGTTGAGCTTCTGGCACATACACCACCAGGTCAGCCTATTTCTCTTTTTCTTTCTCTATTAGATTATTCCTTCATACTACAACTACTCTCTTCAGCTCTCAGCAATGAGCAAGCGTGAAGATGATACACCTTTACAAAATACACAATCATTGCCCCGACAACCATCACCGGCACCGAGAGATTCGAATATAAAGCAGTTCATGCGTGATTGGGTTGCCAATATCAAGATACCCCCTTTTGAGACATGGCGTAAACCTGTCAAGCAAGCACTGGCCATGATAATTGCCTCCATCATGACGCTAAGTGATAGCTGCCGTAATAGCATTGGGCAAGGATCATTGCTATGTGCTATTGTCATTGTCTTTTTCTTCCCTGCACGCACTTTTGGTGTCGTATTTGAGGTGAGTAAAAAGCCGGCGGGTCGAAAATAGCCGTGAAGCGGGAGAACAATGGACATCAAGTAGGCTAATGAAAGTACTTAGGATGTTATTTATGGAACGCTCGGTGCGCTCATTGCATCATTGTATTCATTGCTTGGTGCGTGTTATTTGTTTTTTGACGGGTTGTGTTATTGACAACAAATGATACATAGGCATTTTTTGTGCGAACTTGGCAAGAGATCCAAACATTGCCTATCCAGTGCAACCCAAATCGAGTGGAGTGCTCATTGTGTTTTTGTTTATTGGCGTCTACGTCATGACAATCATCCGATTCAGTGTCCCAAGAGGTATGTAGTAATGAGAGCTTTGATAACAAAGAGCGGGTACTGACAATGGCCATGTATTGTGTCACCACAGCTAATTTTGCATGTATCCATGCGGCGATCATTTTTGCGGTATGACAATGAACCATGGAAAAAAGAAGGTATCCCGTTCTAATTGTGGATGTAGTTCACTCTCACCGATGCATCATTGACACCTGGTTTCCACCCATCCCTTGTGGTATGTGTGCAAGCGTATTCAAATGACGAGATTGATGCTCACATCCTTATTTGCAGTGGCAATTCTTGATACCAGTTACGGTTGGTGCTGGAATCTCGTTGGCAGTGTCAGCGATTATATGGCCTGATGATAGCATGACCAATTACATGAACGTGTTTTTGAAAGGTCTCGAGGGCCACAACACATTCTTTAAGGAACATTCGGAAGCATTCTTTACAGTATCACCAGCATCAGTGGCTACCACTTTACCTTCGCTTCATGATCGATTGCAGGGATGCATGTTAACCTTGATCGATTGTAAACGTGCCGTGCATCGTGATATTCTTTATTCAAGGCTTAATGGATCGGATATCAGTAAGCTTACCAAGCTGATCAAGGAACTGCGTCCCTCGTTATATGGTATTGGTCTTAGTCAAATCATCAAGCGAGAAATCTTGCAAGATGAATCAGCGCAAGAGGAACAAGATGCACTCAAGGGTGCCATTGGAGAATTGGATAAGGTATTCCAGCCCTTGACAGAGGCATGTTACAATGCAACAAAAGAAGCCATTGAACGACTACGTCCATTTCATGGAAATCGACCACGATCGATCCTCAACAGCATCCTATGGCCATTTCCTCGTATATTCGATGTTCATCATTACATCAAAAAGATCATGGGTGCATCCACCAACAATGATGTTATTGAAGAAAAGAGAACAACCTCGACATCTCTTAAAGAATTGCTTACACAATTGGCTGCGGAAGCTGACACTACTATGTGGCCATTGGCTGTTCAACATTCGCTTAATCACCATGAACGTAGCTTGCATCTTTTTGGACAATACCGGTATCAGCTGAGACATTATACCCAAAGGATTGTCTCCCTTTTAGAGTTTGTTGAGGAGATTGAGCAAACAAGGACACGACGACGATTTTGGTTTCCTACCATCAAGGCACTCAAAAAGCGATTTTTCTCGAACAAGCCCAACGAGAGTGAACACCATCAGCCTGAGGATCCACTTGACCTAACTTTGGTGCGCACTAATACCCGACGTGAAGCTCTCGGCGATCTCGAGAACCCTACTGAACAAGCTTCTTATGTACTATCATCATCAGGCAAGCTGTATTACCGTGATCCCGATGTTGATCCACCTGCTTCACGCCGAGAACGATTTTGGTATACCATCCACAAAATGATCTTGTGGGCTGTATCTTCCAATAGCATGATGGGATTGAAAACAGCCGCTGGGACCGTGTTAATGGCACTACCTTTTTACATCGCCAATAGCGCAGCCTGGTACATGGAATGGCGAGGCAATTGGGCTCTTATCATTCTTCAAATTTGGCTTAGTAGAGCTTCTGGAATGTTTATCTATGCCACCGTAATGCGGCTTTTGGGCACCGTGGCAGGTGGTGTGCTTGGTATTGTCGTATGGGAAATTGCACAAGGAAATCCCTATGGGCTTGCTGTGGTTTTATTTATCGCTTATGCCATCCTCTACTACATCCTCATGACCAATCCAAACACACGCATGTTTTGCATTCTCACCGTGGTAACCTTGACTCTGGTTAGTCTTCATGCCAATTGGATGAATGGGCTTTAGTATCACTAAAAACGTATTTGGGTAGGTGGCTATTTACACATACAACTACAAGATGGGCGTGTTCCCAGGAAATTCGCCTGTATGGACAATTGCTGGCAAGGTATGGTACAAGCAAACAAGCATGATGAGCATTTATTGACCATGATTGATTAGCGTATATTGCTTGTGTGTATTGGTGTGGTTGCTGCAGCTATTCTCTCCATCATACCTAGGCCGATCATGGCTCGTGTTGAGCTGCGTAAATCACTGGCTCATACTGTACGCGACGTAGGAAGGCTTTATGGTATCTTAACGTCCCAATTTTTGGTGCCAGAGATTGCCATGCTTAATCCGACAAAGGAACAAAAGAAAGGCTTTCGACGTCTTACGTTGGATTTACGACGACAAATTGCCGAAGAGCGAACGTACATGCACCTGTCATCCTATGAACCACCACTTCGAGGACGCTTCCCTGCTGAAAGATACAAGGCAGTGCTTGAAACAGTTGACTCTATGGCTGACTTAGTAGCAGGGATGGTAAGTAATGGTTATGATAAAGAAAGAAGAATAGGCTGGATGCTGAAGATGTCGTATTTGGTATATGCAGGGCTATATCCTAGAGGACATAAGACCATCTTGGCGTCAGCAGATGGCAAATACCTTGCAAAGAGAGAGACTCGATTATGTAAGTAGCAATCATGTGACATGCATCCAAGATCTAATGTGAATCATTTTACAGATTGCATCCATTATGACGACCATGAAGCTGATTGCAACTACGCTTTCAGCAAAGATGGCATTACCACCCTATCTTATTGGGCCTGGCGATGCACGTGATCGATTTCTCCAATCACTTAATCATAGGTTGGAATTTAGCTCTGAAGACATCACTCACCCATCGTTCTTGAGTTACAGTGCATACATTGTCACTAGCACTGCATTTGTCAAAGAACTACAATTCCTTCTTGAAACAGCCGAAGACTTAGTTGGCGTTGAAGACCCTCAAGAATGGTTACGAAAGCATATGTAAATAGTTCTTAAATTGTATTGGTATAATGTTCTATAAGAAGCTCTATATTTTCTACAAGGCATAGTGTGGGTTTCAATGACTCAAAATGTGAAATGTCTCATCATCTTTCATGCTGTGGAGAACCCACTATAATAGGGTCGGGGGAAGAGATCCCGATGTTTCACGCTCTCAACTCTCTCTCATGCTAAATATCTTCACTTCAGCGTATGAAGGCAAGCTCTTTGTTGTCCAACAAACGGTAGATAAGGAGCCTAAAGCCGCTACTTCCAAGGACGAGGTATTGCCATACTCGAACATGCTCGGTCGAATCCTTCTAATCGCTCGTGGTTCCATAGGACGATCGCACGCCACTGCATTGGGCTGCGTCTGGTGGACACAAGAATATCATTGAGTACCTCATTGAGCACGGTGCATCAGTCAATGCTGTCGACGATGTAAGAACAACTTTTATACACGTGTTGTTGTATGCAATATAGCTAATGTTTGGGGGGTGCTAGTCTGGTTGGACGCCACTCATGATTGCTGGTAAGTGAGTGAGGAGTATTGCATACGTGGCATGATCATCTTTCTTTTTTGCTTACAAAGAATATAGCTTCTTCTGGTCACATTGAAGCTGTTCAAAGTCTCATCGATCATGGAGCTGATGCATCTTTACAAAATGAAAGTGGACAAAGTGCATTGTAAGTTGCTTGTTGCTGGTACTCGTGAATAGCAGTGATTGATGATGGAAGTTGTTACATAGACATTATGCGGCATCAAAGAATTGGATCGAGATTGTAAAGTTGCTGTTACCACGTGTTCCTGCCAATCAGCTCAACAACATTAAGCAAACGCCATTGTAAGTTCTTTATTGTTTCCATGGATACGGGATGGATGATTGATTACTCCAATCGATGTAGACATCGTGCGGCTGTTCATGGATACACGGCTATTGTGAAGCTTCTACTTGAATCCAAATGCCGGGTGAATCCTAAGGATAGCGAGGGAAATACGCCATTGCATTTGGCATGCGAGGAAGGACATGGTGACACTGCTGTACTGCTATTAGACAATGGTGGCAATGCGGATCAACCCAATAGTGAAGGTCAAACGCCATTAGATGTATGTCGAACAGCCGAATTGAAAAAGTTTATCGAGAAACATTCTGAATGATGACAATGAATAAAGCAATACAATGATCTATCATGTGCTGAGATTCTTCCCCTTCTTTGTCCTCTTTCCATTTCCGTATTTCCATCATCCACACATATGGCCAAAGGAAGACGTACCAAAAAGACAGCAGGTGGCAAAGGTAACAACGGCTACTTTTAAACGCCTCACAAAAGCTTACAACGTCATGCAGGTAAAGGAGAAAACAAACGACGAGCTCGCAAGGTAATGGCATTGACCGATGGCGTGGGCGATGGGACGATCACCATAGCTTATACGATCCACTCTGCAGACGTCATGGCATTTCGATACTGGTGAAGACCTGGAGACACAACTCAAACAGCTGCAACTCTGCATCAAAGATATGTCAGGTGACGGCAACTGTCTCTTTCGTGCATTAGCGGATCAATATCATGGTTCTGATAAACAACATCGAGAGGTACGGCAGCAGGTTTGTCAGTACCTACGCGACAATGAGGAAGAATACCAATATTTTGTGGAAGATGATCAATCGTTTGAGCACCACGTAACATGCATGGAGCGAGATGGCACTTATGGTGGGAACATGGAACTCGCAGCATTTGCACGACTCAATGGAGTGGATATCAAGGTCTATCAACCAGGTTTAATGTGAGTAGCGGGATGATATCATCATGTATCTTTTAAAGCTAACTATTTGTATATTAGCTATGTGATCAATGGCACCGACAATGATGATGAGGAGAGGAACACACTGCATATCGCGTAAGTGCATAAGGACGATGGTTGTTTGAACATAGGATCTTACAATACTCGCATGATTTTAAAAGGTATCACAGCTGGGAACATTACAGCTCTGTTCGCAACGTTGATGGACCTTTCTCAGGGCCACCAGAGATCAAAGAGGTAAGGCTGACCACTTGACAATCATTACTTTTATTGATTCGCTGAATGCTAGATATCATTGGATGATGAACAAGATGGAAAAGAAAAAGGCGACGAGCACCAAGAGGACGAAGAGGATGATGCGATTGATTCAAAGGAAAAAGTGGTCATGCAATCATGCCCTGATGTGAGCTTACGGAGGGTGCGGCGTCTATTGCGTAAACACAAGGGTGATCCCAACAAGGTCATTGATGTTTTGTTCGAGGAGCAAGCAGCTCAAGATGCTGAAGAGGAAGAAGAAAAGCCTATCAATCAAGAGAGCACCTCTAATGCTGTGGATGATAAGTCGAAGGAGCAAAAAGACATGGAATCGAACGAGCACGAGGAAGAGTTGAACGAGCCAACCAAAGAATCACCTATTGAAGAACAAGACAATGAACCAGCATCGACACCCGAGAACATCAAAAAGCCAAAGGAAAAGAAGTTGACAGCACGTGAGAAAAAGAGATTGGCAAAGCAGCGACAAAAGCAAAACAAGATTGCAAAGTTACAAGCAGAAGCATCGACATCATCCAACCCTGACAACTCAACCCAAGACATCAATAGAGTCACATCCAGCATGAAACAATTGTACATTTAATTCATTTCTATATCCATTTTCATTCTAAACTTTTGGGTTGGCCTGGTAACCATGGTCGTAATACAGAAGGGATTTCCACAGAACCATCACTCTTTTGAAATGTTTCGAGAATAGCAATGATGATGCGGGGGACTGCAATGGCGGTACCGTTGACTGTGTGACAAAATAATGTGTTCTTTCCATTATGATGTGTGGGTCGATATCGAATGTTGAGTCGTCGTGATTGATAATCCGTGCAATTGGACGTGGATGAGATCTATTGCATTGATAGGATTAGTAAAAAGCGTCATGTATTATCCGTCAATCAATTTTACCTCTCCCCATTTTCTTCGTCCAGGCATCCATGCTTCCATGTCGTATTTTCGATAAGCACTCGCACCCAATTCATCAGGAGGCATATCCAATATTCTATGAACATCGCCTAAGCACTTTGATCCAATGCTCATCCTCTCTCTCTTTTTTTTACCTGAAGCACAAGCCTAGCTCGGTATACATTTCCTCTTGCAATTCCTTAAACTCATCAATCATGGCTTCGCTTTGATCCGGAGTGGTTACAGCAAAAAGTTCCACCTTGGAGAATTGATGTACTCGATATAATCCCTTGGTCTCAGTGCCACGACCTCCTGCTTCAGCTCGAAATGCATGTCCAAATCCCACCAAGCGCTGTGGTAAAGTAGCTTCATCAACAAGTCGACCCGCAAACTTTCCAGCCAAAGGAATTTCAGCTGTGCCAGCCAAACATAGTTGTTCATGATCCTCTCCTCCTCGAACACGATAAATCTGTGAACTCTCGTCGCTGCGTGGTTGAAATCCGCATCCTTCCAATATTCCATTGCGTACAATATCAGGCGTCATCACTGCCAAGTATCCACGTTCGGCTGCTTTGTGCATTGCGTATTGAATAAGTGCTGCTTCAAGAAAGGCACCATAGCCTTGTAGATAATAAAAACTAGATCCACTCGCAATGGCCGCTTGCTCGAAATCAATCAATTCAAGTCGTTGTGCAATTGTCACGTGATCTTGCAACTTGTCTTCTTCACGAGGTTTGCCAACAACCTTGAGTACGCGTGGGGTATCTGAAGGCACATCTCGATGCGTATCATTAGGGACTTGTAGTGCCAACGCAAGTAGTTCCTCTTCTAGCTCTGCTAGCTGTGCTTCGTTTTGTTTGATATCTTGCTTGACACGTTTGGCAGCCTCTATCACATTGGTATCCTTGTTGGCGGAGGCACGCTTGGCTTGCTTGGAAAGTTGATTGCGTGTTGCTCGTAAATCGGTGAGTGTGTTGTAAACAGCGAGTCGACGTTCGTACAAAGACTTGATGTGGTGTGCATCGACAGGGCAGTGCTTTCGACTCAGCATGTTCTCTTGGACCGACGATGCATGGTTGGCAATGCGTGCATAGTCAAGACGAGGGCGGAATTCAGTGGTATAGTGGCGATAGTGTTGGCATGTCAAGAGTCGTCTTTTAAGCAGGCAGCGCAGTGACATAGTTTGTATGTTGTCAAGAAGGAAACAAAGCCGACTGCTGGTAGTCACCCTGATTGATTGATTTGGTATGTGCATGAAATCCGCCCCTTTTTATTTGCCATCCATTATCATTTACAACTTGCTCTGTCTGTTTCCCGAAAACAACACCTCCCACATGGAACTACACACACTAGCGACTGATTTGATCTTTCCAGTAACCCCTGCAGGAAGGCCAATGACGAGCATGTGCAAGATTTGGAGCTTTTTTTCATCGTAGGGTGGATATCGTGCTTTCATCAAAGACTCCATGGCTGCGGATCGGATCATCGTTGAACGTTCGTGCGTGAAAGTTGCAAATGACTTTTCTCCATGATAGGCGCCCATTCCACTTTCACCAACTCCACCAAATGGTAACGAAGTCTCTTGCTATATGTAATCCATGGATGAATCAGTAAAACATTGTGCATGTTGGGATTTCAAAATGCTGTCAAACGTACCAGATGCATGAGCGTATCATTTACTAAGACTCCTCCAGACATGGTGTTATTCAGAACTTGAAAATAAAAAGTGCTACATAAGTCACTTGCACATCCTTTTGTCTTGCTCTTCACTTACTATGTTGTAACTCCAAGTCGTCATTGGTGAAGATGTATTGCGTCAACGGCTTCTCTCTGTATCATCAACAATGATAGATTAGCAATAGCACACAGATGCCTAATAAACTTCTTACTTGGAATTCACAATCCTGATAGCCTCGTCCATGTCTTTGACGGTAATAACAGGGAGAATCGGTCCTACGACATACCCATTTTAGCATTGTTATAGATGACTACGACCGTTATTCACGTACCGAATATCTCCTCACTCATCAGAACTTGGTCGTTTGCATCCACGGGGCTTACGACTGTAGGGGCGATGTATAGGTCTGCACGATCCATTTGTCCTCCAATAACAATTTTGGTAGAATCCACGCTATTCAGCATGCTTTTGAGGCGATCAAACTTGCTTGCGCTGATGATGCGGCCATAGGAATCGCTCGCTTGGGGATCCTCTCCAAAGAATTCAGCCACCGTTTTGCGAAAGGCGTCAATAAGCATTTCCACTTTGTTCTCGGGGATCAAAACATAATCTGGAGCAATACATGTCTAGTTTTTCTCATGAGTCAATTTCGTTGTTTCCTTCCAAAATCCTGTGTTGTATTGGAAGCCCACCTGTCCACAGTTGTAATACTTTCCCCAAAGCAATCGATGGGCTGTCAACTCAATGTCGGCTGAAGAACAAATGAATCCTGGTCTAATAGATTCCGAAGTGATGAATATCAACTATGATGCTGGCATAAAACGATCCACTTACGATTTGCCTCCAAGCTCAAGTGTCACGGGTGTCAATTGTTTAGCAGCAGCTGTCATAACAATTCTCCCAACGGCACCGTTACCAGTATAGAAGATGTGATCGAATTTTTGCTCTAAATCATTTGCATCATGGTTCGTCAATACACCATACATGTTCTCAAAGAGTGGATCCACACTCACCAAGCAACGCAGTGGTTTCTTGAACAGCACCATTGATGATGGTATAGGCCCGCTTGTCCAAGTAATCGGGTAACCGAGTTGTGATGAAGTTTGCCGTATGCTCTGCTACCTCGGATGGCTATGTAGCAAGATGTATGTTGGCGATTGCTCTCCTTTACACTGATACAACAGATACACCATACCTTGAGCACTACACAGTTTCCAGCAGCAATGGCACCAACCACTGGCAATAGAAGCAAACGCACCTACGTACATGATACGTATACATGAGTCAACATCGAACGCGAGCCACGTAAGATTTTGTATGGCTTACAGGGTAGTTCCAAGCACCTATGTGAAGGAGTCTGTAAGCATCATATGTTCATGCAGTGCATAAAGGCAACTTACCAATAACAAGCACCACGCCCTTGGGTTCCTTTCGTACATACGTTGTATCCGTTGCAAACATCTTAAAGTGCTTGGCAGGGTAGTCTGGTTTCACAAGACGATCCAGGTGCTTTTGCGCAAGATAACGTCAACCCTCTGGCACTCGACATGCAGTCATTGGAACTCACCTTCAACATGTACTCGCATTCGTTACGTATAGGTATGATTTCACCAGCACTGCTCTCAACTTCATGCTTACGCAGATCTTGACGAAGCGCATCTTGTAATCCCACGAGGTTCTCGTCGATGAAGCGGGCAAGACTTTGAAGCTGATCCTTCCGAAATTGGATGTCTTTTGTGAGACCTTGAGTTGGACAAGAATGACGATAGCAGCTGCATTAGAGAAAGAGAGAGATACATAGCTCCTCAAGCAATAAACGTGGTCGTCTCATATTTACCACTATCAAATTGGTAGCGCAATTCTTTGATCGTGTTTGGTATGTCGCTGATGGCAGTGTATTGGAGAGAAGACATCCTGGCAAGTAAAGATGAAGGAGAAAAGAGAAACAAGAGCCAAGATTATGCAAGCAACAGGATCTCGTCATCCCCTCTGCTCCTTTCACGCACACCCATGCATTTGACTTTGTTGTTCCCTACCACACATACATACATACACGTAGGCGTGACCAATAGTTCAAAGCGCACTATCCCATCTGTAACGGGGGATACAGTATGGCTCCACACAATGCACCCTATTTTGGTTCATTCTATTCTCCTCCACAACCAGGATAGCGGTAACCGCATAGGGCGGCGTTTGGATCAAGAAGTATCCCCCCCCCTTTTTCCTTGAGTGAGACAATGACTCAGGTTCATGGATATCGCACAATCAACCACTTTGGTCACGTAGCAAGGTACTTGTATTTTCATTTAATTCATTTTATTGTTTTTTTATCTTATAATGATGGAAAGGGTTTCTACATGGTGCCATAAGGTGATCATTGGTAAGTATACTTGATCCCTTCATCCATTCACATGTATAACCTTACCTTTGTCTTTTATCAACCTCTACCCTTTCCTTCGTGGGCGGCATATGAGGAGGCCCCACCCGGCACGATAAAGTAACGCGGAAGAACACACCGGCCCTGTTAGGATGGTCCAAGAAAGGAATGGCTGTAGCAAGCGTTTGGTAAGCCGCTTTTCAAGGATGTAACATCTTTGGGGTAAAAACGACAATGTGAGTTAGGTGAGCCCCATAGTTACTTGCATACCTTACCCAAATTCAACAAGCACCATCACTACCCATCTTGCGACTAGTCGAATGGACGTTGGAAGCAAGATCTTTTGTCTCGTCATCATCATGTCCTGAAGCCAATAGCCCTTGAACACACGTAGTAGCCAATCAACACAATAAAGCTCGCCATTTCTTGAAGAAGATACATCCAATATATACAGTCGACAACCAAAGTAGTGTTGATAAAGGCATCATATGGTTGCCGAGTTGGTCTGGTATACTCTTGTCGCGTTCATGTAGAGATGGCGGGAACGCCTCACTCGCATGTCACCCACAGCACCGATCTACTTGTCACATTAGCAGTCGTGCTGATTTGAAACGCTTTGTAATACTTGCGTATAAGAATACTTGGTGCTTTGAATGTGAGCTTTGGAGGCAAAAAAGAAAGAAAGACGAAGAATAGACTCGTGTACAGTTTCGATCATGGCCTATGTATAAAGCAAGCTTTTGCCAATCAAGGATCCGAAGATTTGGGTCCCAGCAACTTGGGACACGAGAACCCTTTTCGGGATCGGAGATCATTTGTTTCTACACATTGAGCAGTATCCATGGATACATGTCTCCATGCTATTTATGCACATGCAAGAGCCATAGAATTGATTTTGTGGGATCCCGTTTTTTTATTTGTGTTGGATAATGAATGATATGGGCATATATTGGGTACAAGTATATCAAATGATACATGATGATACTAACGTATGAGTTAGTTGGGCTTGACGTTCTCCTTGAATTGGCCTTGAACGTTGCCAGGTGGGTAGTAGCTGCAAGTATAGATGGGACCATTCGAGCAATCGCTCACACCACAACCAATTTGAGTAGTATCAGCCCAAACGATTTGAGTGAAATGTCCGGTGCCAGAAGAGAAGCTTGCACTGTTGTAGTCGTAATCCTTTTCTTCATCATACCAAGCGGTGATGGCCTTTTCCCAATCGCCATAGTTCCAAGCAAGGTTTTCACCATACATGCCATTCTAAATAAACGTCAATCAATAAATGAGTCATATGCAAACATGAATCTATCATGTTAAATCATTTACCTGGCTATGTTCAAACTTGCAGCCATCGGACCAGTTTTGAGCAAATTCAGCCAAGGTTTCGTTCCACTTGAGAGCAGGAGCAGAGTGTTGGGAGCGGAACTTGTTGTGCAATTCCAAGATTTGGTCTTGATCCGAAGAGCCAGAAGAGCCACTACCGGCTGAGCTTGAGGAAGATGGTGCAGCTGAAGATCCTGATGCAGATGGCTTGCCTGAAGCCGAAGCTGATTGAGTAGCAGAAGAAGAGCCTGAAGAAACGGATGGTGTAAGCGATGCTGACATGGATGGGAGTGGCATGATTGACATGGATGCTGTAGGCATGGGATCGGGATAGTTGCCACCAAAACTCGAACTTGGAGCAGGTTGACCATCATCACTGGTGTGATTGTGCTTTCCCCAGCCATAGTGATTACCATTGTCACCTTGGTCATTATCATCACCTTGGTTGTCACCTTCGTCACCTTGATCGCCATCGTGACCATGCTTGTACCAACCCCAATGGTTACCATTGTCTCCACCAGGGGGACCACCATCAGCGCTTGTCATATCGGAGCTGCTGACAGGAGCAGCCATTGCCGACCAGGGCGAAATACCAGCGATAGCAAGCACAGCAGCTGAAATGAGGGTGTAGGAAACCATGATTTGATATAAAAAGATTGGAAGGGGGAATATGTTGTTGTGTTGTTGTTGACAAATCGGCCTAACATGGCTCTCTTTTTATATTCATCACATCCAAGACATTAATAAAAGTCATGTTGCACAAACCACAGAGACATGGCCTGTCAAGATTCTTGAGTAATTAACGATAGATCCATTAAAACCAAGCATGTGGAGAATTCGATCGTCTATGTACCTGGATCTCGACCAACAAAGTGGTCATCCAAATTTAACGTATATTGATGTCATGTTGATCTCCAAACCATCATCACCTGATGATAGGCCTTGCTAGTCGTTGGCTTTAATAGCAAAAGTGTAAGGTGTAAAAAGACGAAAGGATGGAGACAATGCACCAAATTTATTCTTTATCGTGCTTTATGTTGTTTCAGACGCGCCCTTGTTTCCATGACAACGATCATCTTTCTTACGAGAAAAGCTCTGCAGTCAATGCAAGCTGCCAAATTCCACTTGCAACATTGTGCAACCTCGTCACCAGCATTTTGGCTTGATACTCGTGCTATTGTGTACTAACACCATCCACATTTATGAAGCTATATTACAATAATAGGCTATGCCCTGAGTCATGTCCCTCACACGCTAAAGCATCGCTCAATGAAGCGGTTCATTAAAACCAATCTAAGATTGAAAATGCCAGCAACAGCGATCTTGTATGTATTCTCATACCTTACATAGGTAGCCATGACAACAAGTAAATGAGTGCAATAATGCGAAATGAATGTCATAATGTGACAGGATCGTGGTGTGCAGGTCCAAGGAAAGGGATCGACCAGCAAACGGAGAGGCACATTCAATGGTACGCTCATTGGATAGTATCACCATTTATTGGCGGTAGTGATCTAGTCCGAATATGGTTAATGTCATATTGCCGTTGAGCAATCCAGATTCTTCCTACATAGAAAGGGTGTACTTGCGTGTTGTAACTCCATCACTCATATCCTTTCAGCACCAAGTGAGCAAGGGAAAGCATATCCATCGGAGTATTATTGTTACTCGAAAGTAGGGGAAATACCCTATGTGGATGTGAAATCCCAAACAAGTCATGTGGATATGGTGGTCTGCTGTCGCTTGTCAGGCACGAATGAAAATGATGCGTATGCTTGTGCGCTGCTTCATCCATGTGCTTGACATGAAATATGGTTGGTCCAAAGAAGGGTTGAGATCATGTGCTATGCAGGGTCCCGAATTGTTTGACAACCATACCCCTTTGAATGGTATTCAGCAAAGCCTTTGAAGCATCACGTGTCACACCTGATCCCAGCGGTGTCCCTTGTGTGATTCACACACGACCAGCTTTGTTTTCAAACGGTTGGTGGTTGCTTTTCATACATGCACCCGCACAATGGTCATCTGATCACCCTTTATATCCATATCGATGATGATAACGGAAAGATGGTTGCATAAGGATTATAGGTAAAGGGTTCTTGAATATATGCTCTGCCCAACAACACCCATGCTAAAACGATTGTAAGAGAAAACCGGATGGAAGCGGAGCAACAAGGAAAGCGTTGCATAATCAACAAACACCCTTTTGACATTGAAGCATATGTCTGGGCTTGTTTCATCGCTCACAACAAACACTGCCCAAATCAGGATGCACGGATGAATGCCGGATCCCGTTTCTTCCCCACTTTTTCTCTCGATCAAACCACCATCACCAATCATAGCCATCCCGCTTATCTGCTCCCCCGCTTACATTTAACACACACCCCCGGTTGCCCGATGCACCATACATTTAATACAAGTTTTACTTGTTTTCCCTCTTTTTTTCGTTTTACCCCCCATTCATCCCCATGCTAGAAAGTCCCACTATATCAACCGTATGCTCAAGAAGTCCTGAAGCCTTATTATGTAAGTGGGCCACTCTTCTTTTTTACATCATGCCATCATTTGAGCTATCACTTAAACGTCGCCATCTCTACTTTTAGCTTTCACGACATCCACGGCAACATCGGTATTACCATGCACGGGCAAAAAAGACAATACCAGCAAACGTAAATCGATGCAACGGTTATCATCTATGAGCACTGTACATGCACGGCCATTACCACCATTGACCACTTTTATTGCCAACCTATTCCAACGTTCGCAGCTACCGCCAAGTGTATGCCTTGTATCCTTAATTTACCTACAACGAATCAAGAGAGCACTATCCCCGCTGGCACGTGGTGATCATGACACGCCGTATCGTTTATTCATTGCTGCTATTGTAGCCGCCTCGAAATTCATGCTCGAACCACGACAAGCTTTGACAAGCCAAGACGTCGCTGGAATGATCGACCATGTTTATACACCCAAGGAAATCAATTCTATGGAAAGAAGCTTTTTGGGGCTCATCAAATTTGACCTCTTTGTTGATATCCATGCCATCAAAGATTATTTGGCAATGCATGGTACGTTGCTTGAGATGGATCTTGTGGAACAACAAGTCGCTGCCTTTGATGAACAGCATCAGCAACAACATGCACCACTCCCTGTAGAGCTATTGTAACATCACCTCTTCTTTGTACGATGCACATGTATATAGTCAGTAATTATAATGAACCCCATTCACATGCAAGCGTTGCAGTACATAAATCTCTATCCCAACCTGGATCTATTAACAGCTATACATGATGCAAAAGCAATCCTCAAACAACGCTACCAGCTGAAGGGCTTATCAAGATCACCAAGCATAGCTGATTTATCAGCGTGGATATACGCATGCATGAACAGCGAGTGGAAGCTTATATTTAGGTCAACGCAAGATGATCAATACAAGAGCTGATTGATCAAGATGGTATCAGCAATTATGGTTTGGTATTAAGCATCCACCAAATCTTGATCTTAAGTATAGTGTACGGTTGATCCTGGTAACCTTGTCCCTGCGCCATACCTTAGTGCCTTCTTGGTACTTATAAAACTGTTAGAGTAATGGCTCATCATGTACATCATTATCCTTGTTAACCTCAAACGACTGATATTGGCTAAGGCGAAGATTGTATTCGTGCTGGCAGGTAGCAGCAGCCTACATGCCCCTTGCAGATCATTTTTGTTATTACTGTACGTGCAATTGCTTAATCTACCCTACTTTAGCCGTCTTCTTTGGTGTATGCATTTGCCCTGGTATCCTCGAAATAAAGAAGTAACGAGCTATTTTTTGTTTTATTGTTGCCGAATGTGAGACAAATTGCATTAATCGAACGTAGGTGACATCACCTATACACAGCCAAGGAGTATGCACGCATCAACCAAAGGAGGATGTTGGTATGTATGTTGCATATAGGCGGCCCACATTAGACCTATAACGCAAAAACCACCTTCACATTTGATGGTGCATCGCCCCTTTTCTATGTTGCATATAACATCTGATATGGTCAAATCAGGCATCATCATTATAGCTAAGGTATACCAGATATTCTTTTTCCGATACCCACAAGTAAAAGAAGGAAACACCGAGGTATACCCGATCGCCATATGTAGGTTGTGTTGATGATGAAGAAATCACTTGCACCATCATCATGCTCTGCAGCTGTACAACAACATCATCATGTGCTCAAAAGCCGATGTCTTTTTATTGTGTGCTGAATGGCACAGTAACAATGGCTTGGATGCATACAACATGTGGATGCTGTGGACAAGCCAAAATAAGGCGTTGTTGGTATGCTGTTTACCCCTTTATCAAATCAGGGCGCCACGATTTACCGGGGGCGTAACAATCACCCCTTTCTTTCCGAGTCGTTTTTCCCTCCTCTCACCAAAAGAGAGCAGCGCAAAGGGAGACGGCTATTTTGCACATAATAATCATACTACACTTTCAAGGGGTCAATAGGATAAGGAATTGGGGTAGGTAACCGCCCCATCATCATTACGTTGTTGTAATAGCCAATGTGCATGTTAACATCTTTCTCTCACTTTTTCTTCAAATTCAACAATGTCGATCAAAATAACACGTAGCTTGATTCTCCAACTTATGGATCATATCAGTGGCAAAAGCAACAAGCCAACACCACCTCCGCCATCTTACGAAGACAAGATCCAGCCAACAATGGGCGATCCATACCGATGGCTTGTTTATCCTGGAGCAACCAATGCACTAGAGTTGTTGGACGAAATGGGTGGTTCTATGGAAGAGCCAAGTGTACTTCGTATTACTGGATATGGTATGACGAGTGAGGCCATTTGTGCACGGCACGGCACTGCAACATGGGTGGGCCATCCTATCATGCGATTCGTCGACTCTGAACATGTGCAGAGATTATGTTCTGGATTGTGCGAGGCGTACAAATCTGATAGAGCTGTAGCATTAAACGACATTCGCTGCATTGAGCCTTATGATCAAACCTTTCACGTTATAGTGACACCAACTACTGATGAAGGTTTCCTTTGTGTACTTTCACCGGTGTTTACGAGCTGTACAACCATCGTTACTTCTTTCAATATGGTGGGCGATCATTTGCAGTTGCTATTCAAGGCAGGGATACGACAAGGTGTTATCGTGGTTGCTTCATGGTTGAGTCCCTTTAAAATACTACAATGGTTTTTGCGGTGTAGTATCGCCCTTTTATTTGCATACATCAATGATCACAATAGTAGCCATCAACGATCCTACTCCCCATGACGCATTTGCATACATGTTGTTGTCCCAAGAAGCCGGATGCGTTTTCCCTTTTTGTATCTTGGTATCCAAGCTATTCCATGTATATATCACATTGTATTTTTTCACACACCTTTGTGCATTCGTTTCATTGTAAATATCTGAAAAAGGGGTGGGGTGATCTTTGGTGCGTGGGGAAAAGTGATATGCACGTAGGGCTGTCATCCCAGTGCGACAGCAATAACGTGATGGGTATGCTCTACAGCAGCTTTCATCACTTGTGAGTACGTGGATCCAAAAGCTTGAGGAGATACAAGGAGGTCGTTCACCCTATACGAGTGCTTCAAGGGTATCAAATTACCGAAAAATGTGAAGGTGCATTAAAGGTGATGATGTTTATCGTGATTCTTTATCATCAGCTAATCTCGGTTGCAGCCACTCATCACGTCCACCACGTGTAGGACATGCTTGCGATAACTCAAATCTTCCTTGTATAGTACATTCCACCTTGTCTGTGTTATGCTGTTGTTTACATTGCACACATGGATTGCATAAAAGAGAACCTGCTGCAAGCGTTGCCAAATTGGTGATGTGACACACACAACACAGCATGCATAAAATATATGGTACGCGTTGGGCCCAACGCGTGAGTCTAGCCCCAAACACCGCGCACTTGCCATCCCCACTGTCATTGTCAGATTGTAATCCGGTTTCCTGTATCAGCTATTCTTTTACTTTCTTCCTCTCTTTTTCCCTTATCGTGGATTATTGACATGACATTTGATCTCGAACGCTGCGCACAACAACGAGCCAACCTTTCTAATCTTATCGGCTACCTACAAACGATTGTTCATGATGCACAACCGCCACAGGAACCACTCAACATGGCTGAATTCATAGACGTTGATCTCGAGTCGTTGTCTATGTGGAACCAAGCTCTTGATTTATTGAAACAAATCGCTCGTGATAAGTCAACATCAAACGCTGATTTAGCCCGCGCACGCGTCGTGCTACAACAAGGACAACTTGTATCCGAGGCAAACTATTTGGATCCCACACCATCATCCTCATCGCCACCAACAGATGAAAAGGAGGTGTCGGAGGCTTCTGTTTCATCATCAACGAGCGTACATCATTCATCAGCTATCGAGTTGCAGCATACGGATGAAGGTGGGATGGTACCATTTTTCAAATCTGCAGCCGTTGTGTCACCACCTTTAGAAGTAAGTGGGGCTAGAGATGAAGATGATATCAACAGCTCAAGTTGTTGATGACATGAGCAGTAGAGCTGATTATTATTTATTGCCATTTGTAGAAGCACGATATGGAAATCAACCTTTGGGGTGGCGAATCATGTATGCATCACATTTTACGTGTGGCCAACTCTGTGAGCCAGGGAGATCTCGCTGACAGGGTTCCATGTGCTTGTCACCATCCTGCTTGTGATGCTATCAATGCCATGACACAGCATCTTCAACTTGTGACCAGCCATTTGACACTTGCGATAAGCACAACATCCATGGGTATTCTCGATGACAACAATGAACAACAACAACAACAGCAAAGCAAAAAGAAGCATTGGGATGGTGTATGGAAAGAAATTTTTGACACAATGAAGGAGACATCATCAAAATCACAGCAGCAGCTTGAGCAAATTGAGCACATCATAGGCAAAGTGGCTGATGGTGACATGCATGTGTGTCTAAATTTGGATGCACATACCAAACCATTGGTGTCGTTGGAGCACACAATGAATGAAATGGGTAAGGTCCGATTCCATTGCTTGATCTTGGATCCATTCATATTACCCCCCCTACTCGATGCATTGATTTGAATCTCACACGTTTTATCAGTGACGCGGCTTGACTTGTATACATCCGAGGTCTTGCACAACATTGACCATTTTGGGAAACAAGACGACCCTACAAATGCTATGGCCACATCAATCAGCCCACAACCATCGTCATCATTGTCGTCCCAGTTGTCATCATTATCCAGCTCTACAAAACAACCTACAGGGGTTTGGTCAACGCTCTTGAATAATACGCGTGGCATGATTAAAGCGTTGACGGTCGATTTACATGACATCGTGCATGTTTGCAAAGCCGTGAGCCAAGGTGATTTAACAAAGAGGGTCACCGTTGAGGTAAGATCATTCACTTTCCCATAATGTATTCATTCTTACAAAGCATATCATCATGTATACATAGGTCAATACGGAGCTTCAGGAGATCAAAGAGACAATCAATTCCATGGTGGATCAGGTATTGCCTTGTTTTGGAAATCCTTTTGTTTTGACAATCCATGCTCATTATACGTTTGAAATAGCTCTTTGAATTTACTACTCAAGTCACACAGATGACGCTTGATGTTGGTGTACATGGCAAGCTGGGAGGACAAGCACATGTACAAAGTGCCCAAGGTGCATGGAAGGAACTCACTGAAAACATCAATCACATGGCAAGCAACTTGACACTTCAAGTCCGTGACATTTCCACTGTGTGTAAAGCTGTAGCCAAAGGTGACCTTTCAACCAAGGTAAATTTTTCCTTGCTTTGCAACAATGAATGTCTTCCTTTCATTTTCTAACAATGCCTTTATTAGATCACGGCACAAGTTGACGGCGAGCTCTTGGATCTAAAATGGACGATCAACAACATGGTGGAGAATTTGAGTACGCTCGCTTCTGGTTTGAGCAAGGTGGCTCTTGAAGTTGGCGTGGAAGGAAAACTTGGTGGAGAAGCCATGCTGCCAAATGACCTCGGTGGTGTGTGGTGCGATCTCACATCCAACATCAATACCATGATTACCAAGATCACAGCTCAAGTTCGTGACATTTCGGATGTATCCAAGGCCATCGCTCGTGGCAACCTGATGAAAAAGGTATGTTGTATAACAATGAGCTTGTTGAGACAATGACAAAAAGACTCACACATTAGCTTAAAAAAGATCACTGTTGAAGCGTATGGGGAAATCCATGATCTTAAGGTAAGGTGTACTTTTTTTTTGCTATAATCGTCAAGGCATTGACTTGCTTTATGTATGCATTCAAAGGAAACCATCAATTTCATGATCGATCAGCTGCGTATTTTTGGGACCGAGGTGACACGAGTTGCACTTGAAGTTGGCACCCATGGCAAGCTTGGTGGTCAAGCCGTGGTTGAAAATGCCGATGGCATCTGGAAAGATTTGACCGACAAGGTGAACGTGATGGCAGCCAATTTGACATCTCAAGTGCGTTCCATTGCAGCTGTTACGGTAGCCATAGCCGATGGAGACTTTTCAAAAAAGATTACGGTGGATGTCAATGGTGAGCTACAAGATCTCAAAATGGCAATCAACAAAATGGTGGATCAGCTTCGCACATTTGTATCTGAGGTGACACGTGTGGCACGTGAAGTGGGCACAGATGGCAAACTTGGTGGACAAGCAATGGTGGAGAATGCAAGAGGCACATGGAAGGATTTGATTGAACGTGTAAATGTCATGGCAGCCAACCTTACTACACAAGTCCGATGCATTGCCGAAGTAACCACGGCCGTGGCCAATGGTGATCTTAGCAAACAAATCAACGTACCTGTACATGGTGAAATCCTCGATCTCAAGATCACCTTCAACAGCATGGTCGAAAAGCTTAGGATGTTTGCTACCGAAGTCACTCGCGTTGCCAAGGAAGTTGGTACTGAAGGAAACCTTGGTGGCCAAGCTGTTGTTCAAGGTATCGGTGGTACATGGAAAGATCTCACAGACAGCGTCAATGCAATGGCTGCCAATATCACTGCCCAAGTTCGTGATATTGTCATGGTATCCAAGGCTGTTGCCAAAGGAGATCTTAGCAAAACTATCACTGTCGAGGTCAAAGGCGAGATACTGGACTTGAAAATCACCATCAATACTATGGTACAACAAGTAAGTTGATCCCTTGTGATTGTCATTGCCATTAATCCTAATACCTAATCGTGTTATCTATGTATGTAGTTATCCATATTTGCCAATGAGGTCTCGCGTGTAGCACTTGAAGTTGGCACTGAAGGAAAATTGGGCGGCCAAGCGGTGGTCAAGGATGTGGATGGCACCTGGAAAGACCTTACCGACAATGTCAACATGATGGCAGGCAACTTAACCACTCAAGTACGATCCATTGTTGCTGTCACGAAGGCTGTTGCTCGTGGTGATCTTTCTCGCAAAATCGATGTTGATGTCAAGGGCGAAATTTTGGATCTCAAGGTGAGGCATGATACCATAATGGTGTATACATCATGCTAATACCCATGTTTATAGGAAACGGTCAATTCCATGGTGGATCAATTGCGTACTTTTGCTGCTGAAGTGACTCGTGTGGCACGTGAAGTTGGCACAGAAGGCAAGCTCGGTGGCCAAGCTGTCGTTAAGGATGTGGATGGCACGTGGAAGGACCTCACGGATAATGTCAACATGATGGCCAGCAATCTTACCAACCAAGTACGCGACATTGCATGTGTATGTAAAGCTGTTGCATGTGGTGAGCTCTCCAAAAAGGTGGTGGTATCAGTTGAAGGCGAAATACTGGAGCTCAAGGTGACAATCAACTCCATGGTGGATCGGCTACGTTTATTTGCATCCGAAGTAACACGCGTGTGCAAGGAAGTTGGTACAGAGGGCAAGTTGGGATCCAAAGCAGAAGTCCAAGATGTGTCTGGTGTATGGAAACACATCATATCGGACGTGAATATTATGGCATCCAATCTCACCACCCAAGTACGTGCCTTTGCACAAATCACCGAAGCGGCAACAAGGGATGATTTTAGTCAAGTGATTACGGTTGAAGCATCGGGTGAACTTGACACGCTGAAGACCAAGATCAACCAAATGGTGTTATCATTGCGGGATGCTATGCAAAAGAATACGTTGGCAAGGGAGGCAGCCGAATCAGCCAACAAAAGCAAGAGCGAGTTCCTTGCCAACATGAGTCATGAGATTCGAACACCCATGAATGGGATCATTGGTATGACCACGCTTACGCTTGAGGAGACCGATTTGAACAGAGCGCAACGTGAAAACCTTATGATTGTCAAGTCCTTGGCTCTCAGCTTACTCACCATCATTGATGACATTTTGGATATCTCTAAAATCGAAGCGGGTCGACTCAACATTGAGCGCATTCCATTCTCATTGCGCAGCACTACCCTTGGTGTATTTCGAACGATGGCATACAAAGGCGACAACAAGCTTGAATTGATTTATGAAATGCAAAGAACAACACCTGATTGGTTGATGGGTGATCCAATGCGATTAAAACAAGTGCTCACCAATCTGCTTGGCAATGCCGTCAAGTTTACCGAAGAAGGTCATGTCAAACTTACGGTGATTACAGAAGAAGAAGTTGCTTCATACAACAAAAGGTGCATCAAGTTTTGCGTGAGCGACACGGGCATTGGGATATCTTCAGACCGATTCAACGACATCTTTGATACTTTTTGCCAGGTGGATGGCAGCACCACGTGAGTGTTTTTATTGATCCAATCTTTATCAAATGATCTCATTTTCAATCGTTTTAGGCGTAAATATGGAGGAACGGGACTTGGGTTATCGATCAGCAAGCGATTGGTTGAATTGATGGGTGGCGAGCTGTGGGTGAATTCGATCCTTGGTCAAGGCTCACAATTCTACTTTCGGCTTCCGATTGAGCTTGGTGATATGGATACAGCACATGCAATGGCATCATCCACTGTGAGACCTCCTCTTTCTCAGCGTCTATTGTGTGCGTACCATGAGAACGACATGTCTGCCGATACCTTTAGCGAATTGATTGAGCAACAATGCCGCCGCTTGGAAACGCTGGAAGTGGTATTTGCTGAATACAAAGAAGATACACAAGCATTGCATTTGGTGCGTGATGGATCACCTCTTTCTTTGAATAAGCTCACGTTCAATGCTTTGGTTGTGAACAATATGGATATGGTGCGCCGCCTACGTGATTTACCTGATACACAGCACATGCCTGCCACGGTGGTTTCAAGTGAACTCGAACACCTAGATGTCAAGGAAAGCATATCCATCGGCATGACCAGCTACATCAATGACGCATCCGACCTTCATAGCTTTGCGTGTGCTTTGCAAGTCACCCTCGAGAACAACATGGCATCATCGAATAATCCACAGATACAACAGGCTCTTTCAGTATTGTTGGTTGAAGACAACATCGTCAATCAGCTGCTGGCTGTCAAGTTGCTTGAGAAAATGGGTCACAAGGTCACGGTTGCACAAAATGGACAAGAGGCTGTGGCTATTTATGAAGAAAAGTCGATTGATGTTATCTTGATGGATATTCAGGTATGTCTACTACTATGCCATGCTATCATCGTGATATTGACCTATTGGATGCATACAAAGATGCCAGTGATGGGTGGATTCGAAGCAACAGCATTGATACGCAAGTATGAAAAGGAGCATGAAATCCCTCGTGTACCAATTATTGCCCTTACTGCACATGCCATGATTGGAGATCGAGAAAAATGCTTGTCAAATGACATGGTAAGTTATATACAATGATGGATGATGATGGTGCAATCGTATTTATATTATACGCTCGTAGGATGAGTATGTCAGCAAGCCATTACGCATGCCTGAACTAGCTGCTGCAATCAACAGATTCATGCCTCAACCACAACACTAGCTATGACTCAAATGTTCATTCAAATCAACAATAAAAAAGTTCCATAATGCAATCAGTGTTATCTTGTTGTTGGCTTTGAGGCTGCTTCTTATTCATTTAGCTCCACAAGGTTTATTGAAGAGGTTCATGGTACAAGGGTGATGGATCTAAGTAACATTGCTAATGATCATCCTTTCTACGGGGCTTGTATAGTGATGACTGTTGTTGCATAACGAGTGGTTCCAATCCTTTCCATGCAAGACAATTTCAAGAGCGCTGTTGTGCAACATGGTTTCGCTTTCTCTTCAATACAAACCACGCCATGGTCGAGACGCGACGATTGACACCCAACAACGATCTGATCAATGCCAAGTTTGAAGGGTACAAACTCGTACCATTCTCAGAGGAGCAGTGTTTACGACGTACACGTCTACCGGACGAAGGTCTCACGATCGGCAAGATTGGCGAGAATCATCGCATGGGATTTCGAGAACTGCAAGCACGTATCCGATTCAGTCATTTGGCAGCAGGGTATCCATTGAATGCAACGGTTGGCACGGCTTTCTATGTGGATAATGAATACAACGTGATGCGTGTATTGTACGACTCGGTAAGCATGATGGGGGAAGGGAAATATGCAAGATGACGATCTCTGATTATTGCGTGTGCGTGTGCGTGTGCGTGTGCGTGTGCGTGTGCGTGTGCATGTGCATGTATGATGTAGGTATCACGAGAAACTCAATTGCAGCAAGTGGCAACGTTGATACGGCCATTGGGAGGCGTACCCAATTATGCAGAGCCGCCTAGCAATGTTCCTACCGAGCCACAATATCCATCATTACTCGCATTGAACAATGATCTACTCCTGGCAACCAATGGTGCTGGTGATATTGAAGTCATCAATTTGGAAAGAGGACAAGTCGTGATGTCTACACGATATGAAGGAGATGGTAGCGAAGGAGTATCACCCGTCCCATGCGTACTATTGACGGCGCAACTTATCAATGACACTTTGATTCGATTGGTGGTTCAAAGCCGTGCAGCCACACGCAAGACCGAATTCAACATTGCTACACTCGACTTATCTTTATCGAATGACCAATTGACATTGCTTCATATGCTACGTGGATCAGAGGTGCCTGTTTATTGTCAATTGACACCAACAACCCACAACACCAAAAGTCGACTTATTCTCGGCAGCGAGACATCCTATGACACGGTGCATCCTGCTATGAACGATGATGTACAACCCGAAGATGAAACCGTAGAGCAAGAGCGGCCATTGACACGTGCACAGCCACCTACACCACCACCTTATCAATGGACACAAGAAGGAGAAGAGATGACTATTCAATTTGCGCTCCCTTCAGGAACACCCAAATCAGCAGTGAGCTGTCAATTTGCACCAGGCCATTTGAGCTTAATTGTGCGAGCACAAGATGTCGACATTTCATATCCATTCCGGAAGTTGTGGAGTACAATAAGAGCGGATGATTGCACGTGGACCATTGATAGCAACAGTGGGGTTCTTTCACTATTTCTGGTCAAGCATGACGAACATACGCGATGGCCACACGTGTTTGATCAAGACGACGGCGTGCTTGAAACGATGGATGCTGCTAAATTGGATGAGATTATGCGTCGCCTCGACAAGTTTACTGATGGCAATACACCTTTTGTGCAAGCTATGCAACATCCCGTGGCTCAGGATATCGATGAAGACATTGATGAATCGGGACAACCAGTGTATTTCAGTGTTTACGATAATGCAACAGGACGCCTTGTTCAACATATCCAATCCAGTGGGCGCGAATGGCTTTGTGAATCTTTTAATGCACCTCAGCTTGAACATCAGCAAAGACTTGCATCGGTTTGCGTGAAATCAGATGTGGATGGGCAGGTTTATGCATTCAACGACGAAGGCAGCATCATCGCCCCAGAGCACGTTGCGATATTTGATGCATTTGCATTTGTCCATGCATCCAAGCGTGATAGCCGTTTTGTCCAGCACGATCCTGATTTGCGATTTGTCACCATTGTTGAGAGCAATCGTAACGCCTACATTTACTACCGCCATGGCGACAAGCGGGATGTCGAATCACAAACACTCATTGATGTCACACAAGGGCACGATGTCGATATCCTCGGCGCACAACTTATTAATGATCGGGTGCTGATGTTGCTCACCGAGACCGAGCTTGTGGCAGTGCATATCTAAATAACAATAGCATCATCATTTTCTCATTACATACATCCTCCAAATATATACGTGTATTGCATCCATGATTGAAAGGGATAATGGGGAATTAGAAGGTGACAACTTAACACAGGGAAAGGTGCCTTTTAAGGCATTGTGCGCCATTGGGCAACACCGGAAATTGGGATCGAGGCATTATTTGTTATTTTGTGATCTGTGGTATCGATAGTAGTTGTTGTCAATTGACAATGGTTTATTACAGGGAATTTGGAGGGAGATAATAGTGTTATCATGGTAACCATGTATGAGCGGGGCAATAGACAATAGCATGATGAATACCAAAGTAAGGTGAACCACGTGCAATATACCGATGATCTGCAACAACTAGCGACCCTGCAGGTGAGGGATTTGATTACGTGCAGATTCAATGGAAAAAAAGATCAAACAACATTAGAATCATATCAATGAGTTGAATGCATGATTATGCGTGAATTAGACCATGGGGATGGGGAATTGGCTGTGAATGTAATATAGCAACAGAGGTAACAAGTAGCAACGACAACTACACAGTGCAATAAAAGCGGCCTTTGATTTTCATCCAGAGATGCCAACCATTTCTGGATTGAGTAGGTTACAAAAGGATTGCTTCCGTCGACACCAGCAGCGCTGTTATACTTGCTCACTGTAACTTGGAAACTTGACCCAGGAATCCACTTCAGGGTTTTTCATCGCTCTTGTCGATCCGATTCATCTTCTTGTCCCGTTCAACAGCTATCGTTTTTATCGCTTGAGTTTGACGACTTGAGCCCCACAGTTCTCTTTTTCTTTTTTATCCTTTTCTCAACCTTCTTTTTTCCACTTTTCCCCCCTTTGACTCGCCCATTCTCTCTCTACCACCAACAAACGACCCCATGGCTCAACCACAATCAACTTCATCGGATAACCCTTCTTCAGCAACCAACAAGGCGTCTGTCTCTAGCCATCTCACACAAGTTGCTCCCGAGCACTCCGCTAATGCCAGCAACAAAGGTACGAAATGAACAATGACAAGGTTCCAATGAGGAGGACACGCATAGCTTTAACTCTCTTTCTCTTTCTCTATCCCTTTTATTGTTCTATACAACAGACGACCCACACCATGTAAAGTCACCACTACCCAATCGTCCAGCTTCAAGAGCAGGTTCGCTTAAAGGTCGCAAGGGTGGGTTCCTGTCGCTCTTGTTCTGTTGTACATTTGGTGCTGGTTCCTTGCTAGACAACAGCGACAAATCATCGATATGGCATCGCAACAAAAAACGCTATAGTCGAGGCAGTACAACCATGACTTGCAGTACTTCCGAGAAGGATAACTTTCCTACAAAGATCGTCACCGAAATCGAAGAGGATGCGTCGCGGTCTATTGCTTCTCCTCAAACGCCCAAGGTAATAAGGCGCGAGTATTATTGAGATTGAGTTAGGGCCAAAAAAAGGGGGGCAGCAATGGATGGATGAATCAATCAAGTACCATTGGGTGTGTGTGTGTGTGTGATGTATCAGAGGGTGAGCGAGGAAAAAGAAAAAGAGAGAGAGAGAGGAAGAGGGTATACGAAATGCAATGTTTATTTGTTGTATATGCATACTAACGATCAATGTATTGATTAGGATGAAGTTGTATGGCTGCTGCCGCCCTTGGCTGAAGAACACACAGGGCGCAAGTGCTTGGTATTAGATTTGGATGAGACTTTGGTACACAGTTCTTTCAAGGTATGAAAAAAGGGGGTTATTGGAATTGATCGGGCAAACGGGGTGGTGTTGCTGTTGCCATGTATACCAACCATCCATCGTGTCTTAATCCTTACCGCTCCTTTACATCATTATCAGGTTATCCCAAATCCAGATTTCATTGTACCAGTGGAAATTGATAACCAGTACCACAACGTCTATGTGCTCAAGCGACCTGGCGTGGACGAGTTTATGCGTAAAATGGGAGAAATGTATGAGATTGTGGTGTTCACTGCAAGCTTATCCAAGGTATGTACATACATTGATCTCTCCATTTGATCATGGGCTGACAATGATATCATCATCATCATAGTATGCGGATCCTGTTCTCGATAAGCTCGATATACACAAAGTGGTCAAACATCGACTCTTCCGTGAATCTTGCTTTAACCACATGGGAACCTATGTCAAGGTAAGAAAAACGTGGTAACGCAAGGAAACAAAAAAATCTAAATGAGGCGATGCATTCTCTCTAGGACCTTTCCCAACTTGGACGAGAGCTTTCACAAACAATGATTCTTGATAATTCGCCAGCAAGTTACATCTTCCATACAGCAAATGCTGTTCCTGTTTCAACCTGGTTCAATGATCCACATGATACCGAGCTGACCGACCTAGTGATGTTCCTAGAAGATTTGACAACCGTGGATGATGTTACAATGATCTTGGACAACACACTTGGAAGCGTCGATGAAAACGAGTTGACCATCTCAAGGTGATTTGATTGATCTGCTCGTTTGATTACTATGGCCACCCCTCACTCTTTGTTACCACTCTTTTTTTCTTCCAACTTACCTATATATTGTTATTTGCATCATTTCGTTGTTTCAATCACTTGACTACTGCCTTACACAGGATACTTTCACCATCACCACCTATTCAGTCTCCCACTCCGTAATCGTCGTCCCTTCCCTTCACTCACACATCTACTCTCTCTCTCTCTCTCTCTTTCCTTTTTATCTCTTTCTCTTTCTCTCGCTCGCTCCTCTCTATCATTTTTTCTTCTCTTTGATCCTTCCTTTTTGTTCACATTTGTGTACTACATTGATCCGGTTCACTCGTACTCGCGCACTCTCTCACACACAACACCCATCACTAGCACACACACACACTCACACACTCACCCAGACATTTATTTCATTCGTAACAAATGGCCCACCTGTTATATTTTTTGCAGAGTCTACTATTACTACTATGCTCATTTGATCTTTCATTGATGGATAAAAGATGAACCGATTCTATATTCCCCCATTCGTAAAGCTGTCATAGTCAGTCAGTCAGTTTCGGATAGCCCGATTCAAAGCGCATGATTGTGTGTGCTGGGTAAAAAATTGAACGAACGAAGCGCAGTCTTCTTTTTTTTCCTCTCTTCCTCTCTCTCTTCCTCTTTGTACTCTTTGTTACCCCACACTCTTTTCTGTAATGAATGGCGATGCGATTACCAACTCCTCAACACCATCTCTCTCAATGACACAACCAGACACACCCAAACCTGCTACCGACAAGCAACCCAAACACCCAACACCTGCTTCCCTCGATTCAGGTCCTGTGCAAGCCTATGCAAAGTTGGAAGGAGACGGCTTTTGTTACTATATGCGAACACTTCAAGTGACGATGGGTCGTAAAGTCACCAAACCAGATAATGTGGATATCGCACTCGGCACTCTTAAATCAGTATCTCGTCACCATGCTCGACTTTTTTACAACTTTACCACGCAACGATTCGAGTTTATGGTTTTTGGCAAGAATGGAGCGTTTGTCAATGAGCAGTTTGTTGAAAAGGGTGTTACGGTGGCATTGGAGAACCGGTAAGTGTGTGAATGAGGATGATGAAATGGATGGGTGAGATTTACTTTGTATGATTCATAGTACCAAGATTCAGATCGGCGATGTATCATTTGTATTCTTGTTACCACGCATGGATCCTGAGGATGCGACAACTTGTTCGAAAAAGGAAGCTACAACATGCATTTACAAACCTCATCAGCTACAACAACAACCACAGCAACAATCATCGGAGCAATCGACAACGTGCGATAATTCAATGAATGAAGAGCCGGTTTACGACAAAGACACCAAACCACCTTATTCTTACGCCACCCTTATTGCCCAAGCCATCAATTCTACCCCTGAGAAACGCATGACACTCAATAGTATTTACATGTATATCCATGAACGATATCCCTACTTCAAAATGGAAAATGCTGGTTGGCAGGTATGACAACATGAGATCGATCGACATTGCATTGTGGTCAATGCATTAATAACTTGTTTTTTGCATACATAGAATTCGATTCGACACAACCTTTCATTGAACAAAGCCTTTGTGCGTGTACCTAGGCAAGGGAATGAACATGGTAAAGGATCATATTGGACCATTGATCCTGAGGCAGAGTCCCAATTTCCGAATGGCATCTATAAGCCGAATAAGCGATTGGCCAGCACTTCAAAGGATGAAGCCGCTCGAAAACGAGTTCGCCCTGATAATCCTCCTTCAGCGTCGTCTCCTTCACAACAACAACAATCATCATCAACAAATGCACCATCATCATCACCATCATCATCAGATCCATCACAACAACAAGCTGTCACTGCTGCTACTGCTGCTGCCGCTGTTGCTGCAGCTGCCACGACAACCACACAATCGCCATCCATGGCAACAACAACGACAGCAACAGACACAGCAGCAGCAGCGGATACCACATCATCCAATGCACCTTCACCTACAAATACGACAACTCCCGTAACATCAGAGCAACAACAACAGCAACAACAACAACTTCAAGAGACGATACGACAGCATTTATTGGATCCTGTTCGATATCCATTACCTCCAAGCATTGCTCAGCTTTTGCCACAAGCTATCGCTCAATTACCACCTTACCTTGCTAAGCGATTGACGGATACATTACAAGCAGCTCTTCGTACTCATGTACAACGTGATAATCAACAACAACAACAACAATCTCCTCCTACAACAACCACCCCAACCACCGCCACCAATGATACAACTACCACTACCACTACCACTACTACCATCAATGATACTACAACTGCATCATCACCCTCTGCTGATAAAAGTAACAACAATACCGCATCTACAACTACCCCTACAACAGAAAAGCCATCATCATCCTCACCCACTACTGCACCGACAGATGCCAATGACACCACCTCATCTACTCACCAACAAGATACATCTAAAACTGCTTTGGAGAATACAGAAGACAAAAAGACTGCTGGCAGTTCCCCATCATCCACCTCAGCTGAAGAGCCAATTGATGTACAATCATGATGATCATTTTTATTAAAGACAACATGTTGACTAGTAATATCCTTTCTAGAATTTGTTTTATTATTCTTTTGGTATATAGATAATGGCTGTACAAAGTGAGAGGGAGGGGTTGTCTTGAATCTATGTTTAATGGGAGCCAACAGCACCTTCCTTTCGTAATTCATCAATGGTTTCTTGTGAATAGCCAAGAACATCACGCAAGACTTCTTGAGTGTGAGCACCAAGGACAGGGGGAGGAAGGCGAATGGAGGGTTTAAAGTCGCTGTATTTGACGGGTGGGCCAACAAGCTTGATTTTGCCAGCACGTTCATGTTCTACTTCTTGAACAAGTTCGCGTGCCTTGATTTGAGGATGGTCAAATGTTTGCTGGATATTGTTGATGGGAGCAAAAGGGAAGCCGGCACCATTGAGTTTCTCGAGCCAGTGTTCAGTGGGTTCTTCCATGAAGCGTTTGGTGAGCATATCAATGAGTTCGGTGCGGTGGCGTACACGATCAGGGTTGGATGCAAAACGTGGGTCGGTCTTGAGATGAGTCATTTCCATACGATCACAAAGCTTTTCAAATTGACCCTGGTTGCCAGCACCCACCATCACAAAGGAATCCTTGGTAGGAAGCACTTGATAAGGCACAATGGAAGGATGCGATGTCCCCATACGCTTTGCTTCACGACCCCCGATCAGATAATTGGATGCAATATTGGCAAGCGATGCTACCTGAGCTTCGATCAAAGAACAATCGATCCATTGACCCTTGCCGGAAATGCCACGCTTGATAAGGGCTGCCAAAATCGCACTGTGGGCATAAAGACCCGTGGTCAAATCGGTAATAGCCACACCCACTTTGACAGGATTGCCGTCAGGTTCACCGGTAATATGCATAAGACCTGCTTCTGCTTCAATAATCACATCATAGCCGGGTCGATCGGAATAAGGGCCTGTTTGACCATAACCTACATCATCATCATTACCATCACAATGAGCCTATGTTGTCATTGGATCCACCCACCCTAGCCCAATCTTTTTTCATCTTACCAGTGATGGAGGCATAAATAAGACGTGGGTTGATTTTCTTGAGTTGCTCATATCCCATGCCAAACTTGTTGAGCTTTCCAGGCAAATAGTTTTCCACCAAAACATCGGATTCTCGTACAAGATCATGCAACAATCGACGGCCTCCTTCTGATTTCATATCCACTGTAATGGATTTCTTGTTGCGATTGGCACACAAAAAGTAGGCAGATTCACCTCGTTCCTGATCCTCGGCAGACTTGTTCTCGGCATAAGGTGGACCCCATACACGAGTATCATCACCACCCTTTGGGTTTTCTACCTTGATCACCTCGGCACTAGAACCCCACATTTAGCTTTAGCTTTGTGTTTTCACGTGGTGCAAAGTGGCCATCCTTTTTCACTACACTTACCCAAGATCGCCCAACATCATCGTACAATAGGGACCAGCTATATAAATAAAGGGGACAATTAGAACCATGATGGCTATCAAAAAGACGATCCATGTGATTTACCCAATACTCGAGTGAGATCCAACACACGTAAACCTTCAAGCGGACCAGCGCCGTCAGTGGTGGTAGTGGAAGTAGTAGTGTCATTGCGTAACTGAATACGAGTCGTTGACAACATGCGTCGGCATGACATGAAAGCAGTCGATCGAGGCTTCATGAGCATCAAGCAGGAACGTGACATTGCCATTTCGTATTCAGAGTGGGTGTGGGAAAGATAAAAGTGTGGGGTAAAGAAGCAGTAATAGAATCAACGGAACTACTTGGATTGCCTTATATAATCCGGAATCCTGTCAAAACCTTTTTCCAGGGCAATGCATTTGTCATTGAATTAATTTGCCGATAGGGCGATAGTGGTATATGTCCTTCATTGGATATACAATGATCCATCCAGTCTCTCTTACAAAGATAACACACCCAGGACCATTCATTAAAAGAGCTTTTTTTATTTAACTATATAAGATTTTCATTTTCTAATGTTGTTGTCAAAGATGCCTGGTTTGCAGACGTCTTTTATCCACCCTTTGTTGATCGATTTGGCTGGCCGCCCGACGATGAGATGGTGGTATCATGGTCAAGCAGCCCGCCGCCGGCTATTTTGTTTTTGTCGTCTGCTGACGGCCGGTGACAAATCCTGGTATCCATAGCAACACGCATATATCCATCGCACTTTTGCCCGTTCTTGACGATTCAATCTTGTTGACAATGTCATTGGTAGGGTCTTGTTCTTTCTGGCCCCCCAATGAGAAAGAGATGCAACCTTGTTTAATCCGACTCAAGCGTGATGGCATTGATCAATCCATGGTTCGATCAGGCTACAACAAAAAAGAACCCTCCTCATCATCAATAATCCGAATACCACCTTGAAAGCCAATTCACAAACCTATTTGTCAGGTACGTAGTGTTGTCACCTTAACCTAAGGTTGTCATGGAGCCCTGGCTGATGATGGATGGTGGGGCAAGAGCAACATGGTAACGTATCCCACGTCTACTGCATCACTATGGTTATTACATACATAGCAGCTTCCCATTAATCCCCGAGACCTACCAAAGTGCTGTATCAATACACGTTGCCTTGCTTGCGCGTTGACGACCCATGCAGCGATTGAGTCTTCCAATCAGGAGCAGCATCTTGATGCATTGCGTTCCTCCCTTGCGTGGCTGCTTGTGCTGGTGGCTTTCATAGATGGATGCTGTCATTGGCGAAGAGCTGTAAGTATTCAAGTGCATTTGTACGTTTCCAGCGTGCTTGTACTTACGCGTCCATGGAGAAGAAGGGTTGTGTCTGCTATTTTTTATCGGTCCGCAGCTGCACAAAATAAATGCCATTCAAGGCTAATGCTTGTGTCCTCATTTTGACTCCTCTAGTTGATATACATGTAATGCGTTGCTTCTGTATCATTGAATGTGGAATAGCAGAAATGATTTACCATAGCCAACATCAACTTGCATCAGCTACCATCCACAAGATCCAGTATTGATTGCTTTTTTCTCAAACAATGGGTATACATGCGTATAAACGGGTTGAATCTGGATGATGGGTGCATACATGCTATACTATTCTTTGTACTTACTAGAAGGATTAGAGAGAGTGTGTGTGTGTCTCGAGGTGTGTACCATAGAGTTATTGATGTAGACAATGAATGTTTTCAATGGACCTTTATAGAATACTTTTATTACAAAAATGGTTGATTGTGTCTAGAGAGTAGAGAGAAGAAACTAAGGGGGCTGTTGTGATGGGCATGAACGTGACACGAACTTGTTGACATGCAATTGCCTCAGCTCTAGTGAGAGCAAGTTACAGAATTTCCCAATTTGTGCTTGTTTCTCTCGCTCTTTCCATGGTTGATATGCCAAAGTCCAAAAGGGAAAAGCTCCTGATCGTTCTCATTGACGGCATCGGTGATGTCGCTGTGCCTGAATTGGACAATCGCACCCCTCTTCAAGCGGCCAACATTCCTTGGATGGATAAACTAGCTGGTGAGTTTGGGTCGATCGCGAATACAAAGGAACCAATGGGAGACACTTACATGTACATTTCAACAGCAAGTGGATTGAATGGTTTACTTGACTCAGTGGAGCCTGGCTTAGCTTGTGGGTCTGATACAGCACACATGTCGATCCTCGGTTACAACCCAAGACAGTAAGTGCCATGTAAATGATGATGTATCCTATAGCCTATCTCACATGGACAAGGTATTATCGTGGTCGTGGAGCATTTGAAACCATGGGGGCAGGATTGGAGATGATACCTGGTGATATTGCATTCAAGGTAAATGAAAAGGAAGGGAACCAGCGTATGCATGTTATTAATGCATCGTCTCTTCTATAGTCCAACTTTGCCTATCTCGATCGATCCACGGGCATCGTAGTTTCTCGGAGAGCGGATCGCCATTTCGAAGGCCTTGGACCTACTTTGTGTGACGCCATTGATAACATGTATGTGGTGTTTGTTTTGCGCCCTTGTTGAAAAGTTACTCATATGGATCAGCAAACTTCCTTCATTTCCCAATCATACAGTGGCCGTCAAGTATGCAACCGAGCATCGATGCGGTGTTAGAGTACGTGGTCCCGGATTAACTGATATGATAACAGGCACGGATCCATTGAAAGACAAGTATGTGTATCCAAGTATCCTTGTTATGCAAGTCTAATGCACCTATGCTAGTTTACCATTAGTCACGTGTGAACCCACGGATGAGACGGATGATGCAAGGATGACTAGTGAGGTACGTAATCCCAATCTCGGTGGTATGGATGATTCACTTTTCATACTAAATCATTGTTCAGCTCATCAACGAGCTGTCAGACGCTTTCTACAACGCACTGAGCAAGCATCCAATCAATGATGATCGAAGGAAGGCTGGAAAGAATCCTGCAAATTGCATATTGTTGCGTGGTTGTGGTAGCTGCATTGATGTAAGTATTCTGATTTGGAAAAGGTGATTGGTCAAAAGCTAATAGGGTCGTATCCAGGTGCCAAGTATTGAACAGCTACATGGGCTCAAGAGCTTTTTGATTGCGCCAACATGCATCATTGCTGGATTGGGAATGACAGTGGGCATGGATATCATCAAGGTTGAAGGTGCAACAGGAGACTATCATACAAACTTTCAAGCAAAGGCGGATGCTGCAGTGGAAAACTTGACAAGCAGCAAGTATGATTTTGGATTTCTTCACATAAAAGCGGTGGATGATGCTGGACATGATCGCAATGTGCCATTAAAGGTAAGCAAATGGGCATGTTAATAATGATCAAGCTGTTATTTACTCTCTGCCAGGTGCAATTCCTAGAAAAAATTGACGCTGCTATCGGTGATATTATCTCTCGGTTGAATAAGGATGAATTAGAAAACGGGGGTAGCGAGGTAAGTTGGCAAGTGCAATGAGGTGGGGGGTGGAGGTATAATCTATTGCATCACAAGGGATATTCAACATTCTTTATTAGTATACGGTCATTATTGCAAGTGATCATTCTACTCCTGTATTATATGGCGATCATAGCTCCGAGCCTGTACCATTTTGTATCAGCCGGGTAAAGTATGTCATGGATGGCACCCGAGGCGACAATGTCGAGCGTTTTGATGAGAATGCAGCAGTACAAGGTGCACTTGGCCGATTCTGTGGAGCGGAGCTCATCAAGCTTGCAAAGTCATATATGTCACATGCATCATCAAGAGATATACAGTCAACTACTAGTACATAGAGAAAAGAATAAAGATGATTTTCCAACCAATCAAATCCTTCACACTCGCCACAACAAGTACCTTCCCAGGCAACTGTTTGTATCACCTGATGCTCAGGGCAATCCTCGGGGCTTACATTAGGGATAGATGGCTTATTAGCTGACTACAATTCGAGTTGTATTAAAAAGAATTGTACAGAAATCTGAGCCAGGGATGGCTAGTCGCTTGGCATGCAGTATTAAAGCACTTGTATCCGTTCAAGCGCGACAACAATGGTTAGAATGATCACCCGAGCTGTCGTCATTTCATATAGTTATGTGTAACCGAGCCTCTGTCTTTTCTCCTTTTTAGGTTGTTTTTGTGATAAGGTGTATGAAATTGCTCATGAAGTACGAATAAAGATGCGGTAATCGATCATGCGTTTCAAAAGAGCCTAGCAACGACAAGTGTGGCTACATTCCAGGATGACTGACGATAGCAAAAGTGGCGTTAGCATGCAACATGCTTCAACATCTGGTACACTTTATATCTTGGTAGCATCATAGAGACACAAAAAGCAGTAACCAACCGGGTGAGTTTTCACGCAATGTCGAGAAGAACGAAACACCGATATGTGCAACGCGACAATGAAGCTTGTATCCCATCTACCTTTTTGCCATCCCCGCAAAAGACCATGTCTTGACCATAGAGCTCCTTTATCCTTTTTCTTATCCACCACATTCACAAACTGAACCCCCCCTCCCTTTGTCGTTTGCACTCTCCTTACTAAGGTCGTCGTCGTCGTTGGTTCCTTGTTTCTGCTCCTTCCCATTCATTTGCACACACCATGTTGTCCACATCGCCAAACGCATTTCCAACACCACCACAAAGTATACCCACACAACAACAATCCCGATCACAATCCAGCAGCAATCCTCTCGTCGACCTCATTCGTACCGAAAAAGACTATATTGAAACCTTGAAGCTGATCGACTCGGTAATATCAACGTCCCAAAGCACTACTCGCATACAATTATGCTGATCCATGTATACACATTCATCTAGCAAATAGCGCCAATATGGATGAAACAAATGGCTTCAGCAGCACCCGACTTTTCAGAGCAGCTAACGCATGCACATGCCATCTATGTTGTCAACAAACGATTTTGCTTGGTAAGAATACCGATTCAATGCATGGCGATGATAAGCATGTCTTATTAACTTGTTATCGAATAGAGACTCGTCAAGGTTGCAGGCGACCCACGAGCCATGCGAGAATTGGGTGATATCCTGATGCAATGGGTGAGTTTGGCGGTGGCCTGTAGTAGCTACATTTGACTGATTGCTTACGTATATGATGATAGGTGGATATTATCGAGGTGCCATATGCAAGCTATTTCAGAAACTTTATCATTGACATTGATCGCCGACAAGACATCACTGATAACCCAGCCTTACGAGCTTGTTTGGATGTAAGCATCTTTTACTTTTCATTTGCAATGGATGCTGATAATGGATTGATTAGAAAATCGCACCTTCATCCTCCGGACCACAAACACTGAAAAAGCTCTTTGATGCACCATTGGAACGAGTTCAATATTACAAGAGCCTTTACAACGTAGGGTGATCAAGTCGTTATTGTCCAAAGAGATGTCTTTGCTAACTTGTTGTTTTAGCGTCTATTGCAAAGCACACGACCTGGGCGTGCAGACCATGGACTTTTGCTAAGAGCCAATCAACGAATCGACACCCTTATTCAGATCTCCAAGAACGCTCTTCAAAATGGTATCCGTAAAGCAGCTCCTACGGACATTCCTGTCAACCAATATCAAGGCAGCACATCAGTATCAAAGTTCTTGGAACCTGTGGATTGCTCAAAGGTGATGGATCTCTTTAAGAAGGCACCTACAGTAAGTAATTAATTCCTCCCTATTCCCTTGGACGATGATCCTCGGTCTTACATGATCAAATAGGTATATCGACCACCCCAATCACATGGGCGTATCATTATGCGTGATGATTTTGTGCCTGTGGAAAATAAGGCAACCCGATTGCATCTCGCCCTGTCAGTCGATGAATTGTTTATCTGCCGCTGCATGAATACGAGCAACACGCCATCATATGAACTCGTTTACCCTCCAATTGCAGTAAAGGATATTACGGTCAAGTCGATGGATTTGGAACGGGAGCTTCTTGGAGAGTACCTTGTGCATTTTAATCTTGCATACGCAGAGCAAATGACACTTCGGATTGCGTCCCGTGAGAAAAGAAATGCATGGCTTGGTGTTAGCGCTACTGCACCTAGTGATGTCACTCTCAAATCAAAGTCGCTTGCTACCACGGTGAAACAGCAGCTAGCAAAATTTCCGCTTTTATCAGAGGAGATGGATGACAAAAATGATGTCGACGACGACCACCACCATCAGGATACAACGCATGATGATATCTTTGCTCTTTATGGTGGCCACGGTGACGATGACGATGAGAAAGACAATAACAACGAAGCGTCAACAGCCTATGTCAGACGCAATGCATTTCGTGATACCATCATGGGCCTCTACGATGGTGGACAATTGTCTTTTGAAAAGAAGAGCGGCAAACCAGCACCCTCAACAGTGGATGAGGATGGCCAAGATTTGGCAAATATTGCACCACGATCCGCCAAATTGCTTTCACGTGTACCTACAGCAACCAAAGAGGAAGAATCCAAAGAGCAATCCAGCAAAGAGGATGAAAAGGCAACCAAAGCTGATATGCAATCCGCACCTGTCAAGATGACATATATCGAACCAGCTGTGCATAAAATGACATTATCAACCAACAAGAGCAAGGAAGAATCTACCGCTTCTACTACTCCTGTTACTGCTCAAATGACAAGTGCTGGTGTGCCTATATTACCACGTTCATCATCTAGAGGTGGATCTGCATCTCGGCCATTAGATAGAACACAACAACAGCAATCGAATGGAGTGGCAAATACGGTACAACAAACTCTGAGATCAGCAATGACAGCTTCCATTGATTCATCCACTGGATCAGTATCATCGAATGCAACTGATTATTCCATGATGCGTGAATCATCATCCACTGGATCAACTGAAGCCTCTTCTTCATCCGTCGATCGTCATCAACAACAACAAAAGCCAAATCAAGTTGCTCCTTCACCCCATCCATCATCATCTTCAGCAGGTTCACCTATCACAATCACCCCGTTGCCACGTACTTCATCCAAGCACACTGGTGGTAGAATGCCAACAACAACAACATCATCACCACGAATGGCAACTAATATTCCTCAAAGACAAGCATCGCTTTCTCATTCGATTCGCTCGGTCAACAGCCCAACAATGACACATGCTCAGCCCTCGCCACACAATTCTACGAGCTCTCCTTCCAAAACGTCTCTACAAATCGACACAAGGTCCACTTCATCTGGTTTGGATGATCTCGCATCCCCTCCTCAAAGCGTAAGTGATGATTACTTTTATCGTTTGATGTATCCGAAAGCTAACATTGGCATTCATTTATAGCCTGGTGCCTATGCGAATGCCACCAAGCAAGTGCTGTATCGTCATGGTCGATGTGATGTCTTCCATTGGAAGGGGGATACGTGGTATGCTGCACAAGGACGCTGTGGTATCCAGGTGCGAGTGACCAATGCCAATCGATCCTGCATATCCATTTTATTACTGGAGAGCGGACAATTATACTTGAATGCATGGATCTTCCCTACCACAATGATCCAATTGCAAGGTGATACAGATGTATGCGTTTCAGTGTATATGGGTACACAAATGGAAACGTACCTAATCCATTTTGAACGACGCGCGGATGCTGTGGAGCTTGAAAATGTACTCCAATATGCACATCGAGAATCCATCAAGATATGGGGATCAGCTGAAGAACAACAACAAATCGCACCACCACCAAGCTCCTTATTAAGATCAACATCCTTGGTGGATCCTGAAGCACCGCCTCCCGATTCAAAAACATTCCGTGAAGAAGCACCACAGACCCTTAAGCCGTTGATGCAATGCAAATGCAAATTGTTTGCACAGCAGGAACATGCAGCATGGAATAGCTTGGGAAGTGTCAGTCTTCGAATCTCATTACAAGAACCAAGTAACAAGATGCATATTTACATGGAAAATGGCAAGACCAAACTGGTCTCTTCTGTTGTTCAAAGTTGCAATGTGGAGCGATTTGGACCCAAGCGCGTATCCTTTTTACTCACTACAGATCGCTCAAGCATGATTTACATGATCAATCTCAAGGAAGAACGTACAGCAACCAAGATTTATGAATACATCAAGACCAAGAATGCCCAAAATGGATGGTGATTTGCTCTACTACGTTGTTTACTTGTATATCCACCCACTCCCACATCATCATCATCATTACTATTATCTTCCATCACCTTCCTTCTTCTAGTACAATACTTGTAAAGCCTATAGTATTCCCTACATACACCTCACTAGCATTTTACTTATTCATCACAGCCCAACATAATATATTTCGCACGTTGACCCAATACATCCATACATATCCATACATGGAGATTGATTGCTGGGTATCTATAAGGAGGGAAATCACACCTGCTAGACTCAGCTAATAATCTACCACCTCTCTTTCTTTTGCAGGAAAAGCGCCAACCATGGGCAAGAACCAATCGAACAAACTGGAAACATGGGGCAACGAGACAACCATGAACATGAATGCTATTCTCTATCAAAACATTCTCGCCTCTCCTTACTTCAAGTCGCTATAGTAAGTATTCTCACACGTGTCAACACCGTCGATAGATTGACAGTACTGACTCCCTGATCCAGTGAAAAAAAGACGTTTCATGAGATTGTAGATGAGATCTACAATGAAGGTACGATCGCCCTTTCTCTTTTATCTACTGGGTACCTGTGAAAGGTTTGTCCTTGACCGTGTATATTGTTTTCATGGCTAAAACGCCCTTTTGTTTTCTATACTCTTTGTGTGTCTTCTCTTGCGCAGTGACCAACTTGGGTAAGTGGGATGGATGTTGATGATGGTGATGGCCTTTCGTCTTTCTTCTTAACGCTTCTTTTGTATCTATAGCACCGTTCATCAAGGGCACCACTGTATCCACTGCTTTTTGTTGTCTTTTCAAGTTTTGGACATTGCGTTTGACTGTGAAGCAGCTTGAGAACCTCATTGATCATCGAGACTCGCCGTAAGTGGTATAGAGTAATGTCATTTTGGGGATGCTTGTTTATTGATGATGAATCCATATAGGTACATTCGAGCCATTGGATTTCTCTATTTGCGTTACGTGTGTGCACCTGCTGAACTTTGGGAATGGCTTTCTTATTATCTTGAGGATGAAGAAGAGATCGAATTGTCGGGTGGCCCTCGTCCACAGAAATCGTAAGTATGGCTACTGCACTATGCCGTTTATGAGGTGTAACTCTCATACTGAAATTGGGGTTGGATAGGACCATTGGCAAGTTATGTCGTATGCTGCTCACCGAACAAAAGTTCCAAGGAACAATGCTACCTCGCATCCCAGTACCCATTGCACGTGATCTTGACAAGAAGCTCAAAGAATATGATGAAGAAATGAGGAATGCAGGTCATGGAGAGTAAGTATGCATATATAAAAAGACATGAACCTATGATTAACATGGATGGATAGGTATGAGGCTGAAGAAAAAGAAGAAGAACGACCCTATGAGAGAAGACGTTACGATGATGAGGATGAGGACGATCGCCGTAGTTATCGCCGCCGAGATGATCGCTCCTATGACAGAAGAGATCGCTCTTATGATCGAAGAGACCGTTCCTACGATAGACGGCGGGATGATGATCGTGGATATTATCGTCGTGATCGTTCACGCAGTCCTTACGATAGAAGGAGGAGAAGAGACAACGATGACTATCGCAGCAGATCCCGATACGATGATGATGACCGTGACAGACGCTATAGACGCCGTTCTCGTTCCAGGGACAGACATTCTTCTCGATCCTACTCTCGTGAGCGCAGCAGTCGATACTAGCTTAGATTATTTCCAACCCTCAAGTGATAGCAAAAAGAGCGATGGTGATTGTAGAGAAAGATCATTAAAGATGTTACTCGTACGTTGTTATAGCCATACATAGTCTTTTAGTGGTATTGTACAATACAATGATCCCCTCCAAATTGATGTTCTTTATTCGAATGAGAATGCCTCATGGCTTTAAGGGAAGATGGCTCAATGACTTTTGCTTTTGGCTCATACGCTACTATGCAAGCGACCTGATCACTCTCAAAAACGTTTTTGAAACATAAGAAAGGAAAATGAAGATCTTCGATTGTCCACCTTGATGAATATGGAAGGTACCCAACTACTAAAGCAGCCCGAGTGATACATCATGACATTAGCAAAGAGTGAGTTTGCATGAGGACATGTAGGTGTATGATTGTCACAAGTGTACTTGCAGCATCACCGCCACGTGTCGAGTATAGTAACCCAGCTACTTATCAATGAGTCTAACGGCGGATGGATGTATGGTTTCAAGTAAGCCTCATTGTGAAGGTTGGTATCTTCATGAACTTTTGTGGGGTCATCACCAGCCATTGGCCTTTCATGCGGAGAAGGGCCCATTATATTCTCACAAGCTCAGGGGCAATTTTCATGTGCTTTTTGTCGTTACATCACGCGCTTCTAAATCCTGGTATTTGACGTCTGTTTGTTACCCACAACATGTCAAGCGTCATTCGCATCGAACAAAGAAACATTTCACTTTATTGAAAAGGTGGTGACATGATATTTGTAAGCAATGGATGCTTTGTTCACTCTACTATAACGCTATTCAAATATAGCTACCAATGTACCATTGTCTCCATCACCGAATTGAATTACCAAGCATCTTTCTTTAAACTCAGTAAGCGACATGTCAAAAACATGGTTACACATGCGTGTGTTCTTTAACATCAACGACCCCATTTGCTTCTCCCATTCTTTTCTTTCTTTATTATCCTCCTCAATCCTCCCTACTCTTTTTCCAACATGACCCAACTCAAAACATTTACCCGTGAAGAAGTCAGCCGCCATGCAACTGAAGAAGATCTCTGGATCATTATTGACAGTGCTGTGTACGACTTGAGCGAGTTTGTTGATCTCCACCCAGGTACGACATGGAGCTAATGGGTGACATGGAGACCATTCATTGACCTTGATTTGTGTTTCCAACTCAACAGGCGGTGTCTTCCCCATCATGGAGCTTGCTGGAAAGGATGCCACTGATGCCTTTTACGGTCTTCATCGTCAGGAGGTGCTTATCAAGTATGACCGTTACAAGATCGGTACCATCGAGGGTGAGACACCTGCTATTTCTATTCGTCAACCAGGCGAGATCTCTCGTGTGCCTTATGCTGAACCAAGCGCCTGGATGGGCTATAAATCGCCGTATTTCAAGTAAGTCTTTTGCATGAAATTTCCTTTGTCACATGACCCCCTCCTTCCTCTTCCCCCTTTTCCTCATTGCATGAATGAATGAATGATGAACACGTGCGCTTTGTCAACTACGATAGGGAAACCCACTTCAAGTTCCGTACGGCTGTGCGTAAGATCTTTGATGAATTGGCTGATGAAATCCGTGAAGTTGAAGCATCGGGTGAACGTCCTTCGGATGAGCTTCAAAAGAAGTTTGGTGATTATGGTCTTTTGGCTGCCAACATTGGTCCTGGTAAATTCCTTCGTGAATTCAATATTAAGCTCCCTGGTGGTATTGCTCCGGAGGAATACGATTACTTCCATGAGGTATTACTCTGATCATTGAGGAGGTGGGATCTTATTATATGCTAACATGCGTGCGTATGTACGTAGATGATTGTGCACGAAGAAATGGCACGTATCGGTGTCCGTGGTACCGACGATGGTATCGTTTCGGGTATGGTGATTTCGCTTCCTACCGTTCTCAACTTTGGATCCAAGGCAATGAAGGCCAAGGTTGTTCCCGAAATCCTTTCCGGTCGCAAACGTATGGCTTTGGCTATCACTGAGCCCTATGCTGGTAGTGATGTTTCTCGCATTCGCACCAACGCCAAGTTATCAGCTGATGGAAAGCACTACATTGTTAATGGTGTCAAAAAGTGGATCACCGGTGGTTGTTGGGCTGATTATTTCTCTGTGGCCGTCCAAACCGAAAAGGGCATGTCCATGTTGTTGATTGAGCGCTCAGAAGGTGTTGAAACCAAGTTGATCAAGACTTCCTATGCCCCCACCGCTGGTACTGCTTATGTCACTTTTGAGAACGTCAAGGTGCCAGTCGAGAATTTGCTTGGCAAGGAGGGCAAAGGATTTATGGTTGTATTGTAAGTGCTTGTATATATGGTGTTTTCAGCTATATCCATGTACTCATTTGCATGAATAGGTCCAACTTTAACCATGAAAGGTGATTGTTGATCCGGGGATTCAAATCAGGTTGATAGCTTGCATAAATCTAACTCAATACAAAAAATAGATGGGTCATGTTGACTGGTTCCGTTATGGGCGCACGTTACGCTATTGAAGATTGCTTCAAGTGGGCCATGCAACGCAAGGTAATATACATGGTACATAGAGGAACTTTCATGCTAATGTGATCATTATAGGTCTTTGGCAAGCGTCTCATTGATCAACCTGTCATCCGCAACAAGCTCGCCAAGATGGTAAGCCAGGAACAAAATATCAAAATGATCATGCGGATACTCATGATATACATAGATTGCAAGCGTTGAGAGCGTACAAAGTTGGATCGAGAACTTGACGTATCAAATGTGTCACATGGATTATTTTGAACAGGCTGTGAAGCTTGCTGGCCCTCTCGCTCTTTGCAAATACCAGGTGCTTACATTTTCCTTATGAGTCATCATTCAAACATTGATGCTAACAACCCCCCTTTTTATTGTTGAACACCCACTAGTGCACTCGTATGCTTCATGACGTTGCCGATGATGCCGTCCAGATCTTTGGTGGCCGTGCCTTGACTCGATCAGCTATGGGTCGCAATATTGAATTGCTTCATCGTACATACAAGTTCTCCTCTATCCTTGGTGGCTCAGAAGAAATTATGGCCGATCTTGGTGTTCGTCAAGCTATGAGACATTTCCCAACTGATGCACGCCTTTAAACCCATCCATGGTTGATCCTTGCTACTACATGTACTACAACCAACGATTCCATATCATAGACAACCCCAGTAATCCGATTCTTACTTACCTGCTCCTCATATAAACATGGAAGAAAATGTTATTTGTATCAATATCAATCATTGGACATAGTGCATGAATATGTATAAAGTAGGATTTTCCTCGGGAGATGTGTTTTTCCATATAATGAAACGAGAAGGTACAGGCTTGACAAAAAAAAGGGGGCTTGAAACGATAATTCGGGAACAAAGAAAACGTCATGGATAATGCAGATTGTATTAATGAACTTTGGAGCGTATCTAGTAAACGATAATCCGGTCATCCCGAGACGAGAGCATGAATTTATAATGCATATCCATGCAAACAATGAGTGAATCGCTTTTGGATGAGGTGTATTTTTGGAAGTATGAGGGGGGCTAACGATGTATGTTTTGGCAGACAATGGGCGCACCATTGACAGCAACAGGTCAAACCTGCAGCCAAGCTGTGTCCCAAACAATGGTAAAGACATTGATGGTTGGTGCAGGGAACAAACACTATTGCAATTTTGACCAGTACCCGCCGCAATGAGATGCACAAGAAAAGAAACAGACCAAAGAAGCGTGCATACATACAGCAATGTTGATTCACTATCCCTCTCTCTTTCCAAGGATCCGGCCGGCTCGGCAGAACTCAAGGTCGCATGTGGACAACAATAATCACAATTGGCAAATACATACATACATTCTTGCAGCATTATGCGTTGCTCTCATTCATTCATATAAAAAGTAATCCTGAAAGAAAACCCAATGATGACCCATTGTCTCTTTCTCTCACACACGCATCTTTTTATTTGACCTTTTCTACCTACATACTTGATATTATACAAACATTATGCTCGTTATTACAAGTGCCGACCATTATCTTGGCCATTGCATTACGTCGCATTTGGCTCAGTACAAGCACCTGATACCACAAATGCGCGTTCTTTGCGAAAACAAAAAGCCTTGCTTGAATTTCGGATACAAGGGCATTGACGTACGGGCTGTTGATTATACCAATACAGAGCAATTGGTGGATGTATTGCGCAACGTCGAGTATATGATCTTGGCTGTAGGCGATGAATCCAACCGAGTGGCCTACAATGAGAATCTTTGTGCAGCAGCTAGTCAAGCAGGCGTCAAGTCGATCATTTGCATATCACATGTAGGTGCCGTTGGGCCGCTGCAAGATTACGCCATGATTGAAGAGCAAGTTGTCAGCTCATCTTGTCAATGGACCATTTTAAGGTAATATTGACCTGTTATATAATATGACTCGCCATTCTAATACGTTCGATGTATCTTGTAGACCGGATTGGACAACCCAACATTTGCATCTATGGGCACCTTTTGTGGAAAAACACGCTCAGCTTCCCATGCCATTGCATCCAGACACCGAATTGTGCCCGATAGATATGACGGATCTGTGCAGCGTGGTGCAAGCCATTGTCCTCAATTGGGATCATAGTATCCTTCCGGTTCATCTTGACAATGAGCACGATGGCCAAGTGTATACGCTTACAGGTCCTGAACCTGTCACTGCCAAAGAGCTGGTGACCCGCTTGGCCAAGGCTACAGGATGCGATTCGCTCAAATACAAGGCTGTGCGCCCTATGGATACCCAATTTTACCTCGAACAACTCGCACACGATATTTGGTTCGATGCACGGATCAAACAAGAACAACGTCTCATGTACAATGACCCACTTTCAAAAGGAGCATACGATTACAGCACACGTGCTTTTGCTTTGCCAACAGGTATACTTCAACAATGAAACCATTTCATTCATCTCAAACATCATTCCATTTTTAGCTACTCTCATTGACACCATGGTGCGATACCTTGATTGGGTACGTGAGACCTCCAGCAGCATGTGTGTGCCACATGTCGACATGCTCTTATCTCGGCCAGCATATTCTGTGGATCGTTTCTTCCAAGAAAACGCCATCAATTTCAAGCCACGTGTGTAATCATAGATTTAATATCCTCCTCTGTCAATTCTCCCCACATCAATAATGAAGTTGGTACCCTTTACGCAAATAATCAATCCCTGAATATGTTGAGAGGCATTGTTGGACATTCAAGTTGTAATTGTGATGGATAAAAGAAAAAAAAATGAATGACTACATCAACTAGATTACACTATAGCCATCTTAGTTTAGATATACAATCCTTCATCATCTCCCCTCCCCCTCTACTTACTGGCATATTTTCTTGTCCATTCACGTGCGGTGGATTCGTAGCGAGCACGATCGGTCTTGTAAATGTGTGCAAGATCAGGTACAAGTGGATCTAGGAATTGCATAAGTTTTCATGCATCGGTGTTATGCAAGTGACTTACCATCCGGATTTGGATCCGTGAGGAGTGAGCACACAGAGAGCAGCACTATTGATCATCATCATCAGCTGACACCTTCTCTCTCTAGTATTGAAATTTGAACTTGATTCCTTTTTTTTACCTTTTGATATTGTCAAGGCCGGTGACCATTGATCCTTTAGGATATCCAAACAAATGCTACCGTTGCTGTTGATGTTGGGATGATAGATCTTCGTCGTAAAATTGACCTAATGAAGTCATGCATCAATACCAGTCCGCTGTTATAGTAAGCCATAATCAACTTGCCTTGGGTGGTTTGAAAGGATAGTCTGTAGGAAAATGTATCGAAAGATAAAACACTCCACCTTGATAAGGGCTGTCTTCCTAAATACATGTGCATACAAACAAGTCAGCCTTTCATACTACATACGTCCCACCACACAGCCTCGCCGATCCTTCGAGGATATACATACGGGTCCAAGAATAGTCGCTTGCCAGTGAAAAGTGTCGTCGTCGACTGGTCCAGCAGAGCATGAAGAAGGAGGATCACGGGTGATGTCCTTGAATTCCTACAAGTTGGTGCACAATGTCAGTCCCCATCTTGCTATCCCCATTGGCCAGCCTTGCTGTGAGCGCCATTGCCCAGTTGAGATTACCTTTTGAATACGTTTGAGAGCCATAGTAGTTGTGGGAGGAGCAACGAGAGTAAGAGATGGCACAGCACACGATGCGGACTTTGTATGATGCATGATACATCATGCCCATGATTAGTAGCAATCATGCTGACTATTCAATACAACCCCCCTCAATACAAATAAATGCTACTTTTTTCAATTGATCGAATGCTTGTGGTATTGGTCATCGATGTACTCGAATAGACATAGGCGTATGTATACTTGCAGCATTATCATCTTTTTATGATTATTACGGGGGTTGAAACAGCAGAACAGTATTGTGGAGGGCCCGCCCCACCAAAGATGGCCCTGCAGCAAAGCCATCATAATGTATCAATACCCCAGAACTTGGAAAAGTGCCTCCTGCTCTCCATGTTCAATGCTTCTTGTGATGATATGATGATAGTAAATGTTGGTAGCTATGTAAGCGAAACGTAGTAGCCATGGATACACGGCACTCGTCCTCTTTAAGGTTAAAGCTGTAATAATTTCTAGTGTCCATGGCATAGCTTTTGAACCCCAATGGTTGACCTTAAGAGCACACGGTGCATTGTTCTACTACGTGTATGATAACTTCACGCATATACATTAATGTCTAGTGATAACGTCTTGGGACGGTACATCCATTCCAGCAATGCATGATGGTATTCATATGCGTGTATTGTGAGAAGTAATAGATGGCAAAGAAGGCTGGATGCTTTTATGGTAAGGTGATGTTGTCATTCATTCATCCTTGACTACACATGCTGATCACCAACCCTCACTCCAATGCATTTATGCTTATGGTCACTTGTATTTATTGTATCAGTGGGTATCAATTGCTCATGTGGCCATACGTTCAAGAGAAGGAGTTGTTGAAAGGATCGCCTTCCCTTCACACTTCTTCCGTGGTAAGTGGATTTTGACCCCCCCCCCAAGTCCGCAAAGAACTGCAATGTAGATAAAATCCAATTTTGACATGAATGATGAATCCATAGGACACCCGCCTAAGACATTTAAGCAACCTCTATTGCAAACCATGGCAGAACTTTTATTTGCATTATCAAAGAATGGTGATCAATCATACAAGAGAAAAGTTTTCTATATAGTGTAAAGGATGGAAGCTGTGTGGGTCGAAGCCTAGTCGCGGAGATTGCTTGCGGTCTAATCCAACGCGAGTAAGCGAGTAACGCGCGCTCACTTTCTTTCTCAACACACACACAGTTTTTCATATTATGGACGGCGAGATAACGCTGTCTCCTTCCGTACTTGGAGAATGCGTAGCAGCAAAGACATTCAGAGACAATCGACAACCCGTTACCTCATTATGCTTTGACGATAGTGGAGAACTTTGTGTTACTTCGGCTCAAGATGAGAGTTTACACATTTACAACTGTCGAGAGGGCAAGTATGTACCAGATCTCAACCCACAATGCCACGATCCATTTATCGACAACCTGCTCATTGGTTTTACAGACACCAGAGTACTTTACACAGCAAAAAGTATGGCGTCAATCTAGCACGATTCACTCATCAAAAGACAACGGTTATTTATGCCTCAACAAAAGAAGACGGTGAGATCCATATCCTCGATAGAGTCATTGACGCCCTTTTCCCCCTCAACTCATGTCGATCATTAGATACCCTGCGATATCTTTCTGTACACGACAACAAGTTCATTCGATATTTTCGTGGTCACAAGGACAAGTATGGATGAAGCGCGAAAAGGGATAAGGAGCGTTCAAATGTTGATCGATGCTTTGGGTTATAGGGTTGTGTCACTGGAAATGTCACCAATAGACGACCAATTTCTTTCATCTTCGCTTGACAAAACCGTTCGATTATGGGATTTGAGATCACCGACATGCCAGGTAAATCACTATGCATGTTCATGTATTGGAAACGGCATTCTAATCTTTTGGATATTGAAAAGGGTGTTGTACATGCCAAAGGACGTCCAACAGCAGCTTTTGATCCTGAAGGTCTGATCTTTGCGCTAGGCGTCGATTCAAGCACAGTGAAAATGTATGATTTGCGAGCGTATGAATCAGTAAGTTTGGATGCTGTTTGAACTCGACGACAAGGAAGAGGGTGGTCTAAATGAGTGTTATCAGGGACCTTTTGCAACATGCGAGATATCAGATACATATTACTATCCAAAGGGCCTGCCGGATTGGACGAGTCTGAAATTCACCAACAATGGCAAGCACATACTGCTTTCGACTTCAGGACAAACACACTATATACTTGATGCATTCAGTGGCAATATTATCCAAAGGCTCAGTGGGTTTCCGCGATTGGGTGTTGATACTTGTGGCGAGGAAACGGGCCTTTCACCGGATGGAAGATTCGTATTTTCAGGTATGGCATGGGGATAAGTTGTGTATCAAGGACAATGAGCTCAAAGTGTGCTTTTAATAGGAGGACGTGATGGCAAATTATACATTTGGGATATAGAGAATCCAGCTTCAACGGCCGGCGTGATTCAAGACAATACACCCATGACGGCCTTGGATACTCCTCATACCGATAATCTTCGAGTCTTTGGCTTCAACCCTTATTACATGATGTTTGTCACAGGATCCGACGAGCTTGTAAGTATTGGTTCTCCCTCTCTTTCTCTTTCTCTCTCCTCCAAACAACGACTGCTGTTCCCCGATACTCCCAAGGAATATGGAGATGTTGGTTTATGTCGGTCGAAGATTCCATTCCCTTTCACATATCCCTTATCATGATGAATGGTAGATCTCACAACGTGATTTATATAGGAATTCTGGCAATCCAAGCAACCAGCACTATAGCTATAATACATGTACCTTTTATACAACCGCATTTCTTCACTCTCTTTGTCCATATCTCCCTGTGCAATAATTGACAATACATTTGCATCATCCGACAATATACTTTACATCTTTTCATTGCACCCATCAGAAATCAAATATGTTTATGGAGTTTTGCTTTACAAAGCCTATTAATGTATGTTGTGTGTGTGTGAAATTTTCTCCGGGGGATATGTTGTTTGAGGAGGAAAGGAACAGCGATACGTAAAATGATTAAGACCGGAGGTGGTGGTAAATGTGTGTTGTTGTAGTAATAAAAGAAAAAGGTGGTGATGGTGGTGGTGGTGGTGGTGCTTGTTATCCCTGTGTGGTGATACAGCCAAATAGTGTCTTGCTAATCGCTTGTTTCGGTGAACTCGTTTAAGAGAACAAACCAGCCCTGGTAAGATTCACATTGTTCGTAAGAGTGTAAAGGTCTCTCGCTAGGTAAAGGAGAGAAAATAGGAAGGGAAAACAGGATTGGGTGGGATACTTACTTATTACGGGTAACAAATGTCTTGTTCAATAACGTCAGGATTCTGGACACATTCAGTCGCACATACTCAAGGTCGAGCAATTCAACGTTGTCTTGTTGCTATACATAGTGATAAGTGATCCTTGTCTTTTGATACATGCGTTGTCAAGTACCTTTTCTAGCAGATCATCCAGCTTGAGATCCATCTCAAGGATCGGCTTTTCTCGTCCTGAACAATTTCCCAACATGTTAATCGCTATGATGAGGTCGCCATATAAGAAAAGAAACTCTCACCTTTAAAGTGCATGGCAATCATAAATGTACCAGGTAAAGGTGATGTGATGAGGAAAAAGATGTTGGGACGCCTGTATCCATTGATGTATCAGCATGTATTCCATGTATAAGACCATCCATATCAAACTCACCTGCTCTCAGGTACTGTGCTCTCTGCAATAACACCATCCTTTTCCATTTGGCTATGAGTGAACTTGACAGGTCCTTGGGCTGATTGCTTTTTGGGCTTTTTGGGCATGCCATCCACCTCAACACCAATGCCAACCGAGTTTTTGGATTTCTTGTCACTGCCGCTTTGAATACGCACATTCTGCAGATAGGCCTTGTAACTTTCAAGCTGGCTTCGGAGGAAAGTGTTGTGATCAAGAATGGCCTTGTATACGCTTTCCAATGAGTCGAGCTCTTGAATGACCTTTTCTTTCAAGTTGCCAAGATGTGCGAGCTCCTGGGTGATTTCTTCTACGAGCAACTTGTATCCATCACGATGATCAACGATGCCAGCATCCTCGAGTTCACGCAACATGTCTTTAACCTTGATCCCCTTTCGTACAAGCTGTGTATCTTTGGTGGTTGCTGCTGTCTCTGCAATATAATCAAGATCCAATGGTCCACCAGCAGCAGCCGATGCAGCAAGATGAGGTAGTGATCGAATAAGCTGGACATAAATGGCTTTTGTCTCCATGTATAGAATGTCGTTTTGTGTAATGTTGTTCTCAGACATCAATGCGGTAGTCAAATCTGTAACACAATGAACAACATGTCAGCATTACAATGACAAAGAGGATGCCTCATTCTTCTTCTTCTCATACCTTGAATGGGAACTTCCCAACGACTGAATAATGGTAACTCGATAGCCTTATTTTCTTTGCGTGACACTTGTGGAATTGAAGGACCAATCTCATTCATCAAAACACGAATATGATCTTTTTCTTTTGGTGCAAGAATATCCAAATGCTGCAAAATAAGTGATTGGGTGCTGTATATCTCATTCAGCGTGATGTTGAGGACGATATCCTTCTTTGATAGTGCCATGTATTGATCCATCTCCAGTGATTCATAAAAGTCGCTCACTTCACACAGCTCGTTGAGGAATTTGTTGATGCGTTGCTTGTTTGATTCGACAAACGGATTGGTTGGAAGCATGTAACTCTCTTTGGCGTAGGAAGGGCGGTTGGCGAGATTTTGAAGCATCTTGGCAATCTATCATGTTCATCCTATTAGTAAGAAGAAAAATACATATACTTGCTAGGTTTGATCATACCAATGTCAATGTTCTTCGTGGGTGTTTGTTGGGTGCATTCTCCAAAAGCATATAGGCTCGTGGGGTGACAATAGCAGGGTTGATGAACCGTAAAAAGAAGAAGCCTCCAATCATTGAGCATACTGAGAATTCAGAAGCATTGGGACTCTTTCGCTTAGTCAAAGATCGAATTTGCTTGCAGATCCATCGGATACCATAAGGCACGGCGTCAGTGGATGCAAGGATGGTGGATAAAAAGCTCTCAGCAATCTCCATAAGCATTTTCAGACGTGGTTGAATGATGGCTTGGACATCCGGGTTCTCAGCAGCTACTTCAGGCGTAACACTTCTCGGCATATCTTGTGGGAGTTGTCCCCGGTCTTGTTCGATTTGTGCAACCATTTGCTCATATACCTGTAATCGCATGCATTAGCACTTGTTTCTTTGCATGATCCTTCCCAATTCAGTGATTACTTGCCTTGAGAGGATTGATTTCCAAATTCAAGTCCTTGTGTTCCACCAGGCTGTTGATCTTTTCTGCTAAGACGGACTTGAGATACGCTTGACCAGGGCCACGTCGTGTGTATGTTGTCATCATTCGAGACACAGGTGTATTCGCTCGTAGCAGAGAACCAAATTCAGTCGACGTTTCAAATTGAGCAGCCAGCACATTCTAATCCATTTGATCATGTTACTACTACTACTACTACTAATATACCTCTTGCCATTGTCACCATCATACCTGAAACATGGTCAACAACAAATGTTCTTCACGGCTTTCATATTGGTTGCCATACAATGTAAACATGACGGTCTGAAGCAACGTATCAATTTCAGCCAAGTTGACGAGTCGACAAAGCGTTGCTATGTGTCGTGGTTCGCTTTGCAGGATAAAGAATAGGTTGCCATAGAGCTGGATTTTGCGGTCGTCTGGATAGAAATCACTGTCTCCTTCTCCATGCTCCTCAAAATGGGCTACCATTTCATTTTGCTATGATACGAATCATGTTAACAACCATATACACATACACACACACACACAGTTGTAGGAATAAAGGCATTCTCATATCCCCCTCTCCTCCAATCACATTCCCCATGATGTTGATACTCACCTCGCTCAATGCGATACGATTCTGGATCAATAAAGCAATACGTGAATCGAGATAGCGAACATCACGTTCCAACACAAAGTTCTTTTTTGACTGAGCCGAGATTTTTGTCTTGAGGTCGCGTAGCTTCCTTTGAGCTGTCAGAGTAAGGGGGGAATATAAGTACAAGAGGTTCCATTGAGAAATGCAAAGTACCACTGGTCATGTTGACTTGCCTTGGGCGAGCTCATCCTCCACTTCATTATCTTGTTCAGCTGCCATGGAGTAGAATGCAGAGACAGAGTAACGCTTAGAGGTGCGACCTGCTTTTTTGCTTGAATGGTGATTGTTTGCTGCTGCTGCTGCTACTGCTCGGGAGACAATGGTGCCTGCACCAGGAGAGTAACCATACGATTGAACCATGGCAGGTGATCCACAACGACGAAGCAACGATAAGAAAGGAAAAAGAGTGCGAGTGAATAAGAGAAAGAGAAAGAGAGAGGGAAAAGTATAAGGAGTAAGACAAAACTCAGGATACCAAATCAGGCACGCACCTTTGTATATGCTGCATTGGGAGATGAGAGTGATAGATTCCATCTATTTTCATCACTTGTACTTTTCATTCAATGGATCAAGTTATATCATGTTGCATAAAAACGTCACTGGATGAGTTGTTCTTGTTCACATAGCCATCCTGGTCTGGAGATTTGCTTGCTCACAGATACTCTCACATGTTCGATCTTCTGTCACACAACCTTACAATCACCTACTTTAATAGGAAGGCACAACGCACCCTTTAATTGACTCGATTTCCATGTGTGCACACACGTTTTTCCTTGTTTGAGGAATTATTCTAGTAATCCATTCTCGCCCATCACTCTGCTTTGTTGTATGCTATCTCTCTTGCGCGCCATTTTTCGTATCGAACACATATCATCTTACCCTTAACCTTATCTACAATGAACTAAACCTTATGGCGCTTCTTTCAAGGAGACCATTAATACTCGTCGTATGGATGGTACATGTATATCAGCTCTGGAACATCCTTCAACAACACGTTACAACTTGGAAGGATCCTACTTCTTTAAATAGCTTGAAGAAGAATGAAAAGCATGAAAATAGCATTAGCTTGAGGATATGATCCACTGTCAATTGTTTGTGCTACATGTGTACTTGTGGGACATTCGAGGTAGATCTTGGATTCATTACATTCCAAGTTCCCAATAGCTTCAATCATCATCATTAATATATAAGAAAACAAGGAAATTGATACATCACTACTTTATAATGCGTGGCAACACAGCACATCAACAAGATGAAGTAGAGCATGCACAAATCCTTTATTCAATGACCATTTTACTACTGATACATTTCTAATATTGAATAAACAGCAATGCATGAATTGACTTTAGGTCAAATGCTGAAAGTGGCGGGAAAAGGATGGGATTTGTTGCTTTGATCTAGACTCAGTAAATCGGTTGCTATGATGCGTTGTTGCCTGGGGGAAGCGTTGCCACGTTACCCAATCACAAATAGACAAATGAGTGCATTGTACCTGAATGATGATGCTATTGTTGTTGTGTTGATAGCTATTCATAGTACTCTGGCACAACCTACTTCCGCGGGATGTAGTATTAGAACGTGGCTTCAGCTCCTTGGATCTCAAACTATCGATGACGCTAAAAGCGGTGCGGAGTCGTACTACCTGTCGATCCCTTTTTGAAGGGCTCAGCTCGGCTATTCTGTTGGCTCTTTGCTTTCATCATCTACAATCTCCACCATGGCTCCCATCACTGAATTCTCCAAGCGCACACAACCCGATACTATCGTTCTCTTTGACGTGGACGGCACCTTGACTCCTGCTCGTGGTGTAAGTTTTGATTTGATATGGACTTCTCCTGTATCGGTTGCTAACCTTTACTCTCTCTCTCTCTCTCCCCTCCCTCAATGTAGAGCGTTTCCCAGGAGATGCTTGACACCTTGGCCGAATTGCGCAAGAAGGTTGTCATTGGTTTCGTTGGTGGATCCGATTTGAGCAAGCAAGTTGAACAGCTTGGTGCCAACGGTAAGCGATTGACAAGCAAAGTGTAATAAGAATGGAAGGCTGATATGGGTAATGGTAATTGTAGTGACCCAGGATTTTGATTACTGCTTCGCTGAAAATGGTTTGACTGCCTATCGCCTTGGTGAGCAGATGGCATCCCAGGTAGGATACAGGGAATAGGATGTGAAGAAGAAGAAGAAAGAATACTCATGCAACAGGCATGGTAGAGCTTCATTGAATGGATCGGTGATGAAGAATACAACAAGCTTGTCAACTTTATCTTGCGTTACATTGCTGATATGGATCTCCCAAAGAAGCGGTAAGTGTCATTTGATCTGTTGATCTTGAATGTATCATTTGACCTCGTTGTATAGTGGTACCTTTATTGAATTCCGTAATGGCATGATCAACGTATCACCTATTGGCCGTAACTGCTCCCGTGAAGAACGCAACGAATTTGAAAAGTATGATCTTGAACGTGGTTTGCGACGCAAGTTTGTCGAGGATTTGAAGGCTGCTTTCTCTCATTTGGACTTGACCTATTCCATTGGTGGCCAAATTTCCTTTGACGTTTTCCCCACCGGCTGGGACAAGACCTACTGCTTACGCCATTTGGAAAAGGAAGGTTTCAAGACCATTCACTTCTTTGGTGATAAGACTTTCAAGGGTGGTAACGACTATGAAATCTACAACCATCCTGATGTCACTGGCCACGCAGTGACTCGTCCTGAGGATACCATCGCCATCTTGAAGGAGCTCTTCCCTTAAACCACACATGCCTTTTTCAATCTTCCATCCCATTTCATGTTCCACATTTCTCGCAACCCATACTGTCTTTCTTTTTTCCCCGCTTAACATATCATAAAGTTTGGCATTTGATCCTGTACAATCGTGGTTGTTCATTGTATTTCATTACATTGCATAAAGGTTTGATCCTATTTAAGTGATCTATGGAGTGCTATTGTAGTGGCAGAAGACTAATGCGATCCATTGGTGAGACAAAGTGAGTGGGACTGGTGATCCAAAAATGGGTGCTTCGATGTCAAATTTTTGTTGCCGATTCAACCTTGAGTTCGAAGTACTGCTTACATTTGGAACATCGCTTTTTACCTACAATGTATACTGCTACATGCATAGCAACGCATAGACTTTGTTACATGCTGGATCATTAATAAACTCTGGTTGATAGCTGAATTCACTACAGCGACGAAAAATGGGTCTATGCAACCATCGAGTTTTTTGGCTAACATAGCCTTCCTTTTTTCTTATGGCACTTGGCGAGCATGCATTCTTAATTTGCATGATGCAACTTGTATCAAGGTAGGCATTGCATAGACAGGTATTGTGATAACGCATCACTCATACAGGGCATGGATCAAGATCTTCCTTTGAAAACGAGCCGAATAATGTGACCTAAAAATTGCCATGTGGCTTCAACCAGTGATGTTTAGAGCCACGAACATGGGAGCAAAGAGCCGCAATGGTATCCTTTTTGGAATTAGCAGTAGATCTGAAACCGATGATCATTGCAGGTCATCCCTGCTCCTTTGTTGGGATGTACTTGCGCCAAGCAGCGTACATGTAGTAGTGAAGCGTGTGCGGCAAAGCCGGAAATTTCGCAGAGATGACTCATCATATGCATAATGAAAGCCTTTTAATATCACTTTGGGATAGTTTTACTAAGCAAGGGAATAATTTGGATGATGTACAGGGACGCTATCATCAACGATAAGCAATGCATTAAAATGCCAGTTACACAAAACACTTTCGGAGACACTTTATTATTCATCACCTGTGTGAAATCAAATGTGCCTGTGCCTAGTTTTGGGATAATGCCTTTCTTTCACGAGTTATGTCTGCAAGTAGCCCTTTACGTGCATCAACATACCATCGATACTATGACAAGTATTATCCACACCACATAGAGCTCTTGGAAGATCTAATACGTGGTGTATCGTTGGCCCTACCAGGTAAATCCATATAGCAAAAATGACATTTCATTCTTCTTCGCCTTATTCTCAGCCTTCCCCAAAACATACGTGATTCCTTGTTTACAATATTCAACGCCCTCTCTCTTTCTCTTTCTTTCCAGGACGTTTCGAGGATGCTGACCTATGTTCACAGACACGTAAGTGTTCCCCATGTGAAGGGGAGGTGGTTTGTCACGATGGCTCCATGTCCACTCACCGTCATTACTGCTTAGTCATTTCCGTGTTGAATCTATTCTTGCTCCACCATACACACTTATTGGCAAGGCGGCGTTCCGAAAAGGATGAATCGTTTGTGTTCAATAAGCACGTTCAGGCGTATTATCGTTCTCAGTGGCCATCCAAAACGGCATCACTTGCCTTGAGCATCATATCTTATACGGAGGTGGTATTTGAGCTCATTCTCCATCGACGCGTCTCTAGCAAGTCTCGGCGCTGGCGTTGGATTGTAGGGATTGAAGGAATCAAGTAGGTATAATGGGATGGCTCATAAGGTCATGTTTTAATCTTTACATTGATTGCATAGAGCTATTTTGCGTTTGGTGTTATTCTTTCGCTCTGGAAAGCGCACAGTCATTCATCCCACACATCTTGTGCGAAACACAGATCCATGCACATTTGAAAGCAACGTTACCGACAAGCTTGAGCTGGCAACCCTTGACCCTCGAACAGGCACACCTTCCACAGCCAATCCTCGATTACTGACAACATCCACTACTGCATCAAGCACCACACCAAGAAGGGGATGGGCACTTTTTGGAGAAATAGTGTGGGTTATTAGGCCTGTGGTATATGGTAAGTTGAACAAAGGTGTTGTGGTCACCTCCTGTACTGATGCAATCATGATGATGATAGCATTTATGGTAATGAATACGATACGTCGAGGATCACACAAGGTCGTTGAAAAGTCTGAAGAGGAGGAAGAAACAGAAAAAGATGATGAGATTGAGTGGAAACCATGGCTAGTATCATTATGCATCGATTTGCTAGCACGAACGGCACGTTCAATGCAACCATCATCATCGCTTGAGCAGGATGAGTACAAGCGGCGAGATTATCTCTTGCTTTATTATTTATTACGAGGCCCTGTCTACAACCTATTTACCAGGTGATCATTGTTGACATGGATACCATGATATTGGACATTGACTAATCATAATGACATGATGATAGGCGGCTCTTGGAAATGTTTTGTGATGCGAGTGAACACCGCCCCCTGGTATCGATTCTTGCGAGTAAGTACCCACCCACCCCATATGCTGGTTTGATGTCAACAGCGACTAATGCGAGCTTATTATTATAGCTGCATTGAATGATTATAGGCCATTCTGGGAGCAATCTTACTTTTACACAGCCGGGTCATAGAGATAACAGTAGTTCATATTCATCATCCAATAGCATTATTAAAGATACCAATATCCATCATTTAGCTACTTTAAATGTGAGTGTCTCATGGCATAGGACCATAGTCGACATGTGAAAAAGATAAACAAAAGGGTTGTGAACAAAGGAGAATGGCACGTGGATAAAAGGAAATGACCGTGCTCGTTGATAGTGGGGAGGGAAAAAGTCGGCCATCTGAAACCGACCATGTTTCACAAACAGCGTCAATGCCACTAAGCAAGAATATGATTTGCTGGCGGTGCTATCATCACCGACCTCTCACCACATAATCGACCCAAAGTCCATTTTGGAAACTTGCACACACGCACACACACACACACACACAAAGCACACTCGCACATACACAACACAAGCACAACCCACAACAACAGAAACCTTACACATACGCCTTTATTATGAAGTTTCTTGAAATCGACTCGCTAGATGCTCTGAATTCAATATTCGAATGGGAAACTACCGAATGCATACTCAATGGCCGCATTGAAGCCTATTCTTGTAAGTATTATCCCGAAGGCACGAGAAACGGTGTGAAGGCTGACACTGTTCAATGGTAGGCAAATCGGCTGGTTCCGACAAGAAGCTCTTCAAACAACTGGAAAACAAGTATAGCCCTGCTGTGGACTTGACGGTGGGCTCCATCTCGCCTGACGATCTTCAGGTCATTTCACCCTTTGGCCGTTTGGATGAGGCCGCACCAAGGAGGACGTTCTTTTACCTCCTAGCAACGCTCAATGCCGCCTATCCAGATAATGACTTTTCGGAAGTACGCCCGGATCAGTTTAGCAAGCAACACTCTTTGGATCTCGTCATCAATTCAGTGAATACAACGCTCTTCAACCTTGGCAATGATTTCATCATCAACCGATACAGGTAAGGAATAGGCATTCGATCCATGATCAATGGTAAATGTTAAACATGTAAGGGTTGAATAGGATGTGGGATATCTTGGATGATTTGGTACAGCTCAAGGAATGCGACGTATACAGTTACAACCCAGACAGCGATGACGATCCTATGAATGAAGATGGCTATTTGTAAGTTGCACTATTTGGGCGGTCCAACGCCAACATTCGCATGAGAACATGGACACCTGATGACTCCCTCGGATATTAGATGGTCAATGAATTACTTTTTCTTCAACCGCAAACTCAAGCGTATGATTTACTTTACTGTAAAGAGTCAAAGGTATAAAGAGGATGAGAGAAAAAAAGAGGTCTTGGCAAAAGCAGGTACACTAACACACATCTTCAACCCTCCCCCCAATACTTTAGCTTGATCAATGCACCTGCCAGGGACGATGAAGCTGATTTTGATGATGGAGAGGAGGATGATGATGACTCGAGGTAAGCTGACATGCACCATTTTTGGTATTCCCCGGTGGGAAGAGAGAGAGAGAGATCGCCGCTCATCCTTTAGTGTCCATAGACAACGACGCTATGATTATTTAGTTATGGGTGACATGGAAGATTAATTACGACATGATGACATCCAAGAATGTACAGACAATGCTCTGGGTCCCCTTGCCTTTCTTTTCTTTTCTTTCCTCAATGCGATATCAACAACAGAAAAAAGAAAGAACCATGAGTCCCACGCCCATGGATGAGAATGGGCATCACCCCTTTTTTAGCCTGTTTAACAAATACAGTCTGGTACCATTTTCTATTGTGTATAAAAGAACATCCCATAGCCCTTACTACGCCCCCCTTTTCCTCGCAAATATATCATTGGTTTTCTTCCATTCATATCATGGCTCCTCAAAAAACACGCCATAATACACGAAAGCCTCGACTTTTCCAATGCACAGGTTATGGTGATTGCCATATGGTATTCACTCGAAGCGAGCATTTGGCCAGGCATGCTCGGTAAGGGTCAACGATGATAACCCTGGTCGTCGATGTTGATGATGATCAGGGCACTTTTTTATGAACATCAGGTGCTTATCATCTTTTTGCTTTGTATATTTTTTGACTATAGAAAGCACACAGGAGAGGTACAGGATCTAATACACGGATGGGAAAAAACATACATATGGATGCATTATTAACCACGCGACATACAACACAACCTTTTCTATCTCCCCCCAACCAACCAACAGAAACCATTCAAGTGCATAATGCCGGATTGCAACAAGATGTTCAGCCGCTTTGATAACATGATGCAACACACACAAACACATCGATCGAGCTCATCTCCTAATAACATGGGCAATACCTATCAACGATCTCAACGACGACGACGTACTCGTATCAGCAGCATTGATACCACCATGAGTACAAGTAGTAGTAGCAGCAGCAGCAATGACAGCATCGACTCAGCAACAGCATCATCCCCTTCACAACCTGAAGATCGTGATAAACGGCGTCGTCTTTCGATAGCAGAGCTATGCAATCCATCATCCAGCTCACCTTCTTGGCCAATGTCACCCACAACACCAACCGATGATATCCATCATTCTCCTCCTTCTCAACATGATAACAAGATCAAGCTAACAGCAGATGAGATGGAAGCATTGCAAGCATTGGGACGCCTTCACACGACCAATGATTTTTTCGAATCACTCCATGATATGATTACTGTGGGGCCAAGTGGAAATGCATGTGCTTGTCTCTAAGAATGGCGAGTGCCGCCATTTGGTCCTCGTTTTCTTTTTCTCCCATGGCCGCACAGACCACCTTTTTTGTATCATAGTCCTACCATTCCCCCATCCTGATTCCCCCCTTTTATTCTTTGTTTCTCAAGTCGTTTTTCTTTCCTTCTTTCTTTCTTTGTAACTCTATCATTCTTCATCATTCATCATCATTGTCATTCTTGATCCACAAAAGAAAAACTCCAATTTGTGAATATGCTGTACATGAATGTTACCTGTATCATGTTGCGTGTATGAGTATGAGTGTGTGAGTGTGTGTGTGTGTGTGTGTGTGTGTGTGTGTATGTGTGTGTGCGTGTGTACATTGAATCAGATGTTCCTTGGTAGGAGAGGGGGAAACAACATCATGACAGCTGAGTATTTGTGTGTGTGTGCCCATTACCATTAAGAAAAAGAGAGCAAGAGAGAGTGCGTGTGTGTGATACATGGGAGACACAAACATTGCAACAGAGTAAACGGGGACCAAAAGGACCCAGGTTATGCTATATATTCAGGTAGGCTGTCGATAGACGGGAGGGGGGGCGAGACAATTATACGATCTGCTGAGTTAAAGTGCTACCACCCACCACTCAACAAAAATGGTCGATAAGATCTACGATGTCTTTTGAGCGGGAAAACATGTAACAAGAACCATCGTCATCCATGACGTCTTCGTTTCTCCACCACTTGCGTACCCTTAGTTGAATCATAGCATATATCCCGCTCATTACATTCCGCTTGATTCACCCCCGCTTACGACTAGTAGTAGCAGCAAAGTGATGAGGATTAAAAAGCATGTGCAGTAAGCGGCCGACGTGTTCCGAGAACCATGTGACTCGGAGAACAATCCCGTCGGACCACCTTGGGCCACCCATTCCATCACACTTTAAGAATCTGGCACGCGTTTCGCAAGGCTTTTCCTTTTTCTTTTCTTTCTTTTGACTCACTCTCTCTTTATACACTCACACACATAAACAGTAAGTACTTGTCACTTGTCATTGGGTACATGGCATGCTCATTACAACGCGTCTCTCATTGCCCCATGGCTGAAACCTCTCCTACCCATTTAGACAGCAAACATGGCACGCAACTTTTTCATTGGTGGTAACTGGAAGATGAACGGTTCCGTCACCTTGGCCAAGTCCTTGGTTGACATGCTCAACAACGCCACTATTCCTGCTGGTACTGGTATGTCATCGTTTTCTTTGTTCAAAGTTCTTTATGATCGTTTATGCAATACACGTATGCTGACTCAAAAACCCCATGCACATACAGAGGTTGTTATCTCTCCCCCTGCTATCTACATTGACCGTGTTCGCCAATCCTTGAAGAAGGAGATTGGTGTTGCTGCTCAAAACTCTTATGTCAAGGCCAGCGGTGCTTACACTGGTGAAATCAGGCAAGTAGTGGAGAGGGAGGGAGATGGCGGGAAAAACTCGTCATACGAAATCAGTGATGGAAGAAATCTCAGTGCATGGGAAATGATGCTAACTCTCTCTCTTTTTCATCACACTATAGCCCTGAGCAACTCAAGGACTTGGGTATTGATTGGGTCATCCTTGGTCACTCTGAGCGTCGTGAATACTTTAAGGAATCCGACGACGTAAGTTGTATGAGTGGTGGGTTCTTTGTTTTTTGGATGGTGATATTGATGGATGATCCTTTTTATATAGTTCGTTGGTGAGAAGACTGCTCATGCCTTGAAGGCTGGTGTCAAGGTTATTCCTTGCATTGGTGAGAAGCTTGAGGAACGCGAAAGCAACAAGACCACCGAAGTTGTCACTCGCCAATTGAAGGCTATTGCTGACAAGATTGATGACTGGACCAACGTTGTCGTTGCCTATGAACCCGTCTGGGCTATGTAAGTTTCATGCATGGGATGGGATGGGATGAGGGTGATGGTTTCAGATGCGGGGTATCGTTGTCGCTCGCACGTGCGCCCAAAAGTGAACACGTCACATCATCAATGGTGGTAGTAGCAAGCAGCAGTAGACTGATGAAATTTGATCCTATTATAGTGGTACTGGCAAGGTCGCTACTCCCGAACAAGCTGAAGAAGTCCACGCTACTCTTCGCAAGTGGCTCGCTGACAATGTCTCCCAAAAGGTTGCTGATGAGACCCGTATCATCTATGGTGGCTCCGTCAAGGGCAGCAATGCTCCTGAGTTGGGTATGTACAATTTGCTTGGTTTAGGCAAAAAGATACAAAAGAGAATGATCAGCCCTCATCTGACCTTTTTGTTACAATCGTGTAGCTAAGCAACCTAACATTGATGGTTTCTTGGTTGGTGGCGCTAGCATCAACGAGGACTTCCTCAAGATCATCGCTGCTCGTCAGTAAATTCGACAACCAACATTTCCTTTGCTATAAATATTTCTTGCGCGTACATACAACATGATCCTCTCTACATTGCACAATAAAAGCTTTCGCATCTAGCTGTTATCAAAAGAGATGTTTTATCCTGGTATAGGCAAAAAGAAAGAGATACAGACATTGTAGATGTGCAACATGACTTGAGAGCGTGGATCAAGCAGGCTTCACGATTGGCCAAGCGCTACAATCTTTTCGACAATTTAGGAAGAGGTCCACACATGCGGTATCCACTCGATCAGACAATGAGCTACAAAGCCAAGCCCCGAATAACATTTTTGACACACACAAGCACACGTTTAACGTGGTGATCTGATTGATTATAAATATAAAGAGGATCTTGGCTCAAAATTTCCCTTCCTTTGGTCTTCATTTTTTATTGCTTTTGGAAATGTCCAAACCTAATCCCCAAGAGGGAGCTCCACCTGTCATGGCCACTACGACCACCACCACTACCGTGGTTACAGACACCCAATCTTCTCATGAAGCACAAACGTATGGTCTTGATGCTATCGAGCGTCGTCGGGTTGCTTTACAAGAGGTACGTATACCATCATCATCCATCCTATCCCAATCATTTTGCCCACATGCTTACATGTAGTACTTTATCTCTTCTTCTACGTACTAGTTTGATGATGCCAAGTTTGGCTGGTTCCATATTCGTGCTTGCATTGTCTCTGGTGTTGGCTTCTTTACAGACGCATACGACATTTTCGCTATCAACCTTGTGTCGACCATGATAGGCTACGTTTATTGGGGTGCTGAAGATAACACGACCCCGCATAATGTTGACACTGCTATCAAAGTTTCAATGTCATGTGGCACGGGTACATGTTTGATAAATGGGTTGTGAGCTTTCATGTATTCTAAATTGCTCTCTTCAATAGTGGTTGGACAACTCTTATTCGGTTATCTTGCTGATCATGTTGGTCGTAAGAGAATGTATGGTGTTGAGCTTATCATTATGATCGTTGGCACCATTGGTCAAACGCTTGCGGGCAATGGCCCTGCTGCTTCTTTTTGGGCGGTCATTACCTTTTGGCGAGTCATTGTTGGTATCGGTATTGGTGGTGATTATCCTCTCTCTTCGGTGATCACATCCGAATTTGCTACTACCAAACGCCGTGGTGCTATGATGGCAGCTGTATTTGCTATGCAAGGCATTGGTCAAGTCACTGCCGGTATCGTTGGCTTGATTGCTACAGCTGCATACCAAAATGCCATTCGTGCTGATCCTACACAACTTGATTATGTATGGCGTATCGTCATTGGTGTTGGTGCTGTTCCTGGTGCTATTGCTCTTTACTATCGTTTGACCATTCCTGAAACGCCGCGTTACACCATGGATGTCGAGCAAAAGATCGAAAAGGGCATCCGTGATGCTAAAGCCTTTGTCGAAAATGGTGCAGCTGCTGGTGATTACAGCGACAATTTGGCCGTTTCTCGTGTTCACACCGATGTGCCTCGTGCATCATGGGAAGATTTCAAAAATTACTTTGGCCAACGTAAAAACGCCCTCAAGCTCTTTGGCACTGCTTACTCTTGGTTTGCTCTCGATGTTGCATGGTACGGCTTGGGACTCAACAACTCGATCATTTTGAAAAACATTGGCTTTGCTGGTGGCGATGCTTATGAGTAAGGCTTTTCATTTTACATACATCACCTCATTGATGGTACTAATCATAAACTCGCATTGCAGAGCTGTATTCCGCACATGTGTGGGCAACATCATTATCAACCTTTTAGGTTCAGGTAGGGCATCATCATCATGTGCCTTTAGGATCATGCATAATACTCACATGCTGTGTTGCACCAACTATAGTACCAGGCTACTGGATCTCTGTGTTCACTATCGACTATATGGGTCGTAAGACAATCCAGATTATGGGTTTCACGATGTTGACCATCATGTTCATTATTCTTGGATTTGCTTATCATGCTATTCTCAACACCTCGGTCCCCTTGTTCATTGTTCTTTACACGATTACGCAAATCTTTTTCAATTGGGGCCCTAACACAACGACTTTTATTGTTCGTAAGTATAGCATGTTGATGCATTCATTGTACAATGATGACGTTGTTAACGATGATCTCTTTATAGCTGGTGAGTGCTTCCCAACACGCTATCGCTCTACTGCCCATGGTATCTCGGCTGCTTCAGGCAAAGTTGGATCCATCATTGCACAAGTTGGCTTTGGCTTGCTCAAAGATATTGGTGGCAAGAACAATTGGATCGACCATTTGTTGGAGGTGTTTGCACTTTTCATGTTGACAGGTATTTTCTCGTCACTCTTCATTCCAGAGACCAAGGGCAAGACGCTTGAAGAGCTCGGCGATGAAGAACATCATCACGTGGAAAGGTCATCTGATGGCAAAGCTATCGAGTAATCACCCCCACCCCACCTATGCCATGGTACCTTGATCCATTTATAATAATACATATTGCTATGATGCTGAAATGATTAATGACCCCAATAAAGGTCGAATTTACTTTATGCTCGAGATTGAGATGATCAAATGTTTCTTTTTATTTATCGAGCCCTATGCTTTATCGATACTGTGGTCGAAGAATGGGGTGACATAAGAATGCATTGTTGCGTGGATACTTTGGATGATAATGATGCGTTGCTGATGTAGTAGCTAATGATAATACGCGTATGGAGGAGGGGTATTTTGCATCGTCGTAGTCGAACGAAGGGTACCAAATAGCAGGTAAGTTGAGTGGGTTGTTGCTGCTGCATGATGAGAAACACGATATTTCAGCTAAGTCAAAAAGAAAGTGAGTTTGTGTGCATAGCCCATTTCATAGTACAGTAACTAACTACTACCATTGCTTTCGTATCCATGGCTTTCATCAGCAAAACGCACTTGTTGCCTAGAGGAACGCTTTGCTTTCTCTTTGAGCGTGCCTTTTTTCGATCCATATGGACATCGTTTCGTTTTGTCCTTGGACCCTAGTGGTCGACCTCGTTTCTTTGGTACTGCATTTGGATCAAAAGAGGGTTGTTTCAGGAGGTGGGGGTTTATTATTCTTCATGCTCTTCGGTGTTTGCAGCTGTTCATTTTTTGACGTACCTCGTTCTTCCTTCAGTTCTTCCAACACAGCAATGACCTTTGGGTGTCTGGCTACCTCCTGGTTCCATTCAGGGCCGTGCGCAGGGTGATAACATTGTGAGTGAATCAGATTGTATAAGCCATGGTAACTCATTTTGCCCGTCCGATCGCGAATGAGGCGCAACAACTTGTCAACTGTTATTGGATAAGGATCGACACCCGGCCAACACTTCTTGAAATGGTTAGTGTATGTGACGAATCGTCGCGAATGATAGTCTGGAGTCGTCGACATGTCGGAAGGTGGGTATGAAGAAAGAGGAAAAGAGTTACAAGGGGAGTACGCGTCAACCTTGCTGTCACTCGTGTCTCCAAGTTGTGTGCAACAATGCTCATCATCACCATTAATGACCAAGCGACGTCATTGATCTACACTTTCACCAAGTTACAAGTGGGTACAATATCTGATTTTCGGCATTCGGCAATGTGTAGTATCGATTTCATATGGGCATGGCAACCGCAGCAGTAAAGGATCTTGATCGTCAAGGGCAACGGTTGCTATGGAAGTTCATGAACGGCGATTTTGCGATATCGACACCATCCTCGATTCTTATATCTCTTTTAGATAGCATAGCATCATTGAATGATTAAAAGTATGTTATGGAATGTTTTATTGCTATTGAAGGATTGAAAAGGATGTCAAAACGATTGGGTGATCATGCTACCAAATTGAATCGGCGTTGCGGGATTCAAGTGTGTTGTGCAAGAGACGACACAGCGGGAAATGGAGTTAAGACGATGACTACCAAAAAGCTTTTCTAGTCGTATATTTTGTTTCTCGTTTCCTATTCTCAAATACTCACAATAACGCCTTTCTTTTCTCTCTCCCACCCGAGTCGAGAAGCGGCAATAATAAGAACAACACTCTAGTCCAATAGAAGGTGTGTGAGAGCGCGTTGAATCTTGTATCCTTGGGTGAATCCGTTCCATGAAAGGATCATCGCAACACCACTTGACCGATTCCGACATATCCTTGCAGCTCTCTGATGCGTCTCCGTTATCGTCTGAATCCGATCAAGAGCAACCACCTGGTCGACGACGACTTTCGGATACGACAGTAGCAACCAAACCAGCAAGCAAGCAAACGTCAAAGAAGAAAAAGTCAACATCCAATGCAAAAAAGAAGACAACTACCACCAACAACAAGAAACGTTCATCCAACGCGACAACATCATCCGTTAATACCATCACCATTCCAGTTTCAAGCATCACTCACTCACCTGAATATTGCATTTGTCGTAAAGGATATGATGGCAAAGAATTTATGATTGCATGTGATGGCTGTCAAGGTAACAATGGGGGAAAATGGGGTCCTTTGTCCCTTGCATATGTTGCTGATTCGTTATTCCTCTAGAATGGTTTCACGGCCGTTGTGTAGGTGTGAAACCTAAATCAGTGACCGGAAAGTACTTTTGCGAAGCGTGTAGCACCACAACAACAAAGTCGCGTAACAAAGGTAAGGTTGCCACTACTACTACGTCATACGGCTATATAGGTATCCTGAACATCATGCTACATTTCTAGGTCGGAAAGGAAAGACGAAGCGGAAAACCAACAAAAGCCAACCCGTTGTCGTCGAACCTGTCACCATTTCATTATCACGTGATGAAGAAGACATTGACGACATTTGCCCTGTATGTGACACCGAATGTACATGTGGAGCAGCAGAACCCGAACCGGCACCAGCACCATTACCAGCAACAGAACCATCAGCATCTATTGAATCACACAAAGAGCCTGAGCTTGTAGCGACTGATGAATGGGAGGTTACGGATGATAAGATGGTTGTCGAACGTATTGGTATTGAGCCAGATCAAGAATTACTCGACGTTGATGCAATATCCGATATGGATGATGCCAAAAGCAGTACATACACATCCAGCATACACATTGATTCGGGGGATGATGAAGATATCGAAAGAGAGGAAGAAGCAGCAATCATTAGAGATGTTTTACAACATGGAGATGCCTCTGATTTCGATTCGGATGATTTATTGGAAGAGGATGATGAAGAGGACGAGGAAGCTTTCTATTATTACGCTGATGAAACGGATGAAAGCGATACTGGTGTCATCCATGAAGAAAGCGATAATGAATATGAGCACTCATCATTTCGAATGTACAGCCTCGGTGAAGGATGGACTTCATCCGAAGAAGAAGAAGACGACGATCACGACCATGATCACGACCATGAAGAAGAAATCATTGATACACAAGCTGCACCTTCTGACGACGTGCCTGGTGTAGATGGAAATCTCTTTGACAGCATTGCATCAGCGTTTATGGAGATCTTGACACCACTTGCAGAGAATCAGGATATGGCATCATTATTGGGTCTCGTTACCAACGATCAACAACAACCACAACAGGATATGGGACGTCGATTATCTTTACCGAGCAGCGCTGTACAGGATCATCCACCAGAGGAACTTACATCAGAAACGCTTGGTGCTATGGCAGCTCTAGAATCCGAATTACCACTTTCCACAGCCAAAGAAGATGAACAACCATTCCTAGATCATCAGCCAGAAGAGACCGTGTCATTACCTACCACCCCAATACAGTACGATCTCAAGTTACAAGAGCAGCTTTTTGAGCTGGTAGGAAATCAATCAGCACCAACGAGTCCACGAGAGGTTCTTTCCAATCCTGCTGATTCTCCGGATATCAATGAAAAGAAAAGGAGCTTCACAGAGGTAAATCATGGGTATTGCTACTACATCCCATATTGTAATTGACACAATGTTTATATAGCCACCTTCAAGAAGCAAAAAGCGTCGGATATCAATTTCATCCTCTGCAACCCCACCACCCGATGAGAATGAAGCAGTATCCATGGATGAGCTTGTGGATACATCTCAATTATATACACGATCATCTTCATCACCCGAGCCCGAGGAGCCGGATACCCAAGTATCACGAGACTTGTCTCGATGGCAACGAGTCCCCATTGGTGCCTTTCGCTTGATGCGATCCAAAAACAAACTCTGGCTTGAACGCTAATTTACATTTCATTCATCTTGCACTACAACACACACACACACACACACACACACACACACACACACACCCCTCACATATTCCTCATTTTTTCACACATTCCAAAAGTTTGTAAAATCACCTTTCATGTATGTATTTTCTCCATCGTCTCATGGCTGCAAACTTGCTTTCACACAATGCACATTTCTTCACACGTCCACTACATTGTATATGTCGATCAACTCCATCATGCAAAAACAAATAAACATGCCTTAGATTAACTTTTCTATTATGTGCCATTGCCATTCTGTGCTAAAAAGAAATCACTAAGCTGCTCACTCGTGGTCGCCTCGTATATAGTCTTGTCGGTGCGTGTTCTCAAATATCTTGGGAAGCGTAACGATAATCCACGATCAGGATCGATTCTCCCGAGAGCGCCTTTGTGCACTGGGCTGATGGTGATGTCCGCCCCTACGTATGTATGATTGAATGGTTGGTTGATTTTTGCTACTACACATCACGTTGTTTGTTCTTTACCTTTGATTTCCCACACCTCCGTTGCATCAAACCACACTACATCATAATCATTAGTGATATTGTCATTGTATCAAGGATAATGAAGGTATCTGCTACTTACCATCAGGCACCAAGTCTGTGACATAATCATGCCGTGCGTGCTCTAGGATACGATCCCCACTGTAGAATTGCTTCATGTTGCGATAAAACTCGTCGCTGAATCCTATAAAAGCCAAACATAAGCAACGGCATCATCATTCACCATGCTCACTTTGTATATAGCAACACATACCAGACATGCATTTACAAACGCTTTCAAACGCATCATTCTCAGGATTGAAGCAAGCCAAAAGCACAGGTGAATACCAGCCAGCCTTCCTTCCGTTCCCATACCAGGCACCAATGGGCTATGCGTATTCCATCACGTATATGAAAAGCATGTTCAAATAGCATACATGTAGACATATAGTACTTACGACCAAATCAAGGGAATCACCAACACCTTCCAAGTAATCTTTCTTGACCTTGAGCCAGCTCTCTACTCTTTTATCTATGGATGATATTATTAGCACAAGGCACGTGAAAATGTCAACATTGAAGCTTACCAGGTTCATATGTTGATAGAGGCTGCTGAACACCTGCAGGGGGAGGATCGAGCACCTTGACCATCATTCCTTCATTTCCTTCTCTCACGCTCTTGTCAAAGAAAGCATATACTTTTTCTTGATCCTCTGGCACACCACGGGCTTCAATTCCTTCAGCGAAGTCAAATACACCTTGTTTCGGCACAAAACGATCCCGCAGTCGACCACGACGTTCTCGGAAAGACATGCGCAATAGAGACTCTCCATTCAGGTACATCAGATCTAGATCACATGTTAAAGTAAACAAATCAACCTCCACAGCAACCACTAATCTCACCAAATGCCATAACGCACTATAATAAAACGTAAGATGCCTGCATTCAATCATTGTTTATATACATACCACTTGTACTTTGATGCCCGCAATGGTCACATTCTTCCGTTCTCGATTGCTGAGAGTCTGAAAGGGTAAAATGGTGCCTTCTTCGTTGATTGCCACGATTTCTCCATCAATGATAAATGATCCGACATCAGCCTTGCGGACATCTGGAAGCATGTGCACCACATCAGGATACTTGTCGGTCATATCCTATGGCAATAAAACATTAACCATGGTAATCGATTATAGCGCCTTTCCATAAGGTACGAACCTCAAGGTGTCGGCTGTAAATCTTGACATGGCCTTGTTCATCCATATGGATCTGTGCACGCTGAAAGAGAAATAATAGTACATGATGATGAGTGAGCCATTATGAGTGTTTTGAACAAGCGGCGACATGCTTACTTGACCATCGTATTTACACTCGCATACGAAATCCCGATCAGCGAGCTTCGCAAAGACATCCGTCATCCTTCGAGTGATTTGACCAAGCATAGGTCGAAGAGGAACGCCTAATAAACCACGTGATGAGTAACCACTGCTGCTGTAATTTCACCATTTAAGATAACTTACCCACTGTGATACCACATTTCTCAAATATCCTTTCGAGATCCCATCCGCATTCTTGAAGCCAGGGTATCAGCCTATCCCAATCAGGGCATTGAGCATAGCATTCTTTGAGGACGTCTTCGGCGTGTTTCAACGCATCGGGTTTGCTGCTTCCATCATGGATCAAGACACATGCACGTGCAAGAGCCAAAAGAACACTCTTTTCAACAGCGCCGGTGCGTAAATTGCCCACACATGTGCGTATCAAATAGCGAGCTTCTTCAGCCGTGTGAGTTGCAAGCAGTAATCGTTGGATGATGTGCGTTTTCTGATCAACGGACCCCTTTCCTTTGACGGATGTCAACACGTGGCGTAATTGATGGAAGACTTCGCGTGCACGCAGAGGCCGTGGATTCTTTGAAAATGCAATTGTACGAATGGTTGCCTTGATCTTGTATGCAACGTCTCCCCAATCACCATGATCCCGATACAATTGTCGAAGCTTGTTTGATGAGATGCCACCGGATACGGCTGTCATTGCACGTGTCAGAATCAAAGGACCCACACCAAGTTCTACTCCTGTTGCACCCAATCGATTGGAGCATAACCATAAAGTTGGCAATACATCATCAGGCGTATGGACCATAAGCACGCGTAGCATGTTGCATAGGATGTTGGTGATGCTGATACGTGAAGATGTAGCGTTGATAGTCGCAAATGCATGTGTAAGGAAAGAGTATGGCACTGCGCGCTTTGTTGATGTCTTGCTTTCAGTTGGCCAATTCGATATGATCGTGTCGTATTCATGCGGGTTGAAACGGAGTGGATCAGTGGTCAAAGGAAGTTCATTTGGCGTATACTGCTGAGCTTGTGGCTGCATGATAGCCATCATCGTTGTTGTTGATGACTGATCACTCGACTTGTCGATATTGGTAGACGTATCAACTACATTGCCATCACTATTACTGGTGCTGGTGCTGGTGCTGCTACATTGTTTGGGACTCGATCGGCTGTCTGCTTTGCCACCATTGTCACTGGAATCGCGATCGTGAACCTTCAAGGTGTCCATTGGCGCTGCAGCATCCTCCTTTTCTTTTGACGGCTTGGATTGAATGAATGCCGGTCCAATTTCACTTTCAGCTTCATGTCGCTTGCGTTGATTAGCAAAGAAGTGCTCAATGCCAACAGGGTTTTGCGAGTGGGGTTTACGCTTTTTGCTGGGTGGCATGGAAAAGAAAGACAACGAAATTTAATGCAGCTACTCCTCCATACGTACAATCAGCTTCCATTTGTAGATGTGACCAGAATCGAAATGCGATGATGGTTACAATAAAGAGTTGCATTACATATTATTAGGAGCTGACAACCATGAGACCATCGTATCAGCATGTGTAGCGGTAATAAGGAAATCTCTGCTCTTCATCATTCATCCTATACCGTTGATGTGGCCACGTTTAGCAACACATTATCTACAACAGTCTCAGCCATGGCAAGGTTTATGTATATGCTAACCCAACTTTCAGTTGCCATGCATGGTTATAAGCTTCACGAGTACACCGTTAATGCAAAGGTGCGACATGACATCATATGTAAACGGGCGATCGTGATTGGCTGTTTTGAAGAGCGCAGCGTTTTTAAGCCCGTGTAACACGAGGATAGAAATAGTAGTGCCTTGTCGGCTGTCGAAACGGTGCTTGATCTCTCTTCACAATCCGCCTTGTTGGTGCTTTGCGAGAGACATCTAAAGGGGGATAATGAATTTGATATTCTGAAGATAGTCTCGTACGCTTTTATTGAATGAACTTGCTGATTGATTTATCAGCATGATGATGGAACATGTTGCTTGGCTGTAAAAGTGATTTTATCAAATGTTTGAACCTGCAGCTTACTGACAACAAATGTAACGACCTACCCACAGCTGTCATTTTCTTAACAGCACGTTTTTCATGTATATTGGATGCACTTACTACATGTTTTCAATCATCTATATACTTCTCACATACCATTCTCATGATTGCTGTGGACGATATACAGCCAAAGTCAACTACCAAAGCTGCCCTGATGATCTATCTATCATGTCTCATTTTCCTTTTGGTTGCTATGTAGGTTTTCGAGAAGTAAAAGAAGCGGTTGAGATGGGTATATGTAGCAATCAAGAGCAATGGTCAATATTTTCCCGAATGGCAGAATCACTACTTTTTGCATGATATGAACGGCATCAAATCATTCAAGGTGAGACAAGATGCTATTTCTGGCATTTTGCATTGTGTGTGATGAGATTCAGCGAGCCATTGACATTTGGCCACAGCTCTTTGACCCGATAGCCACTTTGGGTTCCACACTTTGGATTATCTCATTCACCTCTCTTTCACTCCTTTCCCTCTCTTTCCACCCACTCAACTATGTCACTGCTGCTCGTTACTGCTGTGGCATTGGTCTGCTTTTCGCTCATAGTCAGTATCCACTCCACTCCTTTTTATATACATTTACACACAAAGGAGCTAACGTATGCCTATCTACGCGTGACACTACTAGATCGTTGGAGTCCTCATTGTCTTATCGCCGAAACCACGACCTCCCACCGAGAATGAAAAGTATTTCCGAGATGTACATAGCAATGAACCAAAACGATTGCCGAGTCTCTTTGACACCTCGAATGTGAGCCTGTCGTGCATTGTCCCAGCCTTTGATGAGAGCAAGCGGTTACCTACCATGATGTCCGAGACCGTGTCATTCCTTGAAGAACGCAAAACGCAACAAAAGACGTTTACATACGAGATCATTGTGGTGGATGATGGTAGCCGAGATAATACCAAGGAGGTTGTCATGGAATTTGCTCAACAGCACAAGTATGCGGATATCCGGTTGTTGGCATTGGAAAAGAACAGAGGAAAAGGAGGAGCAGTGACTCAGGTAAGGATGATGATCATGATGGTCTCTTTTACAAGAAGGTCTAATGGGTGTGTGTGTGTGTATCCAGGGTATGCTATGTGCTCGTGGTGAACGGTGCCTGATGGTGGATGCCGATGGTGCAACCAAGTTTGCAGATCTTGTCAAACTAGAGGAAGCTATCAAGGATAAAGAATTGGCTATTGCTGTGGGTTCACGTTCCCATTTAGTGAGTACGGATGCTGTCGTCAAGGTAAGAATGAAAATATGGGTGCGTATGGGAATAAGGGCTCATTCATTGTCTCTTTTTTTCTTCAGCGTTCTTTTATTCGCAATTTCTTGATGCGCTGTTTCCATAGTCTTGTGTATATCCTTGGTATCAGGGGTATTGAAGATACGCAGTGCGGCTTCAAGTTGTTTACACGCAAGGCTGCCCAAAGGGTGTTTCCTAGCATGCATGTTGAACGATGGATCTTTGATATTGAATGTTTGATGATTGCCCAGCTACAACGGATACCCATTGCCGAGGTGCAGGTCAACTGGCATGAAATTGACGGTAGCAAAATCAACCTGATGAAGGATTCAATATTAATGGCACGTGATCTGTTATTGATCCGACTTAATTACATTCTTGGATTATGGACCATTGATGTTAGTAAAGCTCAAAAGACTGAATAAAGAAAAGAGTGATATATATACACGTGTAATAAGATGATATTTCATTACAGTATGCTATTTGTTGGGGAAAAAAAAAGACAATTAAACTAGATCCTTAATGCACCATCATTGCTTGTGGATGAAGAAGGACAACAACAGCTACATGATGTATCGCACATGGTTGCTACTTTAACATCCTTGTCAAAGTATCTCGATGCTAGCAAGATCACAAACGTAGCGTCTTCTCGAGGATGTAATCCTAGATGCACCAAATCTTTTGGGTAGAGAACAATGGTGCCACCTTGATCGCTCTCATTGGCAGATAATAGGGTATCCAGTCGGGTTAATACTTGAACAGAAAGCGTGTGAAAGAAGCTACATGCCATTTATGTCAGCAGCAGTACAAAGATCACATTTTTCTCATTACTACATACCCAGCTAATGCTCCCGTCAATTGCTCAAGGACACCTGCAGGTGGACTGTATTGATGAACATCATTCGAGGATCGTCCATGTTCATTCGACGCTCGAGCAACCACTGCGTCAAAGACTTCATTGTTGTTGAGCTCCGGTGCATCTTGCTCCTCATCCGCTAGCGCATCACTATCGCCCAATAACAGTGTCTCTTGTTCCTCTGGATCCATTGGTATATTGTGGGTCATCTTTTTACGATAGCCTCGGGGTGCATTGCCAGCAAATATTCTCTGCCATGACGATGGTGGTGATGATGATGATGATACATTGTTGTTGTTGTTATGGATGAAGCCGTTGGATACTGTTGAAGATTTTGGTTGTGGTCGGTACCACCATAATGTCATTTGGAAAGTGGCCATACTGATAGCATCCCACAAATCACCTTGATGTTCAAGAGCATGACCCAATTGTGGTTCCATATCCTCTGCAAATCCCATTCCTCGTGCCTTGTCGAACAATTGTCTCACAACTGATCGAAATCGTATCACATCAGCTGCGTTGTGTCGTGAAGAAAGATCAGGGTCTGTTGAATGAAATTTGGGTGGTGAAAATATTCCATGACCAGCTGCATCCATCTTTGGAAGTGTAACAAGAAGATCATAGATCTCGGTTTTGCTTTCAAAAATAGCATCGGATGTGCCTTTGTCAATAGAACAATGAATGAGCCATTCAATGAAATACAATCCTGGGTCTAAAATAACTTACAAGCAACGTATCCATGAGGATATCCGTACAAATCAACAATGTCATTGACGCCAACTGTATACTTTGGATGGAAACGTTGTTCGGTCTTGAATCCATTGGAGACGATGCCCAATAAAAAGGTGTCATACACTATGATGGTCCTTTGGTGAGATGATATCCCTTTGTTGCACTCGAGTCGATCCCATAACATACCATATCCGCAAGCTCTTTCCATGGGTGGCTCGGTCAAAAACAAGATCCGTTTCCTTAGCAATGCTGCTTTCCATAATACAAAGATTTGAGGACCCAGCTGAGCGACGAGGAAAGGGAGTGAAGCTGTGTATGGAATAGGTTCAATGGGTTGAGGAGCAGCTTCGCCAAGCTTTTCAAAGAGATGCCGGGAAAGGTGATTGTCAAAGAGCAATGCATCTGGTTGAAATCCATGACGTGCCGCACGTGCCCATGGGACTGGAGCTGATGTTTCCAAATCGGGAAGACGATGCTCGAGGCGATGTTGCATGTAATAATCCTTCAATGTCTGGTGGATGTTTGGCTGTGTAAATGGGTCCAACCTATATATACATATGGATCAGTGAATGCATAAATAGAGAAGCTTGCATACATATATATACATACAACGTCAACGATCGACCATGAACCCATGCATAAGGACAATGACCAGCTTGCTCGTCGTAGGACTCGATCAAGACGCCCACTGCTCTCATCGTTGCTCCCCGTTCACTCTCATCCGCATCCTCCTTTCGAAACACGCTAACACCAAAGCGATTTTGTTTGGTAAAATAGCTATGTATTTCGTCCCATTAGCGAAAATGTTAACTTGTAGAAGCAGTAAATATTCCTTACATGGTATCTGTTTCGACACGATGAAGACCGCTGCAAATGCATTGATATTCGACCCCATCCAAATCAATCTCTGCCCATATACAATAAGCACACTGGTAGCCGAACAACAATAGAACCTACCTTCTGGATGTTGCCACTCGATAGTGTTACCCGAAGTCCTATCAAATCGCGCAATGAAGACGGCCACTACATTGCTGGGAACATGTTGCTTGGCGATCGGGTAGTGTTGGTGCTGAGCGGGACTATGCATTGGGTTATCAAAGGGAATGCAAGGTGAATGCAGACGTTTTACCTTTCCGTCAGTGGTATTGAGGGCGTGTTGACATGGTTTGAGTTACTCATGGAGAAAGCAAAAGAAAAGTGGGGTGGAAAAGGAAGACGACAGGGCTTTACAACTGTAGCTGCAGTGAATGAAATGGTGGTAGGGTGCAGGATGAAACACCGCTGCTGCCATGCTCTCTTTCAATGTGCCTCCCTCTCAACATCGTCCCCCCCCAAACCAGCATGAATGAATGATGATGATATCCCTGTTTTTTATTTGATACTACACATTATGATGATTAAAATGCCTTCTTCTTCTCATCAATGGAATAACCACCGGGACCCATGTTGACAAGTAATAAGAATCCACCGACAATGGAAAGTGTTTGGAAAAAGTCGTATTTCAAAAAGTCGCGTTGATAATGAGTATGGGAGACTGACCAAAAGTTGTTGCTGAGGATGTTGAATATTGATAGGAACAGGATCATAAAGACGGCCGAGTAACGTGCCTTGAAACCAACAGCAACCATCACACTAGCAATAAGACCAAGCACCGAAGCAATGATACGAGCCAAAGACCATTCATCACCATGGAAAGCCGAACCAATGAATAAGAAAATGAGCAAGATACGACCTGCCAATTGAATATACGTGCGTCGATCGGTATCCGAGATCTGTGGCAGAGCAGCAAACATGGCCTGTTTGTTTTTCTGGATCATGGATTCTGACAACACCATCATTAAACCACCAATCACCGAGAGATTGCGTAAAAAGAACTGAAAATCAAACACCAGGCCGTATCCAAGTGCTTGAGCAACCACCACTCCCAATAATCCGTACACTGCATATTGCGTATGCTTCTTTGCAATCACCATGCCTGAACCTGCCAACATGACCTATAAGGTTTTTAAGGGGGTGGGGGTGGGGGTGGTTGATATCAACAATGGCGTCATATGCATATCATTGGACGTTTATATATACACTTACCACTACATTGAGTGCAAGGAAGAGATGGGAAATGCCCGATGGGAAACCACGGCTATGCTCCATGAAAAGGATTTGATCTTCCCATTGAGTCGAGATTCGAAGAGCATCCTCGAGAAAAGTGGCGACAATGAGAAAACGTCCAAGGATGGGGAGGTATGGCTTCAATGGCTGACCAAGTCGGTCGACAATTTCCTCTGCTTTTGAGCTGAAGACTTCAAGCTGCTCCTTGATATCTGACATGACTGAGAAAGAAAGAGAGAAAAAAGGAAAGGGTACCTCTTGATACCCGTATCAACAATTCATGCAATTTTGAGACGCGTCAAATACCCCTCTTCACGCCCAAAGATGAATCATGAAACATAAAACTATCACTGACCTCAAATAAAAATTGGTATATGGGATGATATAAAGAATGTACGTGTGTGTGTGTGTTTAAAGAAATAGATGAGAGATGGATGGAGTCTGTAAATGTGTGCCACACATTTTTGGGTGTTAACATGTGACACAATGGGTGATTTCTCGGAGCCAGGTACAGCATTCGCCAATGGCTATGCATCTAGAAATTGGCTCTTTGAAACTCGCTATCATATGATGCTATCCAATCCAGGCACATTCTTCTCTATCCATGCTAGCGTCATTGTACAATATGGAATACACAATTTATTATTGATGCTGTTGTTTGCTATAAACATCCCATAAAGTATGTACAATTTGGTCGAGTGCTAATGTAATGTTTTCATGCACCATTCCCGGTAAACGCTCTCGTTTAAAGCCCAGCCATTCCACTGGTGGCGTCGCATCACCCATCACTTGGAGTTGTGGATTAAAGTCAACAGGTGCTGCTGATTGATAAATGATGGCTTGTGGTTGATCAGGTGATGCGGGACGAGAAGAACTTGATGGCACCTTGATAGATACACCACTATCAAAACTATCGCTATCAGCGTGTCCAGAGGGTCCACCACCACCACCAGCAGCAGCTGATACTGATGATGATGATAGGGTTGGTGTACGATCCTCACCACCACCATGAGCAGTCCTCTCATTTGGATGTAATGCACGATCGAGCTGTGTCGTAAACATGTTGGCTAATTCTTGCAAATAGCGGATAAGACCAAGATTGAGCGAGACATTGACCCTTCCATCAAAGGTGGTACAGAAAATATGCTCCACTTGCTGCAGCTTTTGTAACGATTCCATATGTAATGCCACGCTGGGAATACCAAAGATTGATACACCTCCACCAGCACCTACGTTACTCGTTCCATTGTCAACAGGCTTGTTGCTAACGCTGCCGCTGCCATTGCCTTGATCCGGTGATCCTGAATCTCGTTGCTTGGCTCGATTCCTCTTCCACATCAGCTTCAATCCAGGTACATTTTTGAGTAGAGCTGCATTCTTGAGTCTCAAAGCTAAGGTACGGTGGTCTGGATCATCCACATCGGGTGCTCTCGCTTGTTGCAATGCCACTTGGAGGTGATAGGCACAAAGTTCCACATTGTCAGAGTCCTGAAATTGGCTTGGGTAGATGACCACCTCGAATGAATGGAAATGAGCCATGACAGTGCTAGCAGGTAGCCGTGGTAAAGATAAAAGAGGTGATGATGGCACATGATGTAATTGCTGTTGTTGAGCCAATGGTTTCGATGGTAAGGTGGGCGTCGTGGGAGAAGTAGGAAATGCATCAAACACGCCAGCTTCCACTTTTTTCTTTTCCAACAGCTCCGTGAATCGCTTGTACATTGTAATGATTACAGGCACCGTTTTGATCGAAACACATGCAAGCAATGGCTTGACCACCATGTTGACTGATAACTCCTCACCAGTGAAGCAAGCTCTGAATTCAATGGGTTCTTGGATAAGGTCGAGAATGTGCTGATACTCGTATTCAAACGTTGCTCGGAATTCGTTCATCAAGAGATACACGGATGGTGTGCTTTGCGGTAACACACGCTCATTCACAATGTTTGTCGTTATTTGTAACACCAATCTGTCAAATTGCGCATCACCCGATAATCGTCCTTCAGCCGCCACATCAATCTTATCCAAACGTAATTCCAATCTCTTCGCATCAAATGGTTGCATGTGCGTGCATAAGCTCACATTGTTTGGCACAAATGTAACTTTGCCGATAGCTTGACCAAGGTCCACCGATAAGGCAATGGTCTCCATCTGCAGCGTAATGTGTCGTGCGAATGGCTTGGGTGTAATCACTGGAGGATGATGGGATGCCTCTTCAACATTATCCGTAGCAGGAGTCGTTGTCGTAGTAGTCGCCTTGTGAGCATGTTTCTGATTGAGCCAACAGGCATTGAGAATAAGCAAATCTTGCAAGTGTCGCATATTAACATCAACATGGGTGGATGGCATCTTGACAACAATCGAAATATCGTCTTCCTCGCATCCATTTTGTTGTCGCTGGGATGTGAGCATGGCATTAATCAAGAGATGATCAATTTTGGCTGTAAGACACGCTTCGGGTGAAAAGTGATGCTTGACCATGGCTGATACATTGCGTAGTGATCCAACACAACTCATCGTATGTGAAGATGGTGTTCCTTCGCTTGAAAACGAGCTCATCAAAAACTCACTTTCATCCCAACTCAATGAACATAGGACTTTTGACGTGGGCTGACAACTGAGATCAAGCTTGGTACGCGATAATCGTAGTACGACGGATGCATTGATGTTCTTATCCAATGGTGCTGAAGAGGGTCGAGTTGCCTTACGTTCACTTGATTGCTGCATGCCAATCTTGAGACCGGCAATAATTTCTTGAAGGAATTGCATCAACGATGGGTGAAGAATATTGTCGCTCTCATGAATCATAATATCACCATGCAATCTTCGAGGAATATCCGCCACGGATGCGTGGGTACCAAAAGGCATTTGACATGTGCACCATGCTGTAAGACCAGGGATTTTGACAGTGGCCATCTTGCTGCTACTATTGGCGGATCGATCACTAGTGCCAGCTTGTTGCCGTGGTTTCTTGCGAAGTATTTCACCAGCATGTCGTCTTGGATACATACGCACCACACCACTCTGATACTCAAACATCCCTTCAAGATCCAAATGTACAAGCGTATCCTTGTCCTGTTCTACAGCCGGCGTCGTCTCAATTTCTTCGCTCCTGTTATTGCTGACCTTGGTAAACTCATCAACCCGATCCTTGCTCTTCACATAAATGATATTCAATGCATTCACATAATCGGAGAGGCTTCCATCAATGTCCACTTCAAAGCCGCCCACTTTGGCATCAATCTTGACACTTTGCTTCGTTTCCAATTTGCGAGTATACACGTGACATGCGATCGATGGTAAGTGCATCTGGTTCATGCGAGGATGTTGTTCAGCCATAAAGTGATCTTCATTGTTCTGGTCAAAACGCCTGACAAATTGAAGCGAGATATCCTCAAGTGTTGCAGCACTCTTTTCAATATTCTTGGTCACAAATTGAATCGACACAATGGATAGCAACAAAGCACTTGGCGTAGAATGATGCGTATGCTCTGATGTAGGAGTCGCTGCTTCTAATGGAATAGCAATACCGACACGTTGAATGTTGACTGACAACACTTTTCCTTCCCATAGTGAATGAGGCGTCTCTTGGTCGGCTCCAGTATCACGCTTGAATGACTTGACAAGGCGTTTGGTATTGGTAGCAATCTGATCCAGCTCGGTCTTTTTCATCTCCTTCTTCTTTTTGAGCTCCGAGTCATAGTAAATGTACAATTCAGCGAGCTTGCTTAGTGCAATGGGTTGCATAACGGTCTGAATTCTCGATACATTGATTTGGAATGGTTCCATCCGATTATCCTTGGTATCAGCACGGTCACCAGCAAAGTAATTTTGTACTTCAAAATCAGCAATGATATATGCCAATCGATTCCGGCGATGGGTTGATGATGGCTGCGCTCCCATGGATGGCTCGCTGGTGGCATCGGTGTTGCTGCTACCATCATTGTGCTCAAGCGACAAGGCAAAGTTCCTTCCTTTGATCTTCCACATCAGCCGTTCTGGATCAGCCGTACATACAGCTTCATTCGAAATTGACGCTTCATATCCATTCGATTCAAATACACCAATAGCAGAAGGGCTGACAGCTGCAATACGAAGGCCATTCAAATTCACATCCATGCTGTACGTAAGCTTGCGTGAAGGTGTTGTTGTTGCTGTTGGGGTTGATGCTTCTGCCAAATTGGTCTTGCGCTTCTTCTTATCGTATGAAAGCACTTCTATCAGCTCACCCATCTCGTTGCCCAGCAAAGATTGTGCTGTGAGGAACGAATCAATCATGCTTGCGTTGAGTGATAATGATATGAAATCCACAAAGACAGTAAAGCGTAATCGAAGCTGGCTGACACCATTGACCGTTTCATTGCGTAAACTTCCAGTGCTCCGAATACCAGGTATGCTGAACGTGCCACCAGCATATTCTTCATGCAGCTGGCGTTGCTGAGTTGGCGTGTTCTTGGTAATGAGATGAAGCTCTTGCTTGGAAAGCTGTACAGCATACTTTTGCACCAATTGGTTCTTGACCTCGGATTCATTCACCATCACAAAAAAGTCGCGGATGGTGTATTGGACACTTAACGAAGGCAAAAGGTCGAATCGAGTATCGAATTCATTGAGCAAAAACTGCAACTTGATATCAAACTTCTTCTCGGCAGACTTGGTCCCATGAGATTTGACAGCCAATGCTGTATCGGCAGTTCTATGTTGTTCCTCCCATTCACTCATCAAGTTTTGGAATAAGAACTGGTATCGCTGCCCTTGTTCCGTACGCCAATCTTCCAAAAACTCATAGAGTCGAAGCAAGCTTTTGGGTGCATGAATGTTGAATTTGTGTATGTTGGAAAAGACGTTGAGCACTTCCTTGCCCATGTTTTGCTCTGATGATCGTGATTGCTTGCGTAAAAAGCGTGTTGGTTGGCTGATGTTGGCATTCAAGTTGACACCATCCAATGTAATAATCAATAATTCGCTGAGCTGCCGATGTTGTGGTCCTGTCATCTCATAAAAGCGTACATCCGAATATTCCATCAATCCACCCGCTTCGAGAATAAGACGATTGCTAGGATTGGATGAATTGTTGCGCTTTGATGCCTTCGTTGAGCTCCTCACGCCTGAACCAGTATCCGAATCCGCTTTGTCGGACGATGCAAATAAGGGGAGTGGCGTCAATTTGGGATTGGAAAACAGCGCCGATCCTTGGATACCACGAACAAGGCTTTGCATCGTCAATTTTTGTGCTCGTGCAGTGACATCGATATCCTGTACATTAATAAGCGCTTGGGCCACAATGTCGATCTTGTTGACAATGCTGAAAATATCCAACTCGGAAGAACTCGATTCTCTTTCATGAGGTTGCTTGTTGGCGTGTGATAAATCTTTCAGCTTGGCCGTAAAGACGCGTTGGACTGTCAACATGTGTTGTGCAAATGCCAATATGGTGGGGTTGATCAATATCCTAATGTATCCCAACGAGGTTTTGGAAACGACATCAAGGTATCCATCACGTGCAGTAGCAGCAGCACCATGCCGACGATCCGATTCTCCGCTCATACGAGGCATATCTTCTGTGGCGGATCCACTAATGGCAGGTCGCTTGTATGCACTCTCCAATCCAAACTCGACAGCAGTGATACTGATACTATTGTCCTCGGTCTCCTGCTCCTCTTCGAATATGCAAAAGTCGAAAGAATCAATGCGTATCGTTGCAAGATTGATGGATGCAACCAAAAAGTCCACGAGTTTTTCGGTGCTACAGCGATCATCGAAAGGCACTTCGCTCGATTGTTGATGATATGGCTCTGTAAATAGGCGGCAATTGGCTATTTGCATTGCACTGATTTCCCAATTTCTCCACTGAGACAACGTATGCACCACGTTCTCGAACATTTGCTTGGAGCTCAGTGGCAATGAACTGGATCCTTTGGAAAGTTTATATTGCAAACGTGCTCGACTTCCAGAATCAATGTTCCTCAAGCAATAGCGTAGCCTTGCAAGTAGCTTCCAACCCACATCATTTCGAAAGTTGCGTGATCCCAAACGTAAAACAGTAGTCGGCTTAGTCAAGAAAAGTGGATCACCCGTTGTTGCTGGATGCTTGGAATAATTCGATAACTCGTGTATAAACATCTGGATCTGGCGAGATCTTTGATCCTGAAAGCTGCTCAAAATCATCTTGAAATCATCAACGAAGACAAGCCATGAATACACCGCACCAACAAGAATCTCGACAGCTTCAGTGATGATAACGGTTGAGAGATTGCCGATATCAAGGTTCAAGTAATTTGGCTTCTCTGCACCCAACCATTTGAATCCAAATTTGCTCAACATGAAATCGATCACCACCAATTCGTTGGTACTTTCTTCTTCCTTTAGCCCCTGGTGGTTCCTCACGCTGACTGATCGAGTATGTTGACGTGATAATGGGATACCAAAGACAACCGGTTGGCGTGCTGGCTGATTCCTCTCGCTGACGTATTGGACTTTGCATTCAAGACTACCAAGATCGATATGTACCCGAGACTCCATAAGTGCCATTCTTGACTCCGCCACCGATTTCTTTTTCTCGTCAAATGCTTCATCCTGGAACTTGACACTTCCAATCATGCTGAAGTCCTCAAGGAAAATATCGGCTGAACAAAGCATGGAATCCTTTTCATCGTACTTGTGGTTGATATATGATGTCCCATCCTTGTAAGATGGCAGGTCATCAGGGAGCATCACATTCTGGATGAAGTGAAAGTGTGTATTCGGCAACGATACGGCAAATCGAGTGCATACAAATTGATCCGTCAAATATCGAGTGAGCTGGCCAACGTATTCGATCTGCAATGAATCCATCATGCTTTCCAAATCCCAATCCTAAAAGGAATTATAAGTATACGTCCTTGCTTTTGTAGATATCCCCATTACTCACATATCGATTGATGGCTTCTGATACTTCTTGTGCTATCTTCACCAAGATAGGCGTCATGAGGATATCCAAGGGGCGCGTTGCTTCGAGTACAGTTGTCACCACAACTTCATTTCCGCTACCATCCTCATCATCTGATGCCGCATTGTCGTCGTATCCATCAATGTCGGGTGTATGACCAGCATGCGTTGTCCCTGGAAACAAGAACAAGGAGCCATCTTGTCGTCGCGTATCATCAGACTCCCCATGTTCATTCACACCACCAGAATTCTTCCTCTATAATACAATCAATGTTAGAGCTTGTTTCCTTGTGCAAATAGATTGTTCTCATCAACATACCTTCAATGGTATAAAGCGGGTTTTTGGAGGAGGAAGATAGGGTCGAAAGAAGCCATTGCTGCGACTACCAGGCACAGATGCCGTTTTGACTGAATAGCGATTGAGATAACCACTGTAAGGAATCGAGGGAGGAATACTGCTTGTCAACTCGGATGCCTTTTTCTTGTCGCCATTGGTAGCATCGGCATGAATAAATTCATCTATAGAGATCTAAGTATAAATGTCAAATTCATCATTCCCTCCATTCTTACCATCACTTTCAGAAGCTGACATGGAACGTGAGCTGAAATGATCATAATGCTCGTCATCATATATCAGCTGGTGGATATCAGCAGCATGCATTCCAAATGGGTGTTCTCCTGAATACGCCGTATGAAAGGATTCATTGTCGTTTGAGATGATGCTTGGACGAGATTGGCGATCCGCCACGTGGTCAACGTCTAGAGAATCCATGCCACCATGACCCCAATCCCCAATGTAGGATCCAACGCTTGGGATATCACTTGCTCCAGCTGCAAAAGATCGTAGGGCGTAATCATCACTCTGGCCCGAGGGACGTACCAAGTAAGGCGAACGATCTTCCATATGGCTTGCATTTTGCGCTATAAGCTGTTGATTAATTATTCACTCATGGCATAGTAATACGATCTTACCAAGATACACCGATCGGTATAATGGGGCATAGAGCACACCCACATGATGATCGCCTGTTGATTGTTCGGCTTCTTTAATGATGCAAAGCATTAGTACACAATCAATCACACAACTTTAACAAGCATTGTAGTACCTTCCGATTCCTCGCCAGTCTCATATAAATGTGAACATCGTCGTGTGGTATAATCTTGGACCTTGATGAAATTCTGTTGAGCGGCTCTCAGCTTCTTCCATTCCTTGGTATGTCGAAAGACTGTGATATTCATTCCAGTAGAAAACTTGGCAACTTCAACCCAAGAAAATTCATCCTATCAAAAAGCATGTCAACACACCCACCTAATACCAACTAAGATCGACACGTTACCTGTGCTGTTCCTAATCCACGCATATGATGATCTTGATTTGCAAGGGTGGTCGCCACAAAAGTAGGCATCTGCACGCATACTCGCTGGTTGTACTTTTCATTCACAAGGTTGTCAAACTCGACAGCAACGCCTTGTTCCAAAGACACCCTCGCAGCACTGTTCTCGTTCATCAAATAAATATCAACTTGCTTCACCGTAGCTTTGACAAAGGTGACATCTGGATCGGCTGCAGGGGCAATCTCCGATGGTACAGCATTGTCTTCATCGATCATGTCGTATGCAAACGTCTGCGCAAAATTGGTGGTACCCAACAGGAAGGATGGCTTGATCTCTCCAGTGATGCGTCCAACGTCAAATTCCCAGTGACAAACATACGTGGCTGTTTCAGGTAAAGGACCAAAGAGACGATGGGCGTAAATGTTTAGCTCTAAACATAAGGATAAGTATGGGTGAATGTAGCATGGCAAAGAATGACAAGCATTACCATCGATATACAAAAAGTTGCCTTGGTCTCTCACAGTCCTTGTTCTCATAAAAGATTTTTTGGAACTTGGATCACTGTAGGTCTCACGCGTCCAGGTAATCGGGCTAACATTGATGTACATGTCTAAAGATACGCGTTGTTAGTGCTCGTCACCTACACAATCATTGGTGTATCGTTATAAATACGTACCCATATAGATATCAAGATTCCGTAATTCCACTTGCAACTCTTGAAAATCCATTTGCGAGTAATGTGAGCACTCATACAAGTTCTCAGGTAATAACAGCGAGCCATCTTGGATATCAACAAGGAAATAGACTTCAAATGGATCTTGAATCGGCTTGTGTAACATTGCATTAGTGACATTTGCATGAATTCTTGTTATCCCTACTCACCTTAGACTCAGCTTGCTTCCTTTTTGTCTCCAACCACTTGTCGGGATCTTGCCGTCGCTGCCGATACTCATCGATGGTCGTAAAGTTGATCCAATTGCCAACGTAATTGTCACGCAAGATAATGAGATAGCGTATGACTGTGCCAAACAGTTTACATGTTACACCATTGAGCTAAATAAAAGCAGCAGCGTTAGCATGCAAAAGTATCTTAATCATTTGTTCTTACCTTGACATTGAGATTTAGCGACTCGATATGACGTAGGATATCAGTGGTGGTGTAATATTCGTAAGAGCCTTCAATTTCGACAGCGACGCTGACTCCAAATTGCGCATTGTCGTCGTCCATAAAAGCACTGAGCGTATGCGAGCTCTGGAGAGAAAATCCAAGATCAAAATGTTCCATCTTGAAATAGCAGCATGTTAACGATTAGTTTGAAAGAGAAGAATGGCGCTTTCCTTTTAACTTACATCTGCATGGAAGTTGATGGTATTAACTTCTGGTTCATAATCGATGAACGGCAGTGACATTGTATAGTGTAGCTTGTTCGAGTGTATCTTGATGAATGCTAAACGAGAATATCAGTACCAAATCCCCCTTTTGCTGGTATTGCTTTCTTACCATTGTCGTCAAGTGCATTTGGATTACTGATGATGTTGTGTTCATTCACACAGAGGTATAAGAGCGGTTCCGATACGTTGGCAGTAAAGTTGTAGGTGATGGGTATAAAATGCAATAGATCAGGTGGAGGAGTGGACGACCAATCTTTGATTAGGTCTTGAAATAGGAAGACGTGGTCACGTAAAAGGAATATTTGTGGTCTCTTGAGTGATATGCCAACATCCCACACACGATGTGCGTTCCACACCAAGGGTGAATGCATCGAAACGGAAACCTATTATTGGATGTCAGCTATAAAGGTTCAGCGCATGCAATGGTTTAAACCTACATCCAAGCTCTTGGCGTGCATTAACGAAGCATAGTTGACGCTAGTGGATGCATCGACGTCTTTCAAATGGATGTCATGGGTGATACTCATGCCGTCTGCTCCCCATACGTAAGGTACGACTGTCTTGATTGTGCTGCCAGCAGCTGTTTTGATATCAATCCAACCATAAGGGCGCGTGTAATATCCATCGGTGCCGAGATCAAGTTCTCCCACTTCGCTGTCATACTTCCAATCCTATTCATATGGAGTGTGTCAACTCATGTAGGTACCCACATGACCATTCTCTGGATCCTAAATACCTTTGATTTTTCCCGAGTTGGTATCCTTAGTGTTGCTTCGGTAATAAGTTCCACATGAAATTCAAATGCTGTGGCTACGCGCTCATCCCCAGGTTGCAAATAAGGTGTCGGCTTGTTATTGCGATGCGAGCTCGGATAGAAGTAATCATGGATTGAAGATCTAGTGGATGTATCTCTCTTAGGACATTTGTGCCACCATTGAACAAAGAAATACAAGCATACCTTTGCCGATCGGTCCAGGGCCCATAATGAAACATGGCGTTCCATAATAGTAATCGTATACCCCATTCTGGCGGAAGACCTCCGTTACCCACATCAATTCCCACTCCCGATGACCCGAGTGCACCACTCGAAGGAACAGTGCCTACCAAAAGTATAATACTTAGCACAGCCTAATATAAACAATAAACCTTCATGACTCACCTGCAACATCAGAATAATACAACAGCGCCATTTTGCTACATTCAAGCACGTTGTTGACTCGTGCGTATTCTTCATGGAAGGTGGTAGATCGTGTCGTTCCTTGCTCAGCATCACGATGTGATCTCATAATCTCTTGCATATGTTGCATGTGACCAAATTGTCTTGTCTTTGTAGCAGGATGAAATAGAATTCGTAATGGGTACAAAAAGAGATCAGCAATGCTATTTTCATTGTTGTTAGTATCACATGGTGGTGGGCTTCAAGTGAAAGAGCATATTTACCCCCGTAGAATGCGTATTGTTTTGGATGCTGATTTCACTGCAATGTCTTCTTGTTGGTCTTGAGGATAGGTGAAGTCCATATTGTCCTTGAGACTAATCTGGCATTTGCGGAAGACAAGGTCGAGTACTGATTTATAATGATCCATCTCCGTACGTGATTCCTCAGCACTCCATATGCCACTCGCTTGCACTGCTTGTCCAACAATCATGCTTCGTAGCTCATTGTTTCCAATCATCCAAGCACCTGTTGTACACTCAAACTGAATAGGCATGAGGCGTCGTATCAAAGAAGTCTCCATTGCTGCTGCAGGTGTTTGGATCTCGGGATCTTGGCTACCATTATGCACACTATGAGCGGGTGATGATCCTACTCCAACATGGGATTAGTAAAATGAATGACATTAGCTCAAGTATGATAGTTACCATCTCTTTCATGTGATTTATCCCCATCAGACATTCCTAGAATGTTCTTCATTGCTTCATAGGCTGGGACGTTGTTGTAGATGAACCATTCAAGACCTTCAACGCTGCAAACAATACGACATGGCAACTTGCTCTTGCTCTGATCTACACGTGTGACAACATGCATAAGCAACCTTGATACCTTTGACATCCCCCATCATTACTTACCCATCTTGTCAGTGTCAGCTTTTCGCACATTCATCAGCCAGTATTGTATTGAGATGTGGCCCTTGACAATGGATATGGATTGGTTGGTGGAGAGGTATCGCAAGTTCTTGAACAGTATTCGAGCACCAAGAAGTGTCACTCGTATCGAGTCTACATGACCCCATTGTGAGAGTGCATTCTATGCATTACGACGACGATGCATATTCTTACCGACTTCAATGTAAGCATTGTAGCGTCTCCAAGTGTACTGGTTGATCAGCCATGTGAGGATCTGCGCGAGTACTCGATTGAAGTAGAAAAGGAAAAAGAGAACGACAACAATGACGACCAGACAATAAACGACAAACAACCAAAAGTCGGACACCGTTTGAATGTTGTTGCTGCTTGCTACTGCTGGTGCTGGTCCTGTCGCCATTGCAGGAATGAAAGAAAGGAACTACAGCAGCTGATTTTCAGTCACGACGCATATGGAAATGTACCGGGTTCCAATGCAGCAAAGCAATCACCAAATATGGTCATGCGACGCGGATGACGGCCCTTTCAAATGATACTTGACCCATACACCCAGTTGATGCTATGCTTTTTAATCATTCACTTTACACATAGTTCACGTGACCATGACCATCAAGAAATAAAAGTGGTGTTCACATCTTTAGTAAACACATCGCACTTACCTATGCAGCTTTTGAGTTTGGGAGTGATGTTAAGCTCTCTTGTGTACGTTGTCTTGCGTTTATATCTCTAAGAACGTGCTACCAGAATAACACCTGCTAGATCATTGGCGTTTGAAATACATGTTGATGACCATTTGTGTCACGAGCAAGTAATGCTATCGTGTGCTCTTCTTTGCTTTTTACAATGTACATAACCAGGTACTTATTAATAAAGCCTGTTTGAAGGCTTGATCCATGACGACATTAAGGTTACTTTAACGAGAATCAAAAAAGGAAGCCTGCAAGATCCCATTCTTTTCAACTTGTGTGTTGATGGATATTGGGTGACGAGGAGATTGACGCCTGCTGACGAGTACGGATACGAGTATGAATGATGCTGGACGACGACGACGACGACGACGATGGTGGTGGAAATGTAGCAAAATGAAATAAAGCATTGTTTATTTATTACAACACGCTTGGACTTTGTAAGCTTGTGGATTATTACATAGTGTTGCTTCGAAGATGGAATAATAAAGGTGGTCCAGTTATCGGTCATGCAAGAAGTACATGGCTTTTGTGATACAATAAGGAGGAGTGGGATGACCTTGAGAAGAGAAGAAGAGAAGTGATCCCTCCATTGAGTCTAAGGATGAATGACCCATCAACATGTATACGTATCTTTTTACATATACAAATTGGTTTACGTATGCATATCGTCCTTCTCCTACATCCAAATGTGATACATACCTTGACGCATCTTCATGGTTGGATGTTGTTTACTTACGTACCTTCACATAAGGCAATCATCATCATCATGCATTTGTGCAGCAACCTGTCAAGGACGTGTTTGTGTAACCACTACGTGCATTTCACTCAGCTCTTCTTTCCGTTCATGCAGCCGACACCATCCATTAGGAGAAAGCAGCTCCATCACGCTTACAGCATAGGTAAACCATAAACGTGCCTGTATTTCCAAACTTTACAATGAAACGTGGGGTTTTGAATAGAACAATGGGCTCGGCTTGGCCAACAGCACCTTCTGTGAAAGTTTCGCGTTCAATGTCGCAACTAGCCCAAAAAATATTTTTTGGTCGTCGTCGTCGAAGAGGTCGACCCCAGATCCAGTTTGGCTGGTAGCGACATTGCGAAGTCTAGGATTGGCAAGCTTGATCGTGAAACTTTCACACAAGGTGCTGTTGGCCAAGCCGAGCCCATTGCTCTAATAAAAACCCCACGTTTCATTGTAAAGTTCGGAGATACAGGCACCTTTATGTTTGTAAGCGCGATGCTATATGAGAAGTGGTCTTTGTTCATTGTCAAGTAGGTGGACCCTGGCAGAGCAAAAGATGCAGAAGGACCTCTTTGTGTAACTCAGCTCATTATGCATGATTGGAAGGGTCAACGTATACTTTTCAGTAATAGCTCATCATTGCCCGCTAACAGCCCCTTCATCCAATTCGTCTTTGTTGCCGAATCCAGTGCATGGGAACGATTCTCCTACTCCTGCCCAACATTTCCATCATTCAAGTTTCTTGATCCGAGCTGATTTGGCTGAGCTACGCTCGAACAGCGAACATGTCAATTCTTGAATCGCAGACCCTGCGAATGTCCCTGTCTCTCCAACTTTGGGATGCTCCCATTAAAAATCGTGATAATGAACATGGAGTCTTTATTGGAACAAATTGACCAGCATGCTCGAGAGCACCCTTCTGAACAATTTTCAAGTTGGAGGTGGGCAACTTCGGGGCGGTGGGCCGTCCGCTCTTTTGTTCGTGTCATCCACCATTTGGACCGCCCCCGCATTTTAAATCTTCACAAGGAAGTCTGCAGATTTGAATTGAATGAAGTTGATCAGCATGTTCTTGCGAACCTTCTGACAAAGTTTCAAGTTCGAAATGGGGAATCCCAAGGTAATACATACTATTTCGATAAATCATTAATCGGCGCTGTCCTCCATTTCTGATGTACATAGTAAACTCACACTGCACCCTCCCACTCCAAAATTTCAAATGAAACATGAGGTCTTTTTTAGAACAACGTGATCAGCATGTCCAAGACCATCTTGTGTGAAAGTTTCACGTTCGAGATGGACAATCTCAAGGTCATGGATCAATTACAGTATGCATGGATTTATACAAGAGGTGTCCAACAGCTCAGCCTACTTAAATTTCCACTTCTTCCCTCTTCCTCCCATTCCCAACTGTTGGTGCATTCAAGTACAACTACCACCATGCGATCGATTGTCCTCCTTCAACCTATCATGTCAATCCTACAATTGTCTTGATCCGATTGCCTTTGACTGAATGGCAAGTGCATGGCGTGTACACAATCTTCTTGTCACTCTTCCACAGCACACGAGTCTCTTGACACAACACACGTTCTCTTATACAATCCACGACCACAATCAAACGTAACAGCATTCATTGCAGCAGTTGCTACGAACGAGATCTTCACTCCATTGTCTCCAGCAGCGTTCTCTGCTTGCAGCAAGTTGCCTTGCAGCCTTTTTACGTGGGCAGCAGATAGCCATGGTATAGAAGCAGCTTTATTTACGTGTAGCAACTTGCTTTAGTGCATACGGATCCCAATGGATGATGCCATATCAGCTATCAAACACGATACAATACAAGCAATCCTCACCTGGTTGAGCTGCGATAGAAAACGACCAAGACAAGAGATAGACCAACACCCGGATCAAAAAGCAAGCATACCAGCAGCGATCACATGGCTCTTTTCAATCAACATATTGGATTAATGAATGGATGCAATCATGGGCAGTGATGAGATATCCTGGAATGTTGCTTTGGTTACATGGCGCGTTGTCAGGAGGAAAGATTGATCATGTCACGTGGAAACGGCTAAGGATGGTGATGGATTGGAATGGCGTCGACGTGTGAGTTTTTATCTTGACGATGGACGTGTTGATCACTATGGATGATGTTGGAATGCTCGAGTCCAATCACGCTGCAGCTGCTTTGGGATCCCGGATGATATTGCTTATGACGGCGGCAACCAAGAATACAACGATACAATGACATCGATTGACTCTATAGGATTCACACATACCCTCTTCATTTGACAATGTTGTTTCTTTATGATATCTACGTGATAAAAACCCACACATCATGTCTTATTCTTTCCTTTGAATGAAAATTGGGTTCAGCATAATGTTTAGAGGGGTTTCGTACCATCAGCTCATATGTGCAAGGTGTGGATTACTTGGCTGGTTGCTGGATTGAAAGGGGGAATAGAAATTTGAATGCGGAAAGTGAGATTGGATCATTTACATCATCGTATCGTGATGCTTTGTTCCTTCGTTACAACATCATTACATTCACTATCGTAAAACTTCTTGGTTCACCTACTGATAGACGAAAGACAATAGCAATTATCGAACAATGGTATTACAAGGATAATAAACTCGAGAGGGATGATGCTGGTCATGGCGCTTGTTACAGAAGCTTGGTTCATTGTAAGCTTACAGTAAGTCATTGTGTTCGAGAAAGAATGAGTTGTGATACAATGTGACATGAGAACAACTTGAACATACCATAATCCTATGACAGCTTTCAGCTAACGCTATCTTCTGCAACCTTGTATAATAATGTACCATTTCATGCTGGCTTTCATAAGTATAGCTTACTCCTATATAGCCGAAGAAAGCTTTATGCAGTCTTTACACAGCATTGATACTTGAAGTCCTCGGCATTGGTACACAAGCAAGCCCTTCTGCATCTTCGGTTCAAAGAGGGTCGAGGTTGTTGACAATGGTAAGCATTTTTATAAAAACGTCCACCTTTTCTTTCTCTCTATACTTGATCGCGCGAAGTGTATGGTTTTAAAGTATGGGCAACTTAAAATGGTAAGCAAGGATGGATGGAAGCCAAAGGCAAAGTGTATCCAAAAATGCTCGGTTGATAGCCGTTTCATGATCATGCATACGCCCTGCTGTAATACGAAAACAGCACCAGCACACAAGTCAGCTTGGACAAAAACAGTTTGTGCACGCGCCACAGCACGCCATGTACTACAAGTGTACAATGGAATTGCGTTTGCTAAAGACTTTCCTCTTACCATGTCGCTCTTTGTTCAAGACCGCATTTAGCTAAACACCTGTATTCGAATTACCCGGGCTATTGTATTATATACTTTCGAGTCTACAAGCCAACTTGTCCAGAAGGGCTTTTAGGTCGCTTACACGATTACCAGTAGCTTGCTATGTATCATCACACCATGTATGCACCTACAGCAGCCATTTTCACGTGTAATCCTTTATACAATACGCATCACATATTATCAAACTACTGCTGGTAGTATCATATCAAAAATTAAGCATTCCAATCCTTGCATGTGCATATAAAGCACTACAGTGGGCTATTCCTCTTAATGAAACGACATAATGTTTTCCCTACATAGATCGAAATAGTGGGTAGCTAATAATAAATGTGAAGCAAGGTGGATCCAGCAAGCTGGTGCTTCGCTAAGGTGGCTGCAGCTTTTGTTATTATGGATAGGGATCAAGGAGGATCATGATGTAATAGAAAGATCATTTCATGCAGGGAAATAGCAGGGATCTATCATCCATTATTAATGTACAAACATCAAGTTACAAGTACTCCTGAGGACTTAATGTGGGGAAATGTTTGTTGATGCTTGGCATTTCGTAAATGCAGAGTCTGTGTTACCAAGGGAAGATGTACTGGAAGCTCAATGGTAGGCTAAACGGATTTTTAATCATGTGAGAATTATTACTTTGAATACAACAACATGAAAGAAACATACAAGTAGGAATACGATAAAAGAGATGTTCTTTAATGATGTGTTTTAAAAAGAAGGTTGTATGACTGATGATCCTAGTAGCTATTACAATGAGACTAGGCGGGATGATAAGAGTGATCTATTATGGTCACCTGTCTAGAAAAAAGCTACACTTTTGAGGATGACAACACCCAACTAAGATTCTTTCCCGCTATCATGTCAAGGCAAGTGCTTTTACTATTACTCGTCTTGGCTCAAGGACTGTGGTGGTCTGCTGCACAGTCCAATAGCCAGTGTCAAGAGCTCCGTAACTCCTTTCTTCGTCTTGACAATACCACTTCAACCCCGTGTTGCAATGAGACCACCACCTCGCCAGATTTTTATGCAGAATGCAATTCTCAAGGAAGCATAACAGTATTGAACGTCAATGGAGCAACAACGAAGCATACTTGCAGCAATGAAACAGCATCACTTCTCACCAACCTCATTGACCTACACAACTTGACGCTTGATTACTACATTGACGCGGCACGGTGTCCTGAAGTATTCTCACCTACTATCTACAACAACTTGACACACTTGAAAACATTATCATTACGAGGGAGTCAACTATTATCCAATGTATCTGTATCAACAGCCAATACTAGCCACAATACTATCGAAGCACTCGACCTTTCGTATAGCAATATCTCCACGGGCTCGTCACTGCAATGGTTGAATCTAGTCTTTCCTCAAGTGAAACGTTTGACTTGGCTCAGTGATTCTCCGATGCCAACAATGCGATTGCCTTGTATGTCTTTCACCAACCTTACGTTCAATGCTGTGCCATCGCAAGATATCATTCAATGGATCACCAATTGTACTCGATTGGAGCAGCTGGATCTACATCTTGTCATGAATGAACAACAACGAGATATCGATATCAGCACATGGCTGCAGCCTATCAGCACGAGTCTCAATGCATTACAATACTTATCAGTCATTGTGGATAATCCTACAGCTGTCAACGTCATCTCGAGCTTTCCCACTTGGTTGAACCATCTCAGCAACTTGACATCCATCATTTATCATGCAAAAGTGAAGGATAGCATTCCTCCCAATATTCTTGATACGCTACCTTTGACGACCTTGGATTTGTACGGCAATCGTTTGTATGGTGACCTTCCAGGGTCTTTATCCAGTACCCAGCTGCAAGTTGTTGATCTATCAGAGAATGAGTTGACCGGCACCATCCCTCCAATGTTGGGTAATACGACATCATGCAACCTCGATGGCAATCCGATTCTATGTTCTGGTATAGGCAATTCATGGTCGCTATGCCAACATTGCAATTTGGTACCTGGATTCTTGGGAGTGATGTTGCGTTATAAGATTCAATGGATCGTTATCTTGGCGTGTCTTGCGGTGGTTCTTATCGGTTGGGTTTATATTGCATTTCGAAAGCACCAGCAGACGTCATTCCTTGTGTGGGTTGGCGTGTTTTACTCGCTTTTCAGCTTTATCAATTTGCTCACTACTTTGGTGCATCTCGGCATGAATGTCACATTATATACAACCACCTTCTCCATCATGCTTGCAACAACTGCTTCATACCTCGCCATCAACTGCTTGTTGTATCGTTATTGTTGTCGACGTTTCAGTATCTTGGTGATCCGACGCACGTGGCCAGTGTTCTTGTTATGTTGCTTGGATATGAACAACTTTGGATTATACGAGATTCGAATGCTCAACCTATCAGCCTATCGCAAGCAGATCGATCTTCGCGTACCTGTCGTCTTGAGTTGGCAAAAAGTGATCGTGGCAGACATTGCACATACAGCGATAGCTATCTTTTTGATCATGCTACACTCCCCAGTTGCATCGGTTCTATTGACATGTATTACTTCAGGATTGGGAATTGTACGAGCGATGGTGCAAGTATGTTTGATCTGGTATCATGCAAGGAGAGAACGAAGGTTTCATCCCATTGACAGGGGCGCTGCCCATCAAAAGGCCATCCATGGAAATGATACTCCATCCACCAGCACTGTACATCGACCTGAACTTGAATTAGCTCAATTGATCAACAACAGAGAAACAGCTTAGAATGAGAGATCATATATTGTTTTATATAAATGTAATTGTATACCATCTCAATGTAGTATTTGAAAGATATAACACAATTGATGACATGAAGAATGAAGTTTACTTTTGCAATTCCTGGATGCTGTACAATCTAGTAAGGCTGGGTCCTGCGAATTGATTCAATTGCTTGGTGAAGTTGTGCATTTGTGCTGTAAGAATCATCGAATCCAAACGGCTTGGTTCAGTGGGAAGCTTGAACAATGTATTGACCTCATCCTCAGGCAAGGGTGCCTGTCCCTTTTCAGCACGAATAGCATTCTCTTGTCTCTGTAATGAAAGTAAATTCAATATAAACCTCCTCCAACCCTTCTTTCTTGTTGTAAATCTCAACTTACCCGCTTGGTGAGCCATGCTTGAATCTTGACTTGTTCACGAGCCACGCTACGTTGCCAGTATTGGTAGTTGTTCAATTCTTGTTGTTGGACATCGCTGCAATCTAAGAGGTATTCGAGGTTCTTTTGCATGAAAGGATCGAGCTCAAGATCAAGGACGTCAAAGTTGGGGGACAAGGCCTTGGCCTTTTCGATGTCGGCTTGTGTCGAGGTGAAGGTGGCGGGAGTACGGAGAGCACTAGCATCAAGCTTTGGCATTTCGAGGTTGTGAAGCATCATTGTAACAAGGTGCGAGTTGTGGACTTGAACAGGTAATTCTTCAAAGATATTGGTGAAAGACAACTTGGACTTGGCGAGACTAATCAGCATGGCAACAATGTCAGTAACCTAGCAACCTTGCCCCTGTTCCTTTTTCTCGCTACCTTTCAGTGGTGAATTTGTTGGATTCGTATTGTTTCATGAAAGCATCAGTCAAACGGAAGGCACGCAAGCTGAGGTTGCCTTGAGCAGCGCTCTTGGATACATCGTGTACGATAACAGCAGATTGTGCACCAAGCGACTTTTGATAATTGTATTGAGTATCGATCAAGCTGATATCCACAAAGTTGCCGAGATGCGATGATCGATACCATCCAACTGTGTTGTTGTCAACGTTCACTGCACGCAAGCATCGCATCATGTCGAGTTGATATTGTGCTGTATAATGTATACATAATAATGAGTCTACTGCTCCCTCTTTTTGAGCGCTTGTAATATATAATCCACTCACCACTTGCATTCTCATCGCAATCAGCAGGGAAAGGGAAGCAGTTGGTCACTTCAAGGATACCCTTCTCATCCAAACCGAGCAATTGGCCAGTGACATCGCTGGGGTAAGACTCACGGCAATGCTTGATAATCTTCAACACGACCTATTTGCTCAATCAGGGTTAGTTACAGTCGATCTAGGCAATGAATCGCTTCAAGAGTTGGACTTACCAAACCATCGAGCTGGACAGCCTTGAGAGGCTCTGACGAAGGCAAAACGGACATGACTTTATAGCTACACGCAACAAACACGAGCAAGTGCAATACCTTTGAAAATTTATTCTAGCCGATAACAAAAAAAGCAGCCCTGCTCAGCCAATCAGCAGCAGAGACATCCACAAAGACATTCGATCCATGGTTGATCTCTATCTCCTAAGGAACGTCTCTTTCTACCTTTGTATGACCATCCACGATAGTGTTAGAAACACCCTATTCATTCAATCGTTCATACAATCCCCCTCTGTTATCACACTATAATAATAGCTTATTGTATCCCAAAACATAAAAGACGAGTAATAAGCCATCGACATCATCATGAATGCGTTAACGCACACATCCATTACATTGCAGCAAGCATAAAAAGAGTATTCCCTTGGTACAGATCAATGAGCTCTTTTGTAACATGTCATAATGAACATTGTACGGTGCACATGATGCAATCGTGTGAACGAACAACAAAGAATGATTATAGGGTCATGTGTCAAACATTTGAAAACGTTATATGGAAGATGGGACTGGTGGGCCGAAATCACTGATATGAGTGATGGATTAATAATGTATGTATTGCGCAGTGCATGATATAATAATGTCACCATAAGGGCAAGCAATGACGATGTTCTACATTCACATCCAAGCATTATTCCCCTGCATAATAGAATAAGAAATTATCCGCAAAGTACATAGGCTAATCCCCATTCACCAGTAACAAAGAACATACAATGATATATTGGATGTGGGTATTTGAAACAAAGAAATTGGATACATGTCATAACTTCTCTTGGATATGAGTGGTGGTGGTGACAAGTGTGCTGTGTCGGATGGACGTCCGCTGAAATGCAGCTGCCAGTCACCGGGATCTCCCTCTTTGCTTTAATTCCTCCCCTTTTCAGCTTTTGTGTCGTCTTTTTCAGTTCCTATACACTCTTTGACGACGACCATGGCCTCTGATAGCGACTATGATGATACTTTTATGGCATGTTTTTATTCCTTCTAGTAATGCAACAAAAAGCCCTATTGCTGACTAATACTACTGCAACAGCTCGAGGACACCATGGATGAAGACAGCGACATTGAATCTGCCAGCTCTATAGGTATGTATGCCAATGCCCCAGTGGAATGCATGTTGTTTATAGTATCTTCTTTGGTATGCAGGGGACGACGACTACGATGGCAACGACATGGGCTTTGATGGCGCCTTTGTGGAGAAGCCCCAAATGAAAGCATACGATGTCGAGTTCAGCGTTCAGAGTACCAACAATCTTATGAAGATGCAAGAGAAAGAGGTGGAGCAAGTATCAACTATCCTTGGTAAGTGGTATAGTGGTGGTAGCGATGTTCTTCTTGGACATAGGGTGAATATAGGGGTGATCATTATTCAAATTAACCCTCCAAACCCCTTTGCCATTCTACAGGTTTATCCAGTGAGGATTCAGCCACGCTACTACGCTACTTTCGATGGAACAAGGAAAAGCTCTTTGAACGTTACATGGAGGTGCCTGAAAAGGTGCTGCGGGATGCTGGTGTATTGACCAACACCGATGACGGCCATTCTATGATGGTGCTTGCCAAAGATCTACAACTCGACGAGCCTTTCATGTGTGATATTTGCTGTGATGACGACCCTGACATGGAGACGGTGTGCGTTGCATGTGGACATCGATTCTGCAAGACTTGCTATGTACATTACCTCCGACAAAAGATTCGAGATGAAGGCGAGAGTCGACGCATTGAATGTCCCCAAGATAAATGCACTGTGATTGTGGATGAGAAAACAGTTGAACGATTGATGGATCCTGCCACCAATGAGAAATACCGAACGTTGCTCAATCGAACGTTTGTGGATGATAATGATTATTTGCGATGGTGCCCTGCTCCTGATTGTGAATACGCCATTGAATGCCATATACCAAGCACCTCGCTTACATCCATCGTTCCCACTGTTCAGTGCAATTGCGGCTTCAAATTTTGCTTTGGATGTGGTTTGGCCGATCACCAGGTAATCTTTTATTCCATCTTTTAATAGAATGCGGAATTACTAACGTGCCCTGATAGCCCACTATTTGCGCTATTGTCAAGAAATGGCTCAAGAAATGTGAGGATGACTCTGAAACTGCCAATTGGATCTCTGCACATACCAAAGAATGTCCCAAATGTCAATCAACGATCGAGAAGAATGGTGGATGTAACCACATGACCTGCCGAAAATGCCGCCACGAGTTTTGTTGGGTGTGCATGGGTGAGTTGCTGCGTATCTCTTTTTGGTTCAACCTATACTAAATGCATCACATGTATAGGTCCTTGGTCTGAACATGGCACATCTTGGTATAATTGCAACCGCTTTGATGAAAAGAGCAGCGCTGAGGCAAGAGAAAACCAAACACAATCCCGAGTGACCTTGGAACGCTACCTTCATGTATGAGAAAAGGAGAGAGAGAGAGGATATCCGTATGTGTTACAATTGTGCTGATCGTCATGTGTTGTTTATGTTAGTATTACAACCGCTATGCCAACCATGAACAATCAGCAAAGCTTGACCGGGATTTGTATTTCAAGACTGAGAAGAAAATGGAGGAGATGCAACAAACGAGTGATCTTTCATGGATCGAAGTACAGTTCCTGAAGAAGGCCGTTGATGTCACAGTGCAAAGTCGTATGACGCTCAAGTGGACATATGCATTCGCATTTTATCTCTCACGCACTAACGAGACTGAGATTTTTGAGGTATATCAAAGAGCTCTCGCAGCATGTGCAAGTACGTATGACTAAAGGTGTATTTTAGGATAATCAACGGGATTTGGAAATGGCAACCGAGCAGCTTTCCGAATTGTTGGAGAAGCCTTTGGAGAAGGAAAAGATCGCACAACTACGACAGGCTGTTCTTGATAAGTCTGTTTATGTCAAGCATCGACGAGAGATCCTTTTAGAAGATACTGCCAAGGGTTTATTGGAAGGTCGATGGAGCTTCTTTGTAGATCTCAAATAATCGTTTTCGTTCTTATGTAAATACAATGCACACACACACACACACACATACACGCACACTTTCACTCGCACACACACACACTTTTACAATTGTCCTTTGCACCTTATTTCCAATAAAGGAGACTCGTCCGCATGTCAAAACTTTTTTGTATGATTGTACAAGTGTAACAGCACTAAATATCCGTTGGTGTGGCACAGCAGTAGCAATGTGCAGAAACCGCAGCCAATGCGCGTCCGCAGCAAACAATAAACTCCACACGCATTAAAAAGTGGGCGTCTTTTTCGTATTTTCTCACTCGTGTCTTTCTCCCCTTCCACCTCTTTTTTCTTTGTCAACATGTCTTTTCAAACTTTCCCATCTTCGCTTCCTTACTTTGATGCTCTTCATGACCAAAGCAAGCTTGATGCCGATATCAAGGGATTGTCCACTGCCGTCGATGTGACCAAGCTTCAAGTTGCTGAAAAGATGGAGGAAGAGGAGGGTCATCCTTTTGTCGATGCGTTGCATGGTATGAGCAACTTGCAACGTACCACCAACAATGCGCTTGCACACAAGTCAACCGAGGACGCGTGTCTCGATCTGTACTACCAGCTGGGTGTTTCGACTGATACAGAGCTCGTGTTTTCTTTGCTTGACAAGGCCTGGAAGCAAGATCCAACATTGACCTTACACGTCATTTGGCATGCACGATCCATTCACCGTGGCAAGAGTGCCAATGATCGATTTTACGTGGCGTTTGGTTGGCTGATCAAGAATCATCCTCAGACTGCGATTCGCAACGTGCACTTGCTTTCAGCTGATGTTGTGAGTGTGACCGACAAGCCCAAGAACAAGGATGCTGGTGATGATTGGGACATGGTTGAAAAGGAGCGACTCAAGTCTCATGGCTATTGGAAGGATTTGTTGAACGTGTGCACCATCTATGTTCAAGACGAGTTCAAGACCGGTCCCACTGGTGATGATGCCAAGTTCAAAGCCCTCAATTGTCCTCGTCAAAAGGGTACTCCTTGGAATGGCCAAAACTTGAATCATCGTTACTTGAGCCACAAGTTTTATGAGAGCATCAAGAACCTGAGCGCGGATGAACAAGCAGCCAAGCGTGCAGAACGTAAGGAGCAAGTAGCCAAGAAGTGTCAAAAGCAACGCGAGGAGCAAAAGCAAGCCAAGTTGAACAAGCGAGCCACACGCCACACACGCATTCAAGATCTCTTGGCCAATGATCCTGTTTATCGCAGCTTGCATTTTACGGTTGCTCGTTTGTTTGTCACCCAATTGGAAGCTGATCTCAAGACCCTCAAGGCTGCTGCTGATAGCAAGAAAAAGTACGTGGATGGCCTTAGCCTTGCTGCAAAGTGGGCACCTTCTCTTCAACATGCACACGACAAGCATACGCTTCTTGCCACATCCATCAGTGAGGCTCTTTTCCCACCTGCTGTTCACCAACAAGCTGATGAGAGCCGTGAGCATTATATCAACAAGGTGCGTGAGCTCTATCGAAAGCAAGTCATTAGTCCACTACGCAAGGCCTTGGATATCACTGAACGTCGCATGTCATTGAATGAGTGGACATCCATCGACTTTTCTCATGTACCCAGCAAGTGTATGCAAGCCAACATGCCTCATTTTGTCAAGCATGCCAAGGATCAATACGTGCAGTTCCTCAAGGATGTGGCTCTTGGCAAGAAATCAGTAAGCGGCGCTACCTTGCAACCCCATGAGCTTATTGAACGGGCCAATTGTGCTGTGAACAACAGCTTGCCACCTTCAGTATCAGCGGCAGCCAAAAAGTATGCACAACCAGAGGCCGTTGCTGAGATTGCCAAGGTTGAACGACAGCTGGTGAATGCTCAATGGAAGACTTTGGTGGATTCGATTCGACAAGATACGGGTGGTAATGCAACGCTGGGTAGTTGTATTGCCGTGTGTGATATGTCAGGTTCCATGTGCAGCCGATACGTATCGCCCATCATTCCTCTTTGGAGCGCCATTGGTTTATCCATCATCCTTGCCGAATTTGCTGCATCCCCCTTTGCTGGACATGTCATCACCTTCAGTGAGAAGCCCACTCTCGTTCAATTTGATCCTGAAGCACCATTGACTGAAAAGTTGGAAATCATGAACAAGGCCCCAGCTGGATTTTCTACCAACTTTTTATCGGTGTTCCTTGATTTGCTATTGCCTATGGCCAAGCGATACAATCTCAAGCAGGAGGACATGGTCAAACGGTTGTATGTCTTTTCGGATATGGAGTTCAATGAAGGCTGTGGCACCAAGGATTGGAATACCACCTATGAAGAGATCAAGAAGGCATACGATGAGGCTGGATATGAGGTGCCGGAACTCGTTTGGTGGAACTTGGGAGGAAGTCGACCTACCGATTATGGATGGCTTGCAGATGATGAGGTTGAAGCTGAAGCTCCTATCCCAGTTACCAAGGATGTCAAGGGATGTGCTATGCTCTGTGGATATTCAGCAGCTATGCTCAAGAGCTTCTTGGAAGGTGATAAAATTGAGGATCCAGATCAAGAAAAGGATGACAAGATGCAAGTGGATCGCCCTGAACGCAGCAAGTTGGATCCCCTTGAGGAGATGAAGAAGGCAGTAGAACACAAGAGCTTTAATGACCTGGTGGTGGTTGATTGAAATACCAATTGTACATAGTCTAGCTGAAAACACCCCACCCCCACAAAAGTTGTAAAAAACATTACTATACATATCATTGCATTTCATAAAGATCATCTTTGCTATTCGCTGTATTACTTTGGAGATGTGTATTGTTACGTAACTTATAGTGTTCATTGATTACTTTATATGCTCTACTGTTGCCCAATCCACTGCATGTGAACGATTCTCCTGCTTCTTCCCAGCACTTCCATCCTTTGACTTCCTTGATCCAAGAGGATTTGACTGAACGCTGCTCAAACAAAGAAGTATCATCCAGCCTACTTTAATTTCCAGTCTTTGCACTCACCGCTTCTTCCCTCTTCCATTCTCAACTGTTGGACCATTCAAGTATACAACTACCACCTGCGAACGATTGTCTTGTTTCAACCCATCATGTCAATCCTACGAATGTCTTGATCCGATTGCCTTTGACTGAATAGCAAGTCCATGGCGTGTACACAGCCTTCTTGTCACTGCTCTACTACAACACACCAATCTCTTGACGCAACACACGCTCTTGCGCGCTTCCCTGCCACGACCAATCGTAACAGCATCCATTCCAGCAATTGCAACTAGCAAGGGCTTCATTGTCTCAAACAGTCTTCTTTACTTGCAGCAACGTGCCTGATAGCCTTTTCACATGAACAGATAGCCATTGTATAGAAGCAGCTTTATTACACGTAGCAACGTTGTTCAATACATACGACTTCCTATTCCTATTCCTATGGATATGAACACTACATTGCTTTGATTATGAGATGGATGGAATGGATCTATTGACCGCTTTGGCTCCCTTGGTGCATTTAGGAAGCGATCTCTCAAGTTTGGATGACACCATATCAGCCATCAGCTATGCCGCAATACAAGCAGTATTCAACTGGTTGAGCTGCGATGGAAAGTGACCCTGCTCGTTCGAAAGTGACACACAAAGAGAGAGATCAAGGAATGGATGGAAAAGGAAGTATATACAGCAGCGATCCCTGGGTCTTTTTCACCAACGGATTTGGCATAGTCATGGTGGATGTACTCAATCAATACGGTAATGAGAATCATGGTGACTATTTGTCGCATTGTCAGAAGGGAGAGATTCAAGAGAAGGCCTGCAATATCCCATTCTTTTCAACTTGTGTGTTTTTGGATATTGTGTGACGGATGAGATTGACGACTGGTGACGAGTACGAGTAGGAGCACGAGTACGAATGATGACGGAGGACGACTACGGCGATGGTGGTGGCAATGTACAGTAGCAAGATAGCTAGATGAAATAAAGCATTGTTTATTTATTATGTACACGCTTGTTGGAGGTTGCTAGCTTGTGGATTATTACATAGTGTTGCTTCGAAGATGGAATAATGAAGTTGGTCCGCTTATCGGTTATGCAAGAAGTATATGGCTTTTGTGATACAATAAGGAGGAGTGGGATGACCTTGAGAAGAGAAAAAGAGAAGTGATCCCTTCATTGGGTTGGTTACTGGTCTGGGTTTACATACAAATTGGTTTATGCAGCTCGACCTTCTCCCACATGCAAATGTGATATGGAACCACTATTGTCTTACACATACCTTGACACACCTTCACTATTGGATGTTGTTTACTTACGTACTTTCACAAAAGACAATTATCAAAGTTTGCAAGCGAAGCGAGTGCCAGCAAGGCTGCTAGTCAAGTATATTGTGAAACCTTAACAACATTTGACAATGACGAATCTAATCCTTTGGCTGGTCTTTTGCTTTCCTTCTTTTTTTGGCTTTCTTTACGATGCTTACAGAGAGTTTGGTCAAACGGGCGCTAGCACTATGGTATCCATCCACATGGCGTTTATCAACATCGATGAGATATTCAAATAAAGAAGATAAAAGAATAGGTTGAGGATTAATATGTATTCAACTGCTGTTACCAGCTACAACTGCAACATGTCTTATATACGTTTCTATGGTATTGTGTGATGATGATATATGGATATGGAATGAGCATATAATGATGTTGGGTAAACATGAGGTGATCGATTGAGTACATGTGTCTGTGTGTGTGTGTGAATGTTGGTTGTTGCACCTTCACTTGCTACCTTGTATTTGGTGTTAGTCCATGCGTATTGGTACTTGAAATACGACAATTGATACATAGGCAAATATGACTCGACAAAGAGGTATTTGGCGGTGTATAGAAAGTTAGTACAGTATAAGTAGCTTACCGATTCGACGGCAGCACTTGGAAGAGCAAAAGACAGTATTGACCCTGGAGCCACGGCCCATGGTTCGGTTGTTGTGAAGAAGAAAACACATGAGGCGCTATTGTCGTCGGTAATTGGGAAACCGAGCAAGCTCCAAAGGATCAAGCTGACCAGAGACATACGCCATCACCATAAGGCGTCCCAAAGGCGTACGTAGTCCTATTGTCATCCCGCCTTCATCTACCCGGCATCGAGTCAGTTCGAGATGGGCCAAAAAAAAAAAAAGATATTTTTACGCTGCCCCAGTTTTAATACGTTGCCTCCCCGTTTTGAAGTCAGATCCCGCAGCCAATAAGATTCTTCTGATATTGGATGATGTTTCTGTGTTTGAGCATTTTTCAGTCAAATCTCATCGGATCAAGAAAGTTGAATGATGGGCATGCTGGGCTGGAGCAGGACAATCGTTCGTATGCATTGGATTGGGCAACAATGGAGAATGGGAGGACTAGGTATATTAGCTGGTATTTTGAACTCTTCCTAAATAGTGTACAAGAATCATGCATCGCCTGTACTGAATGACTCAAGTTACACAAACACGTCTTCTACATCTTTTGCTCTGCCAGGGTCCACCTACTTGACAATGAACAAAGACCACTCGTCATATAGCATCACGCTTACAAACATAAAGGTGCCTGTATCTCCAAACTTTACAATCAAACGTGGGGTTTTTATTAGAGCAATGTGCTCGGCTTGGCCAACTGCACCTTGGGTGCCAGTTTCATGATCAAGCTTGCCAAGCCCAGATTTCGCAATGTCGCTACCAGCCAAACTGGATCTGGGGGGTCAACCTCTTCGACGACGACCAAAAAAGTATTTTTTGGGCTAGTTGCGACAATGAACGCGAAACTTTCACACAAGGTGCAGTTGGCCAAGCCGAGCCCATTGCGCTAATAAAAACCACACGTTTCATTGTAAAGTTTAGAGATACAGGCACCTTTATGTTTTTACTATGTTGTAAACGTGATGCTATATGAGAAGTGTCCTTTGTTTAATGTAAAGTAGTATGACTATAATAGAGCAAAAGATGCAGAGGGCGTGTTTGTGTAACTTGAGTCATTCAGCACAGGCGATGCATGATTCTTGTACACTATTTAGGAATAGTTCAAAATGCCAGCTAATAACCTTAGTCCTCCCATTCTCCATTGTTGTCCAATCCAATGCATACGAACGATTGTCCTGCTCCAGCCCAGCATGCCCATCATTCAACTTTCATGATCCGATGAGATTTGACTGAAAAATGCTCAAACACAGAAACATCATCCAATATCAGAAGAATCAAATTGGTAAGTTATTTGTAAACTGCCGGCTAATAGCCCATTCCTTCCATTCACTTTTGTTGTCTAATCCAATGCACACGAACGATTGTCCTGACCCAGCCCAGCATGCCCATCATTGAACTTTCTTGATCCGAGCTGACATGGTAGTAAAGCAATGGCTGTTATTGGATCATCATTTATCATGTAAAGTGTAAAATGGCATATACCTATTTGCTATACGCGAGGATCATCATTTCTTTTATTTAAATGTACCTATTGTCTATAGTGATGGTGATGATGATGATGGGTGAGTTGTGTGTTTTGGTGGATGGTGTGTATAGGGTCATGAGTGGCCTCAGTGTAATAGCAGTAGGGGATTTAAACTTGGGAACCAGGTAGCTCTCCCTCCTCTGCTTTTATCCAATGCACATCATCCCGATCAAGGTAATGCATTATGGAAGAGTGCTCTTGTTGGCTGTGAGGTATTAATGTAGTTCTGAACTTGCATTGTCAGGGAGTGAGTGTGTCCAAATGCTGAGGAATGGAGCGTGGTGGGTGGTTGGTTGTTGCCATGGCGATATCGTTGCTTCCTCTTGTTCGTTGCTATTCCCGCTCTATGCTTGGTGTCAACAGGTACATTCAGAGTCCAATGTTGCAGCCGAACTGGTTCCATTGACGTGTTAGCTTGTATAGGGGGTAGTTTCAAGACGTTGGCTGGTTTGGCGTTCTGTTTCGGCTCAACAACACTACACCATGGTTTTCGGTTTCTAACAACCAGCAGCAAAGGATCTTTATGTCTATGGAAAAGGCAAGTACAATGAAACAAACAATGAAAAGGGTGCTTATTGTGTGTGTGCTAATAATGAATTGAATAGCTTTCTTTGGTCAGGCAATGCAACTTGGGGCATCATCATCATCTCTTTGGGTTCAAGTCCCAGCCTGTATTAAGTGGCCGCTGCGTCGCTCTGCACTAGCCAAGTGTGATGGAAAAGCTTTTTGGAATGCGTCCAGGGCTCTATAGGCCTGCGTTGAGTTGATGGGTCGATGACGATGGATTTATGGAAGAGCATGGTCACCGTATTGAGGTAAGAGGGGATTTGCAATGGCTCGGCCGTGAATGTGTTTAACCAACACGCTCTTCTCGTTATAGGTTCGTTCTTTCCCTTTGGGATTTCTTTTCATGAGGTGGGAAATGATTGGAAGGATTGGGGATCATTCTTTCTTTGGAGAGGAGCACATACTTATGTCACCTACAAAAAATTCATCTTTCAAATGGCAGGTGGATTTATCAGTTTTCATCACTTGGACACAGTACTCAAAGATCCTTGACCACTTTATCAGTTCGATCCATCATGACAACAATTCCCACGCCCACTCACATATAAACAAGGCTGTTGTCGTCAACACTATCACACTCCCTTTCTCTCTACTTGCTTTCATATCATCACCATCATCAATAGCCTTTGGTAAGTCTCAAGGATAGTCTTTATGTAATCCCCAAAATGAGGGTACTCATACATCCACTTGTAGCTCTCTTTATTGCTTTACCACACTTGATGTGCTCATTGCTGCCTAATGACGTTTGGCTGTATTCCTTGGTGGACCTTTTTGTGGTAGGTATAACTACTATCATGCATACTCCTTTTAGTGATTTCGATCTTGTAAGATGATTATATATCATTTATATGTATACTTTACGGTATAGCCATTTATTGATAGAATAAAATTAAGAAGCAGTGGTAAAGATAGCAGGATTTCCATTGTCAAGCTTGAAAGTGAAAGAACCACCGGATACCGAAACCGTGGTGTTGCTAAAGACATCGCTCATATTGGCATCATCAGCAACATGAGAACCAACTTTGACAGTGACCTCGTTGCTAGCTCCACTTCCGTAGTTATTCAATACCACGAGAGCATTGCCATGCATGAATGCATACACGTTGTCTTGTACATCCACATCCATCACCACCTTTTTGTTCTCCTTTTGACGGACATCTTTGTTGACTGTGGCCATAAACTTGTATAGATCCGATGAGGTGTCAAAATCAGTTGTCCATAATGCTTCACGGTTGGCAGGATCAGCACCACCTGAAAAGCCTTGTTCAGATCCATAATACACTACTGGAATACCATCAGCGAGCAACACGTAGGTCAATGCGTTCTTAAAGAGCGAGGTGTCCTTGTTGGTATTAAGGAAACGGGGATTGTCGTGGTTATCAATAAAGTTGGTAAGGACACTGGTATCAGTAAATGCATCTGCATTGGCAGCAATCATCTCGCTGATGCGGCTAAAGCCCTTTCCAGAACCAAAGACATCGTTGAGCGCATAGTACATTGGGTAATTGAGAAGCGAATCCAAATGCTTTTGATATGCACCAACGTACGAAGAATCACCATCAAAGACTCTATAATAGCAAGAATACGGTCAATCCTATCATGCATCATATACCAAACATCCAATGACACTTACTCTCCTGTGGCAAATACACCAGCTGCTTCATTGTATCCATCCCAAAAATCTTGACGCACATGCTTTACGGTGTCAATGCGGATGCCATCAAAGCCGTATGTGGTCACCCAATTCTTGACAATGTCATTGAGCGCCTTGACCACGTTATCATCCTCCGTATTAATATCAGGCAATACGTCTGCCACCCAACATTGCTCAATAGAGTTTTGATCGTCGTAATCGATTTTGCATTGGGAATGATATTGATCGGCCGAATCGAATGTGTAGCCAGAGTAATCACCTGCCGTGCTTGGTTGACCAGCATGATTGGCCACGACATCCAGCATGACATACATATCGAGCTTATGGGCTGCATCTACCAATGCCTTGAGGTCTTCCTTGGATCCAAAATTTTCATTCAGGCCATTAAAATCAGTTGCCCAGTAGCCATGGTAACCACCAGGGGAATTGGTTGGGATGGGCGAAATCCAGATGGCATCAAATCCCATTCCTTGGATATAATCAAGATGATCAATCATGTCTTGATAATTGCCACCACAATAATCAGATAAATCAGAGCAATCACCACCACCAGCAAAGCGATCGGTCAATAGTTGATAGATGGAACGCGACCTCCAATCATCGGCGCCTGCACGCTTCACAAGAGGGCGACCAAGGACAGCAGTGGCATAAAGGAGTGTGGAAAGTGTAAGGATGGAAAGCTTCATATTGCGTAAGGAGAACTTGTGTTGTTGATGGAGATGATCACATCACTTCTCTTGTTCCTTTTATATCTTCTTGACCTAGAATGTGTCTTTTGTTTTTGTATGCCTGGGTTATTCAATGTGTGGTAATTGCCACTGTGGCCGATGACACAAGCGTGGCACCCGGTTTCCCGCCGTTACATTCCGTCAATTAATGAGAACCATCAAATTTTCATGTGGAAAACGGGTGTGACAATGATCGATCTCTGTACTGCTGCTGATCATCAATCAAGTTCTTTTCATTAAATCAAACCACAAATGTGGAGGTCTTTCTTCTTATTGTTACATTGCTTCATACCGGGACGATGGAAAAGTGAGGGTTATGGATGCATGTTGATTGGGCATTTCAATGATTGTTCCCAGCTGATTCAATGACCTGGATAAATCAATCTCACTAGCCTTGTTTGATCTGCAGCAATATAGTTCTCCATACTCTTGTGTTACAATGACCCCAATACTACGTATGATTCATGTTTGAAATCCACCTCTTTAACAATGAGCATTGCATACATGTGCCAATATGAGCATTGGTGGAAGAACTCATTACCCATTACCCCATTCCTCAACATGATTTGATAATACGAGACAAGCTCACACTGCATACATTGCTTGAAAATTCTGTAATGTTGCTCAAACTCTAATATGAACGGGACGTCTGCATAATATTATTGTACAAAAGTGATGGGAAAATAGGGAAGGGAAAACAATGGATGAAAACATGCAAGATTCTTTGTGTGTGAATGAATGGGAAGATTACTTGGCAACACCAATGATAGCCTTTTTTCGTTCGGCAACAGGCTTTTCTTGAGCAGCCTTCCTGCTGTGTTTGCGGCGATTCTCGTCTTTTCGGCGTTGTGCTCCCAACATCTCTTTCTTGAGCTTGTCGGCTCTCCTGACATCGTTGGGTAAAGGTCTGTGACGACCGATACGTCGAATCTCGTCCATGTGCTTGAAACGTTCCTTGAGAGATTCGGCATACTCGAGGTTTTGACGCTCCCGCCAATCTGTAATTCCCAGTTTCTCAGAAGCACGAGCCTTCCAAATACGAATGTTGCCATCATCAGAACCTGAGAGAACGTATTTGCTATCCATGGTGAATTGCACCGAAAAGATTCTGGTATGATGTAATGTATTAGCTCTGGTATCCCAAATTCCCATTTCTTCCCATCAAATTATACCTTTGCATTCGCTTGGTATGGTATGCATCCCGACTATGACCTCGTCGTACATCAAAGAGTCGTAACGTCCTGTCGTATGATCCTGTGACAATCTCTTGACCTGTGGGGGAATAATCGATATCCATGCTGTGTACGAGTAAATGAAAATCAGCTTGCTTTGTGTCTAATACACATAATCCCAATATCTCAAAACACTTACACAGCGGAAACATGGTCCTTGAGAACATTTTGTGCGCTATCCATCCTTCTCATATCAAAGATATATGCATTGTGATCTTCGTTGGCCTACAACAAGATGCCATCAATCACCTGCTCCAATCCATTTCCAATCCGATCTTACCGTAGCAAATGTATAAGCTTCAATGGGATTCCATGCAATAGCATTGGTACGTAAAGACATGACGAGCTTGGATAAGGGTTGACTAGTGCGCATATCGTACAAAACAATGGTGCGATCAGTGCCACAACTGGCAAAGATGTTGGTCTCGACTTGGTTGAATTTGACAGATTGATATGAATCGGCACCCCATTCGAAAGAGTGGATAGGTTCGGATCGATTCTCATCCCACACGTTGACTGTACGACCCGCTGTTGCGAATAAAGGATCCTTACGATGATGCGTCAATCCCATAAGAGCGTGATCAGCGAGATAGGTTTGAACAGGCTCGCTCGAAGATGTCGTATCCCAAATCTTGACAGTCTTATCGGTGGAGCATGATAGGAAATGGCCGCTGTTGGAACCTGCACATACTCCTTGTACAATGCCATTATGACCACTCGTACGCCATACGGTCTCTTGCTCGGATAGCTTCCATAATCGAATCTCTACAACAATATAGCACCACCTTGAGCACTCCTTGCAAATATTTTCCTCCTGTATACAAAAACATACCACCGTCACCACTGCCAGAGATCACAGTGTTCAACTGATTCGGGTGCTTGGCCATACAATATACACCGTCAATGTGTCCACCCATGGCACCAATAAAGGGCTTGGAAAACATACGATCGAGCTTCACCGAATTCAATGCACGAACATACTCTCGGCCTTGTTGGAAGGGATGTGCTGTTGGATCAAGGTTGCGTTGCACTTTGTGAATGTCTTGCGATCGTTCACGCACATAGTCGTTGGACGAGCGTGAGAGAGCCTTGACTTTCTACTCGAGCGATTAGCTTTATGTCTATGCAACGATTGAAGGAAGTGAACGCACCATTGGTATATGTCAAGAGGGAAAAGCAAAGTTCAAGCAAACAAAGAAAAGCAACAAAATTCTTTTTGGAGCCTCCATTTACGGAAATAGAAACAGCGATAGCAATGCACAAAGGAACCTTCCAACCGCCACCTACCAACCGCCACTACCCCATTACAGTGCAATAAAGAATTGTATATATGTATATGATGTTTTTTATGCTTTTTACAATGAAGATATTTACTATGTTTAATTGCTTGGAGCAGCCTGGGATTGTGGTAATTCCATATCAGTGAGGTTACCACGGAGGTCTTGTTCGAGCTCAAGGGCTTCAAACAAGCTCTTAAAGTTACCAGCACCAAAGCCGTTGTGGTTGTGTCTTTGAATGATTTCAACAAAGAGTGTGGGACGATCCTCAAGAGGACGGGTAAAGATTTGAAGAAGGTATCCATTCTCATCATAGTCGACCATGATGTTAAGCTTTTGAAGCACATCCATGTCTTCAGTGACAGGCTTCTTGGCAGTCTTGTTGTGGACAGCGAGAGCAGCACGAAGACGATCATAGTACTTGTCGGGGACAACCAAAAAGTCACAGCCACGCTTACGCATGTTGGTTACAGAGGTAATGATGTCGTTGGTGCGAATAGCAATATGTTGAACACCGGCACCACCTATTAATGGTATGTAAGCACAAGATAGCAACAAACAAAGAGAGTTGTAACATACCATAAAAGTCGACGAATTCTTGGATTTGAGACTTCTTTTTACCAAGAGCAGGCTCATTGATGGGCACCTTGATCTTCTCGCTGGGGTCAGCCATGACAACAGAACGCAAAGCGCTATACTCGGTGTGAACATCCTTGTCATCCACAGACCAGAAGCGATGGAAATCAAAGACACGCTCATAGAATTCGGCAATGGGGTTCATCATGTTATCGGGCTGGTTGCCAACGACGTGGTCAATGTGTGAGAGAGGGACGTGAGGCCTACATACCAAGTGCATGTTAATATCCAGCCCCTCCTTATACGCAACCCATTGGCCCCATGATTACACTTACAAAACTTCCTCAAGAGGATCCTTATAACGCAAAGAACTGGCAGAGTCCTTATAGCCAGGCAAGAAGATACCCTTATAGTTTGTGCGTTCGATCAAGGTGTGGTGGACATCACCATACTACAATGACATGTATTAATCACCTGGTGGAATATAGGATAGGGTATAAAAGTAAGACTTACAGTAGCCACAGTTGCGATAACAACGGTACCATCCTCATCAGTGATCTCCTCAGGAGCCTTGATGGACTTTGCACCCTTGGCAATTGCTTTCTATAAAAGAGGTTAATGATCTCTTGCTTCCCAATACCGATCACTGATAGATCTTGCTTCTTTTTTTCATACCTCATAAACGGCACGGCAATCGGTTACAGAGAAGGCAACATCCTTGACACCATCACCACGACGGGCAATTTCATTCACCATTTCGGTGTTGCCTTCAGGTTGAATGGCACATTCAAAGACAAAAGTAGCATCGCCTTGGCGAACAACGTGAGCGGAGACATCACGGCTACCAGTCTCAAGACCACGGTAGGCAATGTGCTTGAAACCGAGACGAGTGCAGTAGTAGGAAGCAGCTTGCTTTGCGTTGGTAACAGTGAAACGAAGATGGTCGAATCCGGAGTAGGTTGATTGCTGGCGGTAGATAATAGAATGTTAGGTTGTTGCGTATCCAAGTGGCAATAATCATTCAATTTACCATTTTCAAAGAAGTTGTGTTGTTGTAATCTGAATCAATGGTTCAAACAGAATGGATGCAAAACAAGCGTTTATAAAGGTGATCTGGTCGTGGGAAGAAAAAAAATTCCCACGAGGCTCGATATGATTGGATAGAGTCATCAGATGTGCCTTGTTTGCATAAAGCACATGCACATCTCCTTTCCCCCACTCCTCCTCTCCCCCGCGCTATTTTGTAAACATGAATGACACAAGCTGCTCACGGGAATTGACATATTGAGAAGAAAATGCCGGCCATATTATAATACATTATACATGGCTCTCATCACTCAGCTACATCCAAGGATATGTTGCAAGGGAATACAAAGATTGGAGATTCCAGGAGACGAGGCTGATGGTGCACCCCGCGGAAATAGCACTTCCCATGATAGGTAGGGCGCGGTTATCTTTCCGACCAGGCTTCACTCATCCATCTCATCAACAAATCGGAATAGCTTCCCATTTCCCACACTACACGAGTTGTATATCTTTGTACTCCCATCCACCTTTTTGGTGGCACCCCAGACATGCGTATTTTATCACCACTTGCACAAAACAGGACCCTGCTTTGAAATGCATCTTTATATTACTAACACCCATTCATTGTAAAGAAAACCAAGTGCTATCACATTGCATTCAAGCGTCATCAATCATAAAGCTGTTGTGGACCACTTGATGCTTTCATACGCTTTTTTGATAAAGTGAATAAACGATACGACGACTGGAAACCCTCACGTGGTCACAATGAGTTCTCTCAACAATCATTTCCAAAAGCATCGCTTTCTTCCCTGATGTGTCGATGCAACACAAAATGTTGTGCTTGTTTTAGAAGCCAGCTTAGTGATGTAGAATCATGTGCACAGTGAAAAGTCTCTTTTGCTCGCTTTGAAATGAGATCATTCTAAGAAACAAATGGAGTATGACGATGTGTGCTTGTTTTTTCCCACGACTTCTGTCGACCTTTTACTCTCGATCTTCCATCGCTCATTCCATCCGCTATTGCAGGTCGCTATTGGTTATTGCAGTATGGTCCCATCACGTGGTTCTATGCTCATCTATGCCAACACTCTTCTTCCATATCACACATAAAGATAACGCTCATTGATAACCCTCCCAAAAGCAATAAAGCAACCCAAACTAATGTGTGATCAATAACCCATTTCTGCTATTGTTATTGGCTTCTTTTATGGGGCATTGTTGTCATCAAGAAGACATTGCATTTTCATTTTAGGAATCATTTATGATAGATAGACATGTCATTGAATTATACATCTTTGGTGTGGTGGCTAACAGTGGGGGATGGATGAAGGTAATTCCAAGGAGTGTCAATGCCACTTATTCATGCGTGGAGTTACACAGAGTGGGGCAAAAAGTGGATATGTGCAACGTAAGGAAGCATGCCACGGCAACGAGTGATTGGCTAGAATTGATAGGCATGTCAATAACCAAGGGATCATTCACAGGCGTCGTCCCTTTCAATTCTTTCTATTCTATCTTGTTACCATAATGACAAACGAAGCTGAAACCGCCACTGTCACCCACGTCCCTTCCAAGGTAGTACCTGAGAAACCAGCAGCAACGGGTGAACAACAACAGGAAGAAGAGTACAAGGATCGGTTCTTGGACGGCAACCAACGCATCATTGCGTACGATCTCCTGGAGGCGCGTGGCAAGTCATCAGAGACCACTGATCCAGATGTCAAACGCTATCGACAAGCCAAGGAGAAATTCCGCAAGGGTTACGACTTGTGCATGACCATTCCACGCTCATTGGAAGACGACGTGCTCAACCAGCACGAAGAGGATATCAAGACTGCTTCTGAAACGCTCGTTGAGGCGTGGCTACTTGATGACAAGGCCGCACCCATGTCTGAACGCGTGCTTATTTTGGGCCAGCAATATGAGAAGGTGTTACTCAAGGATGTCCCAGAGGAACAACGCGAAGGTTTCTTTGTCAAAAACAGCTTATTGTTTTCTGCATGGATCCTTTTGGTGGGAAGGCAATATCAACACTGGTAATGATCCAAGTTATCCATCCCCCTCTCTTTTTTCATCGTCATCTGACAACTTGATAGCTTGACAACTCTTACTCTTGCCATCAATTCATATGATGACCTTCCAGGACGTGTATACTTTTTACGTGCATCTTGCTATTTTTCATTGGGAAAGCTAAGGTAAGCAAAATTGCTTAGAGCTGGTGGTGGTGGTGATGATCCATGCGTGTTAACTAATATTCTTTTTCATTGGCGTATAAAAGACTTGGATTGAAGGACTTGGAACGCTGTTTACAGAAGGATTCCAAATACACGGTCGCTTACAGCGTGCAAGGATCGATCTACATGAATCTCAAGGAGCGTGACAATGCTATCAAGGCCTTCAGGTTATATTTGGAACGAGGTCATCCTGATACGGCAGACTTTATCAATTCGTTATATTCGCTTTCCATCCTTTTGCATGAGAAGAACAAAAAGGCAGAGGCTCGCAAGTATTACAACAAGGCAAAGGATGCAGAGGAACGTTTCAAGAAGCTTTATGGCACCAAGACGGGTATGAGTGACAACAAACGACGCGCGATCCAGTTGCATGAGTCACCCGAAGATGCGCGCAATATGATTTTCCAATCCATGCCTTCCAAACAGTACAATAACAAGATCGAGCAGTTGATCCAAGCTGGTATTCTCAACTCTCCATACCCACCTAGCGCGGACAATTGCTCCAATTGCGGTGCCAAACACTTGAAGGATCAACCTGGTAAACCCCTTCTCTGCTGTGGCGGCTGCAAGAGCATTTGGTATTGCTGTCGTGATTGTCAAGTTAAGGATTACAAGGCTGGCCATAAGGTTGCATGCAAGAAGGCTGCCAAGCAATAAGCTGGACCCAGTAGTAGTAGTGCAAATAGGTTGTGCCTAGTTTTTGATTTTTGAATACCACCCAATAATGATTTCCCCCGAATGTGTTCATTGTTCACAATGCTTGACGTCTATGATTTTAATGCAAATACAAAATAGCTGTGGTATGTTACATGGTGCGTATAAGCTATTTCTTTTGGTTCAAGGTGTGCACGTTCATCGAATAGCACAAGTTGTGCACCATCTCCAATTTTGGCACCTTGACTCCCAAAGCTTTGGCACGTCTCAAGGGAGATCCCAGAATCACTCCTACTTCCATAGGTCGACCATGTTCGATATCAAGCAACCTATCGCAATATTAGTTTTCATGATAACAAACCAAGGCCATAATCCAAAAGAAAACACTCACATGGATGGCTATTATATAACAGTGGTATGAGATCATCTTGTCATGCTGCGTAACCTTTTCTCTCTCCCCAATCTTACCTTGTAATCCATTGCTGTTGCACGCGTACGCTCCATCATAGTCTTCACTTGCTCTTCGGGATCAAAGTCATAGCCAGCTGCCTTGGCCACTTCAACAAGCTCTGACATGAGACCCTTGACGGTATCCATGGCTGGTTCGCAATTGAGAATTTCGGTTGTATCCATGCGACTGATGGCACAAACGGGGGAGAATGTACCATTCCAGAACAACTTTTGCCAGCGTACCCGTTCCACATCATCTACACGGTTCACTGTGCATCCTCCTTTCTCCAAAAGCTTGACAAAAGAATCGATTTTGTCATTGGCATCAACGGGCGATGGTTTGTAGTTGCCAACAACAAGCGTTTCTCCACCAACCATCTGGATCTTGCCCAAGGCAGTTTGTGAGGTGCCAATGTAAGCAACCACTGACACAATAGGCGTATCCGGGAAACGCTCCACAATGGGCTCTTCAACACCCAATCCATTCTGGATAAGTACAACGGTCGTCTTGCCCTTGGTTACGGCTGGTGCAATGATATCGGCCACATTGTAAACCTCTGGTAACGCCTTGAGTGTCACCAACACATAGTCGTATGGCTGATCCTCTGGCGCTTTAGGTACTTGGCGGACAACTAGTAGTAGAAACAAAGCTGTTAGTTAATAAACCCCTTAATGACACTTGCACTTTGTACATGCCTTGGTTGGGCATGAATGTCGCTTGACCAAATTTCTTGGAATCGATGTTGAATCCATGTTGACGCACTGCTTCGAAATTCGAACGGCACACAGTGGTGACATGGCAGGCTTGAGCAAGTCGCCAAGAGTAGATAGCACCAACAGCACCGGTACCAACTTTTTATCGCATAATAAGATATATGAAATTTCCTCCATCCTATGCAGCGGCGTCAGCCATACCTGTCAAAATGCGTGGCAGTGTCATCAAGATAAAGAGAGCGTGGGGAAAAGAGGGGGTGGATCTGAGAAAGCTGCTATGATTCAGTAACCTTAAATGAATTGACATATCCGATCCTCGGAGACAGAGGGGCGGGGTCATCATCGGCTTATCTATTATCTCTTTGAAACTTGCTACAGCATTGGCTGTATGCGAATTGACTCATAGCAACCGATATTGTGGAGCCCATAAGAGATCTCCTGCAGAATGGTTTGTTTATTCCCATCATGCGCTATGACTCAAATGCATATAGGTATCGAATATTGACCTCCAGCCAACGATGAAATCATCTATGGTATTAGCCCTTGTTGGTGGTAGATTCCTCTCCTTGATCAAAGGCTTTGGCGGCATGGGAAGTGGACATGGTAATGTTGTGTGCTTTCCAATAGGAGAATAGGAGGATGGAACCCTAACAACGGATGAACGTGGGTGGGATGGGGAAGATCAATGCATAACACAAAGAGACCATGAAAAAAATAGCGGGTGCTTTGTTAGAGAAAGCTCCCTGGATATGCATCCATATGCGTCTACATAATGAACAATGTGCCAACATGAATGAGCACCTACCTATTTTCTTGCTGGGATCCCTTATAACCTACATGAATGGTGCACCTGAACTCTTTTTTATGTTTGAGCATGCAAATGTCCCTCTAAGCTTTTCCCACCAAGGCATTGTGAATAGTACCATAGGTGAATCAACTTCAGCGAGGCGTTCCATTAATCGATCAACTGCTATGATATGTGGGTGGTTGGCTTGATAAAGTGATGTTGTGTGGCAACCTACCTTCATGCTGCATAGTGAGCATTTTCTTTCAGATGTGAAGATGCGAAGATCATGTTTTTCTTATCCTTTCACTCTTGTGGTTATGGATGTGGAAGGGCTCTCTTCTTGATTTGATGCCATCATTGCAGCTTTCAGCCGTTTCTTTACTTCCTACCGTTTGATCACAAATCAACATCCATTATCCTTCCCGGATTTTAGCCCCCTCCCTAACATAATGAGCATCATTTTTTATAGGATACAATGAACTCATGGGTCAATATTTATAAGCTATGGATCAATAATGAAGACAATGAATCTTGGCTATGTATTGTACGTCATGAAAAAGCTGATAATGTATGTATGTAATGTGGGATCTGGAAAGGAATAGGGTGAGGATGATACCAAACTTGGATATGCGGTATTTACGATAACGACTTTGTTTTGGATGTGTATGTCTCCCTATCCAAGAGGTGTGTAATGATAACAGTTTCCCTTTCAGAGTGTTACAATGACCGTGCTTTAGTAGTGGCGGCACACGATTGGCTGTGGTGGGATGCATGGTGTAAGATTGCCGGAGTCCAAAAGCGTCCTTTGACATTATGGGATGCCTCAACCTGTAGGTCGATTCCTTTGCTCTTGCACACACAGACACAGTCGACATGCAGTTTTCAGTACGCACGTTACTGGGAGCATTGTTATTTGGCTTCCTTGGACTGAGCCTAGCATCAGCATCGCCCTCATCTGAAGCCGTCGCCAAGACAACCATACCGATCAATCCCACTTTCAGAAACACGCGCCTAATCCGAGTCGTCGACTTGCGTAGTGGTGTGGTCCATGAGGATATCGGCATCCGTGCAAAGAATATCGACAAAGCATCCGCCAATGAATATATCTTCACGATCCCCAAGAATGCAGAGGAACACGTCGCTAGTATCACGGCTTTCTTGCGTCAGGAACCCAAGACGCCTTTATCCATTGAACAAGCAGGCTTCGACTCTGAAAAGTGAGTTTGTATTAGATACGCGTCTTTTCAACAATAACTTACAAGTGCATTGATATGAAAGGGAAGTACAACTTTACAAGATCACATTTGATACACCTGTGAAGCCAAATGATGAAATCCGCTTTGGTCTCAAGATTGCATCGACTCACAAGTTGGCTCCTTTCCCCGCCAAAGTTCCTCAAGTATCTCGTCAATTTGTCGTCTACAATGATAACGTCTATGTCTATTCGCCTTACTTTACAGATGAAATGAAAACCACCGTGCAGTAAGTACATGGATACCTTTCTCTTTACAATGAAGCTAAATGATACTCTAGGCTTCCATCTCAAGTGGTGCAATCATACACAGGTGGTAAGCATGCCACGCACTCTGGAAACAAGATCGTCTATGGCCCATTCCATGATATGATGCCCGAATCCCATCAAGAGTTATCGATTCATTACGAGTACAGCAAGCCTATCCTTACTGTAGCCGAGCTGGAACGTGATCTTCAGGTGTCGCATTGGGGTAACAATTTGGCTGTGGAGGAGAGCTACAGGTTGCAGCATTCCGGTGCCAGGTTAGTGATCAAATAACATGTTAACAGCCATCATTTACTTACGTATTTATATAGATTGGAGACCGAGTTCAGCCGAGTCACTTATCAAATGACGAGAATGGTGCATGGCCAAACCAATGTGCTCAAGGACTTGACGTTCAAGCTGCCTACACAAGCTCGTGATGTTTACTATCGTGATGAGATTGGCAACGTCTCCACATCCCATTTCCGTCAAGAAGCGGATGGCTCTGTGTTGCAGCTTACACCTCGATATCCCTTGTTTGGTGGTTGGAATTACACATGGTTCCATGGATACAATGTTGATCTCAGCCGATTCGATCGTTACTCCTCAAAGACGGGTCAACATATTTTGAATGTCAACTTTGTTGAAAATGTGCAGGACATGGTTATCGATAAGGCTGTGCTTCGAGTTGTGCTTCCAGAAGGCGTCACGTAAGTGGATTGGGAATCGACATTGGACTTGGATGGTTGCTAAGATACCACCCGCTCATTGATAGGAACGTCAAGGTGCATGCTCCTTTTAGCCTTGATTTGGAAGAACACGGCACACATTTCACCAACTTTGATTCGACTGGTCGTTATCTCGTAGTATTGCAGAAATTCAACGTGGTACGAGAGCATGAACAACCCATTCAGGTAAAGCACGAAAAGAGAGGTCTTGCACTTGGGACATTTTACTGATTAGTTCGTATCCCTAGATCACCTATGAATACCCACCGATTCGATTGCTCCAAAAGCCATTGGTTGTGTCGGCTGCCATTTTCGCTCTATTCTTGCTAAGCATTATTGTGTCAAAAATCAGTTTCACCATTGGCACAACTACCGTAAGTGATTTGCCAAACTCGACAAAGTATCAATATCTAACAACGCTCAATGTAGAAATCGCAAAAAAAGAAGCAATAGAACTACACCACCACCATCCCACAAAGTTCCGTTCATGTAGTTGACGTCCACATGTAATCCAACAATCCCTTTGTATAAAAAAACGAAACAACATATCACAAATTCCTTTTCTTTATGATGCTTCTCCTGGGGGTGGGGTATGAGATGAAGGGTAACTCTATAGAGGAAAACGTCATGTCTATAGCGTGATACGTAGTGCTTAGAGTGGCGTTGATATTTGAGATAAAAGCTGCATGCAGCCACATGAGATCTGTGACATCAGCTAGAGTACATAGCTGCTTAATATACCCTTATATATATCATCTTCCAAAATACAATGACTGACAACATATACGATTCAGGGACGAATGGCTCTAAGTCAAGGGACATTGAATATGGGTAACATCGTATCAAGTTTTCATCATGCCAATTGTCAATAAAGTGGTGCATCTTTTTGCATGATGCACGTGATGTCCATAATGCAGAGGGCTGTGCCAGTCACAATGGATGCTGCATCCCGCCAAGTCAGTTTGACCTTATTCGCCCCTTTTCCCAGTTTCTTTTTCTTTCTCTTTTATTCTGTGAGCACAAGAAAAACACACAACATGAGCGTATCGGTTGCAGATATCTTTGAAGAATATGTGGAAAGTAGGTTGACTATTTTAAGAGCGTTGACTAGGGAGTCAAAGTGTCGTGTCGCTTGTATCAACGTGGGAATTGATGAATAGGTCTCCAAAATCTGCCCGCTGAAATCGATCAAAATATGCATGAACTACGTAGCATGGATGAGGAATTTCAACGTAAGATGGTTTCATTGCTCGTCATCCATTTTCCTTACCACTCTTATCATCCCATGATTCAAAGGCGTGAGAGAAACATACACCAAACATCGACGTTCTTATGCAAAAGCGCTCAAAAATGCAACACCCAACCATTCGACCAACCTCAGCGCGTCGCGATCGCAACTGGAAAAAGAATACCAAAAGGCACTACAGAAGCAAGATGAAAAGATTGAGCTAGCCTTGCGAATGTACGACCTTGTCTCGAGACACATTGAACGAATCGACTCGCAAATGGCCAAGAGTGGCATTGATGGAGGTGATTGGATAGGGAATCGTGCGTCATCTAACCGATCATGGGAAGACCGTTGGCGAAACGAGGGTAAACGGCAACGGTTGGATACAAGAAACAACACAATGGATACTCATGCATGATACCATTTTGACAGGACAACGTAAACGCTCTATCGCACCATCATCATTTCGAAAGCGCGCACCGCGACCAACACCTGCAACAAGCCATCATGGCACTTTGACGGAGCTTGAGATCGATCCAAATGAACCACGTTATTGTATCTGTAACCAAGTATCCTTTGGTGATATGGTGGCATGCGACGGAGAGAATGTAAGCAATGAGAGAGATCAAAAAGGCACGTGATGTAAGATGGCTCATCCTGATGATGATGAATTAGTGTGAGAAGGAATGGTTCCACTATGCATGTGTAGGCCTTGTGGAGCCACCAGCAGGAAAATGGTTCTGTGATGATTGTGCAGCAGAAGATGGATATCGAAAACGCATTAAACGACTAAGCGAAGATATTGCTTGAACATACCCCCCACCCCCATAACAACCTATTGTAGATAAAATGACCCCCATCCCCAAACAAATCAACATATATAAAAAGTGAATGATTTAAAGATTATGAAATGAAGGAACACGAGTAATCTATTTATACATGAGGGAAAATGAACAAAGGTGAAAAGGGAGGGAGCTATTCGTTTAATGCTTATGGAGAACGTTTTGTGCCTGGGAAGTGAATAATCCTCGACCACTAAGCAAATCCACTAATGGTCTATGTTCGTACCACCATGCACCACGAGGTTTACGATTCTTCATGTCGGTAACGGGCTTAAGCTCCTTGACAGAACGATAAGTGACATCGACACCTGAAATACCCACAACAGCAATTGAATCACTGCTCTTGGTAATCTCAACCGGTACATCCCGTCCTTCAGCTTTAGCCTTGTCAAGAGCTTCAAGAGAATGCAATTCAATAAATTCAATAGCACGCATGGCAAGACGTGTAGCACGAATACGATCCATAGGCGAAGGAGTACCACCTTGCTGGATGTGGCCTAACACTGCAGTACGAGAATCAAAGAGCTGATGGCCTTCATCCTTCAAGATATTGCTGATAACATCATTGGTGTAGGTATCGCTGACGCCTTCAGTACGCAAAATAATACGGCCTTCAGATTTGTCAGGATCATCATCAAGGTACAAGTTCATAAGGTGATGGACATCCGCTTGCAATCGTGAAAGAGAGATGCCTTCTTCAGGAATGTAAATTGTGTTTGCACCAGTAGCAAGACCAGCTTCCACAGCCAAGTAACCCGATTTGCCACCTTGTACTTCGACAACAAAGACACGTCGACGAGAAGAGCGTGCTGATTGAACAATAGCATCACATGATTCAACGATGGCGTTAAGGGATGTATCAGAGCCAAGGGAATAATCAGTGCCAGGTACATTGTTGGAAACAGTAGCAGGAATGTGGCACACAGGGATGCACAATGAAGGATACTTTTCACGAGCTTCCTCCAACTTGGTCAAAGCAGTGTAGGCTTCGAAACCACCCACCAACATGAGACCTTGGATGTTGTGTCGTTGTACTTGATATGCCACCATACCCATATCCACATGGATACCAGGTACATCACGATTGGTTCCAAGTTCTGATCCACCATACGATGTCCATCCATCCACACTGATCCATGACAATTCCTCGATAGAGCCACGCACCAAACCAGGGAAGCCGTTATACACAACCAAAGGACGATGACCACGATTCAAAGCACAACGAACAGCTGTACGAGTAGCTGCATTCATACCACCAGCAGGTGCACCCACATGAAGAATGGCAATAGTCATACGTTGATGTTCTGGTAAACGGCGAGACATATCATCAAGGATGGTGCTAGCATTGTATGCTTCGAATTCTTCAGCAAATTGAGGATCCCGTAATTCCATAGCACGTGCAAAATTCTTTTCACTGATAGCCTTGGCGACTTCGTGGGTGAGTTCAACAGCCTTCATAAGGGGACCACTGGTGACCTTGTTGCAGCTCATGCCAATAAGAGGAGATGGGGTATCAGGTGTAGAGCGTAAAACAGCTTCAACAGCTTCAACGGATTGAATGGTTGCGAGGATACGATCAAAAGCTGCAGGTGAACCACCACGTTGAGTGTGACCAAGGGTTGTAACACGAGTGTCGAGATGAAGACGATCAGCAAGAATATCCTTGACATGCTCCGCCTTGATTGGGTTGAGTGATTTATCGATAGCACCTTCGGCAACAATGACGACTGTAATGCGCTTGCCCATTTGTCGATGACGTTGTGCTACATTACACAAAACGGTCTCCCAGTCATCTTCCGGAGGGGGCCGCTCGGGAATGAATACAAAATCAGCACCTGTGGCAATACCCGCCATCAAAGCCAGCCAACCACAATGACGTCCCATCACTTCAATAACGAATGCACGCGAATGCGACATGGCTGTGGTGTTGATCGAATCCACACTCTCACAAATACGGTGCAAAGACGTCACAGCGCCAATCGTAATATCAGTGCTTGACATGTCATTATCAATCGATCCCACTATAAAACATGTGTGTGTCAACAACATCGAATCCTATCCTAGTATGAAGAAAGAAAAAAACGTACCTAAACCAACAATGGTCAAATGCTTGTAGGTATCAGCTTCTTCTTCAGTGATACGCTCAAGTGACTTGAGCTCTTCCACAAGACCACCCCATTCGGAACGAAAGACATCAGCACCCGTCAACGAGCCATCACCACCACACACGATCAAAGAGTCAATGCCTCTTTTGACGAGATTCTCAGCTGCTTGGAGACGACCTTCACGTGTCTTGAAAGGCATGCAACGAGCTGTACCAATAGAAGTGCCACCCTTGTTACACCCTCATAGATTAACATCATGCCATTTTCATCCCACTTGTATTATGCAACTTACCACGCCCAAAAATCCACGCACACTCTTCCAATCCATCTTGCGAATGCATTTGCCACCATCAACCAAACCTTGATACAAAACAAATGAGCATATAGGATTGCATGATTTCCAATAGTAAAGCATTACCTTGATAGCCTTCATAGATACCATACACTTCGCATCCTTTGGAAATACCATAGCGAACAACACCACGTACAGCTGCATTCATACCAGGAGCATCACCACCTGAAGTCAAGACACCAATCTTGCGAGAGCGTTTAACTGCTTGTGACACCTCCTTTATGGAATCGGGTACATCGTCGTCATTGCGCAAGTGTTCTTGGCCGAGTAAGCTTTGAATGACAGGCTTGTCACTGAAGACGACGACATTGTGCAAAGGATCGAGTGCATAGATCTTGCTTGGCTTTGTTTGATAAGGAGCACCAATGGTTTCAAGCTTGGTTTTGATGTTCTAAAGAAACGCGTGTTATGTTTCAGCTCTCTCCCACACAATATAATCATGCCACCCATCACCGCCACGCCCATTCACACAGGACACCCGGTCCAAACTTACGCTCAGGTCACTCGTATTCAATACGACGCTGTATTCTTTCAAAGCCCAATCAATCTCATCAGGAAGTTGTTCTTGACGCATGGCAGAAGGGGATAAAGCAAGCTTAATGGTAAGCTCACTGGTCAAGGAGCTGGAAGCTGCACTGAGCTTGAGCCATACTCGACGTTCACTTGTTGAAACAGCTGTGCGGTCCTCTTGGTCAAGGATTTGTTCAAATCCAAAAGCTGTATAGAATTGTTTGGTGCGTTCAAAGTCTTCGGGTGTAGTTGCCCTTAACACGATATGTGATAATCCCTGTGACATGTTGTATCGATGGGAAAAAAGAAAGAAAAAAGAGAAAGAGGAGGAGGAGGAGGAGAAGGGAAAAGTAGCAGCAGCTGAAATTCGCGGGAAAACCTCGGTTTATAAGGAAACATGAATCGAACGAGATCTCTTGCTTGTATTTCCCTCTCTCATTCCAACCTTCCAGTGTCGCGTGCCCGCCGTGACTTTACTGATTACGCGGATGATGAAAACGCAAAGATGGCCGATAACGATGTATACACATTCCCTGAATCATGTTTCAATCCTCCTTCTACATCATTGTTTACAAGAATAAAGATGTCCATCTTGATACTCTTACCCATTCTTATTATTCATTTGCATCACGATTGATATCATTCATGCTGAAACGCCACACATTCCAAAGCGTATGAGCCTGTGTAACAATAAAAGAAAAGCGGGATTCACCATATACGTCATATCAAAGACATGGTGCCCGTGCAGGATCCGATCATGATCGGTATCAGCTGGAAAACACAGCTTATCATAGTGGCTTATGATACGCCATAGGTGATCTGACTTATAGAGTAGCTATCATGCATGTTGTTTATCACAGTAATAAGCTCAATGCAGCATCATACGACGTTTAGATTGACAAGTAAATGATGAAATGTGCGTGTTTTGATGGATAAAAAAAGTTGTATCTACTGTAAATTTGCAAAAGGAAACAAAGTGATGCTTGGTATTACTAGGTTTGCACTGCAGTATCGCGTTCTTCTTCGTATTCCACTTCCACTCGTGCTCGCTTCTTCTTTGGTCGTTGTTGCTAAGCAAATCACATCATCAGCATAGCCATCCTTTTTGAATCATCTCATGTAACACTTACCACTTCCTCTTCGTCTTCCTCCTCCTGTTCTTCTTCACCCTCCCATTGGAAGCCATCTTCGAGATCCTCCATATCAGACTCATCTTCGAGATCAGACACAAATTCATGCTCCAACTAGAAGAAAAAAAGACCCCCCCTATCATCAGTATCACATAGATGGATCACCGCACATGCTTTGACATTTACCTCGTCCTCGTCCTCTTCTTCTTCTTCTTCCTCAACCTCGTTTTCGTCATCCTCTTCACTCTCTTCATCCTCAGCACCCTCGACATCTTGATCCAGGATCTTTTGCCAGATATCATCGTTGACGTTCAAAGGTGCATCACCGTAGGCCTTGTTCTTTAATCGTTCAATCAATTCCTTCTCAATTGATTTCTCTAGGCGTGCAGCGGCTTCAGCCTTTCTCTCACGAGCAGCTTCACGGCGATCAAGTTTCTTCTTGATGGGGATGAGCTGTGGTCGTTCACTATAAAAGATCGTGATGAATACCTCAACCTGCATCATGCCATTGATCTCTCTCTTGTTACTTACTTTTCCTTTAACTTGAGCTTTCTCATTCTTATCAGGTATTGGGTGATCTTTGTGAGACGTTGCTTGCACTTGTGTTGTAAGAAATTGGGCCAATACATGAGCTCTTTATCAATCTATAAAAGTTCGCTCTCTTGTTAGCATTCCACAAGGTGATCCCTCTCCTCTTTTCTTACCTGTGCCAAAGCCTGTGCATAGTTCTTTGATAATTTGACCTTTTCCCACATCTTGGCCGGAGAATGTGCTCGTTCAGGTGTCTTCATATAGAGATAGATGATACCTACATTGTAGACGGATCAATATGGATAGCTCTCAGGGTACATTAAAGAGTGACAACAAATTACCATCATGCTCCCGAATAGTGGCATAACGACTGTTGGCAAGAGGGCACGATTGACGATTGCAAAGACCAGTGACATTGTATGGATTTCGACAAAAGTTTTGGGTGGTAGTTCTATGCCGAGAATGCGTCAGGATCCATAGGCGATCTGTCAAAGCATGATCGAGCTTACTTGACTTTGTAGGAACAAAAGTGCTGATTGATCACCTGCCAGATAACTTCGTCGGATTGCATATTATAAAGAGAGAATATATATGTTGTTGTTGGTCGTCGAGGTGGGTGATTGCAAAAGAGTGGCGTGCCAAGTGAGTGGGGGGAATGAACTACGCCTCGGTTCCAGAAACGAACAAAAAAATGAGAGCTGCCCTTTGGCAGGAGTTTTATGCAAAGCCACCGACAGTTGGACACTCGCCCCCTTTCCCCGCCAACCATCACATTGTGCAACCCAAATCACCCATCCCAACTCTGATCATCAATACAACCTTGCAGCAAATTTTTGTCGAATGGCATCTAAATCATCTTGATACTATCATCCATACATATTTACATGCTTGAGCAAATGGATAACGTGCATCGTTTCTACCGCGTACGTAAAGAATTCCACATACAACGTTGAGGGTGCAAGAAGGATATCGCTTCACGTTTTTACAAGTCCTCTTCAACTATCATAGTGCGCGTATACATCTTCACATCATACGACCCAAGTGTATCCATCATCACTTTGTTGCATTTCCAACATCATGTACATGTAATTCACATAAAAATCATACATTGTCCCCCTTGCCATCTGTTAGCTGCATCATAAATCGACGAGAAACACGCATTGTAGTATGCTACTATAGCATCTCTTCTGTATTATCAAAACATTGCTATACTTAAAACTTAAAAAGTAGCTTGATACGTGACAACGCAGCTCCCCTATTATGTGCTGTGTAATTGTACGCTTATTCAAAAGCTGTATGTCGAACGTATAAATGTGCTTGATACACATCATACCCCTCATCCAGGAAAATGGGGCAAATCATCATGTGAGGGTAACTGCAAGATGCCGGCTATATTATACAGCCCCCATCGCTATGTCTCCGCTGGCATGCCCGATCCAAATAGGAATCGGCTACCGGTCTGTGCGCATTCGTGACACGTATGCCTTTCCATATATGGCGCAACTCACAAAGTGATGTTGCTTTCAAAGATTTCAAGTTGTGCGTTGCCTAGGCAACGAAGTTACCATGACAACATTTTGCATTCAACCTAATTCGCCAATTCTACGTCCCGTGTCAATCCCTGCTTTTTTGACAGGCCATTCTTTATTTTTCAGAGGATGATGATATGACATGGGTTGATTCATGGTAAAAGTCTTTCAATAATCTAATTGCATTACCAGATTCTATACTCCAGCGTTGCTCATTCAGCTTTTTCATTGCACTTTCACGAGTGACTAATGAAGAATCGGTCATGGTTTGTCGAAGGATGGAGGAAACAGTGTAACAATCAATGATGCCATGCGTGGCACTTTTCCAAAGGTTACATCCAATACGCAACCTGTGTTCCATCATGTCGGCATTCATAGGCTGATCCGTCAAAAAAGGGACGCCGACAATGGGTACACCAGCGATGGTAAAACATTCCGTTAACGAATTCCAGCCACAATGCGAAACAAATAATCCGGTAGCAGAATGATCAAGGATCTTGATTTGAGGAGCCCACTCTACCACCTTGACACGATCACCCATTCTTTTCAACCAGCCTTCAGGGAAGCCATCCTCATCACAAGGGACTATGGGTGCGCGTCCAATAAAATCATCGCCAGCATGCATGGGTCGATAGGATTGTGATGTGTCACGTTTTTCATTGCCCATACAACAGGAAAGCCGACTTTTTCCAAAGCTAAAGCCAACGCGACTTGATCCGCCCAACAAAAATGAGCTTGAGTACCAAGAGCCACATAAATCACTGTCCGAGATTGTTGTTGATCCATCCATTTCATAAGGGAAGAAGCGTCATCACCATCACCATGATCACCGCCACGATCCAATGGGGGTAGATAACCGATAAATCAAGTCTTTGGGATAAATTGATGTAGGGATGTGATATAATCAATGCTATAGGTCTCCTCTTGATCATGGGTAAGCATGCCATCATGGTATTTTGCTTGCTCGCATTGATCAACCAAAGCATCAATCATATCACCCATTTGAGGTAATTGTGCGTGTTGGAGTGTACGATAGTGAGGAATCGTCAATGTACCATGTTGTGGATCAAGTCCCTTATCGCGCACTTGAGGAAGTAGCCGTAGCACTGACCACTTCAAGATTGGAGTAGGCATGTAAATGTACGACTTGACCCCAAGCTTTCTTGCCGCTAGCAATCCCCAATGAGATCCATACATGTCGGTTATAGTTGCCACAGGGTGCCCTTCTTCTCCTATTGACGAGCAATTGCCTATATTGTTTTTGATACCATCCACCATGTCGTTGGCAAGTTGATCAGGCTGCTCCAGCGAATAAATAAAAGGAACATTAATATCGTCACCATCAGGCTCCACATAAAGCTTGATAACTCTCAAACGATGAAGCGGGTTGCTTCCCACGTTGGTCGTTACCCATTTGCTTGACTTGGTGCAGGCGATGTAGATGGTTCCAGTCACATCCGGATTGGCTTGCAATATCTTGTCCGCGAGATTGATGATTCCATAAACATGTCCAGCTGAATCAAAGGTGAGAAAGGCGTAATGAACCATCATGAGCTGTCAATGGGATTGATGTATCATCCACCCCCCTTGAATACTATATAAAACATGAGTGGCTCAGTGACTTTTGTGACATAGAATCTCGCAGCACATGTATTGCTTCACGCTCTCGTTGTACGTGTTGCTACTGCTACGCATTAGGACGACGATTATGTGGAAGTTGAGTACATAATGCTCGCATGGAAGAGGAACATTTGTGAAGCAAGCTTATATAGAATTCGTGATTGCACTCAAACACCCACCAACACCACAAATGCAGCATGCAGCATCCTTTTTATCATACGAATACGTATGATCCATGAGTAGCTTTAATCATTCAATAAAACGTTGCCATGGTAAAAGAAAAGGTAGTCATATCAATTGACAACAAATTTGGAGATCCCAAACGTTGCCCTGCCAACGTCTGTGGCTTGACGTTCAAGCGGTGATTTCCCAATTTCTGCAGCTGTCTTTATTCTTCGTTTTCACACTTCTCTACCACACACATCACCATGGTAAGGAGTCCAATGGAAGTCTCTCTTTATTGTATGCTAATTCGATTGCTGTATAGGGCAAACAAAGGAAAACTAGGCAATTCTCGGTGGCCAAGCGCATGATCAACCCCAATGACTCTAGATTGTACGTAGCTTTTGCCATGGTCTATTCTCTGCTAGCAAGTAAACTGATCTTGTCATTACAGGAAAGCGAACAAGGAAAAGGAAAAGAAGAAGCAGGAAGAAAAGGAAAAGGGAGCAGTTCGACAATTGTAAGTAGCAAGGATAGGGTCACTTTATTATACTAACCAACCATTAGGCCCCAAGTCGCATCATCCATGTTCTTTGAGTACAACTCGGCTCTTGGACCTCCTTATCATGTTCTCGTCGATACCAACTTTATCAACTTTTCTATCCAAAACAAACTCGAGCTCGTCAAGGCAATGATGGATTGCTTGTATGCAAAGTGTAAGTGGCAGGCATGAACAATGATAGGATGACTATGAAACTCATTCCTCCATGGTATATAGCTATCCCATGCATCACAGACTGTGTATTGGCAGAATTGGAAAAGTTGGGTCCTAAATACCGTATTGCGCTCAAGTAAGTCATGATGGATAGGTGATGATATGGGAGTTCTTATATAAGCGTCTATATAGGATTGCACGTGATCCTCGTTTTGAACGATTACCATGCTCGCATAAGGGTACATATGCTGATGATTGCTTAGTACAGCGTGTCATGCAACACAAATGCTACATTGTCGCCACCTGTGATCGAGATTTGAAGCGTCGCATTCGTAAGGTGCCTGGTATTCCCATTATGTACATCTCTGGCAGGAAATATGTGATAGAACGACTTCCTGAGCTTGGTACCAATACATTTTAATCAGCATTGCATCATTTTGTATATATACAAGAGTTATTCCTCATTCACGATATACGGCTTTTGAGCAACATGATGGTGATGGTGATGGTGGTGATGGTGGCTATAAATAGAGATCATGCTAAGAAAGGAATCGGCAAGAAGCTGAGTGTCAATAAGGAGGAGCTGCTGTTGTAAAAGGCGATTTTCGGCCCTTGCGTTTATATGGCACGGGTGGGGCTATATAATACGAAGAGTATATAAAATAAGGGGCTTGCATGTGTGGCAATTCATCATGATTCTTGGCACTTTTGTGGAAAAGGATAGCTTTTATCATATTACATGTTGACTATAAACGTGACACTGTCAAGATCATTTCACTTGTAGTCAAGCACAAACTTGCATAAACAAAGATAGTGGATCGGAAAACACCGTATAGTAATACAAATGCATAGAAAGTTCGGTACTACCCACATTGCATCCAGGGGCCACACTTTCGTTTTTTATGCAACTTGCCCTTGGCTTAACCGAACAACTACGCCACCGGTTGCGAGCTGGGGATAAGATGCAGGTTGAAAGAAAAGTGACAATGAGAAGCCATCTGATGCATATCATGCTTAAAGTACATACTTGCATAAAAGGAAAGTAAGCATCTAAACATCCGCACCATTCATGGGTGGTTTTCTTCGGCTGCTGCCTCCGCGGGTTGTTGATGATTGTGTGTGAATGCTTCTAGAGTATATAGCCAAGAGCAAAAAGAACCATCTCTTGTACAAAAACTTGGTTGGTTACAATGGCCCACCACGTGGTTATCAATTTTTGACTTTTTGGAGATGGTATTAGATCCGGCTAAGTAGCACATAGCTAGAGCGGCTAGTGAAAAAGGAATGAATTAGCGTCTTTGCGCACCATACATTTGCTCGGCTCTCATTCTCGTTTATAGTAGGTGAATGCGCTGTTGCATAACTGCGTGATTGGTGTGGTTTTCTGCAAAAAAGTTGCACACAGTGATCATACCAGAAAAAAAGTTACCCGGCATAACGCTCCATTTCCTTCCATCTACTGTGCTACATGCCGTTTTTTGATGTGATTCTTTGTACGAGTTACCGTTGTTGCATTCCGATCCAATGACAGCGCCACCATCTGCCACTGAGTTATCGTATCCAGATATTCGTTATCGTAATTCCTTTGGGTGTTATCACACTTGGCTGCACACCCTATGCACCATTGTGCATTACTACATGCACTTTCTTTTAGGTAGGAGCGATTGTGTGTTTAGGAGGTAAACGAAAAGACCACCAGCAACAATGGCAGTTTCCAAAAAGGAAAGCTGTGTGGGGTTCCTTTTTTCTTTTGTAACAAATTCATGAGTGTCACTTTCACACATACACAATACACGGACCAATTGTGTGACAAATAGCAAAACTTCCTCTGATCACATGGACTTGGCGATCTGCAAACAAGTTATTACAATAAGAACAATAAACTAAATAACGAATTCTATATGGCAATCCATAAAGGGGGGTGGTGAGGAAATGTGTAAAGAGGGGGGGGAGGGTTGAAGATGCAAGGGTTTACGATAATGCTAATGATGATGATGATGATGGCGATGCAATTGTATCATCGTAACTTGGAGGATGATCCGATACTAATAAAGCACGTTTTGGATTTAATTTGCTGAACCAAGAGGATGATGAAGATGATGAGGATGGACGTGCCATTGGTGAAGGTGAATAGGCTGGTGCTGGTGCATGCACTGTTTCGTATGCTGGAAGGGTAATGTAATCCTCAATGGTATCCATGATGACCGAAACAGGTGCATCCATGAGAACTTCCTTTGGTGTGCCATCATCCATTGTAAAATGAAGAGCGATTTGAATCCAATGGCGTACACGTATGTTGGGATTGACTGTGGATGGATGTAGCTGCAATGTGTGTTTGTCTGGAACGGCGAATACGCAACGTAATTCGGTATGTGCACCATGAAGTAGGCGATGATCTAAGATGGGTGGGTCTCGTGGGGCAAGGGTGATTTCGTGATGAAGAATTCGGGTAGTGCGTTTTGCACGTGCTCTGAACTTTTGGCGTTCGATAAGTTTTACACAAAGGTCATTGATGGCGCCAGGTGGATGAGAAAAGGAGAAAGAAAGTGCCAAAGGTGTGCCAGGTGTGATATGGGCTGATTCAACAAGCACATGCAGCTCCTGGCCATTGGGGCTAAGGGTGTGAGTTTGAGTAATGCAACGAGGCACACTATCCTGTGGCAATCGTACAAGTACTACAGGCCGTTGAGATTTGATATGCGTGGTAAAAGGTGCCCATGCGGGTTTCATCTGCACCTGACACAACAATTTGTATCGCACATGGCCTAATCCACATTCAACGGACTCTGACAGCGCATTGGATAATAGTATTTCAAATGGGAAAGCATGGGCACCTCGTTTCAGTGATACAGGTGAACGGCTGATGGGAATTACAGAATCGACAATGACATGTTTATCCCAATGTTGTGAAGCTGTGAAGATGTAAATGATTAATTTATGGATGATGCTGCAATGTTGTTGTTGTTGTTGTTGTTGTGTTATGTGCTACCTTCAGGCCAAAGTGTTTTAGCAGTGCCAACAAATTGGATGGTGACAGATTGAATAAGGGCAGGGTGGGAAAGCTGCAAACGAATAAGGCCACGGAGGATGTTGATTGTGTGCTTATCTTTGGGGTGACCACGCAAGTAAACAACAGGTTCAACCAGCTGGATGGAAAGTGATTTGCGAAACATCGCACAAAAGCGGGTGTGATGTTGTGGATATTCTTTGTTTGGTGGTGGTGGTGGTGGTGGTGGCAAAAGGGAAAGGGAAAAAAAAAAGAAGAAAGTAAAAAGAGAGAAGAGAAAGAGAGAGAGACACAAGCAAGAATAGCAGCAGCAGCAGCAACAACAAGGGCGAAAAAAAAGGACATGCTCCCTAATTCAAGGTATTGGATGTTGATGGATGATGATGGTGGATGATGATGATGAGAGAAGAACTCACATACACATGCTCCTGCATAATACCCCGCCCTCCAGTACCTCCTTTTCTCTCCTCAATGAACCGCCATTCTATTATTATTATTAGTATTATTATACGGTAAAAGTGGGATTGAATGGGATGGGAAAGAAAATCGGCTCATCACTTGTTTCAGTCCGCCTTTTTGGTGGGTGCATGGTGGGTGAATAGACCCAAATGCCGTAATAAATGGCACTATTCATGTAGCTCGCAACCACTCTCCTTTCTCTTTTTCTTTAGCTTCCTTTTCTTTTCTTTCTCTCTCTTTCTCTTTCATCTTTTTATTCTTTTCAGACATCGGCAGTGCCTTTCAAGGCTGCAGCTTGCCCCCGTCTGCTATGCACTCACTTGTTATCCAACGCTATGATGTGATTACTCCAGAGCGCTCCATGCCCTCCAGTCCTACTCTCTCAGCTGCCACAGTTACACACACAACAGCAACCACTCGACATGAACATGTCCAAGATCAACAACCTCCCTCTGTCGATTTGGTGGAATTGACAAAGCGTCTCCAAAAGGCAGCTGCGTCTCGATCCTCCTCCTCCACAAGGCCACGATCGCAATTGTTCCAATCTTCCAAGCCACCTTCTCCCTCCAACTCGTCCTCATCTTCAACGACATCGTCATCTCCAGGCCAATTAGCAGCAAGCAAGTCCATGACTACTCCTGGTAGAGCTGCGCAACAGCAACAGCAACAGCAAGTGCCGCAACATAACACTGCAAGTAGTATTCGTCCACCGCTGACCCATCGATCAGCAAGTGCAACCACACCCTCTCAATTTGTATTCAAGAAGCCTGAATATGATCAAGTGTATCATAAGACTCATTTCCATCATCATCAAGCACCTCCACCACCATCCTCACCCTCTTCCAAAGTCACCATCTCTGCACCTTCATCACCAAGGGATTCGTTCCTAGGCTGGTCTGATCTGAGACGTCTCTTTCTCTCCTCCGATCCAGCCCCGCCACCACCTCCATCCACATCTTCAAGTGTCACAGAACATTCATCCACAACTACTACAACCACAACAACAAAACCACAAGCCGTTTTTGCGAACCAATTTCGTCAAGACATTGAAGCACGCTATGGCAAATGGGGTAAGTTAATTGTGGGGGTGGGATGTGTGTGTGTGATATGAGATGAGATGCAGGGTTGTGTGTGTGTGTGTGTGTGTGAATCTACAAACAAATGGGTCACACGAGATACTCATTGTTTTCTTTTTTTCTACGTTTACTTTTTTACTCAGGTCGTTACATTGGAAAGGGAGCAGGCGGATGTGTACGACTGATAAGACGTTCCTCCGACAACAAGACCTTTGCCGTTAAACGGTTCCGAAAGCAACTACCTTCTGAATCGGACAAGGATTACATTAAGAAGGTCACTGCTGAATTCTGCATTGGATCCACGCTCCATCATCCAAACATCATTGAAACTCTCGACATCATTCAAGAAGGAAACTTGTTTTATGAAATCATGGAATACGCTCCAAACGACTTGTTCAATGTCGTCATGAGTGGCATGATGTCTCGTGAAGAAATCGCTTGCTGTTGGCGACAATTACTACAAGGTCTTGAATATCTACATGGCATGGGCATTGCACATCGTGATCTCAAGTTGGATAATCTCGTCCTTGATCATCAAGGCATCCTCAAGATCATTGATTTTGGCTGCTCCTGCGTATTCAAACCACCATTCGATAACACCAACACGATCGAACGATGCAAAGGTAAGCCCCCCCAAAAAGATTCTACAATGATCTTTATCTCATCTCCCTTTTAATAATAATAATAGGTGTATGCGGTTCAGATCCTTATATTGCACCCGAGATATTCCAGCAACAGACCTATGATCCACGTGCCAGCGACATTTGGTCATGCAGCATTATCTTCGTTTGTATGACAATTCGTCGTTTCCCATGGCGTATCGCTCGTGCAAATGACCCCTCTTTCCGCGCTTTTGCTACCAATCACAATCATCAGCAATTGCGCATCCTCAAGTTATTGCCACGTGATGCTCGTCCTGTTATTGCCTCCATGATGCATGTCGATCCCAATCATCGTGCATCTCTTTCTACTATCATGGCCGATAAGTGGGTCCAGAATATCGATGTTTGTACCGAGGATACTGCCGGCACATGCCATGTACATCACGTCTTGACGCCATCACCTTCCACAGAACGTGGTAACCTCGTGCTCATTGCTGATGAACCACCAGGCACCGTGGCCGAAAAAGAACGTCGTCGTCGTCCACCACCCACACCTCTTCCATTACAACAACCTCAACAACAACAACAGCAGCATGAAAAACGCATGCATCCAACACCACCTCCACCACCTCCTCCTCACCGTCCTCCAATTGCCATCAACAACAATAATCCAAAAGTCTAAATCACTCTCTCATTCTGTATATCAACCATTCACATTCATTTTTCTTTCAACTCTTACCCCATCTCATTCAACATCATCATGTTTTTTCTTCTTCTTCTTCTTCAACTACCCTTTCTCTTTACCATACCTGTGATATGTACATAACCACAATCCCCTTTCTTACATAGTACCTTGTTTGTTGCTATGATAAAGGCATCGGCTCTTGAGAGTCGAGTTATTTCATCCATAACATTTTATCGTGTATTAATACGGATAGTACAAAGTGTAATAGGGAAGAATTAAGGTAGATTATACTACATTGTCGACACCCGTTCCACCGAGGATCTTGGTGCTGGCATGGGGTTGCTGCTTAACAGCTGCAATAGCTGTAGAAAATGAAAATATCAGTACCTTGAATGATCTAGACCCAATTATTCCCTTATTACCATAGCAAATGAAAGCAATCAATAATGTCACAGCGGGTGCTACCAAGGATGTGGTATTGACAATGGTCGACAAGAACATAACAATAGCCATCCTAATCAAAGAATAGTATCAGCAATGTTGTTCCTGGTATCCTTGACGACGCACCTTGACGACGCGCACACACACACACACAACCATGAGTAACTTACACAAGGTACAAGGCGGCTCTCAGGTACGAGTTTTCAAATCGGGCCACGAAATTATCACTATCATCATCATCATCATCATCAAGGCTGGTCAATACAAGAAAAGCGGATCCAGTGGGTTCATTGTCTTACAATTTAGGGCTTGTCGGGCAGAACTGATAATGACATAACGATTAGTCCATATGCGAAATGAATACTCCTTATCACTCTATCTACCTTTGTACAAAGAGGAACTTCCACAAAGACCAGGATAAATGCAAATACCCTATTGAGTCGATTCGATGAGAGATCCATATCCATTATCATTCTCTCTCGCCTCCCTCTTCTCCTTACCATCCGATGATAGCGAAAGGGATGTTGCTTAAAAGTGACACCACGCCGAGCGCAATAAGGACTATGGGAATAATGGTAGAGGGGGTTAGCTTTAGAAACACGCTCCACACACACACACACGCACACACGCCATGCGATCCCCACTTACGGATAATAGAGATAATGCCGCACCTGGTTCCGATGAATGGCATTGCAACACGCACACTCGTTAGCCCACTAGTTACCATGTCAAAGGTCGCATCTCACCATTGTGCATAAAGCGAAAAGTTCCGGGAAGCAAATTCGTCCAAGACACCCATAATGTAATAGTCGGAAAGAACAAGGAAGCGCGTAAAAAAGGGAGAAAGGGAAAGACTTTAAGGGAAGCACGGCCATGTGTTACACGATGAATGTAGGAATCATGACCGAAGCCGCCGCATTGTTGTCCATCACGTCGTCTTGGCAATAGCCTCAGCCTATCGCTTGGCAACGAACACATCATGTATCCATCACCACTCATGCCAAGCATACCATTATCACCGGATCATACCAATGCCACACCACCAGTGACAACGACCACCACTTTTCTGTTTCAGAATGCTGCAGGCGGACAAGACCGAGCTTTATTTCATCTTAGAATTATGCCATATTAAAAGATCCATTTTACACCTTCACCATGCTAGTTGTTTACGGTCATATGATCTTGGATCATGATTTGCAGGATATCCTTGGTCATTGTTATGCATGTAGAGGGATACTTGTGAAGTAAAATTGGAAGGACCGGTTTCGTTGAGTTGGTAGCTATCGCCCAATAAATCATCAATTGTAATTCTATCATACAACCCACCAAACCAGCTTTGCACATGAATCACAGGACGTAGCTACATCACAAGGAATAAGAGTATGTACTTTATCAATCTATATGGTTGATAGGGTTTACTTTGATAAAGGGACACATATCACAATGGCGTCCACGACAATGAAAGTAGGGTTAAAAAGAAACGCTACTATTATTATGAACGACCACCAAGATCAACAGGTTGCAAAGGGGTTCATTATCCACAATGGTCCTTACCAGGACATTTGGCGGTGTAAGCATTCATAGGTGACATAATGCTAGTAAGTGACAACATCCTTCCACGTACAAGTGGGGTTGGATAGAGAAAGAGTGATGATGCATGATTTGATAAATTGGGTTGTTTGTAAGCACCTTCACCAGCAATTAGATGTGTGGGATGATTGTTCTTTATTCATACAAATCAGCTACCCTGACATACTAAATTAGACCAGATGGCATCTGCTATCATGGTATTTTTTCGAGCCATCTATCTCTTGTGCTCCTATCTATAACCCCATTACAAAGGATAGTTGTCATGTCAAGAAGAGCACACCTGTCATTGTTGCCAACATGATCCGCCGTCTGCTGGGTTTGAATAAAACATGGTGCAAGAGGTATGGTGCGAAAAGAAAACTCTCTTTCCTCGAGATCGATTGAATATGGTCAGGTACAGTGTCCCATGCCTACACATGCTGAAAGGTTCTCGAGTTTACTCACTGATAGCAAGGATCGTGTAGCTTCCAATGCGATAATTGTGGCGACGTTGTCAAAAAGCCCAAACTCGACCAACATCGTGGCCGTTGCCATGCTACCTTTACCTGCATTGACTGTTCCACTACTTTCCAAGGCACCAACTACAAGTCCCATACGTCATGTATTTCCGAGGCTGAAAAGTATCAAAAGTCCTTGTTCCGAGGCAAAAAGGTATGTAGGTAGCATGATGTGTGCAACGTGAGATGGCATAACCAACATTCTTGATATGTAGGGCAAGCAGCAGCAGCAACAACAGCAGCAACGACAACAGCAACAGCAAAACAACAACAACGAGGCCAAGAAGCCAGTATCGCTTATTGATGAATTGAAGAACAAAAAGGCAAATGCACCTCAAGAAAAGCCTGCTGAGTCCAATGGCAAACGCAAAGCAGAGGATGATGAAAAGGCCAAGGAGAGCAAAAAGTCTAAAAAGGATAAGAGCAGCAAGTGGGAAGATGCTGACCTTCCAGTGGACAACAAGAGCAAACAAATTGAATTGGCATTGAAGGAGGCTTTAAAGTCAAATAAGGTAGGATGAGATGGTGGTTGTGCCATGAGGAGTTTGGGACTCAAAAGTATTATCAGGGCCCACTGTCTGCTAAGGATGCTCGCAAAAAGGTGATCAAGTTGCTTCAAGCCCATCCCAAAACCAAAAAGCTTGAAAAGTCAGAGATCAAGGACAAGTTTGATGAGGTGCTTTTGCTTGGATTGGAAGGTGATAAGCTTACGGTGAAGACTGCATAAATCATACGTTCCCCTTTTTTTGCATATACATATTATAGATAGAGAGATAGCTTGATTACCAGCATGCATAAATACATCGTGATGAATACCATTAGCGTTGAATTTGAAAGCGGGAATGGGTTGAAATGGATGAGCTTGCGGTCCTTGCATTGTAGCCAATCGCATACAATGCAATAAAGAACAGCTTGGGTGGCTGATGAATGAGCGGAGAGAGAATGAAAAACTTTTAAATTTGCCATGGCAACCGCGTTCTGGTTTCTCTACAACTCTTTTCTCTAAAGGTAAATATTGATCCTCTTTTCTTCTAGGGGGGACGTGGGCTATGTGTGTTTGGTGATGAGATTACGGTACATAGAGTCAAGCACTGAAGAATAATACAGCATTGATGATAATTTTGTCCGCTGATAATACACATGGAAACAAAAGAATGCGATGGGGGATTGGGCGATAAATGATCATTGTTCATGAAGCTCACTCAATATTCCCATTCCTCTAGATACTCGGTTAATCAAGGAGACAAGTCTGCTTATTTGTTCTTTTTGAATAAAAAATCTTTTCATTACACATTTGGATATACGTGCAAGTGGTTTGGGCAATAATAGGATTGAATTGGGAAAGAGAGAGGTATCGCGTGTTGATATTTTGTTGATTGAGTGAGGTGGGGGTGGGTTGAGTGTCTACTTTTTCCGTCTCAGGGAAGAGTTTGGAGTCTTGGTGCCTTGTCGAGTTGACGTCTTTGCTTCAGACCTGGTGGCAGCTGTTTTGGTTGCTTTGGTGGTTGTATTGGCTGCTGGTGCTGCACGACGCACTTGTCGAGGGTTCTTGGGACAACCGTTGCCGTTAAGCAAATGTGCCCTCCATTGGCTATCCGTGGGTGGGTCGATAGCTGTCATACAAAGAGGACAACACACATCATTGTCATTGAGAGCTATAAAAAAGGATTAATCAGGGCTATTCTATTTGAGCATGTGAATGAAATACCAACCTTTGCAGTTTGATTTGAGGGTGTGTTGAAGCCATTGCTCAACTGGGATGGCTTGTTTGCAACGCGTGCACTGCTTGATGAGATGTCTCTTGGCACAGTCAGTGAAAGTGTGGTCATGCAGCGTCGAGATTTCAAGAATCTATCAATAACAAATAAGCCTCTCCATTTGGTAAAGATAAACACCTATGCTTACTGTTTGGCATCGCACGCAACTTGTCAAAACTGGACATGAGTCATAGTAATGCGAGATAAGCGTATCCTCATTAAAGTTGGCATTGACCTCTTCGCAAAAGATGCACATGCTATGATAAATCCATAAGCCATCTAATAGCCTATTCTTCATTCCTATTACCACTTACTTTTTGGCGTCGGCTGCAGGATCTTGTTGTTGTTGTGCTGGTGCAGTGGTGGACTTGGTTGCTTTTGTGGTGCCACGAGCAGTACGTGTGGATGTGGGAGTGGTGGTCTAAAGAGACAATGAATACATGCGTATGCAAGGAGGCAATCAAAGCAACAACGAACCTTCTTTGTAGCAGCTGTGCCACGTGTAGTGGTCTTTTTCTCGCTAGTGGTAGCTGCTGGTTTCCTCTTAACTGTGCCAGCCTTGGTAGTAGCAGTGGCTGATTTCTTTTCGGATGCAGGTACCTTGGTAGCCTTGGCAGCCAAAGCACGTAATTCGGCTACAGTGCCATCACCACCAAACGAGCTATTGTTGTTGTTCTTGCTCTTGGTTGTGGTCTTTTTGTCATTGGCAGGGGCATTGCTTTCGGCAACCTTTTTGACCGTCTCTGCCAGGGAAAGACGCAAATCCTTGTCAATGTACTTGCTGACGGATTGGAAGCCGACTTGCTCAGAGATATCAATAACCAATTCAACTGCAGCCTTGCGTACTTCATCATGCGAATGGTTGAGGTAGGTGACAACAAAGTCCATAAGCGTGTCGAGAGGAATGAGACCCGCCTTGTTATCTGCTGTATGAATGCATAAAAAGGAGACTGCAGAAGATACAAGATCAATACGTGCACGGGCGTCCTTGTGATTATGGATCACACGATCGGGCTTGCCGATAAACATGGTCAACAAAGAATGGGGTGATTCAGGGAACTTGCTAGCCAATTCAAGCACGAGTTCGGATGCACTTGAGCGGATACGAGTATTGGCATCATTGGTGCGCATCAGTAGACCCGAGAATGCTCGTTCCATATATCCAAATGTCAATGCGTGAGGCACCACATCACATAGATCTATCATGGCACCCTATTAATTCATCATTTCTTGAGACTTCTTCCTATTAGCTTACTTACCATTCACATCTCGCCAAATGCCAAGGGTGAGATTGATAATATGTTCACGTGAATCCATGATAGCTTCTTGAATCATCATGAGCGATGCGCGAATGAATAGAGCGTTACGGCAAGTCTCATCATCATATTCCTCATTCATGGCTGAATCGTTGCTATCACCATCATCATCGTTGGGATGCATCATGAGATCTTCAAGCTGATTGAGTTGATTCGTTTCGGCCAACAAACATGCTGATTTAACTGTATCGGCAATGCTGTTCAATCCATGTTCTCTGCACTTGACTTTGACGCTAAGAATGCATGCAACGACCTGTTCACCAAATACACGGATAGGAATACGGCAATTGGAACGTTCAGCATCAATCAATGGCTCTGGCATGCATTCTGGATCGATGGGTGTTGCCTCTGGTTCAGGTTGTTTTTCCTCTTCTTCAATGGCTGGTGCGATAGGTGCTGCTGATGCTGCAGGTGCAGGGCCCACTGCATCTAAACCACCTCCACGTAAGGAGTGCTTTTTGGCAACGGCAGCTGACAATGAGGGTGATAAGACTTGGTGATGTGCTGGTTTTTCCTTTACTTGGGCATGATCTTCTTCTTCAGCATCACGACCAATAAGAGTGGTATCATGACCATACGATGTCAAATGAGGTGGAAGCAACATTTCAGCAGCGTTGGTGGAGAGTGATGATGTGGGTGAGCTTTGATCACCAGCTGAAGGAGGTGCTGCATGTGCATCAAAATTTGTCCATTTCTCAATCGCCTCGTCGTAAAGGTCGTCTTGTGGCATGCTTTGCTCATTGTCGATTAATGTGCACTCTTCCATACCGTGTTTGGCAGGTACATCATCATCGGGGTAAGGTGCAACCATTGATCCACTGGCAAGTGCTTCGTCTACTTGGTCATCATCAATCTCATCATCGTTGCTGTCAGCTGGAGCAATACGGCCATCATGGGTGATACGAATATTGGCGCGAATCAATAGCTTCTCGGCTGCATGCTTGATTTCACAAATATCAGCCTATAAAATAGTTAGCCTTGTCACCATGGCAACGGTAGCAGTGGACGGGGTGATTTGATTTACCTTTATCTTTTCAGCTTCATCATAATCCTTGGATTCGACAGCATGCTTTTTGCTCAATTCCAAATCGATCACCATTTTGCCGAATTCGGATAGTCGGTCACTAAGATCTTTGTACACCTTGGCAACGTGGTACGATTCATCTGCAGAAATAGTCAATTAAAAGCAATGTATATGAATGCAATGATGACGTGATGTACTTACGTTGTGCTGCTTGTTCTTCAGCATGAATAAGAGCTGAGATCCATTGTTGAAGTTCAATATCGATGATGCCTGAAGCTGACAGACGATTGGATAAGCTCTGGGTGCTAGAAACGCTGGTACGTCGGGTAGAGGAACTCAACATACTTGCTTCATCAAGCGGATGCTGCAGGTATTGTGCCATATGACCCTAATTGAGAACAAGTTAGTAATCATTGTGACCAAAAGGAGAGAGAGAGAGAGCAAGTGATATACATACAGGAATAGCTGCTGCTGCTGCACAATGAGGATCCTGACGCAATGGTTGACCTTGAATATTCAGGGCAAGGATGCCAACCTATGTCATTGTTCTATGGGTGAGTAGGTGGTAATGTTGTATAACCATGTGTGAACACCAAGGCCGATCCCATGTTCCAGATCAACATATTAAGTTGCTATAAATGAACATACACACACGCACACACACTCACACACACACTCTCCTCCATCACCCCTTGAATCAAGCCTGGTGTAATATCTTCTCCGATCACCAAACAATACCTGATTGTAAGTGTTTAGCCTATTACGGTGGCAGTTGCGAATGACCAATCGAACGTATTCACCGTCAGCATTGACCTTGATGGATTTCAATTCACGAGCACGGTACTGAGCACGTGTGTTGTTATCGAGACAAACGTAGCTGTCAAACAATGAACATGTGAGTTGGCTACGATAATCAAAGTATAAATGATTCCATGTTAGCTTACCCAAGTCGAGTGAATTCAATCAACATGTCATCTTCATCTTCGTCGTTGGGAGCGATTGGATCAAGTTCTTCAATAGCATCTTTAAGAATGCCGATGTAAACATCGATTTTTGTTGCAATCTTGTAGTGATGGGAGAGGATTTGGACTTTGGAGATGCGAGCAGGACCACATAATAAGCGGATGATGAGATCTTGAGGATAATTGGGGCATCTGTAATGAATAATAGGATCGGTAAGTATGGTCGCTGTTCATTTTAGGAGAGCGGGGTATAGGGCATGATATTATGTTGCATGTACAAACTCACTTTGGTGTCTGCCAGCCTTTGACTTTGTTGCTGGGTATACGATCGGTGTCGCCAATGTCAACGGTGTCGTCAAGTCGATCAGATCCTTTACGATTGCCTGGACTGGAAGCAACCAGCTGTTCGGGGCTATGGTCGTCGTCCCAGGATGAGCAATGTGCGATCTCAAAGGGTAAAGGCACAATGGTCATGTGGGATGGATTGAGTTGCGAGTCGATGGTGAACAAGTCAAGAAAAGAAAGAGCAAAGGAGAGAGAGCGAGCAAGCGAGCGAGAGAGAGAGAGGAAAAGAGAAAGAAAGAAAAAGAGAGAGGAACGAGAGAGATGCACACACAAGGAAAATGGGCAAGGAAAGGTACCCTTATTTGGAGCCTACTGCAGTGCTGCATGTGCCAACAGCAGAAATCGGTCATCCACCACATGTATAACATACAACCGCAACCTTTGTGGCACCCATTCTAGTCTACGCCTTTCATACCCCCCAAATCCCTAATTTAGTCTTGTTCTCTTGTCATTGATGTATGTATGTATATAAATGCGCCCTTTATAAATGAGACAGCTCATTGTCTATGTGCATGAATGAAACATTTGGGAGGAGTTTGACAGCTTGAGATCAAAAAATCAGATTCAAGGAAGCTTGAATAGTAGAAGACAAGCAATAATGGATGCTTAGATCCAAGGTATAATCAATCAATCATTTTATTTCTTCGGAAGACATTCTCGGCAAATCACCATTTTGAAAAAGAGTGTGTAACTATACCACAGCACACTTTACCGAATCGACAGCCGATCCATAAATTACACCCTATACTATGTACCCTCTCTTGGTATCATTGTCACCTACCAAGATATTCTCTGTAACATGACAAAACAACTATTACATCACGCACATAAACATTCTTCAAAGGGCTGAGTCCAAGCTGGGTGGCCAAAACGCCTACCAGGGCACCTTGTGACACTTGTAACCAATGTGGACGGTGATGCACAATGCACGGTCGAAGCTCGTGAAACATACAAGGATGCATTAGTCCTCTTGAAATAAGTGCTTCACCCCACTCATCATGTGAGGTATCCTCTACATCTCGTGTTTGAAGTAGCTTCTTGATACAAATATGCCTTTGTGTTGGCATGAACCATCCTCAATATCTTTTATGGGTGATTCTATCAGGAGGAACGGGGAAAAAGTAAAACGTGTAATAGTCGTATGACGCTTGATGACGGTACTAGCGTTTGGTCATTAGGATGCTTGTTCCTGATGATGGATACCCTGGATTTTGCATATTGGGGTAACGCTGCTAATTACCCTTTGTGGGGATTTCCGATTGACGATGCAGACCCCAAAGTGTTTAATTACCAGCCTGCTTCATTTAAGGCGTCATAACATTGGTTTGAGATAACTTCCTTTATTATGTAATAAAAGCCTACGAATAACTCGCTAGTGGGTGTCATCCTTCTTGTGGTGTGGTAGTCTACTACAACTACAACAACAACGAGGCTGGGCGACAAGCTAATCTTTGTGGGATGATTTAACAAAGCCATGATCTCGTGCGACGATAGAGATATCAGAGTCATTCGACATGTTTGGTAGATGGGCGTTGTATGAGTGGATGAAGGTGAGCGCATAGTTCATGATCGTGTAGTACGCATGCCTTTATTTTCGTATCACCACGACATGTCGTTGTCGTCGGATACCAAATACATTTCGCATTTTTTTGGGGTGAGGGGCTATACTTCTTTCTCCCCTTTTTGCACTCACACACACCTATATACGCGGTATGGAAGACCAACGTATGCCTTCTTTTGTTTCTATTGCTCCCAACAATAAGCGAAAACGTGCTGCCGCCGAGAATGCCAATCGAAAGATCATGAGAAAAAGAGGTATATCCAATATCAAAAGTACAATGAAATTGGTTGACACAAAAAGCTCTTTATTTTCTATAGGAAAACGCGCTGCTGTTTCGGTGCCAGATGAAGAGGTAGATTGACTCAATGTTACAAATTGCACGAGCTAATGCGTTGTATATAGATGGAAAGGTATTGTTGTGTGGAAATGAAGGGGCAGGGAACACGGCAACGTTCAAGCCAATAACGCGTATATCAGTTTGACGAATCGTGACGCCAACACAACACCTATGGAAGAGGTTGAACAAGTGGGCAAGGTGAACAATACCGAGAGACGCAAAAAGAGGGGCACCACGCGTGTTGACAGCAAACTTCAAGACGACGAGGTTAAGGATCAACCACAAAATGGCACCGAGAAAGATAAGGATGAGATCATGGATGAACGCGACACCTCTGCAGCAACAACAAATGATGATGACAAGACAGCATTGGTGAAGGAAAAGGAATCGAACAATGAAAAGGATACAGCTCAATCTCAGGATGACAGCGTTGACAAAAAGGAGGAGGAGACTGCTTCTGATAAGGAAAATCAATCGTTGCCATGCAATGAATCCTCAGCTCAGACTCAAGATCACGTTGATACCAAGGATACTGGTGACAAGAACGAGGAGGATAACAATGCGCCACGCAATGAGAATGCAATCATGGCAGAGAATGATGACGATGTTTCAAAGCAAAAGTCAACGACGACTTCCGGTTCTTGCAAAGATGATGGTGATGACAAGGTTGAAGCCATGCAACGTGGCGATGATGATGTTGCTGAGGAACAACAGGATCCTGTGGATACTGAGATGGAGACAACATCCACTACTGCAAAGGCAAATGAGGAAACGGAGGAATCATCACAGGCTGAGAACAATGGAGAGCAACAACAAAGTGATGCACCTGAAGAGGAACAACCCAAGCCTGTGAGGAAGTCATGGCTATCAAGCATTTGGAGCGCATTCTGGGGCAACTAGAGCATTACCAAGCAACATCCACAAACCCTTTTTTAGCATTTTAGTGTGTATAATCATCTCCTTCTTCTATCAACTTTATAATATCATGGTCGATTTGTATTAGCATTAGACACTTTTGATAGGATAGGATATACAACATCAACTTTATTGTTGAACCAAGATCAACTTGAATTAAAAGAACTTGGAGCATGCAAATGAACAAAAATATTAAGCCGTTCAATGACTACGCAAAGATGACCGGTGCACATGATGCGTGTAGAAAAGGGCGAGGAAAAAGGAAAAAGGGGGAAAGAAATGATGATACTACGTGAGGAAGAATGAACAAAGCTATACAAGAGTAGATAATAAGCACAGTAGGAAAGCAATGGAGTGTGTGTGTGTGTGTGTGTGGGTAGGTTAGGCAAAGGGTGGTAAGCGTAAACAATATACGTATCAAATGAAAAAGTTGTACAATGTAAAGAAATAAGGATGGTGTGATACCAAAAAAGAAGAAAGCTTATGCATCTTGGTGATACACGTGTTGGGAACGAGTGGCGCCTCTCAGCTTGGCCTTTTTGACGCTCTCACGTTTCATGGCCCATGCCTTCATCACCACCAAGAAAAAGACGTATCCCAATGTCATGGCGGTAAGTGCAACACACACATTCATAAGGAACATGGTGTCAATCTCGTTGCGTCGCAACCAAGTCAAGGTACCCGAATTGGATGCCATGAACAAGATAGAGCCAGCAATCATGAGGAAGGCACCAAGAGCTTCAGTTGGTGGACGTGATGGTTGTGCGCTAGTAGGTGGGGCTCGATGCAAGGTAAGATAGGTAAGGAAGCGGCACATGGCAGCAAGAGCAAGGAGCAATCCCCATAACCAGTGGATGTTGGTTGAATAAACGGTTTCTTGGTGATGGTTGCCCATGGAGATACCAGTAAACAACACCGTGAGACCTGGGAAAGGATTCATTGAGTAGCTCTGCTTTTCTTCATGACGAGGCACATCGAGAGGGGTATTCATAACGGCACGTTCCAACAATCGACGCAATGCGCGGCTTTCAACGAGAATACCAAGAAGACCACACCACCACCACCTAATGACACAAAGGTGTTACAAGATGTTTTTTTCCCATACAAAAAGAAAACAATAGACAACAACTTACATGAAAGCCAAGCTGGCATGTTCAAAATCTTTGTGCGTCCACTCTGGGTTTTGGCCGAAATGCTCCATCCAGGTATTGGTAATGCCATAAGTGAAAATGAGGAAGCTTTCAATCATTTCAAAGCTGAACTTGCTAGCACCATCGACACGATTCCATGCCCAGCCCTTTTCGGCAAAGCATCCCAAGTAACGAGCAAAGGTGATGATACCATAAAAGTAAAAGATACCACCTTTGATAAGATGTGCAATACAACCGAGTACAGCCCAAGATCTAAAAAGTTGACCCGGTGCGGGGAGAAGAGGTCGGCGTGTGTGAGTCTCAGCTGGCAACAAAAACAAAAAATTTAAATGCATTACCTGCATACACCATGGTAAACCACAAGACCACTCAAGGTTTGGGTAAAGATAAGGATAATAAACACACGGCCAACGATGGTATGCCAATATCGGCAAACGGTCTTGGTGAAGGGGTTGTAAGCGGTGGCAACGAACACCTTTTTGACAACATTGGGAATGTATGCCGCAACCTTGTCAAAGACTCGATTGATGAAAGAGGGCTTTTCATTGTAACGTTCCATCAAGATAGGATCCTCTTCTTCAAGGTCAACAGGTGACATGATAACATCATCTTTGTCATAATCGTAATTGTGGTGGCGGCCATCCTCGTGACCATTATGCAAGGTTTCCTCTGAATGTTCACTATGATGGTCAGATGATGATGATGCTGACGAGGATGAGCCGGCACGATTGACCAAGTGAACACTTTCCAAACGATCATAGTGAACTTCTTGTGAGCGACCCACAGCATTCGCAATCTTGCGTACAACACCCACAGACATTTGCACAATCAACAAAAGGAAAATCCACCATCCCAAAGAGTGGTGAGAGTTGCCAGCATACAAATGTGGAGTTGAGTGGCCATAGAGCTTGGCGAAAAAGAAACCGAGGAATGCAAAAATGAACGAGAGGATCTGAGTAGGAACGTGCAAGGATGAGCGACCAATGCCAAACATGATGCCTGATGATGTGGAAAGCAAAAGAGATGAGTTGTCAATCAATTGGATGGATATCAATGGCCCAATGTAATTCACATACCTAATGGCATCAAGATCCAAAATGCAAGCACCATAAAGATAACATGAGCATAAAAGTAACCTTTGTTTTCGGGAAATAGAGCATAAGACATAGGCTCATCTCCTGTTGAATTGAAGGGAGGCAATGGAGGATCCTCTGTCATATGGCCACCATGACCATGTTGTGCTGAAGCAAGACCGGCCATCAGTAACAAACCGGCGACTATCATGGATGTCGATCGCCAGAACATGATTTGCGAGAGTTTGGTGGGTGGTGGTGACGACAGGAGAAAAAAAAAGATGAATGCGAAAAGATGTGTGGGTGGGTGTGGATTAGTAAAGAAAGAAAACAAACAATGCACACAAGAAGCTGTTGGAATTAAATGTGCGTTTGGGAGAGTTGGGGGATGAATGACAGGTGAGTAAGCATTCTATCGCCGAGGAGAGTTTTTCCTTACACTCTCAAGTAAAACCCACGAACGGCATCTGACACGTCACACAAGGCCCGGATGGTGGACTCTCATGTGAGTTTTATCTTCTTTAGTCTAATGCTTTTGCTGCGGATAAACACCAAAGACCATAATCGAAACGCGGTAAAAACAGGGCCGACCGACATTGCCGGGCGATCCATACGTAACACAAGCGGAACAATAAAACGCAGCATCATCATCAGAGAACCTTAAATGGTTGTCAATGATGACAATCCTTCCCTTCTTTCATCCCCCTGCTATACCCTATTCCCCGCCCCCCGCATTCTTGTCATTACAAAAGGCATGTGCATTAATACATAGGATACTACTATACATGCTGTATTAAATGGATACATTGGCTTGCAATTGCTATGCTTAAGAAACGAAAGCCTTTATGGGTCAAAGGGAGATCGTGGTGGACTGTGCGACCATATGATGTTTCACGGCTCATGGGTATTAATAATCCCACTAGCCCTAAGTGATGATCTTATTCATGCATATACGTGAAATTAAAATGAGAGTTTGGGCAATCTTTTGAAAACATGTTGGATACGAAAAGATCCCTGCTTCTTATCTACCAACCTATACAGGTTGTTTGCACTTGCATTGGATTGAAAGGAGCATTCTGGGAGAAAAAAATTGTTTCGGCGCGCACACAGGCCGCTAACGTTCCAGCATACCTACCATCCATGGTTAAACATACATCATCTTTACGGACACGAAATTATCCGAAAGCCAGATGAATCGTTACCTGGTAAACAACCTTTTTACATTTTGGCCATGCTAATCCATCTTTTGTTTGTTTGTTCAACAAGGTGTGCCTTCTATCAACGCATTCCAATTCGTGGTATGGGTGTTTTATCTATGCTTAGCCGCGTCATCCATCATCTTGTTATGCATGTCGCAGCAAGAAGGGATAGAACATTAAAGAATTTTTCATGGTATGTTACACGCGGAAAAACAATAGCATTATCGGTACCGGACAAGCATATGATATATGCCGTCAAACGATTTCCCCGACCCCCCCAGGTCCAAGACATATGCAAAACCAAAGGCGTATTAAAGACTTGTTGGTCGAGAAAAACGAGGTTGTTGAGGTCTCTTGGTTTTCTACTCAGCTTGTTTTTTTCTCTTGTGGTATGCAATGCATGACATTGCAGCATCAAGTGAAAATCCGAATACAACTACCCCGACCTTTTGCTAATCTATCATGGAGAGATAAGGTGTATAATAAATCATGTGGGTTGCATTATACCATGAGCTTGTTGGAGATGTTGCTACCATTTATACAAGTGGCGTGAGTTTCTTTTTGTTCTTGGGGGGAGGGGGAATCGACAATGTGCGGTTTTCTGGATCTTCTGGAACCGGCGATATGAATTTGCCGTGTACAACATCGGCAATCTGGCGTTCATGCTGTGTCTCGGCTCGGCAATGATAATTCATCCAATGGTTGCAACCCCTGGTTTTCGTACACATAAAAGCATAAAGTACTTTCTGCCATCCCCTTTTGCTCCGCACATTTACCTCCGCGCTGGCCCTTCAGGAGTTGAGGCTCATTTTGGGTAAATTCGTCACCCTGATGCGGCCTTTAAAAGTAGACCTGTCAATCTTAAAAGAGATGATGGATGATGGCATTTGTAATACGCTTCTTTGTTCTCGTAAGCTGTGCACAAAAGAAAGGAGGGTGAAACGTGTAATGCACGTGATAAGCTAGCTTGCTTAGATTGAATCTTGGCGACAAAGCACAGATCATTTATTCGCAGGCCGAGCTAAAACCCTTGTTGCTGCTTGTGCAATGTTGGTCCAAAATGTAAAAAGCTAAATGCACAGACCCATGGATGAGCTTGCGATTGGATGGACACTATTATGCAACTCAACATGCCATCTTTACTTTATCTCGCCTTGGGTGATAAGCCCTATGATATGGCAACAATACCAAATATGGTAGATCAATTGTGTCGACACGAAATGTTTAATGTAATTCCAAGCGTAAAGCAGTCATCGGTACATATGAAATGTCAATAGTATGGAACAAAGGAAATCAAAGGCATATTTACAGCATAAGGGGAATGGAATGGGGTGTACACAAATATGAGCTGAAAGCATAACATGGATGAGTAGTAGGAATGGGGGGTATATCTTGTGATTATAATGATGATGGTGAGGAGGATGAGATGGTGTCCTTATCAATGAGCAGTGACCGTAACCACTTGATCTCATGTTCCAGGTCCTTTACACGTTCCTCAAGCTTTTCAGATTTCTCACTCATCTCCTTGACAGCTTGTTCCATGGCTTGTTCACGCAATTTCTTCTTTGCACGGAAACGAGCACTAGCAGCTGTGTTGCGACGTCGCTTGTCTTCCTCAATACTCTTCTCTTCCTCGGTACGATCTCGTTTTTGTGGAATGCTTTTGGGTAGGATCTTGGGATGTGTTGTAGTGGAGGTATGTACACGAGGTGACACTGTGGTAGGTTGTGGCACTGGCATGGTGGATGTTGTGATGGGTGATGATGATAAGGATGAAGAGGATGGTGATGTTGTAGATGATGATTGCTGTTGATGCTGTGTGGGATCCAAAGATAAAAACTTCCACAAATCGTGCTCATTTTCCAGTGGTAGTGAAGGTGTTGTTGTAGTAGGCTTATCTTGAACAGCTGTACCGGGTTGCATATCAAAGGTAAATTGTGCATTGGTCTACAATACAATAAGATTTGTTGATTAGTATGAATGCATATAAAAGCATGGATGGATCAGGCTTAGTATTGCTTACATACCCAAAGATCAAGTTCCTCTAACAATTTTGTATGATCGACAGGGCCAGATCCACTTGAAGTGGGAAGATCGAAAATCAAGGGATCAAGAAATGAGTTTACTGGTGACATGTTTTTCGTGTACGCGTTATTGTTGTCGATGAAGGGTGTGGGGAAGTGGAGAAAAAGCGATGGTTTTTATTGCCGTGTTGATTAATAATCCTCGCCATGGTAGAACACCTGGCTTATAAATCAATGGTAGCGGTGGTACAAAATCGCCACGCATATCCCCACTGCCATATGCATGTAGCAGCCACGTCGACTTTCCTTAAAGTGATCTCCCCATACAATGATCTTACTAATCAATCAATCCATCATCGATCATCTTCTTTCTTTCCCTTGTCATCTTGACTACCACCATCACCAAGTTTATTCTTGCATCCAACCACAATTCATCTCGATAATGTTGTTGACGACTAGCACAAGTAGGGTATCCATGTCGCATCATCGGGGGAAAACAATGATCGCCATGTAGAGGTTTCGACGCCATATTGCATAATACGACGCACGCACAGTAGACGTAACCAAGGGTACGGCATCGGATGTACTTGTTCCTTGTCGATGTTTCACATGATCACATACCCAAGCCCAGTATCCACACCATCATCATCTCCTCCTTGTTTTGATCACCCTTTGTTCCTTTTATCGCAATATATGATATGTTCTACTATGTACAGATTATCCAGCATGGTGCATGTTGTGTTGTGATGGGTTGTTCTCCTCGTCTTCTTTGGCTGAATGATACGATGGTGGTGAATGGGGAGGCACCTCAACTGCAGTCTGGTTCAATGCCATTTCATACGTGGGGGGAATGTCAATGGAGAGGCCATGAGTACTGTTGGCACTGTGTTGATCAGCATTAGGGCGTAGTGTAGAAGAGCTTGGGTTGACACGGTGTGAACTGGGTGCAATAGCGACTGTGGAAGGTTCAATGGGATGTGCTGAGCGGACCCGTTCTCGAAAGAGAATACAAAGAAACATCTGCATTTGAATCCAGTGTTGGTCAATTCATGGGCCATCTGCATAACAACGCACACACGTATACATATGCACATGTGCATGCACTTACCCAGTAAGTGGCATAGATGGTCACAAAGGAGCAAAAGATCAGTAATAGCACCCAATAGGGTGGTTGTCGAAATTTGATATACATCACAGGTAATAAAACCATTGTCAGCAAAAAGCATAACACAAACGTGTGATGAAAACATGGATGCCAAGCCGGGTAAGAATCCGTGCGCATAGGATAGATCATCAAAAAAGAAGGAGAAAGAGTGAATTGAACGAAAGAAAAAGATAGGCAATTGCAAAAGAAGTGCGTGTTTGCTTGATTGTTATTTTACTACAGAAGAGGATGTACAAAAGAAGGATAGGGAGGCATATTAAAAACGAGCTTTTGAATGAAGATTGATCCGTCTACAGATTTCTACAAATAGAGCATAGGATGGGTGGAGTGTATGTGTGTGGTTTATGTATAAAGGGAAAAGACGTGCTTTCCTTTTTCTTTGTTTGTTCCTCATCATCACCACCTTCCAATCCCATTCCCTTGTATTTGCAAAGAAAATAAAAGGGTCCCTGTAATCCCTCCCTTTATTGGGGAGGTGGTCAATCAGCTGAAGGTGGTTGCTGGGGACGTTGTTGTGATGGTGGATGCTGATGGTCATTGCTATTGTTGGTAAGGTTACTATTGCTTGCACTGCTATTGATATTGCTGCGTTGCTGCTGCTGCTGATGGGATGATGATGAAGGTGAAGGATGAATATGCTCGAGTTGTTGTTGATGATGATACCAAAATGCACGCATAGGATCGTCATCGATATGAAGAGCTCTGCTGCTGCTGCTGCTGCTACCTGGACCAAAAGAAGGAGGATGACGGCGTAATCGCCCAAATGAAAACGCAGAATGGTTGGGTGTGAAATAGACCGGCAACCATAAGGGTGGAGGCAAAGGATCATGATGAGCATCGTGTGGATGATTGCTACTCCTTCCATTTCGCCCCTCACCACCACTGCTGCTGCTGCCCTCTTCATCTTCTTCAGCCCCACGTGCCATAAGTCCTCGTATTTGTGTTACTATAGCTTGCTCATACTTTGGTGGAGATGGGTCTGGTGAAAAGTAAGATGGTAGTTGCTCCACTGAATGCAATGATGAAAAGGATGATGCTCGCATACGATGCCCACGATGTCGTTGTGTCATTTCTGGATTGGATGAAAATGAGGGTGGTGCTGTACTTGGCTCTGTATCATTCGAGTTTACGGATCGTCTTGTTGATCGTTTTCGACGATGACGGCGTGACCATGATCGTGCCACCCATAACAGACCCGCCAATACGATACATGAGCATGTTACCATTAAACCGATAGCTGCAGCGCTGTTGGGTGATAACGTTTCGTTTTCTTTATGATGTCCTGATCCACCACTACCCGAATGATGATTTCCATCTCCATCATCAGAAGGCGGTAATTTGCCTGGTGGAGGTGGTGGTTGTCCTCGATCCGTTCTCAATAGGCAGCTTGTTGGATCACACGTCAAATTTTGCCACACATACGACACCGATGAGTTGCTGCTTTTGCGATACTGATAGCATTCGACGCTAGTAGCACAATAATCTTTGCACACGTGAGAACATGCAGCTACACACATACACACACACGTATCCTCTTTTTTTGTCTTACGTACCACCATCTCTATCGTTACCACCTGACAAGCAGTAACCATACCAATCATATACATCAGTCCCAAATTGAGTCGTGTTGCATGAAGGGGCATTCGGTTGTTGTGATACAGCAGATACGCTAGAATTGGCTGATGCTGATTTGCTCAAAATACATCCATCTTGAAGACACATGGCACAATACTTGCAAATGCCGTTTGCGTTGCAGTTATGGCCCGATATCAATGCACAATCATCTTGGCTGTCATCGGTGCCATCATCGTATCCATCACTACCATCGTCGTATCCACCACTACCATCGTCGTATCCTCCGCTACCATCATCGTATCCATCACTACCATCATCGTATCCACCGCTACCGTCATCTTGCTGATAACTCGGTGATACAGCAACAGCCAACAGCAAAGCTGCAGCAGGTGTCATGAATCGCATTGTGGAAGCGTGTGTTGCAGCGTTGTTTTCTTTTGTCTCTGTAAACGTTGATAGCCAAAAGATCCAGATGAAAAAATAATACGCGAAAGTGAAAAAGGAAGAAAGGAGAAGAGAAAGGAAAAGGGGGAGCAATATGCAGTTGTTTTGTACTTGCAGCTTTCTAAGCCATACCCACTGCGGACGCGTTTCCGAACCGAATGTTTGGATAGTGCTCATTCTCAAAATCATGACACTCTTTCCTTTGTTGATGATGGCAATGATCTACATAAAAGCTACTTGCATCATCATCAGAAACTATAATCTTGCTGGATATTCGCTTTATCCTTTCCCAAATACAACCCAACAACGCATCCGAGAGAGAGCGAGAGCCATCCTGCATGTGCGTTTCAGACACCACCCAATGAAAAAATGAGGATCGACATTGTACAAATGAAACATGAGCGGTTGGATCGACACGCACACACACGCCCATCTTTTCGTCTTGCTGTCTTGTTTGCCATACTCGTAAACAAACAACGCACAAGATTTGGTTGCCATTTGTTTTATTTGCAACTTGCCTCCTATTCTTAGCCATTGATGCCAATAATAGCAGTAGTAGTAATGGCATCGTATTGACGCTTCTTGTATGAGGATGTGAACGTGTGGTGGCAAGACACATTACGGCGAAGGAAACACCTGATCAAAGAAACGATGATTGGAACCGATATGGGTTCATCGTATGATCATGGCTTTTATCTTCAATATGCCTTTACATGGTTGTTGTTGGTATCCATGTTGGGATTATTAATGCGTAGAAAATCGTGATCCATGCACACTTAATACATAGCAACGCTCACAAATCCACAACTTGAGTAGTATTCCAATTGACAACATACACCCCTTGTTGCCTGGAGACTTGTTGCCTGGAGACCATGTTGCCTGGAGACTGCCTGTAATCGCCTATAAACGGATGCTTGAATAATGAGGTCAGCAATGGTAAACAAGGTGATCCACAATGCTACGGCGAAGAAGCATTGTAATCAGCGTTCTCTTTATATCTTGGCAGATAGAACTTCCACAATCAAACGTTGCTATGTAATAGGCTCACATTAGGTATCGCATTAATCATGCTGGGGTATCACAGCAGCGAAGCTATGCATCAAAGGGGTTACTATAGCTGTCATTTTAACAACGTTCAGCTGGGTGCGGCACATTCCATTTATCAGAGGCGAGCTGCTGTTGTCTTTAGAAAACTATTCTACGCTCTCCTTTACCATGATCTATGTGTTTGTGAACCACATAGCAAGGCAGCAACATGTTCAGAGGCTACCTTCTGCCAATGCCAAATACATCATTTTCGTCGAGGACAACAACAATCATCATATCCAAAGCTTTCTATAGATAAAGAAGAATGGATGGATGGTATACATGTCATATGCATGATTGTCTAATAACATAATGAGCACTGCTTGAAGTATCTCTTCATGAATGAATCACATCCCTTGGCTCATTATGTGTCGGCCTGAGTATACACAATGAGAACATCGGACAAAGCCATTGTTATTTATATCAGCGTCTTGTATAAAAAAGGCGTGTGCTTCAGGATTCCATTATTCAACTTTATATCTTCTATCTACCTAATACGCTACTACTACTTGAAATTACGATGGCCGCTTGCATATCACCTCCACAACATACCCGTCATCAAATCCATCGACGATCGTTACCTGTACAGCTATCACCGGCATCATCACCTTACCAGGCTTTACCACCCGCACAAACTCCATTGGCATACGAGTTGCAACGTTATCATGACAAGCGGCTTTCATGGTGTACGACAACCAGCAATAGTAGTTGTAACACAGGGCGGCGGATGAGCAGCAGGTTGACGGAGATAGCCGAAGTCCCGTTAGAACAAGAACTAGTCAAAATGCATCAAAACACCTTGCTTGTATTGGGAGAAATCAAGCAGTTGGCTGATCAGCTTATTGATGCTGAAGCACGTGCTGAGTCATGGCAACGTAAATGCCGTGAGGCTGAGGAGCAACTTGAAGCCATCCAAGTTGAGAAACAACAACGTGTGCAGGACACACAGAGCACGATATCCGCTACATCCACCTTGAAACCCAAATACAAAAAGAAAAAGAAAGCATCTCACAACTTTACAAGGTAAGAAAAGAAAACATTCTACTTTTTATTTGTCTTGTATACTTATGCTAATGCATTTGTAGTCTACCAAGTAGCATTATTCGTTTTCTACGTCTGAAGAAATAAACTAGAGTGGTGTGGGAAACACGGAGTGACTCTTTGTGCAATCCCTTTTCCAAATTCATCAAAAAGCTTTTTCTTTTTTCTCTTTACCTACTTGGTTTCTTTCTATAAGATAATGGCAGACGACAAGGACTATACAGCTGTTCCACCACCCGAATTGTTATCAGCTCCTAAGCAGCCTTTGGATTTCAACGATGCACTATCGAAAGCAAGAGCCATTGCTGAAAAGCTCAAACAACAACGACCTGCAGCAGCTCCACCTTCAGCACCATCAGCAGGTACTCTACACCCACCCACCACCTCTTTCACACCAACAACAACAACAGCAACTCATTGTGGATTATGCATTAGGTTCGAAGCGTGGCTATTACGATGATGGCTATGAAGATCAGAGCTACCAGTATGGAGAGCGCGAAGATCGTGAGCCTAAACGAGGCATGTACGAATCGCAATGTACGTTATCAATAGGACCTCCTTTATTTCGATACAGTGGTGCACTATCGTATTGACTCATATTGATTAGATGACTCTCGGCGATATGGTTTGGGCTCTGAAGAGCGAAGAGGTCCTACATCAACGTCCTACATGAATGCCGGCCCAGTTATCCAAGACGAACTGATGGTCCCTAGTCATATGGTTGGCATGGTCATTGGTCGAGGAGGTGATAGCTTACGTCGTATTGAACGTCTCTCTGGAGCCAAGGTTCAATTTGCTGAAGGTAAGGATGGCACCCCATGAGTCGTTGGAAGCAGGATCTAAAATAGCGTGTGTTATCAGATATGGGTGAACCTGATCGTCGTGTCAACATTACTGGTGAACCAGACCAAGTCAAGATTGCCAAAGACATGATTCAACAAGTCGTGGATGATACGCATGCACAAGAATCAGGTGCTCCTGGAAGCGGTGCTAATGCAAGTGCCGGTGGTGCTGGCAACATGGGTGCTGGTTATGGTGGTCGTAGCACAAACAGCATGTCAGTGCCATCTTCCAAGGTTGGCTTGATCATTGGTCGTGGTGGTGAAACTATTCGTGATCTTGAAGAGCGTAGTGGAGCAAAAATCACTGTAACTCAAGAAGGAGATCGTTCGGGTGAACGTACTATCAGCTTGATTGGTCATGATTCTGCTATTGAACGGGCTCGCAATCTTATCCTTGATATTGTCAATGATGAAGGTCACGGCACTACCGTAAGTACATCAAGTTTAATGGCCATGAATTGTTTATCTAATCCATTTATCAGGTAACATCCAGCCGCGATTGGAGTGCATATCGTCAACAACATGAACCAGCAGAGGGTTATGGTCGTCATTCCAACAGATATGGTAGCCGTGATCGTGATGATGGTGCTTATGGACCACCTCCCACTGATCGTTACCGTGGCCCCAGCAGTGGAGGTGGTGGCGGTGGCGGCGGCGGTGGTCGTTATGGGGATGAACGTGAATCGATTCAAGTACCTAAGAGTGCTGTTGGTTTTATCATTGGTCGAGGTATGTATATGCGTTCTTATTTTACTTTGGCTGTACGATTAATGCTGGTTGATGGTGCATAGGTGGTGAAACGGTACGATCGTTGCAGGATCAATCTGGCGCAAGAATCAAGGTCGATGCCAATGGGGATCCTAGTGCACCTGAAAGGACCATCAACATTTTCGGTAAGTTTGGGCTCGTCACTTGTTGCATCAGCTTTGCTCGTCATCTTGCAACAAGGATGGCAGCATAAAGTTGGTATCGTGTGTATGTATGTGTGTGTACTATATGCATGAACTTGTGCGTGTGGCGATGATGATGATGACCTGGGATTATTTGCGTGTGTGATGTGCCTACAACAAACGATATATATGTGCTATTACCAACAGGAAACCCGGACGCCGTTGCTCATGCCAAACAACTCATCATGGACAAGGTTGCGGAAGGAAATGTACAGGATCGATTCTTTCTTTTTTTCATTCTTCGATTGAACTTCGGAGGAGATGTTATGTGTGGGTGGTGTGAGATCAACTAATCATTCGCTTGTACAGGCTAATCGAGGTGGTCATGGAAGATATGAAAGAAGGCAAGTATTATGGGATCGAATGTGGATGGCTTGATACTAAAGGTATGGCTCTATCTATAGTGGTGAGAGGGAACATCGAGGCTACAACAACAACCGTTACAACAACCATCAGCAACAAGACTACTCGGCTTCTACATCCAATGACTATTATTCGCAATATCAAGGTTACTATGCACAATATGGATATGATCAATATGGCGGTGGTCAAGATGCACAGGGTAAGCAATTGGGAATTCACCAGGGGGAAAAGGAAGGTATCTTGATTGACATGGGTCACCCTTTTAGGATATCAATATGGTGGTTATCCGTATAACTATGAAGGATATGGTCAGTATGCCGCTGATGGAAAGGATGGAAATGCAGCAGAAGGCGAGTCAAACGAGGCTGGGCATGACAACATTGGACAGGGAGGAGATACCAAGGATGAAAACAATACCAGCACTAGCCAGGCCGCAGCCGACTACTATGCACAATATTATGGCAGTGGTGGTGGTGGTGGTGAAGCAGGAGGCGAGGCTGGTGCTGATCAACAACAATGGAATCAGGATGCGTACTATCAATGGTATCAGCAATATTATGGCGATGGACAGCAATATCAAGATCAACAGCAGGTCGAGGGACAACATCACCAATCGGGTGAAGGTGCCCCAGAGCAATGAGATAGTTTGATTTATATATATATATATATATACTTTTCGATTACATTGTTTTTTCATTAAATGCCAATGATCAATGAATTGGGTTAAAAAGGCATGGAAGGGAATAGTGGTTGGCTTTTATGGGATCATATCAATTGGGTAGTATCATACTTGGGTGGATCAAGTTGTGCCAAGGAAGGTTCTAATGTATCATCTATAAGCGTTACGATTTGCATGGAACTTGGCAACAAGACTTTTGCATAGATCGCTATAAGTGTGTGGATCTCCGTGTATGCGTCTCATGTCGAGGACGTAAAGCTGAGTCAGATTTTCGATTTGGCGTAATTCAATATTGAAGCGGATCTCGTGCTGCATAGTAGAACCGTCCTTGTGATCACGTTGATGTCGCCGCTGCAAAAACGCTCGGAACGGTGACAAGACCGATGGCTGAAGTTGCTCATTGGAATGCATTTGCGTGCATTTCAACTTGAAGGTACGCTCTTCTTTGATGTCAATATCCATGGACGTGGCAACGTGTTTGAGCTCAGCTATGACATTGTGTGGACAAGTTGATGCAATAATGTGATGTTGATCTACTTCCGGTACTGTGCCACGGTATATTCTCGGCCTGTCATCATTGCCTACTGTTTTTGTCAAGATATCCGCCATATGAGCTAAGCATGCGTTTGTGTAATAAATCCATTATCCATTTTGTCGTTACCTCCTCTCCGCTTGCGTAACAGCCAAGTCATAAAAAGTGGTTTCCTTGATTGTGGCTCATTGGTGTGTTGTAGACTTTGTGCTTTTCGAGGACGTGAAGAAGATGATGATGTAGTCAATGAATAGGGACGTGGGTTTGCATTGCTGTATGAAAACGTGCCACCGAGAACAGGGCATGAAAACGTGTTGCTATTCTCTAATCGTGACCCCGATGATGTCTTTTGTGATGTTGTATCTTGTTGAAGCCAAGGATGGGTGAGGATGGTGGCCATAGAACAACGATCTTCAGGATCAGGCATCATCATCTTTTGTATCAAATCGCGGGCATTTGTACTAACATGATCGGGGAATTCGGGTGGTTGGCTGACCATGGTGCGATAGAGCTGATGAAGGTTGTCATCTTGGTAGGGTAGATGTCCGCAAAGCATTGCATAAAGAATCACACCACACGACCAAATATCAGCTGCTGTGCCTTTGTATCCCTCCTCTGTCAACACAAGCTCGGGTGCTGCATAGCATGGTGAACCACAAGCTGTTTCCAAAAGAGAACACGGTAATTGCCCCTCCTCATATGACGCTATCATCTCGTGCTGCTGTTCTTGTGACCCCACATGTGCAAAGCCAAAATCGATTATCAGCAAGTTGTGGTGATGGTCCAATAAGAGGTTCTCGAGCTTAAGGTCACGATGAATGATTTGACGTTGATGCAAATGGTGCACGCCATCTACCAATTGTGCAAAAAGTCGCCGTGCTTCGGTTTCTTTGAGTCTTCGTCGGCTATTGATATAGTCGAAAAGTTCACCCCCTGATTTGTTTAACATTAGCTCATCTAATTATGTATAATAAATGAGAGTGGGCACTGTACCTGTAGCACATTCTAAAACAATGCCCATTGTCTTTCTTGTCTCGATAACGCTGTACATCTTTACAATGTTTGGGTGGTTGACTGCCTGCAAGTGCCAATATGGAAGGAGGAAAAAAAGGAGTTAATGGTGACCCGTGCATAATAGTGCAGCTTATTTTTAAAAGTACACGATCGAACAACGCGTTTGTAAAGAAAGGAGGAGAGGGGTTGAGATGAAAGAACAATTACCTTTAGTACGTTAATTTCACGGTCGATCCTGATCCTGCGTGAGCGATCCATATCATCCATTTTGATCAATTTGATGGCCACCTTGTCACATTTAAGGTATAAGACGATCATCCAAAAAGTATAAACTTGTACATAGAACCTACCTTTTGACCAGATTCGACATGAATCCCTAGCTTGACTTTGGCAAATTCGCCTTTGCCGAGGGTCGAAAGCAGCAAATAAGGGCCCAAAGTGACTCTTTTTCTATGTCGAGAAACCATGATACACCGTATGATCTTTTGGGGAGAGAGAGAGGGAGAGAAACAGCGTAACGGTAAAAAAGGGAATAAAGATAAAGAAGAAAAAGAGGAGAATGTCAGGTGAACGATGCACGGCGTGTGCTCATTTTTTTGACGTTGTAACGTTGTGTAACCAGAGTGCAGGGTCACACAGCATGATTACTCTTGACAAAAGCATGGGGGATGGACCTTGATCAATTATGGAAAGGCGTAATGTTGCTTTATTGATTGTGAGCATATGGATGCATACATCGTGGCGTGTGGAGAAAAAGTGTGCAATAGAATGAGCTTTACAATATGTGTGTTGGGATGCAATATGAATGGGTGAATGCAAAAGTTGTTATATAAATGATAATGTGGGTTTGATGATTAGATTGCTTTCTTGTTTAATCCTCGGCTTCAGTGCTTGACCCAGTACTTCGGTATTCATCTTCGTCGTCGGTCATTCCATCCACTTCAATGGTCTCATATTCGCAACTAGGGCCATCCTCATAGGTGTCATCATCATCATCATCATCATCATCCATGAGATCTTGAGGATAGTGACAATTACGCAATGGGCTGTGAGGTTTGGGAAAGTAATCCATAATTTGTTTCCAGCTGGATACACGGGTGATATTGGATGGTAGACTATTGCTGTTGTAGCTGTTGTTGTAATTTTGGTACAATTGGCGGGACATGGCTGTCAAGGAAACGGGCCTGTTATTGTTGTTGTTGTTGACATTATTGGAAGTTGAGGATGTTTTGTTGTTCAAATGATTCCAACGATACTGATTCTTGCGATCATAAAGCAGCACTTCAATGTCGAGTGATGTTGCACAATCAATTGCATGATCAAGGCCGTCATCAATAAGCACGTCGACGCCGATCTCCTGACAGATAGCCGACTTTGGCTTAGAAACATACTCAAGTTGTTCAGCATCCGACAGGCCAAGATTACAAAAGTAGATACTCTCAAAGATGCCTACATATGCGTGATGCCAATTAAGGTTAAAAAAGTGAACATGTGGGCACATCATATGAGCGAGCTACATACCTGGATAATGCTTGTCGACAAACTTTTTCGTCTCTTCCGCAATGAACTGCTGTCGAGAGGTAATGATGACCAAAGTGAATTTGCGCTTCTTTAGAATCTTGAGGGTCTCGAGGGCAAAGTCATGTATGGGTTGAATGCGTTCGAAATGAGGGCTGTCATAAAACTCTCGCACCTTTAAGCAAGCTTCTTCATGAGATCCACCCCAAACTCGACTATAGTCGTGAGTGTCAAAATCAGCCATGGTGAGACAAGTGTTGTAGACTTGATTATGCCAATCGATCATTGCTTCAAGAGTGTGAGCCAATGTTTGGTCCAAATCGACGGCAACGGTTTTAGGCTGGGGTTTCCGAAAGATCATGGGCATATTGAAATAGGAGCAAGCAGCAAAGGAAAAAGGGGATGTGTGTATCTGTAAAAGAAGTGTATAGGCGAATGGGATGTGCCTGAACAAAAAGTGGTGAAGGGGGAGCAAATAAAAAAAGCCAGTGCGGTGTTTTGCTTTTAAAGCTTTTCAGCTTAGCACTCTCGTTGGTGATGTTTTGGGACAAGGAGCATGTCGATTCAAAGCAAGGATTTCTGAGTTATTTCCCTCAATGTAAAGTGGTCTCGTGCCTTTCATTCAGCTTTAAAGCGGTGCCACCAAACCCTGCAGCCCTGTGTACCCAACGCGTTTACTCTCTTTGGGAAACTTAAAGGATGATCTTCCAAGTGTGAAAGCATTTTATTATCCACAACACAAACAGAAACAACTTGCCAGTCATCATAAAAGATATAACAACCATACCAGCTATTCATCATGCAACAACCGCCACTCGATGCTTCTCTAATAATGCTCGTCGTTCCTCCTATATAAAAGATACATCCCATTAGGATCCCATCATCACCCTTTCCATCCATTCATCCCTCTTGAATTACTTACCGGTGATACTTCATTGTCATTGTATATAAGAACAGTCTTTGATGCCTTCTTTTTGCCCGTTTCAGTCACTGTTGTACCTGTTGTAGTGGCTTGAGCAGCAGCAGCTTCAGCATTTGGATCGAGGAGTGTAGTAGATGTAGCTTGGTCGTTGCTAGATTGTGCAGCACTATAATCGTATCCTCCAGCAGCAGCAGTAGTAGTCTGTGCAGGATAATAACTACCTTGTACACCTGCCTGTAGTTGCTGTTGTTGAGATGTTGGTAATGGTGGTGGTTGTGATGGTTGCTGTTGATATGCTGGATCTGTTGTGGTTGCTGCAGGGTATGGTGGTGGCTGTTGGGCTTGTGCATAGGGAGCATTATGTTGCTGTTGAGCATCCCATGGACTTGCAGCAGCATAAGGAGCACTGTCATCATCATTCATTGTCAGCATCCCCTTTCATTATCATTTCCATTCCCAACACTTACCCTGGTGGTGGTGGACGATATGGATACGGTGGTTGTGCTGGCGTAGGATATCCCTGATAATATTGACCTGGATAAGCGGCAGTAGCAGCCATACCTTGTGGATATGCAGAGTAATATTGTTGATAACTTGGAGTCGCAGCAGCTGCGGCGGATGGCGTTGGTGGTGTTGGCATATTGGGTGATCCTGCAACAACAGCTGCAGCTGCCATTGGATTGCCAGCCTTGTGAAGAGCCAATTGCTGTTGGATTTGTTCAGCCGTCAATTCTCCATATTGAGCAGATCCACCACCTCCTCCACCAGTTCTTGCCCGCTTGGAGGGGTCAACACCCTTCTTCCTCATCTCGTAATTCTCCAAGTCTTCAGGCGGGATCCCTTCCATACCGAAAATCTCAATATCCAAAGTATCACGTCCCTTCATTGCATTGGGTACTCTATTGTACGCTTTATCAGCCATCCATCGTCATCATCGTCATCATCGTTGTGCCTTACTTGTTGATTTCAACCTTGTGAACTTGCATAGCATGTACTGCCATACCACCTGCTGTGGCTATTGAACATGATTAGCATCGCTCTCTATTCGTTTGACATATATAAACAGTCGACTTACTTAGTCGTTTACCGCAAACCTCACATTTGAAGTGCTTGGCCTATTTGAAAGCAATCAGAATAAAAGGAAGGATTGGCATTGACAGCACATGAGAAACATACCCTTTGATGAGTGACTAAGACTTTGTCATCTTCGAAATCCTTTTCACAGTACCAGCACCATGGTCGCATGGGTTTGTTTTTTCTCTTCTTTCCCATTGTGATATTTGTTGTAAACAGTCAAGTAGAAGAAAAGAGAAATTAGACATTGGGTTGTCGGGATTTTTTTATTCAATCAGAGATTTGCTACTATGTAGCCATGCATCTAGCCTTTCTGGTGCCCGGCCTAACAAGATGGATAGTCCTGGAGAGACGTTTTCCTTTTCAAATCCTTCAAAAGTAGCTAGTTCATAAGCAATAACATGGGGTGCGTATTGACTAAGCGTCTTGTACTTGTCCTCGGGTGTTGTTTGATTGTATGTCACGGGTCGTTGTAATATGCTTGAGCAAACATCAGCACGCTCTTCAGCTGTAAGAGAATCACCCACTGTATCATAAACTGCATTGGCATGCTTGTGGATGGGATCTTGGAGTACCTTAGCTGCTATGCGAGCCAAATCATTGGGAGAGATCCAACCTTGTTTTTGATCCTTGGGCACCGTGTCGATGATCACTCCTTGCTTGACAATAGAAGGGATATCATTTTTGAGATTGGACATGAAACGTTGTGGACGTAATGTTACATAATATTTGTCTTGGTGTTGCTTTTGCACAAGTTGAAAGATGGCATCTTCAGCGAGATGATGTTGTACAGCCACTGAAGTACTACGCCATCGCTCAGCAGCAATAGCCGATGACACGTGCACAATTTGCTTGATACCAGCTGCATAAGCCCTGGACGCAATGGCATCCACGATGGATGACATGTGTGCTAAATCATCCACAAGTAAAAACAACCGCTGGTGACCTTTGATGGCTTCCTCGAATGTTGCCAGCTCTTGATAATCGCCTTGGACAATGGTTAACGGTGGATTGGGTATATCGTTAAAAAGCATCTTGGCACGATAAGGTGTGCGTGCGTAGAGTGTAACAGGTACTCCTTGTTCCAATAGCTCACGCACAAGTGGGCGTCCAACATTGCCAGTACCTCCAACGAGGAATATGCGTTCTTTATTTTCAGACATTTTGCTGTTCAAACGTATTTTTGGTCCTTGAGATGCCGAGATTGGGATCTTTTATGCTTATTGTGAATATGCCGCAGCATAGTATAGTAAGTCTTTCGGTATCGTAATTATGCCGTATCCCACCACAACGTCAAGGGTGTGTTACCTTTTGATCCATAGTGGGTTACATGCGACCGCAGCAACATCACCAACAATACCGCGTAGTGTGGAACAATGATGCGCGCTTTTATCGATCGCTCGCATAGTAAAAGTAGTGCTTATTAAGCCCATTAGATAATGCATCGTTGTTTGGTGTTGGTGGTACCACCAACAGAATACTGCGGTTGTATCACGACCTGGCTCGTAGCATATAGCCAGCAGGGCGTTGCCAAGGATATGGGGGGAAATCGGTATCCTAGCAACTCGTTGCCAGGTATACGAAAGTGGGTTGTCATAAAGTAGAGATGCACTTTTGACTTTGAGCATCTCTTTTCTCAGGCACAACAATACATAATAGGGGAAGACTTAAGACTTGTTAATGCACCACCTAGATGCTATTCCACCATCCCATGTCACGCAAACAATGAATTTGATGATAATGAATGCTTCATTGTGATTAATCGAAATGAGAAAAGTGGGTAGCCATGATAGAATGTGTATTGAAAAAAGTCCAACTGCATGTATGTACATCTTCTACAATAACCTCTAATCCCATATCAATTGTCCATTCTCGTTCAAGCTCGCTTTGGCTGTAGGTACTTTGGATGATCCACGCTGCGGCTTCTTTCCCCAAGGTGTATTTTTCCCTGCACCCGTCGAATAGAATTCCTCAATACGACGTCTTTCCAATTCGCGTTGATGTCTTCGTAAACGCTCAGCCTGTAATGCATCTGCTTGAGCTTTGGCTTCACGTTTCTTTGCTGCTCGAGCCTGGTTTTCACGCTGCTTCTTGGTCAATGGTTCATTGTCCACTGCTCTTGATGATGAAGACGCTAAGATCATATATCACTGTAAGCTTATCTTATGTAATCATCCATAGCCCCCCACACACAAGCTATTTACCAAAAGGTTTCTTGACAGCTACCGAATTCCAACCATCTTCTTGCGGCACAGGTTGAAATGGATCCTCTTCAGGCTCACGTGTGATACGCATCACTCTTGAATACTTTGGCGTCCAATCCATATGGTCATCCACTTCTGCTGGCTTTTTGACAGAGGCATTCTCGATAGGTTTCTCAACAGGTCGTTGCTGTTGCTGCTGCTTTGAAGGTGTAGTTGTTGTTGCAGGTTTTGGCTCTGGTGCTGCTTCGGCTTTGTTTGCTTGTTTTCTCTTGGACTTGGACTTGGACTTGGACTTGGACTTGGAGGAGGAAGTGTTGGATTCGTTTGGTGTTGCTATAGGCGATGGTGGTGTCGCAGCTGCTGATGCCGTTGATGGAGCTACAGATGGAGATTGGTCGTTGGATTGAGCTGCTGCAGACTTCGATTTGTTTTTCTTCTTTTTCTTCTTTGACTTTTTGCTTGGTTTGGTTGCTATGTTACTGCGTGCGAAGAATATAACAAGAACGGGAAGGGAAAGAACAAATAATAGACCCAAAGCCTGGTACATGATGCGACTTCAAGAAGCGTAGAAACCTCCCCCGCGCCTTCAAGCGCACTAATTCAATTTCAGAGCGTTGAACCAACCCATCCTTAGCTTTGATGGCCCGTGCACATTGTTTAGCTAGCACATTCATGAATTCACTTGACAAGCTTTATTAGTCACTATGCAATCACTCTCTCTTGATGTATGATCTTGCTTTTTCTTTTATTGTAATATAAACAAATGTCTACCAGCAGATTGATACTTTTCCTTGATATTACCCAATTCAGATCTTTGCCATTTGCAGGTCGATAATCTTTTGAATAGCAGGTTGCAAAGGTCCAGCAGATGCGACTATCATACAAAGTTAATCATCTTATTTCTTTATATGCTCACATAAAACATACCTGCTTTTTTGAATCTATCCATACCCTTCTCAAAGGCAGGATTGCTCTTGTCAATCTCGGCAATCTTGACGAGACACCGCAGAGCCAACACCCATTGTGATTGACGCAAGTAAACTTCAAAAGCGAGAGCATGGGTATCAACCAAGTTGGGAGCCACAAGCATCAATGGCTTGATAAATTGCATAGCATCATCCAAAGGAGTAGTGGTGTTGAGATACTTTTCACCCTCGGGATCCTCATCAGACGACTTCTTAGAATCGTGTTTCTTGGCACCGCTTGCAGCAGCAGTAGCAGTTGCGTCTTCCTTGACTAGAGATAGATAGATGGATACATAAGTACCTTCCTTTTGCTCTATGCCATCACCTAATTACTTACCGTTCTCCTTATCCTGCAATGCCTTAAGCTCTGCCTTGCGAGCCTTGCTCCGTGCCTTTTTCTTTTCAGCCTCGGTCATACCTAAAGATCCCGAAATGAATACTCAATGTTGATTCCTTCGCTAGTATGCTGAAGACTCACCAGACTCATCCAAGCCATTGCTTTCCTTGGGCTTGTCGGCAATAGCAAGGTAGGCTTCAACAGCACCCTTAGCAGCGGTGACGTAATAGTGGTGCTGGCGCAAGTTATCCTCAAAGCGAAGCATCCTAGCAGCGGTTCAAAATAAGTATACCATAAAAAAATGCTACTCGTAATACAAGATACATACTTGACGTAGGCGCGAATCGTCATCTTGCGAAGACAATAGCCGTGGAAATCAAATTGGTCGTCATAAATATCGTCAAAGATCTTTTGAGTGACATGGAAACGCTTGAGAGCCTTGCCATAGTTCTTTTGTCGCAAATAAGCATATCCTTCCTCGATGTGGAACCAATGGCATTGCATATCAGTAAGATCTTGCACAGCCGAGACCTCCTTACGGGTGAACATGGCAAGGATCTTTTCAGCTTCTTCGACCTGACCAGCACGCAACATGTATTTTGCACACTTGGAGTTGATGAAACGATCTTGCAAATCGAGCTCACGAGCTTCATTCATCACCTTGGCAGCTTCCTCGATTTGGCCCTTGTGCTATGATAATGCCGACTATCAGTTTATGGACCCCATTCCTGCCTGCTATGTGCTATCCTTACCTTGAGAATTCTGCCCTTGGTCATGTAAAGCTCAACAATAGTAGGTGTATGCTCGATGGCAGCATTGATGCATTCAAGAGCCTTATCAAATTGCTGATGGTAATCGTAATGTTGTGCGAGATAATACAAGGTCCAGAGCAACACCGAGGGAGGTTCACGCTTGTCGCTCTTGTCATCAAAGGTACTCTTCTTCTCAAGCGATGCACGATAGCCTTGTACCAACTTGTCAATCACAGCCTGCTTGGCAGAATCCGCATAGTATTTCTTCATGCTGGCAAACAAAGAAGGAACGCCCTTGATCAAAGACTTGCGAAGAACAGCGTCCACCTTGGTCTCGAAATCAGCACCTTCGGCATATTGAAGCAAAAGCGATTCCATGATCTTGGATCGAGGATACTCTTCAGCAAGCTCCTTGCAAAAGTCATAAGCACCCTTCTTGTCTACGTAATGAATGCATGAGTATCATCTTTTATGTAATACACAATCGATCATTCCTACCATTTTCAAGTCCCTTCAATGCCAACAATGCCTTGATGTAAGCACGATCGTGAGGATTCTCGGAAATCAAGCCACGATAGGCAGCCTCAGCTTCTTCAACCTTGTCAAGCTTGGCGAGGAAAGCAGCACGCTTCTCCTTGAGAGATCGTTGATCAGTCACCTTTTCCTTGATCGTTTCCAAATGATCCAATGCAGCCTGATAATCGCCCTTCTCTTCCAACAATGAATTGTGATACATCAAAAGCTCAGAGTGTTCAAAAGCATTGCCAATTTCCTGTTACATTTGTGTCAGATCATTTTGGGTTTCATACACGATCCCATCCTTCCCTCTGCTATACCTTGACGGATTCTTCCTGAGACTTCAAGACAGTGAGAGCGTTATCAATCTTTCCACCAAGTTGGTAAGCGATAGCCAATCCAATCCAGAAGGGAGGATAAGTAGGCTTTTGTTGCAAGAGCTGCGCACGTGTTTCCTAGGTATATGATTACAACGCGTGAGCAAATGTCATCATAACATCCTATCACATTCTCTTACAATCAATTGGTCGTAATGGCGCAACTGGGTTTGCAGCAAGGCGTGATCACGAAGGATGTGAGGATCATTCTTGTTGTATTTGAGAGCATTGGTGTAACACTTGGAAGCCTCCTCGTAGTTCTTGTCGCCACGATGCATCAAACCATACACGTGCCAACCTATACACACACACACGCACACACACACACATCTCGATGAGTATATCGGGTATAGACCATGAATGATGTAAGGGCAACGTACAGATATGGGAGGTCAAGTCGTTCGCAACACCCTTTTTGACAAACTCATAGCCTTCCTCTTTCTTGTCGAGATTGTTCAAGAAGAGACCCTTCATAGCAAGCGTTTCTTTCAAGGAGAGATAGTCATCGTGAATACTGGTGCGTGTATTGAATCGGATGGGTTACGTGTTACTTACCACCATGGTCGGGATACTTTTTGAGAATGGAATCGGCCAACTTGAGACCCTTCTTGTACTGCTTGTGCTCGTAATGACGCTGGTGTGAAGACCCACAATGAGTAATGTATGCAAGTCAATGTTGAGAAAGAGGCAACTTACCAGCACATTCTTGAAGACGGCGCTCTCCTTGGAGGGAAGTTCTCGCTTTGTGGTCATGTCAAGGAAAAGAGGACTAAGGCTGGAGACCTGGCGCTTCTTTGTTCTCCACACGAAAAATTTGAATGCTGATAGGAGCAACAAATCTTACACCTCGTTGGCACGTGTATTGCATAAGACAATGAAAATGAGAGCAACCCATTGTAAAGGCACCCTATCTCTGTTATAGATATCACGTAGATGGTAGAATAGGCTATGATCTCTTATACTCATATCCCCATCACTAAAAAAAGTTGACCACAGAAGCAGAATTGACAGCTAAAATGATGTTTCCTATGCAACCATGTCTTGGGTATGAGGAGCTTCATGTATCCCTCTTTGCTTACAATGACGCATGTATCGCATAGGATGAAATCATGAGAGTCATCCTCAATGCCTGGTAGTCTGTATTATTGGCAACAATGACAATGAGATTGGGCGAAAGTTACTGGTATAATAAACCGCTGACTATACTTGCTATTATCGTCGAAGCACCTACATACTTCCATGAAACGCATCGCTTGTATATTGGTGTATTACTTTATCTACCATTTTGACTGCATCAGAAATGATAATCATATACATGGGCCATCTCATCTCGGGCAGGTACTGTATTCTGTAATACGACTTGTGGTGAGGACAACTAGGATGCCTCATTGTAAAGGGTGCCTTTGTTTTACTTCGTTCCCCTCTCCCCTTCTTCATCCAACAATGAATCCAAGGCGTCTTTATCCTAAAACCATAAACGTCAAATGATGCTATCTTTGAAATTCAAGCGTGGTGCATAATCATGGTCCCCTTTACAGTACACACAATCAGCCATCTCCAATATAGGGATGCATGATGCTTCTAGGGCCTGGTCTCCGGTTCACAGTTCATGCAAAAAGGAAAAGTGTAACCAAGCTAAGGCATGACGATCTTCCTTTGGAAGCTATTTTTCTTTCCCGGCCCCAACACAAATTAGAATTTGAACATGGTTACAACAACAACAACATTAGCTCTCTTCTCACACGATTATATGACTTGATGACTTGTATATCGCAAATACAATGCATGTATCGACATACAGCAGGTGAAGAAGAAAATGGATAAAGCTGCATGTGATTGAAAGATGCACTGGCAATGATCCTCTTGCAACAAACCCAACCCCCCACATTTACTGTGGTCGCATTTGAGATGAGAGTGAAAATTATGGCGCCATTCATTATGATAAGCAATGGGGTGCTTTATTACCAATGTCGTCGGATCCCATCCAACAGCACATGTTACTTTCAACCAGCAGAGAGACATCATCATGCCGCTCCTCGTCATCATCTCCGCCGCTATGATGATATTGTAAGCACATGAAACTGTAATCAAAGAAAGGACATGAGACACGCGCCGCCATAGCAGCGATCTGCATCGGATGCATTTGTGTATTACGTACACATTTATTGTGTTGCCTCCGGCTGCAGTTTACCGATCCAATCCCCCTACCTGAGGGATCCTTTTGAAACGCATCATTGCATCCTCTAATACAAATCCTTAAGAAACGAGGGCTATGATGCGTTTAAATTCATATCCACACGCTCCAAGCACACTTTTCTGTATATGGATGGTATTCATTATTGGGGTCAAATATACGCTAGTGATAACAACAAGCTGTGAGCCTGGGGATAAGCAGTATAATAAGCGAACAGTGAAAGGAAAACAGCCCCCAAATCGAGAATAGTAGTAACAACCCTATCAACTCTAAAGGTATAGCATCCATGGCATCGGAAGAACAGGCAGCAGCAGCAATAGCTGCATGATGCTGTGTGGCACCTTTCTTTATACACATTGCAAAAAAATCATTTCCGCTTCGGATTTACCATCTCGAGATACATGGTGTTCACTCATACTAAATCAGGCCTATCCGCTGTCTCTGGCATGTCCATTTATTTGTTATCAGCGCCCATCAGTTACTTTCGCTTATACCCCCACGCTATACCGCGCGCTGCATCGTGTTGTGTATTTGCTTGCATGTTGTAGACACAACATTGTCACAGGAGCTTGTTATTATGTTGTGCGTGAAAGTGTGTGTGTGTGTCATCTGTTTCTAGACATATCCATTGCATGAATCATGTATACACACGATGACGACCCCGCTCACCTGTCATGTGTGTTGAAACGTAAAAAGAAAAAACCGGTTGGGGACGAGCCATTGTTTTGGTGGCTCATTTAACATTCGTTTTTTTTTCTTTATTGCTCTTGTATACTCAGCTCATGCAAAGGAAAAAGATGATCTTGATCTCATGATGGATAATGATACTATGGGGGATGTAAGGGGGAGGGAAAAAGAAAGAAAGGATATTGCGTGATGGATAATGATGGTAAAGGTATGAGCAATGACTCTCTCTTTTACCTCCTGTTTACCCCGTTGTTTCAAGGATCAAGGATAAAATGGGAGATAAAACCGCGGTAATGGTGGGGAAACGGGTCTCCCCGCATTTTCTCATCAAGGAAGGCTGCACGAGAAAATAAGGACAAGGATATGGGAAAGTTTACGTTATGCATAAAGATGTGGTCTCATTATTCTCACGGATTGCGTGCATGTGTCAAAGAAGGTTTATCTGTGTGTGTGTTATTTACAAAGAATCAGGGATTTGTGTCACATAAAAGTAATAAGGGTTCAAAAAAGGCGCAGTAAGTATAATAGGGATATGCATGTGGTGAGTGGATGAGATGAAAAAAGCTAACGACGATGCTTGGTTCTATACAAGACAGGAAATGACAAGGATGCTTGATCTAGTAATGATAACAGAAAGGAAAGGGATGAGATGATTAGAATGGAAAAATGGAGTGGATGGATGGCAGCAGGGGCGCTTGTGCCATGTTGATTGGGGGAAGCACACGAGCTTGTGGGGGTCTTTCCAATAGATCCATTAGGCTGTTTTGCTTGGCAATGTTACGAGCAACAAGGGTAGGTGAGCTACCAGGCGTGTTAATAACCTCTGTCTCCGAATCAGAATGAAACGACAGGGCAGGTGATGGTGGGGTTGTTGTGCTACTCCTGCTGCTGCTGATGTTGTGGTTGTTGGTTGTGGTTGTATTCATGCTATGTTGTTTATGCTTTTGTTGATGGCGTTGTCGTGAGATAGTAGTGGTAGTAGTAGTGGCAGCGGCACGAGGTTTGGCAACACCGCGTGGTGCACCTCGTCGATGAGGTGAGGTATGGATACGAATATGACGAGTTAATTCGTCGGAACGTGAGAAACGTTTTTCGCATCCTGGAAAACTACAATGATGTGGTTTTTCACCAGTGTGCGTGCGAATGTGGCGAGTTTGATGCTCAAGGCGATAAAATGATTTTGGGCACATTGGGCATTTGTAAGGTCGTGGGATGGATGACTTGTCAACTTTGTGGACCATAGGTGTAGTAGTAGATGTGGGTTTAGTCAAGTACATAAGATGGTGATGTTGATGCTGTGGATTGTGTGTCATGTAAAAAAAGTAAGAAAGAAAGATGTGACAAATGGATTTGCTCTTGCATATGCCAGTATTTATATATACAAGATGATGGGGGAAGGGGGTCAAAGCGGCCTATTTCCCTTTCTGAATCGGGGATGACGGGCATTAGATAAAAGGGTGTGTGCGATTGGGGGGAGGGAGAGATGAAGGAAACCGGGAAGCATTGACCGGCACATTTTTCAGAAATAGCTACAAAAGGCAATCCTTGGCCAAATAGTCCATTTCACACGTTCACTTACCATAATACAAAAGAGGATGATGGTTGAAATGATGGTTGTTCGTGTATGATTATGTACATCAAATACTTGTTGCTGTGTCTGGTTTGGTTGCTGCAGGAGTCCAGACGTGGCTCTGCACATCCTTGACCTCTATTTTCTTTCACTCTCCCCCCCCTTATCGGCAAATATCGCCAAAACCCCCCTTGTCTTGCCTTGCACACACATACAGTGATCCCCCAAATCTGTGTCTCCTTGCACACTCTCATTGTGGGGTAGACCCATCTTTGGATCAACTCACTTGTTGCAGCAAGAATGAGCATGCATCACATGAAAATCCTTGTGGGCTGCATGTACAATCATATCCACACACACCAATGTATTTGTGAGTCAAATTCCCCAATCACACGCCTCAAACACATGCGCATTGCATTACACAAAAATACTATTTGCAGGCTTGTCTTTATCTTGGGGGCGATATCTTTTGGGGGGAGCGATAATAGTCATCATAATTTTTATTATGTGTATGTGTGGAGGAGGAGGAAGGAGAGAGTGTGAAAGTGAGATGTATGTTGGGTGTCTAATTGAGATCAGCTCTTGCGGCTGTCTTTTCATTCAACACGTGAAAACTCGTAAGCGACTCTCCTTTCTAAGAGATCTATTCATCATCCCACCCCCTTTGAAAAGACTTGTTCTCCTATGTCCAATGATGTAATGCGATTCATATCTTTCATTCTTCTTTTGATGAAATCAAAGGAGACAAGGAGCAAGATCAAAGAAAAGCGTATCGGGGCAACGGGAAATTTGGTAAACCGGTTTCCCTGAGCACCACGTTTTTGCATGATTTGGACATTTCCCCGGAAAGATGGGACCCGCTGGGAGAGATGCCATCTTTCAAAGGGCCTCTTTTTTTATTATTTTATTCATTGTGTTCCCGCCGCGGCTGTTTCTATATTTCCCGTGATGCCACTTTATACTATTTTCCCCGTTGTTGCTACTCTCTCCCGTTGTCAGTGTGCCACGTTTGGATTACATTGATGATCATCCCAAGAGTGATGGGTAAACATGGATGATGAATAAAGAAAACCCATTCAGCTGGGAATGGGCGAGCGTGTGTATGTGTATTGTGTGTGTGTGTGTGGTCACGTTCCCTTATCCAGCAATTTCATTACGCAACTCATACGGCATTACACCTTATTCCAGCTCCACTACATTTGCTTATCAAAGACACCTCCCCCACATTACATATGCAAATGACAAACCAGCATTCTCCCGTCCTGCAATTCGCACCCTTTGCATCTGGAGTCGACGCTTCATTCTGGCAGTCATTGGCAACTAAGAAGCTCAATGTATTGAAGCTTTCAGACGATCCTCAACCCATTCACGCTTACTATGCAACTGGCAAGCGCTCTCGCTCCGAAACAGCTCTACCTCCCCACTTTTCTGTGCCCGCTCAGGGGTTGGACAGCGATAATGACACTCGGTAATGAAAGAAAAGGCACTATTCAACGTGCACATATTCAAAGCAAAGTTTATCTGACTAAGGAGTGATGATGTTGATGGGGGGTGTTATGGTTGATAGGCCACCTTTTACATTTGGAGTTACTGGAACCTTGTATAATACCAACACGTTGGAGGAGTTTAAACGCATTGACAAGAACAAGCTGTTTCAACAAGCAACGCAAAAGGTTTGTAAAAAGAAGAAGAAGGAGAGGAGGAGGTGGTGATGGTGGTGGAGGAGGATAGTCGATTTGGGGGGTGGGAAGTGTTGATGAGGAGGAGGAGAGTGAGCATGAATAATGAGAGGGGAATGAAATCATCATCAACAACATCAGTTGACACATTTGATAGATATGGCAAGCCATTCAAAGTGGGGTTGCATTGGACCAACCAAGCGTCTTGACAGAGTTTATCATGCTCACTTTTGCCGATCTCAAACGCTACAAATTTTACTATTGGTTTGCCTTCCCTGCTCTCATGCCACAACCTGATCCATGGCTTACAAGTGCAACGTCGCATCCCATTGGTGACACATATTCGCAAGCTGAGGTAAGCGACATCAGGAGACGTGAGTGAAAAAAAAAAGTTGTATGAGCTGAAAGGAGTTTTCTTTTTCCATATTGATTAGATGGATACACTTGCACAAGCTTATCAATCGGCGGGACGACCATCATGTTTCTTTGTTCGCAACAAGGTCGAGATCATTCATTTGAACCAAGGTTGGCATGACGATCTATTGGTGGGATTTGCCGACCCTTCATCTACGGAGCTACCCGGATGGCCGTTACGAAATCTGCTCGCCCTACTACACAAACATTATGGCATTTTCAAATGCAAGGTGTTGTGTTACCGTGAGTTACCTGGGAAAGGGATCGATGACACGCGTTTGCTGGAAGCCGAATTGCCGACTTCAGCTTATTATCATGACAAAGGTACAATGGCCCCTAAATAAGCATCTGACGACAATCATGTATTCATTCCTTTTTACCCACACATGTAGAGCCTAAAGCTGTTGGATGGGAAAGGAATGTTCAGGGTAAATTGGCACCACGAATGGCTGATTTGGGACCATTGATGGATCCGTTAAGGTAAAAGATCGATGTCAATGCTTGTAGAATCCGATTCTAAAATGGCAAATCCTTTTTCCCTTTAGGTTGGCAGATACATCGGTTGACCTCAATCTGAAATTGATGCGATGGCGGGTTATGCCGGAGCTTGACTTGGAAAAGATCAAAAAGACCAAATGTTTATTACTCGGTGCTGGGACATTGGGATGCTATGTGGCGCGCTGTTTAGTGGGATGGGGTGTACGCAACATTACATTTGTCGACAATGGCCGGGTCTCTTTTTCCAATCCTGTACGACAACCACTTTATCAATTCAATGACTGCCTCGAGGGTGGTTCTCCTAAAGCTGAGACAGCTGCCAAGAACTTGGAGCTAGTACAGCCCACAGTGGTAAATCTCCTTATGCAAATATACACCTTGTATGTGGTCGACCAACATATACCCCATCATCTATGTATAGAATTCTGCAGGTCATGCATTGTCGATTCCCATGCCAGGGCATGTTGCAACTTCGGATGCACAACTTGAAGAGGATATCAGCCATCTTGAAAAACTTGTGAATGAGCATGATGCTGTATTTTTGCTTACTGATAGCCGAGAAAGCCGATGGTTCCCGACACTTTTATGCGCACGTGCCAACAAGTTGGTTATCAATGCAGCTTTGGGATTCGATACCTATCTTGTCATGCGACATGGTTCAAGGCGACGACATGGTCTAGACAACCCATTGGGCTGTTATTTTTGCAACGATGTGGTGGCGCCTGCAGACGTCAGTATTTGTTCTTCTCATTCAACAATACCCCCCATCACCCTACAAAACAAACCTGGCTGATTCATTCTTTATGTTTACTCCCTATCTATTATTGTGATAGTCCCTATCAGATCGCACCTTGGACCAGCAGTGCACCGTAACACGACCGGGTCTTGCCGCTATTGCAGGGGCACTCGCTGTGGAGCTCCTTGTATCACTCATCCAACATCCAAAAGGGTAAGTTAATATGCGACAGCATGCCCATTTCTTTCTCTTTTCTATTTCTTTGTTTCCATCCCCAACAATCCCATTTGACACTAACTTTCATTTTGCATAATATGCAGGATCGAAGCTGATTCAGATTGCATCTTGGGCAGTGTTCCCCACCAGATCCGCGGATTCTTGGGACAATTCCATAACATGTTGATCGTGGGACAAGCATACAATAGCTGCACTGGTTGCTCACAAAAGGTATAGTAAATCATCTATCATCTCTCTTTTTTGGGCTGGATGGAAATAAGCTTATAGGGTACAAGAATTAACCATCGCCACAGATCATAGATGCATATGACAAGGAGCCATTAGCGTTTATGAAAAAGGTGTTGGCTGACCCTGAATACCTTGAACAGATCTCTGGGATCGCCAAACTTAAGGCCGACAGTGATGCGATGCTAGACCACGATTGGGAAGAGGATGACTTTTAGAGAACAATATCACGGGAAGACATATAAAGCAGCACTTTGAACCAAATATGTGGATTCTATTGTATTTCTCAATGAGTGGGCTGGGATGATGAGAATGTTTTTCACACATCAGGAAGCAATCGCCTGATCTGGTCTTGATTTTGTATATGCGGTAATGATTTCCATTGTAAGATACTTTTGCCTACTATAATACTCAAGAGATGGGTGGATGATAGACAATGTGGATCTTGCTGCTTTTTACCACTCAAGCTCCAATATGAGTTAGTCTATCTTTGGCTTGTACGTTTGTGGAAGTTGGGGGGAGAAGATGGAGTAGTAGTGGTTACCCATAATATAAAAAAACGTTATTGTAAATGGTGTCATTATCCTTTCTGATTGCTTATCATTCCCCCTTCTCCATTTATGCCATTTGTAAAACTGAGACTGCATCCAAAGCGGTCTTGACCCCTTGCAGCTAAGATGTCCATTTATGTTTGCCGGCAGAGATCGCTGCCGCTATCATTTGGGTTGCATGTATCTGGGATCAAATTAGCGGCATGAAACAATCGATCCAGGCACATTATTTTTTCGCCACCTATCTTTCCACTTTTTTTCTTTGGCTCAACGTGCGCTCTTCACCTTTTATTTTTTCTCGCACAGCACAAAGCATGTACGTGGTCGGTGATGTTGATCAACTCATACTCGTATACACATAAACCAAGCATTGAGCATGGTATTGTTCATGGCTTAACTTTTCACCCTTCCCGGTATTACATACAGCATTGGGTAGGAAGGCGTATACGAGAAACATGAGGAAGACGATTCACCTTGGACTTCTATAGCACTGTAGGAAACAGAGGTATGTGCATGTCCAAATACAAGATGTTGAATCATGATACGATGCACGCATGATACAATGGTAGCGAAGCTATTTATCTAATTTTTCCATGTCCATTATTATTGCCGTATAGCCTTTTGGCTATCATGTAAGTAACAATAGGGGTGAATGATAATCCCACTTGATTAGAACTAATGACTTGCTCTACTCAGCTTTATTGTGTTGCAGCTTTTATAATAGGGAACTATGGTTTAGCTGAAGAAAAGGGAAAGGAAAAGGAAGGTAATGGTTATAAAGCGGACACAAAGAGATGCGGTATCCTTGTTATTAGGATCAGCGTTACAGATTGCTGCATAGAAAGAGGCAAAGGGTAAAAACAGGAATAGTCAAATAGAAGGTCGACATTATGTATCAAGAGTTAATATTGTGCTGGGACTCATTTCATGTTGATAAAGATACGTGGTGCGATTGATGCAGTACTGCTGAGACGAGGATCACATTCTTGAGCATGCTGGTAACATCGGGGGAAAGGGGGGCATTATGACATTAGCATCGTACGGAGTGTAACTACGCATCCAATGAAATCATGGCTGAGTTATTATTTCGTTCTCAGAGCTCTTCGTAAGTGATGGCACGCGCGCCTTCCACCCTTTTTTACTTTTTGTTCCACTTTTTCACTTGTGGCTGCTCGTAGCCGTATTCTACAACAAGCAAAAGTAGGTTAATTTTGATAGTTGCTTCCCATTTACACATTTTCGCTTGGAAACATGGATCGTTGTGGGTGTCATTTTTCCTCCTCCACTTCAAGCCGGAGATCGTTTTTCAGAAAAAAAGTCAGTTTCCAGCACCGCAAAACGATAGCTGCTTGTTCCATGAGCGAAAAGTGTGGATGGGCGGTCATCGTTCATGCGATATTGACAACTTTGTATGTTAGCTTTTAAGAAACTCAAAAGGCTAAAAGACATGCAACAATATCAAACCGCCACTACCACCACAAAGGATGCACAACAACCATCGACCTCGTCTGCAGCAGCTCTTGACGCAGCAGCTGTGAGTTCAGCGTTTTCTTCCCTTATTAGCAGTGCCAGTGGTCTCCAGCCGCTACAACCTGTTGCAACAGGTGCACCTGCAACTCAAGCAACTACCACAGGCCAACCTCAAGCAAAGCGAAAACAAGTCAAGAATGCTTGCAGTGAGTCAAAACACAATACAATGTGATTGGTTTATTTGTTACTAAAACGCAATCATTATCCTCGCTTTCCTTTTGCCAACTTTAACTCGAAACAAACATTCGTTTTTCAACCTGCACTTTTTTTAATTAGCCAACTGTCAAAAGGCTTGCAAAAAGTGTGATGACGCGAGACCTTGTCCTAGGTGTATCAAGTATGGCATTAGTGGTACGTGTGTCAACTCGGTGCGCAAAGAACGCAAAAAAGGCATCAAGCGTGGACCCTATAAGAGAAGACAAAAGACAGGTATGTATGTCATCATCATGCATCTTGTTTTATCGCCCATTCACACACACACATGTACATGTAGAGGATGGCAAGAATACAAAAGCTGCTCGTGTTGAACAAGGAGACACGCGATCATCCAACGAAGACACAGCGTCTCGTACCAATGGTGTGAATCCACCTACACTTGTACCCTATGGCTATCCAGGAAGTCTTCAACAATATGCACAGCACTTGGGAGCGGCTGCTGCTTATGGCTACAAGGAGCAGGTCATGTCCAATCCCAATTCTTTTGTTGTGGGCGCTGTGTATCCATCATCTTTGGAATATCCCATGGTTGTCCCTAGCAATGGTGATACACAACACAAGGATCAATCCACCACTGATAAGGATGGCAAGTCAACAAATGAAGCAGAAGACAAGCACGCCACAGCAGCCGTACCTGATGCATCCACTTCATCTGGTACTTCGTCACCTGATTCTGCCCAAGATGAGGATGCTACACGATTTGAACGACTCACCCAATTGTGCACGGCAGCTCTTAAGCAAAACGACAACAACAGCAGTAACAACAACAAAAAGAAGGATGTTGAAGGCAAATCAGAGGATTAGCTTTGCATTTACTTCCATCTTCCTTATTCCATGCTGTTTTCTCTTTTTCGCCTTTCCTTATCTCCTTTCACAAAAAAAAGCCATCATGATCATGTACACCATCTTGGTTATGAATGACCCATCCCTTTTAATACAAAACATCTATAGCATATCCCCATTGTTGCGGACTTTTTTTTCATCACACAATGCACCAGATAAAATGTGTAACCGAATATACTCTGAAACAGGATGCTGCAATGTAAAGAAATGTATTGACTTGTAGTAAGGTTGCGGGGGTGGGAATTGTAATAGTAATAATACATGGATGTAAAGACATTACTGGCTGTTCTCCTTTGCCCAGATATCAGCAAATCGCTTGACCATACGTTGCATGTCTTCAGCTCTTCGTGCGCTAGTTTCCAAGACCTCTTCATGGTTGGCAGTCATAAGATCGGTATCAATGCCATCATCCACCACTGAATCAAGACCCATTTCATTCATAACTTCCTTCTTGGCATCCTTTCCTCTTGCAGTGACGACGGGGTTGGTGATGAGAGAAATACCCAAAACCTTCATGCCAGCATGACGGGCCACCAACACCTCATGAACAGTGGACATACCAACGGTATCAGCACCAATGGAAGCCAAGAAACGAGCTTCACAACGAGTCTCATATTGAGGACCAGAGGTATAGCCGTAAACACCCTCGTGAATATCATCCTTGTTGATACCAGTCTCAAAGGCAGCCTTGAAAGCAAGCTTGCGCAAGGCATAAGTGTATGCATCCGATACGGCAGGGAAACGTGGACCAAATGCTTCAATGTTGGGACCTCTCAATGGGTTTTGAGCAACAAGAGATGCCATTGACAAGTGATCGTTGATGATCATCACATCGCCGACCTTGAAGGATGGGTTCAGGGCACCACATGCATTGGTAACAACAAGGACCTCGACACCCAAAAGCTTCATGACGCGAACAGGGAAAGTGCATTCTTGGACACTGTAGCCTTCATAAAAGTGGCAACGACCCACCATGAAGATAGTAGGCGTACGTGATTCACCCAAGTAGCCCCACACCATCTTGCCAGAGTGACCAGCCACTATAGATCCATTGTTAACAACTTGCATAGGAGAGATCCACCTTTTCGAATATGACTTACCAGTGCTAGTAACAAAGCCAGGAATCTCATTGTAAGGAATTTCAATCTTGGACGATTGCTCGATAGTGTCAACAAGACCACCAAGACCAGATCCGCAAATGATGCCAAGACGAGCGTTCTTGAAGTGCTCGGGGATACGTTGCTTGAGGTACTCTGCAGTGGAGGTGTAAGTGGCTTCAGTGATAGTGGCTGTCATGGCTTGGAAACAAAAAGAGTTGTGGGAAAGAAAAGAAGAAGGGGAATGCAGCAGCAGTCAATGTCGCCGTCAATGCTATAACAGCGGAGACGATAAATAGTGATTCAGCTGAGAGAAGATAGGTGCTACTTTCGACCAGATCGAGCCACATTTGTGGGATCGATTATATGATCCAAGACAAGGTTAACATAGCAACTATACAATAGCAACATATATACACTAACCCTTACTCGTGGAACAGCCCCATCCATCATGCTTTCTCAATGGTTTATGTGTTGCTTACAAGACGACATCATATCTCTGTGCTACAATTACCCTGTACAACCAATGCAGGGGCGTGCATATCATCATCATCACCATCATATTAACAAACACAAGATCAATCGCTAGGATGTAAATAGCAAGTATTTGTATTAAAGATTAGATCTATCGCTTGGCTTTCTTTCCTAATGGTTGCTGTTGCTGGCTATCATTCGATAAGGGTGGTGCAGGTCGTTTCTTTGGTTTGATAGGTGCAGACGTTTCCAAAACCTTGATATTGGTTGGCTGATACCCTCCATCACCCGTAATCCAAGGCGCATCCACTATAGGCACTTCATCCATATCCAGTCGCAATCGCTCTTCTTTTCCCTCCACAATCTAATCATGTATACATCAACGATGTGTCCAAATCATCTTTGGATATACTTACATCCACAGCAATGCATGAAGCACGTTGTAATCCAAGCGCCTTTGCAAGTTTGATCTCTGCGCCCTGAGGTAAGCTAACAATCTTGGTGCTTGTCAAGGGAGCCATTGTCAACAAGTGCGAGCATAGATGAGGTGGTTTCATATCACGTTTGCATACAAAGATGGCTGTGTTTGGTCTCTTGGTCTTGGATTGGATAGCGTTCTCGAGTAGCTTGGTCACATCATTGATGCCAATGCATACACGTTGATGAATATCTGGATAGGCTGGCGTTGTCGTAGTGGCATCATCACCCTTTTGCTTTTTGCGTTTGGATTCAGCAACAACTCGTCGATGTTGGCCAATAGGTTCGAGCACTCTAAACAAACAAGCATAAACATAGGGATGAAGGTATTGTTTTGTCACCTACTTTATCAAGTTGTCGAGGATCGATTCGTTGAGATCGCTGGACACAGCAGGCCTGTCGATCAAAGAGAAGGACAATCAGCACGAGGTGGGTCGATCTCAAGCAGTTGCTTACATACCATTTCAATGCAAAGGGGGAATCGATTACGTTTTTATATACTTTTCGTCGTGCTATGGCTTCGCTTCGTATACTCTCGCCCGTGTGTGCTGTAGCAGACATGTTGTCGGATAAAAAAGGTGGCACTTGCCAAAATCAGCGGAACACAAAGAGGTGGATACCAAATCCATGCACACACCACATCCATATGGATACCATGGCAACCTCAAAACAAGCAAGCTACTACTAGCTGCAACAGATTGCTCGCTTCTTCGTGAACTTGATTTCTAGTCGAATGGCTTAAAACTAGCAATGAAGTAATGATCTTACAATAAACTTGCACGTTTACGCAACCACATTACAATGTCGTAGTATCCAATCCATCTTTACAGGGACTTGCACGTAATAAGCTGCCCTGGAACGTGTTCATGAAAGTACATCCCCTTTAATTTCCAGTGCATAAGCTGCCAGCTAACAGCCACTTCTTCCCATTCGCCATTGTTGCCCATTCCACTGCATGTGAACGATTCTCCTGCTCCAGCCCAACATTCCCATCTTTCGATTGTCTTGATCCGATGAGGATTTGACTGAGCTACGCTAGACCGCAAACATGTTAATTTCTTGAAAGACAGACCCTGCGAATGTCTCCGTCTCTCCAAAATTTGGACGCTCCCATTTAAAAATGTCATAATGAACCATGGAGTCTTTAATAGTACAAATTGATCAGCATGTCCTAGAGAACCTTCTAACCAATTTTCAAGTTGGAAGTGGGCAACTTCGGGGCGGTGGGCCGTCCGCTCTTATTTTCCTGTCCTTCATCGTCCATCCTACATTTGGACTACCCCGCATTCTTGATTCTCATCATAAGCCGGCGGTTTTCAATTGAATGAAGTTGATCAGCATGTCCCAGAGCACCTTGTGTGAAAGTATCAGGTTCGAGAAGGGCAATCTTAATATCAAGGAATTGCTGTACAATGTTCATGCATTTAGACAAGAGGTGTCCGATCTATTTAATTTCACTTCTTCCACTCCCGCCTTCTTCCCTCTTCCTCCCATTCTCAGCTGTTGCCCCATTCAAGTACATACAACTACCTCCTGCGAACGATTGTCCTGCTTCAACCCATCATGTCAATCCTACAACTCTCTTGATCCGATAGTCTTTGACTCAATGGCAAGTCCATGGCGTGTGCACGCTACTACAACACCCGTGTTTCTTGACACTACACCTTCTCTTGTACAATCCTCGACCACAATCAAACGTAACAGCATTCAATGCAGCAGTTGCTATTAGCGAGGCCTTCACTCCATTTCCCACACAGCATTCTTTACTTGCAGCAACGTGTCTTTCAGCCTTTTCACGTGAACGGCAGATGGCAATCATATAGAAGCAACTTTATTTACGTGTAGCAACTTGCTTCAATACATACGACTTCTTATGGATATGTATTTGGAATGATTGTGCTGATGGATGAGAACCATGGTGCTTGTCGCAGTGTCAGGAGGAACGTTGGATCGTACATTTATGTGTTTTTGATATTGGTGACGAGGAGATTGACGACTGCTGACGAGTACGCGTACGAGTTTGGATGATGACGGGCGATGAATACGATGATGGTGGCAATGTAGCAAGATAGCAAGATGAAATAAAGCATTGTTTCTTTATTACACGCTTGGACTTTGCTAGCTTGTGGATTACATACTATTGCTTCGAAGATGGAATAATAAAGGTGATCCGATTATCGGTCATGCAAGAAGTATATGGCTTTTGTGATACAATAAGGAGGAGTGGGAAGTGGGATGAGCTTGAGAAGAAAAAAAGTGAAGAGATCCCTCCATTGAGTTTCAGGATGAGTGACCCATCATTGGATTGGTTACGGGTGAGTTTACATAATACAAATTGGTTTATGCATCTCGACTTTCTTCTACATGCAAATGTGATGCATACCTTGACACACTTTCATTATTGGGTGCTGTTTACTTACGTACCTTCACAAAAGGCAATCATCATCATCCATTTGTGTAGCAACCTGTCAAGGACATGTTTGTGTGACCATCACGTGTCATTTCACTCAGCTCTTCATCTTTCCGTTAATGCAGCCGACACCATCCACTAGGAAAAAGCAACTCCATCACGCTTACAGCATAGGTAAAACATAAACGTGCCTGTATCTCCAAACTTTACAATGAAATGTGGGGTTTTTATTAGAGCAATGTGCTCGGCTTGGCTAACAGCACCTTGTGTGAAAGTTTCACGTTCAATGTCGCAACTAGCCCAAAAAATATTTTTTTGGTCGTCGTCGTCAAAGAGGGCGACCCCCAGATCCAGTTTGGCTGGTAGCGACATTGCGAAATCTGGGATTGGCAAGCTTGATCGTGAAACTTTCACACAAGGTGCAGTTGGCCAAGCCGAGCACATTGCTCTAATAAAAACCCCACGTTTCATTGTAAAGTTTGGAGATACAGACACCTTTATGTTTGTAAGCGTGATGTTATATGAAGAGTGGTTTTTGTTCATTGTCAAGTAGGTGGACCCTGGCAGAGCAAAAGATGCAGAGGGTCGTGTTGTGTAACACAGCTACGTTTGCATGAATGAAAGGGTCATTGTATAATTACTTTATGGATCATCTAGGAACAGGCATGTATTGCTAGCTAACGACCACTTGTATCCAATCATCATTGTTGCGAGATCCACTGCATGGGAACGATGCCCCTGCTCCAGACATTCATTTCAATGATTAAAGTAGGTTGATCCGAGCTGATTTGACTGAGCTGCGGTCCAAGAGAGATTACATCACTCTGGACATACAGCACGCTCGATGTAGCTCAACCGATGTAATCTTGTGTGAGCGTAACTCAACCAAATCAGCTCGGATCAACCTACTTTAATCGTGGAAATGAATGTTTAGAGCAGGAGCATCGTCCACCTACAATAGAATGCACAAAAGTTGGGAATGCACAAAAGTGGCTATTAGCTGCCAATGTATGACATAAAGTGCGGGTTGCGTACCTTTCATGCATTGTCCCTGAAGTCCTGACTTTTTAGCTGAGTTACCCAAAGAGGTCCTTCTGCATCTTTTGCTCTGCCAGGGTCCACCTACTTGGCAATGAACAAAGACCACTTCTCATATAGCATCACGCTTACACACATAAAGGTGGCTGTATCTCCAAACTTTACAATCAAACGTGGGCTCTTTAATAGATCAACGTGCTCGTCGGGGTCAAAGGAATCTTGTGTCAAAGTATGAAGTTCATCGTGGCCAATCCCAGATTTCGCAATGTCGCCACCAGCCAAACTGGATCTGGGGTTCGACCTCTTCGACGACGACGACCAAAAAATATTTTTTGGGCTGGTTGCGACATTGAACGCGAAACTGGCACCCAAGGTGCTGTTGGCCAAGCCGAGCCCATTACTCCAATAAAAACCCCACGTTTCATTGTAAAGTTTGGAGATACAGGCGTCTTTATGTTTTAACTATGCTGTAAGCATGATGCTATATGAAGAGTGGTCTTTGTTCATTGTGAAGTAGCTTTTTTTTTGTATTGATAATGGTTTATTAAGTAGTGGGCTGCTAAGGCCACTACCAAGAACAAGTTGGGTCTGAAAACCGGGAGTGAGAAGAAACAAAGTATAAATAACTAAAGATGGGTCACGAAGACCAAACAAGAGGGAAAGAGGAGGGAGGAAGACAAGGCAAGGATGGGTTAGAAAAACCCAAAACTAGGTTTCCATAGCATCAATGGGAGGGTCACTGGATGATGATGGTGGTGATGTGTCCATGCTGGTGGGTTTGCTATCTAGGGGAGGAGGAGTCGTATTGATGCTGGTGGGTTTACTCTCAAGGGAAGGAGGGGTAGTATTGAGGTCTGTAATTGGATCATGCGGTTTATCATTGGGCAGAGGGTTATCAGTAGTGAGTTTGGCAGGTGGAGTGAAATTGAACGAGGATTGTTGGGGTGGTGATGTCGGCGATCGTTTACGTTTAGATGGACTTGAGTTGGAGTTGCGGGAAGTCGGAGTAACGGCAGCGATTGTAGTAGGCGCTTGCGAGTCAATGGGAGCGGGAGCAGATTTAACACCATTGCGAATATGGCAGTCTTTACGTAAATGTCCTGTTTCTTGACAATAATAACAACGTGGTTTTGGTCGATAAGGGCATTGTAGACGTGTGTGTCCAGGTTCATGGCAATAACGGCAATGCAGTGGCATTTTCGACCACGTGGCATGCACGCGAGTGGGATAGGTTCCATCTTTTCGGGAGACTGGGATTGAATGAGATAATTGCTGAGGTTGTATATGAAAAGTTTTTGACAGGGTGTAGTTCTTGGGGTTAGTGTTGAGATATACAAAGCCTTTGCCGGTGAAGTAGTGTTGTTCAAGATAAATGCCAAGCTCAAGGATATTGCCGAAAGGTTTCAAAGCGTCAATGAGGGCTTGCGTTAGAGTTGTACGGTTGTAAAGTGGGATGTG